AAAACATAAACGAGTCTGCAGGTAATACGAATCCTACCAATGGACTGTTTCCTGATGCGGATAAAGGTATCTCAAGACGTATATTGATGTATAAAGCTCGCGGTTAAGGTTGACAAGGTTGATGTTTTAGATGCAGATGCCGACGTCACCTCCTTTTGCCGCGATATTGAGGCTCTTTCTTCGCCTGCCTGTTGGTGGCAACGTCCTGCAGCTGTATAAACGTCTCTCATAAGATAACTTGGTTTCAAAACCACGTGTGTTGGGGGGGTACAGACTTACAAACTTGATCGTCGCCTGCCTTTTCGAAGACTATTAGGCTCTGATGCTGCACATGAGCGGTGAAGGTGGAGAAGGAAATTGTTGTCACGAGGCCTATTAAGTAGCGGCCAGATCTCATGTGAGGTGGTTAGGCTTACGAATAAGAATGGACGTGACAGCAAGTAGCCTTTACGTGCCATGGACGCGGGTCAGCACTCTTTTTTAAAGAGCTGAATATGAATGGGTCGGTTGCATGATGCCGAGAAGCATGTTATTATTGTAAAAGATGATTGAGCGAGGAAGCGTAATTCCACATTCATAGTGGATCTATTGGGGACGAGAGATCAATGGGGACAAGGAGCGATTGGACATGGGCAAGAGCGAGACGACCGTATGCCTCCAATGCTGAAAGACCCTACAATAAGTCAACACCTACCTGCCTACATAATGCACGTATGGAAACTGCCAATGCTTAGTTAGTACCTATTTAGGGAATAGGGGGGTTATGACACAAGATAATTATACAAGCGAGATCCATGATATACTACTCCACGTATCTTTAGAACCTCAACCTGACAGTCAAGAAAAGTTAAAGCCATGTCAATCAATGAAGTAACATCCTTAAGGTTTATTGTATCAACTTCAACTAATCTGAACACAGGTGCCTCAAAAGATCTTCTTCCTTCTCCAAGTGAAATTCAGGGGTGCAGTTGTCAAGTTAGTTTGAATTCCTCCCATCAATCCCATAAAATTGAAACGTTAAACTTTACATCTACAGGTATATATATGAAATACACCTTTTCGAGGGTCAATTGGCTGTGTAATGGATGTACTCCTACCTGGTATAATTTGTCATAATTAATGGAGCTCATTACGTCGGTGGCTACTCCCTCTCCTGCGTGACTCCCAGGTCAAGTTACTGAGAAGTACCTTATCCACCCAGGCAAGACTTTGCCCCTAATTCGTCAATTATTGATACGACGCATTTACTAGGGCTGAAATTCGAACACGCCAGTCGATGTGGCAACCGATATAAGGATCGGTTAGCTTGCTTATTGGACCAGAGTTATAAGATATACAGGGCGGACAAATTCCCTACTAAGCTATAAAAATGCACCTCTCGGCACATTGTGTGGTATTGTGTGGCATTGTGTGGCATTACTTGGCCGAGGTACTCTTACTCAGTACCTGCTTCTTGCCTTTTCAAACCTCGAAAGCCTAAGGATGCAAGGGCTGATCTCAGTTACTTCACTATGTAGATGGCTGTGGATCTTGTCTAAATCTAGGAAGGCGTGAACAAATGTGAATCAATACTTATAGTTATTATCCCTGAAGAGTTTATTTTAAGTTCCATTGTTTTGGAATCCTGTATATATTTTTTATCACATGAGCTCTGAGCATGTACATGTGGCTTTTCTTCCCATTACCTCCTTGACTCCACGATGATTTGTCCTTCCACATACCACCCATGTATCTCCCATGCCAGCCACCTGCATAGTACCCATTTCAAATATCCAAGAAGACCCATGTAGTCAACTGCAGTGCCATCAACGATCCTAGGTAGCATTCGATGCCTCGATGTTTCGATGCTTCGATGCTTCGATGCTTCATCACTGCTCCCTTATACATGTGCAATGGTAACTCATCTATGGTTCCCCCGATCAGACGCAGCTGGGCTAGCTCCTTGTAGCTCCCTGTATCCCATTGCCACACCTCTAACGGCCCTGACGTTTCTACTTCCTCATTCAGCTTACTGCATGGTGCGGCCCGTCCTACCTGGTCTTAGGCTGGTTCATGGTTTCCGGTAACCTGGTAGCCTCCTATGCGGCCATGATTCCTGTGGGTGGCTGACCCCCAAACCCAATTTCCTGCAACCCGGATCCAGCCGGCGCCACGTCCATACCGACTCTGCATATTGCAACCCTCCCAGATCTTGGATATGACCCTGGGAGGTGCGTTTTGCATCTGGCCCAGCCCACTCACGAGCTCAGAGGCTGGACGCCGGCGCGGGGGGACGTCTGCCAGGCTAAGATCGGGTAATATCGTCGTGGGGGGCACCACTGCCGGTGTGTCGGTCTAGTAGACCTTCGTACATGAGAGCTAATGGAACTTTTCTGTCGAAGCTGACACAAACCCTATCCGACAGCGCTTACCGCTAGGACACGGAGGCGCCACACCCGCATATGAATGGCTACGCGCACGGGATATCCAATTGCGGCTTCACTATCACACTTCAGGACGGCTGCGCGTGACAGATCGGAGACCGCCACGTTCCAGACTCCTAGTAGTTGTGGCACTTGAAGTTATAATCTTCCAGTTATGCCCGAAATTCCTGTGCAATGGCCATTTATCATGATTTTCGGTCATCGACCATATGACCAAGTATTTCGCGAGGCTTGCCTATCAAACAGCGGCTGCTTGATGTTAGAAACCGTTTAAGTTAACTCGGTCACGCTTGGACTATTTTAACTGACCATATCCTAACCTGAGTTCACGCAGCTACCCGAGCCGCGTTTGCGTTCGACGAGAATTACCACCGGCGAGATACGATAATGTCCAGGCTTACTAGCACATGTGTATCGAATACTCGAGGCCTAAATCCCGGTGGATGACAAAAAAAACGACATGTCCCGAGTTGGTACATGGAAGATACTTTGTGTCCAACTCACAGATACCTGTCGATAATTAGACTATCCTTAAGATAGGAATCCGGGGCGAACGTGGAACAGAGATGATGCTGTTGCTAGGCGCCGTTGGCCAGTACTTTAATCCGTGGGTAGCCTTTTAAAACGATGGCCAATTAAACACTTGGGGCATCGGGGCCTCACTCAGCACGTCGAAGCGAGATAATGAAGTTATGCAGGGCGAAGGCTAGGCGACACGGTCGACAAGCCTCTCAGCGTCAAGAGTAAGCGGCCCCAGTCCGATGAGACGGCAACATATCGTACGTACCTACGTCGAGTTTCTCATCCCAATGCGTGTCTTAGATGAGAAGACGCATTGTATATTGGACATGCTATACATAGGTGCTAACAACAGTTGCGACAGCAGAAGCAGAACGGGATACAGTAGGGAGCTAATGCAGATCACGGCAAGCAACGGGGCTGCGAGAAGCCTAATTTCACGACCAATCGCCGTTCAGCTACCCCGGGAAACCATCTCGCCGTAACCGCCATCGACAGGTGTCTTGATTCAGACCGACTTTTTCTTTAGCCTCGAGGTCATCATCTGCCTTCGTGTTGATTGATGCCCGCATTGCAACATCGTCATCCCAACCAGGTTAGGTAGATGCGGTTTGTCATATATCATATTACGGGGAAGCCTAGGAAAGAGCCCAACGCTGCAAAGAATCGGTCATTTGAGCTGGCCAGGGAAATGGACACCTTAGCGCGACCGCGGTAAGAGAGTTCAAGTTAGATTAGCGAATGGCATCGAGGTCGCGGCTGATCCGGCAAACTCTGATTCGCCGCTGACAGACCGAGCCGAATGCACGATCCTTACACTGCAGGCTATAGTAGAAAAGGGAAGTAATAAGTCGGTGAGAACTACAGATGCGACATTGACGATAGACCCCAGATGACATTCCTTGGCTTCTTGTCAGCAGCGTGATAAAGTTGGGCTATGAGTACCACATAATGGTAACACGTTCGTTGGGAATCACCGACCCGACCGGTATGCGGTTAGCATATGGAGTACCTACGTGCGGCCGTCTGGGCTTTCGAAGAAGCCGTTTCGCTGGAGAATTGCCGCCGCGAGATTTACTAGTAATTACAGATGACAACCAGGTAAGCAAATGAAAGGTTCAATGCATCGTCAACGTCGTATTTTTATAATTTTTGGAGATGTTGAATCGACTTCCAAGGTTATCTATCGTACATACATGGATCCCACCACAGTTTTGACATTCTCCCTTGAGTTACACTATTAATAGAAGCTCATATCACAAATGAGAGAATGCATCAATGACATAATTGGTACTAGGTGGTTCACATTGGCTGCCGGCACTTGTGTCTATCATATTACCTTCCATTCGTTTCTACACACCTATCAGTACCGGTATTCTATGAATTTCTTCGGCTTCCCACCTCGGTATTGTCTTAAACAAATACAAGAATTACTGTTGCATTGAACTAATATATTTCTTTGTAAAATTTTCGTACTATTTCAAGTACCTTAACATCTGCCTCTTCTATCGAGCAATTGTCCAAGGATATTGAGTCTTTGAAGCTGAGGATACGATATACATACATCTTAGAATACCTAGGTACCTAGTAATATTGTTGCTACGCCATCTCATGGACCGAGGTCCGAGGAGCTTGAAATGTGTAAAAAGATAGAGTCTGATAGACACTAGGTATGAAGTAAAAGTCATCATTGCTAAAATTGAAAACTTCCATTGCTTAAATTTCATAAATTGATGAAGGGAATCGAACTTTCTCTTTGGGGCATGGAAGTCTTCTATATCAATGAGCAGAAATTATAAGCGCATAAATTCTCGAAGGAGCGTAGATGTCACGATTCCACACATCGGGTGCGTTGGATCTGATCGGTAATAACTTTACTTGAATTCAATATTAATATATAGTAAGAATAATATTAATTTACCTGTTACTTGGGGATCTCATGTTAATGGTCAAATCGTAGGTCTGGGTAAGATGTTTATATTGTACCAGGGAAGATCTAAAAATGGGGGCAGATCTAAGAGTTACCTAGCCTCGAACCCCAAGTCTCTAGCCCCAATTGTCAAGGATCAAGCCACAATTGAGAATCTACAAAGACCCACATAACTTAAGCTTACCCTACCAGGTCTAGGCGCTTAAAGAGCGGTTTGAGCCCCACACCGGCCTACTTTAAGCTATCCACTTATTACATAGTACGAAGCTATTTCAGCCTCGCCCTGGCAAACTTTCCGGATAATTGTCAGCCTCGCCTTACCTAGTACCGACCCAAATCCCACTGACAATCCCCGTGCTGCGAATTGCTCGTGCATCCTGCTTTCTCGACTGCGAATTGCGCTCGTCGATCACTCTGCAAAAAACCATCAAGTCGCCGTTGGCAAAGAAATCGAAAACACACACATTCAACCCTTTTTGTCTTCTAGGGAACCGCCGCGCTTTGAAGAAGAAAAAAAACATTCCACCGAACCGGCCGTCAATTTCGGGGACCGTCTCGTATCCCCGTCCATCTGAGCCACACCTACCCATCTTCTAAGCTCTGATCCTCTCAAGAGTGAGGGCAGGTTATATACCATCAAAGGAGGGGGACCCAAATCCTCCATCCTTTCCCACCACTATCCTACCCGACCCTATCCCACCACATCGCCAACCGACACAATGTCGCAAACGCCAGTCAAAGTACCGCCTTCGGCCGCGTCCTACACGCCCGCGACGCAAGACTCAGACCTGCGGTCGCAAATCAACATGCTTCTCCTCCGAGAAGGTCACATCGCCAAGTACGTCCCTACCTCCTACTCCCCATTCTCCATCCTCATCCTCTACCTCTCCCACAAACAAACCCATCCACCCCAAACCCAAAGACCAAACTAATCTCTCCCGCAACAGAATTCAAGAACACCTCCTCCACTCCCTAAACGCACACACCTCCAACTGGCCCTCCGCCGTACAAACCCACGCCCTCGCGCTCCTGCGCTCCGGCGACGTAACAACATTCCCCGCGCTCGTGCAGCGGGTCCTCAAAGACGTGCGCCACGACACCCTCGCCCTAGCCGCGGAGTCTAGCGAAACGAACGGGACCTCGAACGGGAAGGCGGGGGTAAACGGCACTTCCAACAGCAACGGGAACGGTGCTAGCGCAGGTAACGGCGACACCAGTAGTAACAACAACAACCTCGCAGTCCCGCAAGCCGTAGTCGACGCGGTGCTGAAGCTGACGCGGGAATGTCTGGAGTCCGTGTGCGAAGTCGACGACGGCCCGGCCGGTTAAGAGGCTCGGTCGGGGTCTTCGCCGACGACGAGCGCGTCTGCGTCTCCATCCCACGAGAACGACGGCGGCCATGACGACCCCGATACAGATACGTCGGTTCGTAGCGACGGGGACGTGGAGACGGATACTATACACTGTGCATTTAGTACGAAGCAGCCAGAAGAATAGACGATGGAGAGGCCCAACATCGACGATGACGGAGTGGGTTAAGGATCTGTATACCTAGGCACATACACGACGGGTTTAGACAGAGAAGAATCCAACGAGAAGAGGGGGTATACGGTGAAAGAGGGGATTCTTCTATTCCGTTGCACGATTACTACGCGTTATTTTCTCTCTTCTCAGAATTGGCATGGGTGGAACGGGGGGAGCATTGGCGTTAGCAGCCTGGTTTTTTTTTGACTTACGAGGCCCCGGGAAGACATCTGTGGCAGCGTTTTACTTTGTATTCTCTGGTCGGCAGCAATGACAAGCATCATTCAAACATTCTGGATTACCTAGTACTTGATTAGAAATGATATGCCTCGCTCTCACGTCTTTTACCATGGTAGCCGCTTATATATAATTGCGAGGCGTTAGGTATTAAGCTGTAACTATTGCAATAGAGCTCCCAATGACATGACACTGCTACGATCAAATTTCACACTTCATAAGCACATATATGTGACATAATAGTCGTTATGATACTGGAGCAAGGCAAAGTCAATTTATGAATCTATCGTAAACTAATTTGTTCCCCTGATGTACCATACCATATGGCCACCATTCCCCATTCCGATTAGGATAGACACACCATTGAATTTGCCAAAGCTCAAAAGGTCATACCTATCATCGCGCAAAGAAAATAGGCATCGATTCATTCATGCCTAGCATCTGGGGTTACCTCGGATCTATCATAAATGCAAATGACTTTCGCAAACCACCACAGAAAGGGGAGGTTGGCACTGAACGCATGACCCTCCATAGTGGGTGGTATTGCCGATTATGTCGAGGTGTTTATAGGGAGCAAGAGTACAGTGGCGGATTTTCTTATAGCTGTCGGCTATGAAGAAACTTAGTCGTAGAGGCCGTCATCGTCGCCAGCTTGACCAAAGTTGTTATCATTGTTAGCGCTGGCGTCGGCGTTGCCTGCGGCGGCCGGGAACTGGAAGAAGGCGCCAGGACCGGCATTCTTCATTTGCTGTGCAAAGGCTTCGTACCGACGAATCTCCACGTCGTTGACGGATCTTCGGGCCATTTGCATGGCTTCCTCGAAATGGCGTTTGGTCAGCTCAGGAACGGGGTCCTCAACTTCCTCATCCACATCCATATCACCGGCACCCTCAGCTTCACGAGCGCGTTGACGCTCAATGTCGAGAGTGATAGATTCCTTGATGGCAATCTTAACGGCTCGTTGGGTAATGAAACCAAGATCGGCACCAGAGAATCCATGAGTCTTGGATGCAATGTAGTTAAGGTCAACGTCACCAGAGACGGGTGTCTTGCGAAGCTGGGCCTTAAGGATACCGAGGCGGCCAGCCTCATCGGGTAGCGGCACGTAAATCAATGAGTCAAGACGACCCGGACGGCACAGAGCGGGATCCAATTGCTCAGGCCTGTTTGTAGCTCCGATAACGAAAACGTTCTTCTTCGAAGTCATACCATCCATTTCTATTATGCAACGTTAGCTATGCAAAAATCTCCAGTGAGGTTCAGAGAGAAACTTACCAGTCAAGAGCTGGTTGACTACACGGTCCGAGGCTCCACCAGCATCTCCGACAGATCCACCACGGGCCTTGGCAATTGAATCCAACTCGTCTAGGAAGACGACACAAGGAGCGGCCGCGCGAGCCTTGTCGAAAATATCTCGGATGTTGCTCTCCGATTCACCAAACCACATGCTCAGCAGCTCTGGGCCCTTCACGGAGATGAAATTGGCCGCACACTCGTTCGCAACGGCCTTAGCCAACATCGTTTTACCTGTACCAGGGGGGCCATAGAACAGGACACCACGCGACGGGGATAGACCGAACTTGAGGAACTTTTCGGGATGGTCGACAGGGTATTGTACACTCTCCTTGAGATCTTGCTTGACCTCTTCCAGACCTCCGATGTCTTCCCAGCGGACGTTGGGAACTTCGACAACCGCAACTTCGCGGAGAGCAGATGGGTTGGAGACACCCAATGCGAATCTGAAGTTCTCCATGGTGACACCTAGAGAATCCAAAACCTCGGCATCAATGGTATCCTCATCAAGGTCGATGAGATCCATCTTCTCACGAATCTGCTGCATAGCAGCTTCGGAGCAGAGAGCAGCGATATCGGAACCGACATAACCGTGAGTCTCGGCGGCAATTTGCTCAAGGTCAACATCGTCACCAAGCTTCATGTTCTTCGTATGGATCTGAAGAATCTCGAGACGACCGGTGGGGTCGGGGATACCAATATCCACCTCACGATCGAAACGACCGAAACGTCGCAACGCAGGGTCAATGGAGTTGGGCCGGTTGGTGGCGGCCATGACGACAACGTTAGATCGAGCTTTCATGCCGTCCATGAGGGTAAGTAGTTGAGAGACAACACGTCGTTCAACTTCGCCGTTCGTCTTCTCTCGCTTGGGGGCGATAGAATCAATCTCATCAATGAAGATGATAGCGGGCGAGTTCTTCTCGGCCTCTTCGAATGCCTTTCGCAGGTTAGATTCGGATTCACCGGCCATCTTGGACATGATCTCAGGACCGTTGATCAAGAAGAAGAAGGCGCCAGTTTCGTTGGCAACAGCACGCGCCATCAGCGTCTTACCAGTACCAGGAGGACCGTAGAGCAGAACACCACGAGGAGGCTTGATACCGATAGACTTGAAAAGTTGAGGATGGCGTAAGGGTAGCTCAACCATCTCTCGGATCTGTGCCATCTGCTTGCGGCAGCCACCAATGTCATCGTAGCCAACTTCGTTGAGGTTGTTCTCCTCTTCCTCACGCTGGATCGGCTCGCCCTCGCAATGGATCACAGTATCTTGTGCAACGATGCCGTACTCCGGAGGATCAACCTCCACAACCTTGAATTCCACCTGTCGCATGCCACCTCGGACGATGAAAAGGTCGCCTTGGCGGACAGGTCGGTATGCTTCTCGGAAGTATGGGGCAAGGAAGACATCGAAGAGGGAGCCGGTCAAACCCTCAACGGTATCGGCAATGGGAAGTACCGCGATGCGCTTAGCCTGTTGTTGGTGTCAGTAGGCAGTTACTCTGAGGACTTGAACAAATTAGAAAGAGATGACGTACATATTTGATGTCCGGGCACGGGTGGATGGTGACAATGTCGCCATGCTTGACCCGCAGGTTGTGACGGACAACTCGGTTGAGTCGGGCACTGCCATCATCAAGGTCGTCATCGGCAAGCACAATCAAGACGGTATCCTTTCGCTTCTTTCCGCGTACGAGAACGGTGTCGCCTCGAAATAGCTGGAGCTGCTCCATAGTGTTGTTCGAAAGGGCGATGATAGAGTTGTCATCGTTAACAGCGTCGGTGACCCTGTCCATTAGTCAATGACTACCGCTGGCTTCAGCATCATAGGAATTGGTAGTACGTACATTAACTGGTTAGGCTTCTTCTTCTTCTTGAGAATAGCCGTCGAGACATCATTCTCCTACAAATAATTGTCAGTCTTGAACTCTTATGGGTATTAGGATGGGTGGGATATCTTACAACTTCCTTGTGCTCGGTACCGGAGACATCGCTATCCAAAAGTCAGCTCAAATTCTGGTGTACAGCAAAATAGTTTCTATAGTATGGTAAAACTTACGCCAAGTTGACCTTTTTCTTGTGTTCAGGCTCTGGTGCCATGATGATTGCTGTGAGAATGAAAGTGTGTTTGTATTGAGGTCGGTATCAGTGGGGAGTTGTAGAAGTTGTGCGTAGAATCGCACGAAAAAAAGAAGGTGGGCGGATGTGAAATTTGCGGGAAAAGTCGCAGACGAATCTTGTTCCTTTGCAGCGACTCCGGATGTGCAAATTTGAAGAGGTTTACGATTTGCGGAATGGGAGAAGGGAGATGGTGTTAAATGTGGGATGTGAGGAAGTTGTTGAATTTCGGAGTTTGGTTGCTCTTACGGTCCTTAGTACAGTAGTGTTTGAGCTGTTGATGACGAGAGGCGGAAGGAGCTCGGACCAAGTGGCCTAACAGCACGGAGCCCGCCACACCTTCCAATGACTTCCACAGCCTAACTGTTGAACAAGCCAGATTCACCTGCCCAAGGCTTACTAACCGATAAAACTTTATCGACAGGCAGACAACTTGCTACGCAATCAGGCATCGACCGTACCTGCATACCAGGTACGTGGGCAACGCACCTACCTAAATATTTGGTTTTCATTGCCTCGTCATCTTCCACAGAACATTCTAGGTTTAATGTTACATGTCTTAAAAAGCCTTTATCATTTTTTAATTTTGCATGCAGACATAAATGATTGATCAATGTCTGTTCCACATATCAGCCAGCTAGAAGCTTCCTATTTCATCTAATGAGGCTCGCAAGTCCCAGGTCTCCATTATCATCCTAGTGCTTGCCTTACTCGGAGCCTCACGCCTCATTCATATCTTATAAATATGCCTACTATAACACGGCTTCACCTTACGTTGCCAGCCATTAGTTGACTGGTCGTACAGCGAGGAGCCTACTGGCCTGCCAGCTAGGTACACAGGTCATAGCACCCAGTACTCTGTCCCGAGAGCCAGGTATGGATGCCACTGGAATACATACACTAACCGATACTCCAATAAAACTGTGTAATGAAAATATGCATTCATACCACAGCTTATCATATATTTTCCATTGCTAAGTCCCAGGTTATTTAAAGATCTCTAAGAGTCTAGATATCTAAAGGGATTGACTTTAGAGGGGTCGTCAACTATCACACTCTGAAAAACAATTGATTATGTACAGGCACTGTATTATGCGCATTACTTAAAATAATGACGATGCCTCCCCAAGATATATATCATAACTTTTCTTGAGCACCTAGAGACTACCTAGCTCAGGGAGTTCGGACAGAGGTTTACGGCGGATGACTTTGCGTGAAGATACGGGGAACTGCCGCTATCCTAATTACCATGTTACTCTATGAAACGATGACATCACTCACAATAATCTTATCTCCCAGATCCCACAAGAGCCCCAAACTGCACCTTCCGTCAAAGTCAAGTATACCGATTTCTAGTTCCTTTATCGCACGTGACCCATTCGCCTCCTCTAGTAAGAGACATTCTATGAGACGTATTTTGGCCCTGATCGATATACTTAACTCATAAGGAACCTCAAGTTTTATGATACCAATCCTATAAATGGGGATACTCATAGATACCCCATCTTCTTGCGCTAGACCTAATTAGACTAGGTACCACGCCCCACCCCTAGGATCACCATCTTCGTTGTCGAAAGCTTCCATATAAATTCCAGTCGATGCATAACTTACCGTGCCAGTCCTTCTCATATCTATTGGTAATATACGCAGAACGTCTTTTTCGCAGTGGTCTACTCGATACGGTCACTCCCTAGTAGATACCAGGGTTCAGGATTGCTCGGAAGCCAATTTGTAGGTGTTTGTTTTCATAACGTATCTATACATAAGTAGCTTTGTCGTATAAACCGACATACGTGGGATGGCAGACATAAGTTCGTAGGGTGCGTTATCTCTGGAAGTCGGTCTTAGTGTTTGGTTCTCTCATGCCCGAATTCTTTGGACTGAGTTCGGCCAGTTCGAGGATATCGTTCTTTTCTATATTGTTCTTAGGCTATAAGCCGCTCTTATGGAATAGTAAATCGGTACCTTGTGTTTGTTTTTTGCTAGACTGTCTTATACCAATGTTTTTTTTAAAAAAAAAAAATGCGGTAGAATGGTAGAGATGGGTGTGTACCATTCTAGCTTAACTCGAACTAATCGAGATCATGAAGGGCTTGCCCATAAATGCTCCAAGAGTACGATAGTACCCAATGCTTTAACGAATTAGCTAATAGTAGGAGACATGGTGCGTAAGCAGTACACGATTGTCTCAGCCATGATTGTGAACAAAATCAGTTCCAACTCAGGGCATAGAAGATGCATATGCTTCTGAGACTGCTGTTGCGGAAACTGCGGCTGTAGTCAGACCGTACTGCTAAGTTAAAGCTCCTAGCTGTGATGGATGTGGTTGGTTGTTGTATTCAATAAGCAGCCACATTAATAAGACACATGCAGCTTGCTATTGGTGAACACTGTGACGAATTTGATTAGCAAGCCATCGGAAATGTGTGGTTACTAGGTAGTGTTCATTAGATTAGTAACTCCTTATACAGGTAAGTAGCCTTGCCTAGGAATATTTGCATTTTCTTCATCGTATGCTCTGGTGTCGTATAGCAAATTGCGGCTAGTTTTGGAGTGCTACGGAGCTCCCCAAAGTATTCCTGGTGATTTGGTAACCGCCTCATTCTGATGATCGGCCTTTGTATACCGCAACGGACTGCCAAGAAGCCACAGGTCTCAGCCGTGTTTGCCGCGGAGTAGATTGCTCTATGCCACTTAACGTTTGATAGGGCATGGTGAATCATCTCTATCCTGCCGGTATCGTTGGCGAAGTTTGAAAGAAAGTTGTACCATTTTAAAAGCACGAATATAAATCGTAGAAATTCTCCAATCATCACACACTCGAAAACCACTCGACATACGGCTTGCTTTGTGCATAGTCGAATCTCAAGAAAACCAGAGCTAGGTGTACGAGACGAGCATATAATCGAGTATTATTAAAAAGACGGGACCTAATAGACATGGTCAACTGAGTGGTTGTTTATATCATTCTTTTACCTAAATTTTTGTTGATAGGATTGTCATAAATGATTGAAAGATCTCATGCTCTGTAGTCGAAAGGAAAGTGGAGAGCGTAGCAGCGGCCAATGGATGCAGCCCTTGAGGCTGTAAAGGGAAAGCTAGAAGTCAGAATATCGTGAACCAATGAACGGTAGGTTGGTGAGACTCGATAAATAATTGGCTGTATTCTTTTCCTAGTTGACCGAATCCATAGATCGCTAAATTTGATCCCCTCGATCTCACTCTGTCAACTAGATCCCGTCAACAACAGGATTTCGAGTTGCAAGACGCGGGAAGCGCTATGTGCTTTTGGCTACCGGACGACACAGGGTTTGGTTAAAAAATCTGGAGGTGCGTAATGCGGGGACTCTCATGCAGGTAGGTTGTAGGAATGACGGCCATTTTTGGCAGGGAGCTTTCAATGAAAATTCCAGCAATTGCTTTCAATTTCCAACTCAGTTCATGCCGACGAAAAGCGCACTCGACAAAACCCGTCGCCAGCCGTATTGAGACCAAGTATCGTAAAATTAACGGATATCACCAGGACACAGAAAATTTTTGCGAGACAGAACGTATGTAATATGCGTGACATTATCAGCCTTGCTCACACGAGCCGTTTGGAAAAAGGGATCAATTGATTGTCAACATTCTCCACATCGAATCAATTGCCCAATGATATAGGCACGATATAAACGTCACGATAACTTGGCGGCGACTTCCCCGAAGGCTAGTTACGAGTTACAAAGGTGGTTCAAGAATCTTGACCAACCTCGGCAGGTGCGAGAGGTCAAATCATAAGACCACTCTCCACGGCGGCAAGTAGATCTCATGGAATAAAAAGTATCTCTTAACAAGCTAGCGTCGTACTAGTTTAGTCTGATAAACAATCTCAGCACCATCTTCAACCTTCAACCTTGCAGATCTCATCAAGTCATCGCGCCGTTATGCATAACAGGCTCCACCATTATCTAGCAATTGAGGTAAAGATAGCTGCATAGATATGTAGCCAGGGTTTCAATGCTTGCTATTCGTTTCTAAATATTACTTGTCAAGTATTTCCCCGAGCTATTACATCTATCTCAACTTCTCTTCAATCGTTTATTCATATCTCTTTTGATCCAGTTATACTTATGTCCCATCGCGTGAAGTAGCTCGAATCGGTTCCATATATCTACCTAGTTTCAGCCCCTCTTACTAGGGCACCACCAATCGCGATCACCTCGTCAACTATCTCAGGTCCCGGATCACCATCATATATTAGGTGCTTAAGGAAATTTGGAACGCGATAATCTGGGTATTTTGTAGATATTGAGGTTCTCGCAGTTTCGTCTACCCAAATTTTAGACAATGACGGCGAGGCAAGTAACGACGTGGGATGAGTACAATCGCGGGGCTTCGCCTGGTAGAAGCAACAGTCTATCATCCCTTGCCAACCAGAGCGTCCAATCTGAAGATCAAGCGCTCCTGAGTGAGCAGAGTGGATATGACGATGAGCAGCCCCGACAAACAAAACGAAGGTTCGCAACTCTTCTATTAGGTATTTCATTTCTGCATAGACCAATTATATTAATTTTTTCATAGATCGTCTATAACGAATCGCCTTGCTACATTATCAGACATTGGTGGTGTCAACAGTATCAGATCTTTTAGTAGGAGCTGGCAACGAGCCTCGGTATTCCCTGAAATTATACCGCAACAGCCGTCATTCGTATTTGCTCCAGACCAAGAGCCAGTCCAGACGGTAGATCCTAGTCCTTACGCCAGGCGCGATGTCGAAGCAGGCCCCAGGGCATCTCTTCTAAGAAGAGATCTTGAAGAAGCACCAGCGTCTAGCACTGCCGACTATGAGGATTCTGGACCCGTGGGAACGCCCCCGTCACGGACCGAAGGCCAGGAAGGCGAACGAAAACCTTTTGGTGGTGACCTTTTCAGAACGGCTTCGCCATCTGGCTCTATTCGCAGCACATCGATATTCTCGACACCGCCACACCTAGCTGTTCCTCCTCTGATCGGTAGCTATGGTTCCATTCGAAGTTACGGTACTGTCGAGTCGGCGGCTACCCATTCTACCATGATCCATGCCGCAGACCTATGGCGCCAACAGCAAGAATCTGGCGCAAATGTGCCTGATGGAGAACGCCAACCCATCTTAGTGAAAGAGGTCGAGCAGGAAGGAAGAATTGTGTTACAAGTATCCGGTCAATCAACTTTACCCCAGACAGTTGTAAATTCTACCAAGTATGAAATACTCTTTACACCCTTTGAGTGTATTTTGCTAAATCTTCATCTAGCGTATTGATTGGCGTTGGCTTATTGAGTCTCCCTATGGGCCTGAAGTATGCCGGTTGGATCTGTGGGCTAATCGCACTTGGTTTATGCGCCGCGGTGACCAGCTGGACGGCGAGGTTGTTGGCAAAATGCATGGATCTCGACCCTACCATGATCACATTTTCCGACATAGCGTTTATTTCCTTTGGTAGGAAAGCGCGCATTGCAACAGCCGTACTATTCACCCTCGAGTTGCTTGCAGCTTGTGTGGCTCTTATTGTCCTTTTCGCTGACTCTCTAGCGCTTTTATTTCCTGGTACATTGAGCGTCACCGAGTGGAAAGTCCTCTGTACTATAATCATGATACCCTTGCAATTTGCTCCGCTATCTATTTTATCATTTACAAGTTTCATCGGGGTGGTCTCGTGTCTAAGCAGTAAGTCTCTCTCCAAATACATAGAAATTACGGGAATGTTGATAAAGTGGCCCAGTCGTAATTATTGTCATACTTGATGGCTTATTGAAACCCCATACTCCTGGTTCTCTCATAGAACCAGCTGCGACCTACCTATTCCCTGCCAATTGGTTAACTTTACCCTTATCCTTTGGATTACTTATGTCACCATGGGGTGGGCACAGTGTTTTTCCAAACGTAAGGATCATTCCAAGACCCAAAAGAAGGAGAACTAGCTAATAGAAGTCTAGATATACCGTGATATGCGTCATCCATACCGTTATAAAGAGGTACGACATCCGATGACTCTTTGCATTGGGATGAATTAAACTGACTCATAATAGGCGGTTACATACACATTTAGCTTTACCGTAAGCATTAAGGAACAAGAGCCCATACGTTTTAAACAGGACTAACTTTTTACAGCTGATAGTAGATGCTGCAGTAGCCATCGTGGGAGTTATCATGTTTGGAGACGGTGTTCGTGATGAGATCACAAGCAATATTCTTCAAACCACGGGTTACCCTAACGCTTTGAATATTCTCCTCGTGGTTTTTATCGCTATCATTCCCCTAACTAAAATCCCTCTAAATTCACAGCCGATCGTCACAACACTAGAAGTTGTATTCGGTCTTCGCCAGCAAGTTGTTGCCGAAGAGGCGTCCTTGATCGGATTGTCCAGTACCTCAAGGGGGTTACTAAAAGCTCTGGTACGAGTGTTGACGCTATTGGTATTTTTGGGAATTGCTATTCTCTTCCCGTCGTTTGATTCGATAATGGCTTTTATGGGTAGCGCTCTCTGCTTCACGATTTGTGTCACGTAAGTCCCGAAGCCCCCGCCCCCCCCCCCCCCCCTTTTTGCAAACCGTCGTTTACCGTATCCATGAACTAACGGCCTTTCAGACTTCCTCTAGCCTTCTACCTAAAGCTATTCGGACATGAGATCGCTGCAGGAGAGCGCATTCTCGTTTGGACTGTCATGCTCACATCTCTCACCATCTCCATCATCGGGACAGTCTGGGCCTTCCTACCAAAAGATCTTATTGGAGCGAATAACTAAGTGGATTCGGGAACTATTCTTCGTACCTGAATGTTTCAAATAAGGGGGATTTCTTCGGTATCTAAAAGTGTTTGATGATTTCATCAACGATGGGGTCCATGTGCATCTTGAAGCGTTAGCAAGGAGCATAGCGTCGATTAGTATAGTACAATAGCATTATGACTGTCACTCATCGTAGTAACCTGAATACATGCTATCAGCCTATGGAAAATTCGTCTTCGATATACCTACCTACACATATAATGAAATCATATAGGATAAGTGGCTAGGTATATTTATTGCTTTGGTAGATTGTAACCTTTGGACTAGAGCTGGGTTAATCATGGCCTAAGAATCCTGTCATGAGATTTCAATAGGTAGCACCTACTCTGAATTTTCATAATAGATTGAGGCAGGTTGGATCGGAACAAGGTGTAGCTACTACCTTTATGAACGGTAAGACTCTAAGGTCGCCTTGTAGCTTCCTGATTCCCATCCGAGTGGTCCTCTCACGACGTCTTACTCAGGCCCAAGGTTTTTGTATCTCAGATTCTGCTTCTCCTTTTATCACAAGTAAACACAGCTCGTTTTAGTTCCCCTTCAAAATTACGTTCCCATCCAAGTTAACTATATACATTCACTTACCAAACAGAGGAGAAGCAACCCAGATTAAGCCTCGAGTATACACCAATCCCACCACCACTCTTCTCTTCTCTTCTATTCTATTCTATCGAAACACGCAAGATAGGTACACATAATTACAAACAGTGTCGTTCCAAACCATCATCACAACAATGGAACACGACCACGTTATAAACATCGACCTCGAAAAGCCGGAGTATAGCCAACCCTCCCAAACCACCACGCCAAGTGTATCCCCTCCCGAATCCGACGATGGCAGGGCTCAAAGGCCTATATACGCAGCATCTAACAAATCCTGCTTCGTCTGCCGCAAGACCCTTCTACTAAGCTACTTCAACTGCTGCGCCGCGTGCCTCGGCATCGCCGAATACCAGCTCTCCCGGAAAAGGGGCAGACAATCTCGCGATATCCTGCCCACCTCCGAGACCTCTACTTCCTCCTCCTCCTCCTCCCCATCATCATCCACATACTCCCTCCCCCAAACCCCAACCAACACCCCCAGACCAGCCCCCCACTGCGACAGCCCCAGCTGTCGCTACACGCACCAACGCGTGCTAATGCTCCTCTTCATCGTCTTCGAGCTCATCCCCTCGCTCGGCGGGCTCGCCATCCTCAACATCGCGCTGTACAGGCACGACTTCTCGCTGCTCCGGTTCGCGGGCATGCTGCTCCTCCAATGGTGGCAGATCTTCGTGCTGCCTCGCCAGTGGGCGTGCGGACGCTCGATTGTCGCGGGACAGCTCGCTGCGTGTGTTTTCATGGTCTGGTTTTATGTCGATGCGGCGCGTGTCTGGAGGTGGTAGGAGCCCCTTGCTATTACGACTGTGTTGTTGAAGATTGTGTTTCCTTGGTAGGTTGATTGGGTTGGGGGTTGTGGGTGTGGGTGTGGAAACTATGGGGTATCGGATGGGGGTGGATGGCGAGATGGAAAGGGGCTGCGGAGGCGTTGGGCGTTGGGAGATGGGTTGAGGGCCGGTGTTGTATTTTTTCGAACGGAGATATGGATTAGCAAATCATGATTTTATCCCCATTAACTACCTAGTCGGTATGGCTTTAAGACTGTGTGACTCCAGCTGGCAGAGGTAAACTCCAAGAGCTTGAGCGAGGCCTCGTAAGTATACATACTATGACTGAATCGAGTCGCTGTCGTTCCACAGGCCAGGCGCTGCCATACGTAATCAGTCGTACGAATCATCTTCCTCGATCTCAGGGATGTCTTCGAAGGTTCACTTTACATGTACCTGAGCTGTAGGTATGTAATACTCGACCTCATTTCCCTTTAGGCTTGCTTGGGAATCTTGTGGTAAGTTTGAAGTGTCTACGCTAGGGGCAGAGCAGTACCACGATCATAATTCTAAGAATTCTTGCCACAACGTACCCTTCGAGGGCAAATCGTAGTTGTTACTTGTGTTGTGCGCTATAAGTATTTAGCACATGCTTGTAGGACAGACCTGGGTTCCCTTTCATGTAAGTTCCCTCAAAAGTTACCAGAGCGTTGAAAACTGCATCATGGGATTCTAAACTTCTGGTCAGGTCTTCGCCTCAGGAGGGTCACACGAGGATAAGAAATCTCACAGCGAGTTAGAATAGGGGTGGCGTCGTAAGAATGAACTCAAGTTTGTAATTCCTATTTGACAACCACCTAGCTTCGTTCGGGACTTTTCGTAGTAGTTCTCCAGACTTAACATATTCTCGAACACCTGGCATCTTCCGGGTGTTCCGCCGTGACACCTCGGCCGAGTGCCGGAGTCCCGGAAGTGGGTTTCGAGAAGATTCAAACGCCCTAAACGAAACCCTTGCTTTTACATTCCTAGGCTGCCGTGCACCACGACATCGACATACGTATCTATTTATGCATCAGCTCCGATTAGCGCGCGCCTCATCCAATTTTGGCGCTCGGTTAACGATTAAAGCTACTGGCGTAGTACGATTAGTAAAAATGTACTCTGTACACACACACGTACTTATGCACATGTATGCAGGTAGCCTATCTAGCTACGCCCTCCCCAATCCCTTAATCTATCCTCAGCCTCCCTTGCTTTTTCTTAATATGTGCCGTGCCTGCATGTACATACATATCTTACCTGTTGTCCTGCCTACTACTGCGACCCTTACATTCCAGACCGAGAAACGCGCCTGGAGATGAGACAATATGACGTAGACAAGACAGTTCAAGTTGCGAGAGATGGATTGGACTTGTGTGAACGATGTGTTGAATGTTTCAGGGCAGGTAAAAGTGTATTGCCCAGAATAACGATAAAAGGCTGTAGTTCAAATGAGATGAGGACGTGTACTTCCCAATACTGATGTGTACAAAGGCCGAGGTTTACGGAGTCGGGATCTTAGTACAAAGCCGTCTCTAACAAAACATTTAATTAGCTAATTCACTCATAACCTACATCTACTTTTAAAGTTCTTGCTTGAATGCTTGCTTAGCCAAGTATCATAATCATATATATCACAGTAGTTAAATTACAGCATAAAGTCTGAGTGGGTAACTTCTGGTATTCTTTTAATAATCTGGAGAATATCTAATACCTAGAGAGCGAGTTGAAGCTAGATCAATCCACCAGGAATGCTGTGTAAAAGGGTATTGTACTGCTGCTGAGTTTGCCAAACTGCGTGATGTTGTTAATGATCCAAATCCAATCCAAACGACAAGGAGCCAAAGCCAATTTTTATCCATGCTGGTCCAAAAAGAAAACATGGCCCTCTCCCCTTACAATTTCCTTCTTTCTTAATCATTCATCTCTTGCTCCGAAAAAAGCACAGGTCCAAATTGTATTAAGAACAAGAAATGGCAGAGTACCGACGAAAGAAAGCAGCAGCAGCAGTAGACCCGTTATTAAAACATTACCCGTGCGGTTGTGGAATGATGAGCACAACTACAAGTGGCTACACTAGCTAGGACGAGCTCAGTGAGCTTCCTGCCAGTGGCCAACCCACTCCATGTCGCCGAGATCATGGCGTCTCTCCTTTCGCCAATTCCAATCTCGGCCCTTGTTCCATGGGCACTCGCGTGATATGGACCGAATATCCCGATTCCACTTGTGATTGATATTGTTGGTGGTGGCGTGCTGTTGATTGACGTGATCCACAAATCCCATCCCTACTCCTTGCAAATTATTAAGGCCGAATCCGAACTGTCGTCGTGACTTCGTTGAGAAGTCCGGCGACTTAGGTTCCGATGCTCCTGTCGCAGCTCTACGGCGTTCCCCAAGCGCCTCCCACTTGTCGAGGTGACTACGCTTCGACGGTGGCGAGTAACGAGGCGGGAAATCCTCGGGCTGCTCAACAGCAACGGGTTCATGAAAGAAAAATCCATCCGCAACCAAATCCCCGTCGATATCATTTGAAATTGTATCATTCACAGGCGAAGCCTCGGGCTTCTCATTATCAGACGCTGGCGTCTGGTGCAAGGATGCCTGATCCTGCTTGGGAGTGCGGGTAGCCTCCTTGCTCTCCTGACTCCAGGTCCTCGAATTGAGCTCCTTGAGCGCCTGTATCTGGCGGACACGTTCCTCCTCATCTTCCTCGAAATCCTCATCCCACATGTCGCTCCAACTCTTCGACACGGCTTCCTTCTGGCGACCGAACACCATGGACATAGCGCTGAGAGTCGGTCTAGGCTTAGACATGGTAATTGGCAAAGATCCAGACATGAGAGACACCTTGGCAGGTGCACGTGTTGGCATGTCCATAGGTCGCGAAATATGAAGGGGGTTCATAGATGCCGCCATGTTAGATGTTAGCATGGAAGAGATCGAGGGCGTCTCAACGGAGCCCGACATCCAATCCGTGGTACCACCAGATTTAGAAAAGAGGTCCTCGGTGTAGCTCTCGTCATCGGGAATAGCGCTAAGCTGGCGAATACCTTGGAATGCGTTTGCGTGCAAGGCCTTAGCCCACGGGAAGGCACCCTGGTCAATCTGGGGGCTTTGGATTGAGGGAGTTCGCAGAGGCTCGCGGTTAGCAGTAGCAACGCTGGAACGTTCGGCCGTGCAGAAGTCATCAAGCGCCTCATCGAGGGTGGTGAAGCTGACAACGCGGCGAAGGGCATTCCTAGCGCCCACCAACGATCGCTTCTGGGGATCTAGATTCATGCACTGAACGATGACTTCGTAAGTGTCTTGAGACATGGTAGGAAAGACATCGAAAAGCGACTGCTTGTCACGTGAAAAATCCAAAAACAAGAGGTCATCCTCGGTTGGGGTGTTGAAAGGGTTCCGTGAGAAGAGAATATTGAGCAAACAAATGCCAATGGCCCAAATGTCTGCCTGGGCAGGCGAGTATCCGGCTCCGGCTGAGTCATACTGTTCAGGTGACATGTACCTGTCACTTCCAACTGTCGTCTCGTAGCTCCATTTGTCCGTAGTAGCCAACCCAAAGTCACCAAGCTTCATTGCACCTGATTCGGCGAGGAAAATGTTCTCAGGCTTGATGTCTCGGTGGTAAATAGCCTTCGAGTGCATGTAAGATACAGCGTCGACTAGTTCGAGCATAAATCGGCGCACATGTTCGGTCTCGAGGGGGCCGGATCCGGTGCGAATAGCCTCGTACAAGTCGCCGCGCGAGCAGTACTCGAGGACGAGGTATACGTGAGCATCCGTTTCGAACGAGTGGACTAGATTGACGATGTTTGGATGGGCGCCTAGGCGGCGATGGCAGAGAAGCTCTTCGGAATTCTCATCAACAGCAAACTCGATCCCAATCTCGTTGGCGGCGGCCTTCTTGGTCAAACACTTCACAGCGACGAGTTCATTGGTCTGCAAATCCCTGGCCGTAAAGACCATTCCAAAGGATCCATGATTAAGAGGGGCGATTGTTTGAAACCTCCCGTCGAGTATAACGCCATCTTGAAATTGGTTTCTCAAGCATTCCATGACGTTGTCTCGACGCGAGACAAATAAGTGAGAAGCGACGAAGGAAGAAACCGGTTGATTATACAACCGCAGCTGATCGTACAAGTGAACTCCTTTCCCCTTGCCCGATGTCTAATTGGAAAGGGAATATGAGGGGTATCTGAATGCTTCTTGAAACTAACGGAAACTTTTTTTGCGTTCTTGTACAAAGCTAAGAGTAGAGCTAGAAGGTGCCGGAAGCGATGGGATAGAATGGATGGGAGAGAAACAGCTGATAAGTGAAGTTGGCCAACCCAAGTAAAAGAAGAGGTCGAGTTGATTGAGAGATCAGGAGCGATATACAATATGCCGGTTATGGGAAAAGAAAATCAAATAACTCCAGGTCGTTAACAGGTCAGAGGCTCATCCAGGGTATGTCAAAGTTTTGTAGAACAAATGAAATTGGTGAAATAATCGTGAACGGTTTTTGGGACGCGTGGTCCTGAAAGAGTGAAAAGGAAAAGTTCGTTATAAGGACATGGATACGATAATGTGAATATGAAAAAGAGTGTCCGTGGTTGGATCTGTATGTCACAAGCTTCAGGAAGGTGGAGCTTGAAGACGAGATTATGTATGTAGATGCGTTGCTGTCGTTGTTATAGTGGAGGAGCGGTGAGTCAACGAATCGGGGGTTTTCGCAACGGGTGTCCGAAGGCGGCGGTCCTTTGTAATATTCCAGCAATTATCACTAGTTCCTAAGCTTCAAATAGCATCCGGACGAGATGGTAATCAAGTTAAGATGTTCGTGAAGGACACGGGAGGACGGTTGAGGGTTTATGTGGCTCTTGATGACCAAGTCGCTGGATGACTGGTCGGCCACGAGAAAGGAACTAGCAGAACGGGTTGTTGGCGATTTGGTATTTGTAGAAGGTATTATCGAATAAGAATCTTCACTACTGTCGACTCCCGCAACTTGGCTCGATAGCTAAGGGGAAGGGAGACTATGACTCCTCTCGTGACCTTGTTATCAAAGGTATGGATTGGTAATAGAAGTCGTCGAAGCTGATATCGTTGCAAGGTGTTCCTGGTGGTCCTGGCTCAAAGGAGGATCCAGATTCCAGGCTATCGGATTACGAGTCAAGGCGGGTGTGACGTGGTGAAGGCGCTTATCAAGTCTAGTATTCTGACTCTTTTGGTTTGTCGTTGAGACGTGCGGCGGATGGTGGCTCTTTTTCTAAGTCGTCGGTTTGTTTGTTTGTCGATGGTCGTTTCACTGGATCATCAGACAAAGAACCCGTTTCGTGGTTGAATAGAATTAGGTAAAGTGAGGATTGGTCGCGACCGTTTAGGAGGTTCGAGGTGTAAGGAAGCAGGTTCAAAGAGACCAATGGTCGCTCAAAGGAAGGAGAGAGATTGGCTTTCTATGTATTAATTGAGGTTAACGGGATAGGAAGCTAAGATCCAGATCCAGGTCCTCTTCTCTCTTGTTGTTGATTTGTTGACTAATTGACACTTGGTGCTAAGATTGCTAAGGTTTGGGAATGGAAACACGCAGAATCAACAGCTTGATGCTTAGTGGTAGTAGAGAGAAAAGGAACAGTGAGCGACGAGACGAAGATTAAGATAGTAAGAGGATAGAGGAGAGAAGCGGTAGGAAATGGATGGATGGCGAGATTGGAAGAGAGTAGCAGTGGTGTGGTAAGTAGACGAGAAGGAGATGATAATAGTAAAACGAAGTTGGATGTGTGGAGGTGGGCTCGATGGGCGATGGCCTGGCTGCTAGTTACAGGGTACATTGGTACAAAGCTGGGCTGGATGTTGGGTGGGACGAGGATGGAGCGATGCAGGCAGTCAATGGATGGTGCGAACAGCTTGAATGGGTAACAAATTATGGGTCATGCTGCGCCTTAGTGGAGACTGTACGTAGTGTACGTACATAGGTGGTTCGTGACTGGGGGAAGAACAAGGGGGAGAATTAAGCAAAGCAAGCAAAAAGTCAAGGGAAACGCCCCAGGAATACCAAGTACATGAGTACGTACCTGAGTTCGTACCTGCCGGCATAACCATAATAACGAGCAGTTGAGGTATCAAATTTCATCAGTAATCAAAGTCTATCGAAGTAAACTTCAGCTAGCTACAGCTGGTCTAGACAGCTAGAGAAACAATTCAGTACACATGTCCTTTGTCTGAGCTAACGTTGAATGGGCAGTGCTAATACTGTGGAAGGAAACGGAAAGATCAGTGAAGAGTAAGCGATTGGAAGGCAATGACGATAGAAAGGCAAGTTAATATTAACACCATGCCACGCCATCAGTTAGGAGGGTACATCATCGCATTTCGTTAAAGGGGTGAGATTCGCGTGAAATGTTTCATGATAAAGAAGTACCACGATAGCTGCCTCGTCACACACCTTGTTTAGATTTGCCTCGGCCGTAAACGTTCATACAGTGTCGATTAAGTTTCCAGAATAGATCGTTAGGATTATTCATATTATTCATAACTGGATACTTCAAGCTTCTACAACCAGTCTGGCGAGAGACAGCTAGAAGGTTGTCGAATCATGAAAGGTGACCACGCGGAATGGCACGGACTGCACGTAGGAATGCGGCTAATGAATGCACGGTATACAATAGTCTTCCGTGATTAGCGACACTAGACTGGGATCGCCACACCGCCATCTACCTCTGAGGCCGGTACCTGATAACAGACTTATATGACAGCTAAGCAGGCAGAGAGGAAGCAAGGAACCAAAGTCCAATGTAGCCTTCCTACCTGAGTGGTGGGATCGACAAGTACACTTTATCCTCGACAAGGTATCGCATTAAAAGCCTGCTGGCGCTTTCCAGGCACAAAGGGAGACTTGGACACGTTGCGACAGGACCCCACGATCTTCTCTGCTGGGAGGCCAATGATTTGCGTCTCGAACTGCTCAACTCTTCCAGCATCTTCGGTTTCACTTGTCATGTAGAAAGCAAGCTGATTGGCTAATAAGCTTATGCACTCCTTTCTGCCTGCATCATCCGCATCTTCGTCGTTCTTCTCCAAGGCACTAAGCTTTACTTAGAGACAGCCTTGACGATTGGGATGATTGGGATGATTAGGACGATTTGACTTTTTGGCGACATTGACCGCCTTTGTGCAATTTCAATTGATGCAGGCCACCATTTTCGTGACCACCCGGGCCGGCGCATCTTAGGATAGTCAACCAACTAGAGAGTTCAGAAGCTCTCAAATTGATCGCAGTGTTACACTTGCGAATTTACGAATTGAGCAGTGAAAGCACTTGTGTGCTTCTGTGCCTGTGTGCCTATGAAATAGGAGACTAAAGTTTGCATGATAGTAATACTACCTGGAAATTCAGGTACGACGGGCGCGCGCGAAAACCCGAGCGTATCGAAGACGTCGAGTACCTCGGTAGGTAATATTAGGTGTCGTTTAATAAAAAGGGGCTCCGCCTAGTATAAACAATGAAGGATTGCGAATTGCGAATTGAACAAATTGAATGAACCGAACACGGCGGACGCTGGATAGTTCAACATCGTTCAATGGTACCCTAGGGTCTACGGCGTATCGTAACCCCCGAATTGTTGGGTCCTCTGGGAATTGCCGGGTTAAATCTGGGGCAATCTTTAGGTTGCCTTTGGTTGATATGTTTTGACGCAGGTTGGCATCATCTTCCACTAAGGGGAGATAATGATCCTACACGGCGAGCAGATCTCACGATGTGATATGGGGGAAGGGGGGTAGAGGGGAGGGCAATCGAGCATGATGCAATACTTTGGGGAAGATGACTGATCGCCTCGCCCCTTTCGGCAGGCCTGGAAGAAGACGTTCCACGGTTAGTCTATAGTGGGTTGTGTGTGTCCTGAGTGTGCCCTGTGTGCGATGTCTGACAGCTGTGTTTCCTAAGTTAGGATGGATTTCCTGTCGTGTGACCTCAAGAACGGCAATGTCTTGAACGATGTGTCGTCCAGAGCATTCCAGTGAAGGCGCTATACAAAAGATGGTCGAATAGAAAATTAGACGGAAGCGGTAGCGTCTCACTGTTTCCGACGCCGGCCGAGAGTCCGTCGTCATGCATGACTTGACAATGCCAGATACGCGTTCGACGGTTTCAAGCCCAAAATATTTGGGTCTCGTCCGGAGCAACCCAAAACTTGCCAAACAACGACGAGCGAGTCATACTTCTCCCGCGATCGGCCCCAAACGGCCTCAAACATCTCGGCAATCTCAACGGTAGACTGGCAGAAATTGGCAGATTGATAAACTGATAGTGAGCCCACCTGCGCCCGGGATCGAATGCTTTAAAAACATACAGCATACTTGCCGACCCCACGCGGGCGCATGTTGGGGATCTCTTAGCGGACGCGATGCCCGAAACACTTTCGATCATCTGTTACAAGAACTATACATATAGATTAACCGATATAGACGTAGTCTGGCGGTGAAGACGACGACAGCATTGCGAAAGCCTAGCGAGCGGGATTCTGGGCGCATTAGAAGCTATTCGGCCTAGGTCATAGCTTCATCGCATCTCTATCGTCTATCGTACTCAGGCAGTTCAGGCTAAAGACACGCATCTCGATGTCGAGAGTGTTATGATACCATATGATCCATATCCATAGATGGTACCATAATAGACTAAGTTGCTGTAAGTCGTCAAGGCGGTGGACCGTGCAAACACGCAAAACGTGGTGGCTGACGATGGCTGGTGCAGCGTAGCCTTCTTTGGGAAGCATCTCCAAATGCTGTTCATCCCTTCATGCATGAGTCTCGATGCAGGAAAAACAAGGTATCGATACTAGTAAGTCAGTAGTGGATATGGTGCTATAATAGTACTATAAGGCTAAGTATCGTCAGGTGTGCTGTTGGACTTTCCCGAATGATAATTCAGGTAGGATCCTATTGACGAATATATTAAGAGGCTTGAACTTATTACTATGATGAACTCACTTTGCTATATGGATGAGTTACCTAAATATTGTAGGCATCTATCCAGTTGTACGGACACACGTCGTATTGGGGTCTTTGGTGATACTGATGAGATACCAATGAATTTGAATATTTTGGAGGTTGGTACGGTACGGCTGACGGAATGGTTGATGTACCTATGCGTTGTTGAAAATCGGCTATGTAACCGATATGCAGAAATACGTCGAAATACGTACCCTCCTTGTCTTGCTTGTATGCATCAAGATGCAAAAGATGCAGTAGCTTCCTCGATCTTGAATGGTCCATGCCCTGCGATTGCCCAAGTCTATTCTCGTTTCGGTCTTATCGATTCGGTACGCTAGTTTTCGAAGATCCACTTCTGGCCGTGTCCTTCCATTTTCGATAATTGTTATCGTTATCCGCCGTCGCTCTCTCCGCCGAATGTCTCCTTCTGATCTTTCAAGTCATTCTAAATATTCCATCTTTCTAAACCTAGACTCGTGTCTAACCAAGCAAGTCATCTAAGTCATCCACCTCATCCACCTAAACCCACTCAATCCGCGCGAATCCACACACATTCGCGGATCGCATGGTCTTGGTCTTTGGGGTTTGCTTAAGTCTGTCGCATTAAGTCTACGGAAACCTTGTTAGTGCAGTAGCGGATAAAAGAGTACGGATTGCGTTCCTGGCCTATTCCCTTGCCCATTCCCTTGCCCATTTACGGACTTTTTGCTCTTTCGCATTTTTTGGCCTCTTGACCGCTTTCTCGACGACACGTCTCCAAGACGCGGTGTGCCGTGTAAAGAAAACTTTTTTTTTCACCTTCCAACGTTCGTATTTGGGTTATCTGATTCGGTGTTATCCTCGGTCGGAGCTCAGACCAAGCAACCCAGGAAGTAAAAATTTTTCAGATCGCGAATCTATCTTATTCTACGATCTTGTTCCCTGCGAACTTCACCTTCACCGCTCTGTATCGACGGGAAATACTTGCATTGGTTTCCGCTTTCCCCCAGCCTGCTAGGTTTTACGCAAGACAGAGATCGTAAGATCTAAAGATCCAAACGACGGGAGACCCACGGTCCCATCTGCTGTCTTGGCCATGGCCGCATCTGCTCCCGTTAAAGTCGTGTTACTAGACATTGGTAAGGACAGCTCTGAGCTTGCCCTTGCTTCACATATCTCCATTTCCTACCTGCCTACCTATCTACCTACATAGTAGCTTAGACATCTGGGCGCATTAGCCTTCAATGGTAGCTAATACGTATCCTTAGAGGGCACAGTTTGTCCAATCTCTTTTGTCAAAGATGTCCTGGTAAGACATATCCAGTTGGAACTGCACTTCTCCGAAGCCAATTCTCCAAGCCCGCCACCCCCATGTAGCATAGCCCTGTACCAGTATAACGATCAACCGATCAGATAACGGGAGTGGTGCACACCCTATTCACAATGTCCTAGGGTCGCCGAATTTCTATATAACCCCGTATCAAGTCGGCCTCAAATAATTTTGGCTGGTTATCATAAAGCACTTCAAGCACATCACTTAATAATCGAACCTTGATGGCAAAGTTGCCAAGATAGTTAGGCATAATTGGTTCTTGGTTCTTGGTTCATGGTTCATGGATATCTCGAGTAGAGAATCCGCGTTGACTAATAAATGATTCTAGTTCCCCTATGCGCTGAAGGCCCTCCCGAAGATATTGGAAGCCCAATGGGATAACCCAGAATTTGCGAAGTACAAGAATGCGTTCCCACCGGAGTATTCTTCGTCTAAAGAGGCATTGGAAACCCATTTCGAAGTCCTTGTGAAGGCAGATGTGAAAATCGCCTACCTCAAAAGTCTACAGGGTTACCTATGGCAGGAAGGCTATGCTTCAGGTGACTTAAAGGCGCCCCTATTTCCGGACGTACATGGGAAACTATCAGAATGGCAAAATAAGGGCCTCAAGATTATGATCTATTCGTCAGGATCTGTCGCGGCACAGAAGCTGTTCTTCGGCCACACAGACGCCTCCCCGTCAGATCTGACACCGCAGATCTCAGACTGGTTCGACACTGTCAACGCCGGCCTCAAGACGGAAACAAACAGTTACAAGACGATTGCTAGTAGACACCCCGACTTCCCACCAGAACAGTGGTTGTTCCTAAGTGACAACACCAAGGAAGTAGATGCCGCCATTGAGGCGGGCATGCAAAGTGTGGTTGTCCAACGTCCAGGCAATGCACCCCTCTCGCCTGAAGTGCCGCAGCGACTGCAAGTCATAGAGACATTCGACTCTCTAGACGATGATCTCAACGTCCGTGGAAATTAATTGGCCAGGGGCGAAAGAAGACAACGGTTGTCCTGAGGAGAACACTACTCTATATTGAGGCGCTTGCGACAGTTGAGAAAGTAATGGAAGCAAATAAGACCAAAGGGAATGAATCTAGTGTAACGGGACCATACCGGCGAGCCAATCTGATCCCACTCTCCCGGCGGAGGGTGTCGAGGAGTCGCGAATCGGCCGGCATTCAATTTCAATGTGGGGGAGGGGAGTGAGATCACGACTCATAAGGTAGTCGGCGCGCTCCGATCATTACCTGGGTACCTAGGTAGATAAATCCAAAAGTTCCTTCCTTCAAGTGCAAATGTTGTACCTAAATCTAAAGGATCGCGTAGCTTGCCGTAGCGCATTTGTACTCTTGTGCTCCTGTGCTCTAAATACCTACGCGATCAGGGGTAGTTACAGTAACGTCGAGAAACATCGCCTATGGGAATCGCTTCACTTGCACTAATGTGAGATCCGAGACATGGAATATTCGCCCCGTCTAGAACAATGAATGACAGGTAACACTTCATGTCCGCACTTTAATCTCGCCGGTAGTAAATGTCTCGGGATCAGAGGCCAGCTCGCCGTAACACTATCGGTGGTGTGACCTCTCATGACGGGCATTAAGTATCAATTTCAGGTAATTTCTCATATTGTTTGAAGGGAGGGGAAGGCATGGTGTATGTCACAGCACCCCGTAGAGTATCATTTCTCATGAAAGTGCATTTCAATATATGGGATTCGGAATTGGTTGGTTAACTGTTATGTGCTTCAAGTCGAGTGATATCTTTTTTTAATATTGTGCTAACAATCCAATAATCTCCAATGCATATAAAATAGGTACCGACTACAAAACAGATTCACGATGACCCCGGCTAACTTGATTGAAACGGACCGGCAATCGGGACCAGGGGGAACCTCCGTACTTGAATCCGGGGTAAACGCGTACGTATAAGTACATGACTCGTCATTCCGCGAACAGAGTCCGTTCATATCCATATCCACTAAGGATTTCGCCTACCTACATACCTACGATGTGGACGAAGTAAGGTACTCGAGAATGCTCGATCGGTCGTCCGTCATCTGACCAAAGCGGGGTCTAGTCTTCGTTATTGGAGCCAAGCCTACCTCCATATGTAGGTGAGGCACACTGTTTCGTCGTTGCCATTAGCAACCCAAGTGTATGAATCGTAGCATCGTGGCCCAGACTCTCAGTTGGAGGTCCGCCTGCGCAGGGGTAATATCCCAAAGTTATGTCCGAATAGGAGTTCGCGAACCATGTGTTTGCCTATAATCTGGAGAAAGATCTAGACGAATTGGAAGCCTCGCCACTTTTATTGGTCGAATTGCTAGGCAATAAGCCAATTGATAGCAGGATGAAGCTGTATGGTCCATAACAAACATGACCTCGACGTCGTCAAAATCCCTCTGCTCATTTAATCACACTCGTGATTGGCAATGTGCAAATACCCAATGACTTGAATGTTGGTTCTAGAACACCACCTTATCGGTTCTTACGTAGGTGGCGAACGCGTGTTCACCATATTGGTATCGATTCTATCATATTCCCACGTGTCGCTGGTGACGATAGCCTCGAAAACGAAGGGGGCCTTTAAGACGAACCACGGATAAAATTGCCGACTAGATCTCTGGAGATTGGAGGAGCCAACCCATGTATGTGGTTCAAGGCAAACCGCCAATTAGTCCTTATATCACGCTAAACTAGACGATTAAAGCCGGAAGGAACCATCATATAGTGAGAGTTATGTGATTGATCCTTTCGAGGTAAGATGTGCCTCCATCGTCGATTATATTAGGTAATTGATCACATAAATGTCTTAGGTGGCCCCCTCTAGAGGCTGACGGGGACCCCAAAAAGCCCTGATCAACCAATACTTGGACTAAAGGCGCAGGTGTCGCCTGACCAAGATAGTGTGGTCTTGTTGGTGGGCAACCTTCAAACCTATCGGGTAGTTAACTATGCGGTCCCCTGCGGGGTAAGCTGAGGCCCATACGAATACATTGTCGATCTTGAGGGATGGATAGACAAGCGCTGCAATAATCTGATTATTAGGAGGCGCGTCTAGGTAGAAGACATCGGGCGAATGAAACGGCGTATGGTTTTGGGGTAGAGCAAAAGAACCGCCTTCGGCATTGGTCGATATGGGAATGCAACCCCGATATGATAAAACGGCCTCAACGTTGTTAGTGTAATGCAATGACGACGTTCACCGTCATATCAATCTGCTTATACAGCTAGATTTATTAGGTGTTTGTACATCCCACTGATTAGACCACAAAATCCGTATGGTCTGGTTCTGTTATCACCCGGATGAGCCACGAAGCACGACCGCAAAGTTGTTCCTAGAATGGCCAGATCGAAGTTCAACTTTCTTGAACGTTGCAGAGGATGACTGGACAGGAGATTTCCGGATCCAAAGGTAATATACGAGCCTCTGGGTGATCTTGCTCTTGGCTTTCACATATCCTAAAGTATTCATAATCGTTTCCATATGAGGCTCATTCATATATCTCGAGTTGGTGACGCACTAAATGCTCAGCAATCAGCAACTTTCGTCATAACAGCGAATAAGCATTTCGATTGTTATTATGTATTACATAAAGATTATGAAAGAGGAGCCTCGAGGATTCAATGTCCTTTGGGACATCACGGGGACGGCATAGACGCCGGGGCCTTCACTTACTGGCGCAGGTAGAACCATAAATAAACTCGGGAATAGATCATGTAGTTCAGACGAGCAATCTGTGTTGGGCTGCTTTAGGAAATCCAGGGTCCGAAGGAGCATCTCACCTCGTCCTATGGCGTCGGGAACGAAATTTAAGACCAGTGAAAGGCTAATGATGTCGAATAGTTCAGACTCATCCTTAGGAAGTGGCCTCTTCATGAAATCCTGTTGTATGATACCATCGGTTTGGCTGTTCAAGTCTATCCTTTCCACGTCAAATAGCCTACTTCTTGAACACATGTTCGTAGTGCTTAATGCTCCAACTTCGAGCATTTTCAAGCGGGTCTCTGCAGAAGTCCCTGCAGAAGAACTGGGAACAGGACCATCTGATTTAATCCATTCCATTAGTACATGAGAACTATCTCCCCCGCGGTCGAGTCGTTGGCCCTGGAGGCTAGCTTGTTGATACTTCTCGATTCCACCCAAGGCAGCGATCTCACCGTCAATCGCGGCTTCGGCGGCTCGGTCTCCTTTGGCGATGGCCTGTGATTTCTTTTTCTCTAGGAGATGATGAGAGTTGATCAACGCCTTCGTAGCCTTCCTCGATATAGACTTGGGTTTCCGAGTCGTCGGGGGTCGCCCTGCAGCTAAATTCTTCGTGCGGCCTTTCCTCTTTATCGTCATCGTGAATGTCTGCTATTCAACCAGGCAGGATGGCGGTTGAGCTCCCGCTCATAAAAGTTGCATAATATATTAAAAGTCAAGAGAAGGAATTCGGATGATAGTATGATGAAATCAAAGGACAGTGTATGAAACTCAAGTCATTCAGATGCACTGTCTATTCATAGCAGTTGATAAGTAAAATTGAAGGTGCATCATACAGTATATGTACGGCTCTTACGTAATTCTGATTGGCTCGAACTTTTCGGAGCAGCATTATCTCGAAAATCCGATATCAATCAAATCCCCACTTCGGACTTAGAGTTTTACCCAATCACTTGTCCAGATCTTTCAATTTTACCATTGCCCTAAATTTTCGCTTAGCGAGACCCACGCTACTGTTAGCTTTGTGCTGCACTAAAATTTGATTCTATCAAGAAAACGTGCACGTTTGGAAACTTGAAAGATCTTTCCTCAATCCAGAGTATTTCGACAACGACGACTCTAACGCCAAACGTCAAAACCACGATCACGATGGGTCCTAAAGCTACGAAGGGTATGCCGCCATGAGCCTCGATTTTATTTCAACATGATACTTTTGTCGATATCGGCGCTGTTGTTTCGCGCGCGCGCCTCTCCGGCCGACGCATCTAGCAGAGCAGATCTTGCGAGTTCTGATTAAAGAGCGATTGCTGATGCGTACATTTCTAATATAGGAGGTGCCTCCAAAGCACCAAAGGGTTTGAAGCAGGCCAATGCCGCCGCTAAGGCTGCCCTCCGTGGCGTAAGTTGTCTTGAAGAAGGAAATAATTCTACCGTTGCAGCTGAGGATATTAATTATTCCATAGGATAACTCCCACAAGAAGCGCAAGGTCCGCACCTCAACCACTTTCCACCGACCCAAGACCCTACAGCTCTCGCGCTCTCCTAAGTACCACCGCAAATCTTTCCCCCATGAGCCCCGCCTGGACGAGCACAAGATCATTGTCCACCCGTTGAACACCGAGAGCGCCATGAAGAAGATTGAAGAGAACAACACCCTTGTCTTCATCGTCGACCCCAAGTCCAACAAGGCCCAGATCAAGCAGTCCCTCAAGAAGCTCTACGACATCGACACCGTCAAGATCAACACCCTTATCCGGTAGGTTCCAAAGTTTGAATCATATTTGTATTCTGAGCTACGTGTGCTAACTTCCTGATTAGACCCAATGGTACCAAGAAGGCCTACTGCCGCCTGACTGCCGACGTGGACGCTCTAGACATTGCGGCTACCAAGCTTGCTCTCGTCTAATCGAGTAGTTACGAGGGAGGACACTTGATTTGCGGGATGATTTGGCAACGGGTTAACAGATTAGATGCAGATCCCGAACAGGGACGGACATTTGCATTAGGGCTGGCGTTGCTTTGCCTACGGTTAGGCATATGAGATCAACGGAAAAAGAATTGATTCCCAAACAAATACAAATCGAGTTCCCTTGGGTGATTTGCTTGCTTATGTCCCTATGACCCTGTGACCCTATTATATCCTATCTGAATGCTCCATGAGTAGTGACTTGATGCTTATACACAATACATAGTATGCCTCCATGACTAGCCCGTATATCATCCTTTATACGAATCTGTACGTATTGCGCTCTGACCCAATGATCTATCCGTATAATTCCCACCATAAGAGGTAATTGCTGTAGGATACCATATACCTATATATATATATATATATATATATATAATATCAGGCTTATTTGGTCCGCATGTTTTTTATGTAGTTTATGGAAAAAAAAGTTATGTCGGAGAATCGATCGCAGCAATTGGTCATGCAGGCCGCCTCGTTCTTGTCTAGATCGCCGGACTTTATCGGGCCAGTGATACACTTCTTGAAGCATATATTCGTCAAGTTATGGATGGCTGTCATCGGAGAGAAGTACACGTGTTAGCGAACCGAGCTACTGTTAAAGTCGTCTGTTTCTCTTGGTTGCGCATACAGCGCATAGGGCACGAGAAGGAATATGGCATGCGATGGGATGCGCTGCTCATTCGTGTTTCACGGATGGAACGGAGGGGGAAAATAGGGAGTTGCGGGAAATGGTAATATGATCTGATGCTACGTACCAGCCTGCAATCTAGCTTTTTGGGTCTCGTTATACACGAACTGCTGGAGGTCTTTTTTCTGGTTGTCGTTTAGACTGCTGAGGTCGAGTTCGGTGTTTGGGTCCATTTTGGTGGGTGATCCTTCGTATGCTAGATTTAGGAGGAGCTGAAGAAACCTAGAGGGCAAGTAGTTATCAATGGCAAAATTATTTAGTATTGAGATGTTGAGGTTCGTATGGATATTGAGGTCGATGACGATTTGCGAGGAGGGACATAACCTTGGAAATTTCCTAACTCCCACTTCTTATCTAATCAAAAATACTTCATTTATCGATAAGCTATATATCTAGTAGGTAAAGTCCCTACAAGCTATGCACAACTGTAAATCTAGACAACATGTTCATCGTATATTTCACATATGGCATAGAAAGATGAATTGAGTATCGACGATTTCAGAAGATAGGACTTAAATATACCATAAATTGCTTTTTATATAAAACCTATATGCATTCATCTCCAAAACCAATGCGCCTCACATGCCGCTGTGGATATCCTTTTTGAATTACCAGACAAGATGATCCAGATTCATCTGTTGAAGACCTCGGGAAGTAGATGAATGAAACACCTAAGTAGGTATCATTCATATCGTAATCGCCCAAATGTTTTTAAGGCAATAGAAATCGCCTCGTCTTATTCTGAACTCCCATCCTTTAAGCAGAAGGTGTAGATCTCGTTCCTCAGATGAGGCCATAATCTATATATACTTATAAGGGTTCATAATTCCGTTCTAGTGAATGTGTTAGCATATATATCTGAGCATAGGGAGTTGATGGATACTAACCGGATCGAAGAGTTTCTTGATTTTCTTCATCCACTCTATCATATTATCATTACGACTATAGCCGATGTACTTCTTCTTTGTCAAGCCCAAGCCGTGTTCAGCACTGATACTACCGTTCTCCTTGCTGACCCATTCATAGACGAATGGCTCAAGAGCTTCTTCCACCTTCTTATTGTATCCTCGCACTGCGATATTAAGATGCAGATTCGAATCACCCATGTGACCATACCCAACCACATCCACGACAGGATAGTCATCAGTATCGCCTTTCAGTCCCATGCTTTCAAGTCTCGTTCTTACATCTTCCACAAGTTGATACATGGACTTTAGCGGAATCGAGAGATCGTATTTATAGACCCCTCCCCAATGGCCTAGGGTTTCCGTGATACCCTCTCTCTGACTCCAAAGTGCCCTGAATTGAGTTTCATCCTGCGCCACAACACCATCGGTCACGATTTCTTTGGTCATAATGTCTTCAAGGAATTTCTCCAACTTCGCGTTGTCATGTTCAGAATCTGACCCACTTGTCTCTATGAGACAGTAGAATGGGTGCTCCCCTTCTAGCGGCCGCTTGTTCTCCTTTACCTTGTGGAATATGTCCTGGCTTTGGGAATCCATCATCTCGAAAGCTGAAAGAATTTCGCCTAGCTGCGTTTTGGCTTCTCTGAAAGCTTGCAGAAGTTTATCGTATGATTCGACGCTGAGGAAAGCAACATTGACAGCCTTTGATCGCTTGGGGCATTGTATCGAAACCGCGGTGATCATACCAAGGGTCCCCTCCGCGCCGATGAAGAGCTGTTTCAAGTCGTAACCGGTGTTGTTCTTTCGTAGCTTACTTAAGTCATCTACAATCATCCCATCAGGTAGAACAGCCTCAATCCCTAAAACGGTACCATGTAAACTTCCATAGCGGAGCAATCTGAGCCCACCGGCATTGGTCGAGACATTACCACCGATATGACAAGAGCCTTTCGCGCCTAGATCTAAGGGGAAAATGTAACCCTTCTCGGCGAGAAATTGATCGGCTACTTCTAGCACGACACCAGAATCGGCGACTAAAATACCGCTATCTTCGTCGAAAAATCGGATTTGGTTCATTCGGCTAGTGCTGACAACAATCTCGTCAAAAACGGGTACGGAACCACCGACCAAACCAGTATTACCACCTTGGGGGACAACGGCCAGCGATTTTTCGGTGCAATATTTGAGGATCTTGCTGACATCCTCTGTCGATCCGGGCTTCAATACCAATTTGCAGTGGCCCTGGAATTTGCGCATCCAATCGAGGTTGAAAGGTTCTATCTCATCTTCCGCGGCATCGGCGGTCACGCCATCGATCACGGCAGACTCTTTGCCGAGAATCCCCTTGAAATAATCGACATGCTCTTTTGTTAATTGCGCAAACCGACTGTCTCGTTTGAGTTCGGGGTAAGATTCTGTTGTAAACTTGGCGGCTCGTGCACTTGAGTCTCGAAATCGTCTCGGTGTGGTACTCGATATATGCCGAGTGGCGTACACGGCGGGGTTGATGGTCGTCGCAGATTTTCTCAGGCTAGGTGCTCCTATCCGCCGCAAGACTGGAGCAAGTCTTGACCTGCTGGCCATGACTGCGATTTTAAACAAATCAGATAGGATGGGAAACGACCCGAGTAGAAGGTAAAAAAAAAAAGAAAAAGAAAAAAAGTAACTTTTTTCAAAAATTCAATTCTCAAATGACGCGGCTATTAGACGATTGTACCTAATACTGGACGGCGAAACTCAATCTCCATCGCTATCGATAGGAAAGTAGTTGCTGCAGATCTTAGGTTGGGTCCCGAGGTTACCTACTTCCAATTCGGGGAACGAGCTAGACTCAGCCCACGATTTTTGTTTATCGATAGAAATGAAGCGCAGAGAAGTGGGATAAGTGGGCACCGGGTAGGGTTAGCCGTAAAACGTTAAGCGGGGCGGGAAATAGGGGATCCCCTGGGCAACCAATTGTGGAAGATTTGACAAGGAAGACAACAGGTACAATTGTACACAATTAAACATAATCATGCAGAAGCCTTCCCAAACCTGGTAACCCAATGCAACGTTATTAACAACAGCAACCAGCCAGCAACTAGCCAGCAACTCGGGAAGACGAAGGACAGAATACCATGGTCCATATCGTCCTACGCCCTGCGTCCTGCGAGTTTATCTGCATTCTGCATTCTCTATTACTCCTCTCCATCCAAACTTTCCACTCTCCCAATTATAACACGAACCTCACGATCCTTTTTCGGTCCCACGCCCTATCCTCCCATCCTATCCTATTCTATCCTATCGTGGCCCGCCGTGACGTCTTTTCGTCTTTTAATAGCTAACCCCGGAATTACGAACACTTCGAAGCATCCTACCATTCTACCAACCTACCTATCTTAACCTACCTATCTTAACCGACCATAATCCGAACCCATTTCTTTCAATCTACCCTCCTTTATTCTTTGTATCTCGCCTCCGACTTTAGCAAAATACGCACTAGTCGAAGGTGAAGATACCACGATAAATACCACCACATATTATTGAATCGCATCTACTAGCCTTACCGCCTGAAGCCTCCCCTGAGCCCCCGAGGGGCCATACCCGACCAAGATGGCTCACCAATGGATCAATGTCCAACAGAAGACTTTTACGAAATGGTTAGCCAGTAATTCTTGATCCCGTCTTAATTAACCATGAGACATGTTTCTCCTTTACTAGCCGACGGGAAGTGGAGCTAATATGATTGGAATGCTAGGATGAATACCAAGATTTTGCAGAGGGGTGTAGTTGTAAAAGATCTCGTTGAGGATTTACGTGATGCCGTAAGTTGATAATGAAATACCATATTGATTACCTCTGCTAACTTCGTCGTTCAAGGTTCTTCTAATACACCTTCTCGAATGCCTGTCGAGCGAATCGTTAGGACGATATGCGGCGAAACCGAAGTTGCGAGTACAGAAGTTCGAGAATGCCAACACGGCTCTCGACTTTATTAAATCGAGGGGGATTCAGATGACCAATATAGGCGCAGAAGATGTAGTCGACGGCAATCGCAAGATCATTCTGGGTCTAATCTGGACCCTAATTTTGAGATTCACCATTAGCGACATCAATGCCGAGGGTATGACAGCAAAGGAGGGTCTCCTATTGTGGTGTCAACGTAAAACAGCATGTTACGACGAAGTTGAGGTTCGTGATTTCAGTAGTAGCTGGAATGACGGGCTCGCCTTCTGCGCGCTGTTGGATATCCATCGACCCGACCTGATCGATTACGATGCCTTAGACAAATCAGATCACCGTGGAAACATGCAACTAGCTTTCGAGATCGCTCATAAGGAGATCGGAATTCCCGAGCTGCTAGATGTCGAAGATGTTTGCGATGTCGCTAAACCAGATGAAAGGAGTTTGATGACGTATATCGCTTATTGGTTCCACGCTTTCTCGCAGATGGAGAAGGTCGAGAATGCCGGCCGTCGAGTGGAGAAGTTCGTTAATAACATGCAAGGGGCTTGGGAGATGCAGAGCGCCTACGAGAAGCGGATGGCGGAGTTGTTGAGGCAGATCAGAGAGCAAATAGAACAGTGGCAGCAATCAACTTTCGAAGGTACCTATGCCGATGCGAAGAAGCAGGCAACCGAATTCGCGTCTTATAAAAGGGGTAAGAAGAGACAATGGGTCGCCGAAAAGAGTGACCTAGCCACGTTATTAGGAAACATCAAGACCAAGCTAGGCACGTACCGACTTAGAGCCTACGAGCCGCCACCTGAGTTGTCGTTAGAGACCACCGACAGGGAGTGGACTAGGCTAACCGAAACCGAGATGATGCGTGCCCAGCTTATTAACGAGACTATTAGAGAGTAAGCTGTAACGCCAAGCATCTGCTTGATATACCACCCGCTAACTATACTTGCAGCATCAAAAATGCCCTCCGAAAGTCATTCGCCGACAAGGCGAACGATTTCGCGTTGGCCCTTAACACCATGCAGATCGCCATCTCGGGTCTCGAAGGTGATGTGGAAGACCAGTTACTGCATGTGCGACGGCTGAGCGACAGCCTACCACCCCTGGACGCGTACCTGGAGAAGATTGCGGCTGTCGACGCTAAGTGCCAAGAAGCCAACATCGAAGAGAACGATTTCACAACCTACACCTACGATGAGCTGTTGTACGAACTAGGGCTCGTCAAGTCGTCCGTGCAGAAGAAGCTAGCTTTCCTCGAGAACCAGATGGTAGCGCGCAGCATGACGAACCTGACGCCGATCCAACTTGAGGAGTTTGAGTCCGTGTTCCGACACTTCGACCGCGACGACACGAACTCGCTCTCGGAGCTAGAGTTCTCGGCGGCGCTTGCGTCTTTGGGACTAGTCTTTAGCGAGGATGAGATGCACGACTACTTCTTGGAGACGTCGCACGGGCGCGACCGCGTCACGTTTGAACAGTTTATCCGGTTCATGGTGGACGTGACGGAGGATCAGAACACCGCCGAACAGGTGTTCCAGTCATTCCGCGAGGTTGCCGACGGCAAGCCGTACGTCACGGAGATGGACCTGCGCCACTCGCTCGTTCCCGATGAGGTCATCGAGAAGCTCTGCGAGATCGTGCCCGCACACCACGGCCCCGATATGGCCCAGGATCGCGGTGTGCCGCAGTACGACTACATCAGCTTCATGGAAAAACTCATCACTGGCCCCGAGCAACAAAATGGGCGCGGCACCCCTGGTAGTAGTAATGGTAGTGGCCCGCTCCAGGATATAACGAACGGCCGCGCCAGCCCCCCGAAGAAGAGCAATGGTAACGGATACCACTAAGCGCTTCTCCAAGCCTCGGCCTTGATCTCTCGGCGAGGCTAGCTCAACCGCTATATAATAAGTCGAACGTGTCAGACTGCGTTTTGTGTACTTACCTACTCACTTACAACCACCACCTTCTCTTCACTTCTCCTTTCTTCTTCTCTTCGTGGGCTCAGTCCCGGTCCTAGGCGGAGGATCGGAACGTATACGTAGGGACGGGATCACAAAAAAACCACGACTTTTTTATTTTATCTATCTAGCTAGCTAAATCTCGGAAGTTGAGCAAACCTTGGGTAAGGTAGGCTTATCAGGCTTCTACGATGGTCCGTGCTTATTCACATCACACACACACACACACTACTAGGTACACAGACGTACGCGTAATAAGGGGAGGAGGGGAAGCAAGGTCGTTGAAGGGAGGGAGGGAGATTACTGTAGGTACCGATATGGGACACGCAGAGAGAGATGTACAGAAGTGAGTTCGTTGGAGGAGGAGAGCTTCAGAGCTTATTAAATAGGTCAATACCTTATAGGGATTAGCATCGATCGGGGTGTTCTTGTCTTGTCTTGTCTTGTGTGTTTGCTGCTGCTGAGATGGATGATGGATGGAAACTTCGCTACGCTACGCGGCCGGGCTCTGATCTGATCTGATTTATTGCTTTTTGCTTTTTCTTTTTCTTGTCATCCCCCCACCATAAGTAGGTAAATTGGGTGGTGGCGTTTGCGAAGGAAATCCTGGGTCCCTTGTTCCGTTAATATATCCCCCTTCTTTGATTTATAGATATGAAGATATATATTTCCATATAACTGTTCTTACGTGATATGTGCTTGTTCGATAGTCACTTAAGTTGAAAGCGAGACTAGAGGAGGTAGTTTAGATGTGAGTAGTGCTATTGACCGTCTTCATGTAAATTCGCCTTTCTATATCAATGCCAATCAGCCACCTCATTTAAATCGCAATGTCCGCGGTGTATAAACTCCGAACTCCATGCAATATGTACCGTAGATGTATCCCTATGGACCGAAGACACCACACACACGTTTATCTAAGTACCTATACTTGCCAAATAAAGGAATGCAGAAAGCCAGCCCGTCTATTCCTTGAAAGCATCCATGTCCTTGAGGGCACCGGCCAGTCGACGGTAATCCCGTAGTAGCTCCAAGACGTCACCAATTCTGAGATCCGCCGGATTCTGGAGATCCATGAATTTCTTTTTGGGCGGATCGACTTTGAGTACATCTTTCGGCGGCAATGCCGCTGCGATATCTGGGAATGCCTAGGTATAAAAATTAGCGCTTCAAATCAACGTATTATGCCTGTGCAATTCTCACCGTAGCTAAGTCACCACCATCTGCTGTCTTGGTTGTACCGTCTTTCGTTGGTGTAACAGGGAGTGTTGTCGCGCGTCCAAAACCGCGCATCATGCTCATTCCCGAGAAACGATTCATGGGATTTAAAGAATTCCCAAAATTCCGCATCGATTCAACCAAAGCTGGGTTAGAAGACGCAGGTGAAGACCCTTCAGCCGCAGCAGCTGGCTTCTCCTTGTTATCTTCGGCAAAGACCACCTTCTTAGTAGAACTACTCGCGCTCCTAGCACTCCTTGTGCTGTCTGTGCTTCGGTCCCTTGACACCTTCCTACCCCCAAGTAGGGTTAACATTTTATCATCTTTTGCGACTGCGGGCTGTTTTGTATCATCTCCGCCTCCTTGCACGGAACTACTGCCATCAACGGAAGCATCGTCCTCTGGAGGCGGAGTACCTATGAGTTTCCGGGCCTCATCTAGAGTTCGTGGAACTGCTAATTCTCGCCCACTAGCGGAACTGTCTCGAAGTTTTCCAAGTAGGAATTTGTAGCTGTCGCCTAAACTATTTCCAATTGTTTTGAAGCCCTGGTCGGCGGTGTTGAACAATGAGTCGCTTGCAGTCCCTAGAGCCTGGGCAGGAGTTTGGATAAGATCGCTCAACCGCCGACGTTGAATGGCGGCTCGCAAATCTGTAGATGGAGGTGGGGTTTTTGTGCTTTGGATGGCCTCGGAACTGGCAGTAGCCGAGCTAGGTGCTGGTACGGATAGGCCTGCAGTATAAGCTGGCGGGAAGGTTTCTGTCTTTAGTGTGTCAGACCGACTCTCAGATTTTAGGGGGCCCGACGAAGCCTCGTCTGCTCTGAGGCTTGCAAGATCCACCGTCTGTAGAAAAGTGATTGCGGCTTCGAGATTCGTCAAGCAATATGCAGCTTCTCCCTCTAGCTTTTCTTCCCATCTAAATCTTTGTATAAAATTCAAATCACTGATTACATTGAGCTTTTCTGGTGGCATGGTTATCAAGGTGTAGATAAGCATCGGCATGATTTCATCGGCGGATGAGGAAGGGTGGAAATGAGATAATGTATCAACGATACTTTTATGAGCGGCTTTGAGGTGGTTTAGTTTGCCGAGAGGATATCTCTTTTCGTGCATCATGATCAAGTCTTTCCGGGCCTGATCCAAATATCCCCGGATTTCCTCTTGCTGCTTCGCGAGGCCTTCGGGGGTGTTCTCGGCAGGGGTTCCGAGGTCAACACCCAGGTCTATAGGACCAATACCCACAAGAGCTAGCGCGGCAGTCTTGGATCTCAGACTATCATCCTGCGCCTCATCTTGAGTAGTCCTGTGGCGATATATACGATCATATATGCCTTCACAAAGTCGTCTCTCAACAGCTTCTTCGAGTAGAATCCTTTTCTGCTCTAACGCTTTTCGAGCTCGTTTTCTATCGGCAAACTCTTCAGCCGTGAGCATTTGTTGCTCTTCTTTCGTTGGCGTTGTTTTTGTCTTGTCCTTGTTACTAAAAGACGCCGCTTTGGATCTTAACAAGCTAGCCGCAGATGCTCTCGAATAGCTCGAAGGGGTGGGTGAAATCTCTCGGGTTTGTCGAGTAGCTAAACTATCTATATGGGTTCGTATGTGTGAAGCGGCAACATGATAGAAATCTTGAAATAGCCTGGAAAGCTTATCGATATTTGGTGGTGTCGGATGGACTTTGGCAGACAGAGAATCGATGAAACTAAGATTGATTATTAGCTACGCCCAAGACGGAGGAGAGGTCGGTTTAACTCAACTTGTCTGTCTTGCTCACTAGTTCGATAGGTATCTCATCCATATCCACAGAAGCCCGGGGAGCTTCAACTACATCATCGGCTGTTTCCGACTCGAAGGTATCGAGCCTCCCCTTGAGTTGCCACTCTGGAGGGGTTTCTTGTATAACGGTAACTCTCGGTGGAGTAGTATTTTCTATAGTATTTGCGCGTTGAACGTGAGGTCGGGACTCATTCGATTCCGAATCATGGTGACGAGGGAAAGTACTCGAACTCGAAAGTGACCCAGGCTTAGGCTCGGAGCCTTTAGGCGGAGTGGGCGGCATGAAGAGATGGGATAATCTAGACGCCATAAGTTTCTCTTCTCAGGAGATGAAGGAGTTCTCGAAATTCAGTTGAAATTCAGCAGTCAAGGAAAAAGATCAGATGAGCATTGAATATTAAACAAAGATATGAAACTTGTAAGTTGCAGGGACTCGGATACTCAGGAGCTCAGGGACTCAGGGACTCAGGGACGTAATACCAGTTGATCTTCTCTCCACTACAGACGGGGAACACGAGATGACTTCAAGGCACAAGACAACGTTATGTAAATGGTATTATGTCTCTATCAGACGGTGATAGGCAAAACTGGAGCCATCGAGAATAAACAGGATAATTACGAGGATATATTTGGCATAAATGTTTGACGTAGTCGATTGCCCGATTGAAGTTGTCGTTGAACCGTTGGACCGTTAGATCGTTAACTTTCCACTTTACTTCGTATGCATGAACATGAAATACCGAATACCTTGCATAAACCTTCAACCTGACAGAACTTCAGAAGCTGGCTGGCTGGCCTCTAGGTTTGGCGTGCTCCACTTTAACTAGCCTTGTGTCAGGGGTAGGGTAGCGCTAAAGGCGGGCGGCCTGCCATTCGGGTACTAGAGTCGTTACACAATACATCTCATTGTGCATATAAAAACTTACTAGCTACTTCTAACGAATCTCGAATACTCGATCAAACATCTCCAAGGTTTCTCCTCACCTTGCTATATTTATACTCGTGCCCTTCGTTTCAAACGCTACTATCATATGTTGTTAGATGAGCGCATGATGACTGGGCGCTGACCTTATGTACATCCTTGTATGGTTCGCATGCGCTGAGGAGGTCCTAGTACCATTTATGTACCTCTGTACATAGGTCTGCGGAGTCGATCTATGGAACAAACATAATCCGGCATTGTGGATGACGGTATTACATCTTAGATTCTGACCTTGACGACTTCTTTCTGTTACAGGTCACAAGCCACGGGCTAGCCTGTTAGAATTACCTACTCCATACCATCCACTAAGTTGCAGCAGACACGTCGTAGTCTAAAATCCCGTAACCAGTGGACGGGCAAGATAGAAGCGGCTTCGAAGATTGAGCTGCAGATCTGGTGGTCCGCATGAGGCTCGACAATGCACTTCAATTCATTTTTGGGTTGATTGATCGGGAAGAGAATGCCCTTCCATTCCTTCGCCAGGAGAGGGACGAAGGATAGCCGAGCAAGTTCTTGCCTATGTTGGGGAGGTTGGAGTCGATTTAAACGGGTTTACTTGGAAGTTGAACTGTATTCGAAGAGCACCGGCACGACTGAATGGTGATGTATTTGGCATGTTTGAGCCCATTCTTCTATGGGAGTCCCTTAGTAGTTGTGGTTTGGGCTTCGCGAACGATTAGTGAAGTCTTGATCAGTCCGGTATCGCGACTCCTAAGCAACGATCTTCGTCTGTCAGTTTGTTACAGTGTTTACCTATATCATTTTCGTCAGTCGATACTGATACCAACCTTACGCTTGTCCATTAAACAGTTTGTAGGTGTTCGGTAACGATATGTTGCAGAAAGGGGCACGATTTCTATGGATGGAACAATTCGAGATTGAAAAAACCATTCGAGGTTTTGAGGTATTATTAAAAGAGGTATACGATGTCTATAACTCTTGGTATTGTGGATTGAAACCATCCAAAGTCTTGGGTGAGTTTGGGAAATATATACGAAGTTCCTTGCTGAAGACAGGAGATATTGTTCTTGCTAGAATTGCTAATGCTGTTGTCTCTTTCTTAGAGTTAAATCAATCTGAATAGCTCTCTCAGGTGGGAGTTAAGGTAGGTAGTTAAGTGGTTTTGATAATTGAATGTTGCGGAAACTTCATGAGTGTGACCGCGCAATTGTTGTTACACTAGCACGTGACTAAACTCTTAGTGGGGCAGGTTCTTTACCGCTCCTGCGCTTCCGCTTTCATCTCAATGGTTGGGGGTAAGGATCGGTAGTCGGGCATTTCCCTCATGCATCCCTGCAGTAGCTTGTTTAGGTAATACACAAGACCCAACTCTAATCTAATGTTGTCATAGGCGATAGGCAGCGCCACCGTCCACGCGATAAGTGCTGGCTGCAGGTGCGTGTGGGGATTCGAGGTGCCGTGACCACTTACACTTGCCTACCTTAAGTTACCTAGGTAGGCACCTTCATTCCATCATTTCATCATCTCACTTCCTATCAAACCGTCTTCTCTTTCTAATCTATTTATTATTGATCTTGTAAACCTATCAACCATATCGTGGAAATCATCCATCTCGTTCTCCTACCTGTTCTACTTCTTCTAGTGTGAAGCAACCATGGTTGCGAGGCGGAAACGACCAGCCTCAACTTGTCGCTCTGCCGGCAGAGTTACAGCTCGACTACTCTTATCATTCCTTGCCGTTTCCGCCTCTCCGGCCGTTGCTCGAATCCAAAATGCGGAGGCGCTCTTCCCGAACTCACCGATACTTGCGCCTTTGATACCTGAACCACCGCAACCGGCCGAGCACACCTTTACCTTACGTCACATATTCCATCACGGGACGTATCGGCATCCCGGATTACATCGAAGGAAGGACATAGTTGAGCCGGAGGCTGAGGTATGGCTCGCTGGTGGAGATGGGCATCAAGCGGAGCGCATACCGCCCTTGAAGGCAAAGAGTCAACCCCGAAAGATTGAGCGTCTCGTCGACCGACGGCCGAGTACTGTGGATCCATTAGTTGCCGAAGCTCGTCAACGAGGCTATGTTATTGCCAGTGAACCTTCCGCATGGACAGTCGATGAAGTTCTGGGACCCGATGTCTCCCAAAAGGAAACTGTGTTGACTATGGCACTAATAGCGTCTGATGCTTACGTGGAGAACCCCACACAACCAGACTGGGACGAAGTCGGTGAGCCATTCAACCGAAGTGCGGATTTTGGCTGGGAAAGTGATGGGCTGAGGGGACACATTTGGGGAGATGAGACGAATTCTACTATTGTTATTGGTCTCAAGGGAACTTCGCCAGCTGTCTTTGATGGGGAGGGTACCACCACCAATGACAAGATCAACGATAATCTCTTCTTCAGCTGCTGCTGTGCTCAACAAGGTCAATGGTCGTGGCACCAGGTCTGCGATTGCGCAACCAGTACTTATAGCTGCAACAATACTTGCGTGAGAAAAGCCTTACATGACGAAAATCGGTATTACCAAGCAGCTAGGGAGCTTTATGCAAATGTCACCGAGCTTTATCCAGAGTCAAATATCTGGATTTCTGGGCATTCGCTAGGTGGCGCAGTCAGTTCCCTTCTCGGTTTGACGTACGGTCTTCCTGTCGTAACATTTGAGGCTGTTCCAGAAGCATTAGCAGCCGGAAGACTAGGTCTTCCCGTCCCTCCGCATGCGAACCCCGACTTTCCACAGACTCGTGAATACACGGGATCTTATCACTTCGGGCATACAGCCGATCCCATTTATATCGGTACTTGCAACGGTGCGACTGCTTCGTGTTCTTTCGCAGGCTACGCATTAGAGACAGCGTGTCATACTGGCTATGAATGCGTTTATGACACGGTGGCAGACCATGGTTGGCGAGTAGGCATTGGAACTCACAAAATCCGATCTGTGATTAACGACGTCATTCGGAAGTATGACGATGTTCCTGAATGTAAATTTACGCCAGACTGTCGGGATTGTGCGAATTGGAAAATGTATGAGAGTAACAGCACGGAAAGTACCACCTCTTCGAGCAGTTCTACTACGACTAAGACACGTACCCGGACAGCCACATGTCAAACTCCTGGATGGTAAGAAAATTTATCCATTTCTTAGATCTGTTTTACTAACGATTAATAGGTGGGGTTGTCTTGACGAGACTACGACAACAGGCGTGACTACCACTTCAACCACAAGCACATCAACCTCGACATGTAAAACCCCCGGATGGTTCGGCTGCAAGGACGAAATTACCACTACCACTACCAGTGCCACAACCACTTCTTCCTCTACTACTACCACCGCCACCACTACGTGTGAAACTCCAGGCTGGTTTGGTTGCAACGACAAGACGACAACAAGTACAAGTACCGCAACATCGCTACCACAAACACAGAATCACCCCATCACGTCGCCTCCTTCTTTACCCACTTCAGCAGCATCGCCTGAGCCTACACCCACAGGGGAGCCTAAATCCCACTGTCTTCACCGAAACTGGGCCGGGATGTGCAAGGAGTGGTCGAAAGGGCAAGACGACGAATCAGAGGCCGAGTGGGCGAACGAGGAGATATAAGTAGGTCCCCGCAACCTACTATTTTAGTACTATGACTTGTTTTAGCTGGACTAGATTGGGATACACTGTGGGCTCATCGGCGTTTAGTTTGGATCGCATCGTGTTTAAACGACTGGTGTTTTTTTTAACTCTTCAGCGCCGACCTGAAGACTTAACATCATGTCAATAAGATTACATGTCGAGCATTTTCTTGTCTATATCATAGCCCCTACAGCATACTATTGTCACTGCAGGGTTCTTACGTTATTACGCATTTTCAGATACAATCGAATAAGAGAACCATTTATAAATCGAGCCTACATGCGACTAGAGTCCTACTCTTATCATCTCGTCTCCCTAAATTCCCCCCTTTTTGTCGTGATTTTTATCTAACCCTACTTACCTCCTTAGTTACATACCTAGCTAGATCTTACCTACTTTACCACGATTCCAGATTCCTCAACACACACCCCGCCTCCCCATCCGTCCGCGCCGCCAGCTTACCGATGGTATACACAGTCTCACCCAACTCCTCGAACTGCTTCTTAACCGCCTCCGCATCCGCGGGGCTCACTACGGCGACCATACCCACGCCCGTGTTAAACGTGCGCGCCATCTCGCTCGCGTCAACGTTACCCGCTTTCTTTAACCAGCTGAACACGGGCGGTAGAGCCCACGTCGCGACGTCGATGTCGGCGGCTAGGTGTTTCGGCAGCATGCGCGGCACGTTCTCGGTTAGGCCGCCGCCGGTGATATGTGCGAGACCCTTGAGGCGCGGGAGTGTGGCTAGTACTGATTTCACGTAGATCCGGGTTGGTGTGAGCAGAGCTGAACCGACGGTGCGGCCTTGGGAGTCCCAGGGGGCGGGGGCGGCGTAGCTGAGGTTTTCACGCGCGAGGATGCGGCGCACGAGCGAAAAGCCGTTGGAGTGTACGCCGGACGAGGCGAGGCCGAGCAGGACGTCGCCGGCGGCCATGGCATCGTGGCGTGGGAGCCGGCTGCTGGCACGCATAACGCCGATGGCGGCACCCGCGGCGTCGTAGTCGTCTTCCTTGTACATGCCCGGCATCTCGGCTGTCTCACCACCGACGAGCGCGCACCCGGCGTCGCGGCAGCCCGTTGCGACGCTCTCAACGAAGACGGCGGCTACCTCGGGGTCCAGCTTGCTGCACCCGAAGTAGTCGAGGAACATGACGGGCTCGGCGCCCTGTACGACGAGGTCGTTGACGTTCATGGCTACTAGGTCGATGCCCACGGTGCTGTGGTCACGCGTCGCCTGGGCGATCATAAGTTTCGTGCCGACACCATCGATAGCGCCGACCATAATGGGCGCGTCGCTCGAGAAGCCGGCCTTGGAGAGATCAACCTCACCTCCAAAACCGCCTATCTCAGCGTCGGCACCGGCTCTCTTCGTCGATCTAACAGCGGTGCGGATGCGCTCGACGAGCTGGTTTCCGGCGTCAATGCTCACACCTGCTTCCGCGTATGTCAGGGCTTCCTTGGTGTCGGCCGTCGGCTTGAAGGCTCGGTGTGCGATATCCCGACGGTAGTACATCTTATCGAAGTGGATGAGCTTCACGCCCTCGTAGGCCTTGTCGACGGCGGCTCGGAGACTCTCCGCCGCAGTGGCAGTGGCGGCTATCACTCGCCCACCTGCGGTCTGCAATATGCCATTTGCTAGTTTGGTGCCCGCGTGGAATATGTTGATTCCTTCGGGGGGAGTTTGCACGGTCATCTTGTCGCCTTTGGGATAGGACTCGGGATATCCACCCGCGGAAACGACGACGGTCGCGCTAAAGCTTGGCTCGATTTTAATTAGGACACTGTCAAGATAGCGTTCTGAGCATGCTACCATGATCTTAGCTAGATCGGTGTCTTGTGATAGTAGCGGTAGGACAGTCTGGGTCTCCGGGTCTCCGAATCGGACATTGTATTCGAGAACCTTCGGGCCGGTGGAGGTGATCATGAGCCCCGTGAAAAGGATACCGACGAAAGGCATCTCGTCCTTACGCATACCATCAATAGTTGGCTGAATAATATCCCGGTCAATTTGCGCCACAAGGTCTGGAGTTGCGATGTTAGTCGGCGCATAACATCCCATACCACCCGTATTCAATCCCTTATCTCCTTCGCCTATCCTCTTGTGGTCTTGGGCGGGGGGCAGCGATTTTATCGTGTAACCATCACTGAAAGTTAATATGCTCAGCTCATCTCCTGTTAGGAACTCTTCAATAACAACCTCATCTCCGGCAGATCCGAATTCCTTGTCCTGCATAATGTCCTTGAGTGCCTTTTGAGCCTCCTCTTTAGATGTAGGTATAATGACACCTTTTCCAGCCGCTAACCCGCTCGCCTTGATCACCACATCGTGTTGCACCGTATCGAGGTATTCTCGGGCTTTGTTATAGTCTGAGAAGTTCTCATATGCCGCTGTGGGTATGTTGTGCTTCTTCATGAAGTCCTTCGAGAAAGTCTTGCTGCCCTCCATCTGCGCAGCCTTCTTGGACGGTCCGAAGCTCTTAATACCCGCATTCTCGAAGAAATCGACAGCACCGGCTACGAGAGGGGCTTCGGGTCCGGGAACGACGTAGTTGACATTGTTCTTGCGAGCTAATTCGAGGAGTGCCGGGAAATCATCTGCTGATACCGAAGTATTGTTGGTTACTTTAGGGCAGGTCGCTGTGCCTCCGTTTCCTGGTACTGCTATAATGGACTCTACCAGAGACGATTGGCTGAGCTTCCACGCGATCGCGTGTTCCCTCCCCCCATTGCCAATGAGAAGAACACGGAGTGGGTATTCTATTCCCATGGCTGATATTTATAATAAGTCACAAGATTTATATTTCCGACAAGAAGGACCAAATGTGTTCCCTTGAGTCTGGGGGAAGGAATTGTATACTTAAACTCTTTCCAAAATTTTCTAATCGCAAAAATGCCCCTCACCTAAAAACGCTACCCCTCCCCCGCAGTGCAGCGGGACCAGCTGCAGAATGCAGGCTGCATCCATGGATGTACATCATAGCCCGCATAAGTACCTGAGGTCAGGTACTTTGGTAACTACATGTATTAGTACATGTATCAGCATGCAAGCGATCGCGATTGCTTTACTCTGTATATAAAATAGGCACCTATAAATCAGCCACAGTCTTATTAGCTTAGGTCTCTAGTTCGTTCTAATTCTGGCATGTTGATATCTAGAAACTCGAATCATGAAGCCTTCAGATCTGGATATAATTTTAGCTGTGGGGATAGATGAACTTACCTACTTACTAGAAAATGCCTCTAGAAGTATCATCCCGTTTGCCAAAACATTGAAAACTCACTTGCAATTCAAGTAATCAATGTGAAGTCTATTTATACAAGCAACTGAGAAATTGTCACTCGGTCGTTCCTGTGGCAAGAATTTAATCAAAATATATACATACATAGTAGATACATGTATGTAGTTCTAGCCATTCCGGGCATTAGCGTCTATCTGATAAAGTCTATGGCTTGCGCTTAACCTAAATAGGCCGACGATAATGCGGCTAAACCTGGGACTCCCTGGTCAAACCGTATCAAGACAACATCAGCTCATTCGGTTTATCTTGAGGGGTCACGAGCTTCAACACAAGTAACCTCTTCATCAAACCATAGTTTTACTGAATACCATAACCATGTTGTTTATAGGATTGACTGGCTCTATAGCCACCGGAAAATCAACCGTGTCTTCTATTCTTGCCGCACCTCCTTATTCACTTCCAATTATTGATGCCGATGTCTTTGCGCGCAAGGTCGTCGAGCCTGGGACTCGTGGTTATAGAGCCATCGTGAAATATTTTGGCCCTACAACTCCAGATTTACTTGCTCCGATTACGGATTCGATGCCAGCTGATGGCCCAGACGGCAAAGGAAGGCCGCTGAATAGGCAGGCACTAGGCAAGCGTATTTTCGGTAGCAGCGAGGAGCGAAAGAACGATCGAAATGTTCTCAATGAAATCGTTCACCCTGCAGTGAGAAGGGAGGTTTACAAATCCATATTCAGAAACTATCTAGGGGGTAGCTGGGCCGTCGTTCTGGATGTGCCACTGCTTTTCGAGAGTGGATGGGATCGGCTGTCTGGGGTCGTGATGGTAGTAGCTGTCAAAGACCCCAAAGTACAGATGCAAAGACTCAGAAAACGTGATCCTCATTTGAGCCGAGAAGAGGCGCAAAACCGTGTCTTGAGTCAGACGGACGTGAGGCTAAAAGCGAAGAGGTGCGAGGCAAGGGGCAAGGGGAAGGGAGTGGTTATCTGGAACGACGGATCGAAGGATGAACTTAAGGCCAACATAGATGCAGCACTCGCAGAAATGCGAAGAGATAGCCCGCCATGGTGGAATTGGATATGCCTCCTCTGTCCACCAATTGGCGTTGCTGCAGGCGCGTGGGTTTACTGGCAGAATATCAACATCAATAAAAAATGGAGAGAAATGGAAGCGGAGGAGAAGTCGAAGCTATAATCTTGAATTACTACAAGGTACCAATTTACTCCTACACCTGTACACGTTAACCTTACTTTGGTAATCACAGTCACTTTCGATGCGTATTAGGTGGATACTTGGACCCTTGAGTATTTTGTGGTTGCTACCTAATAGACACTATGAGTAGGACGTCATCTGTCGTCGAAATTGGGAAACTACGACCACCATTTACTTGCGCACTGTACCTACATCTTCCCGCCTTCCCAATGGACCTTTCATCCCATCTTGAAAGTTAGTCCTGAGTCAGATCTAGTTTCATGTTTGCGAGTAGTGAACCTGCGCTTTTCTGGCATAGCTTAGGCCATCTCGATTCTAGTTGTCACACATCATTTGAACTTTCAACTCGACTCCTAAACCACCCTGCTTCCTTCTTCCATCCAAACAATCACCTAAATTTTCTCACCCTTTTCTACTTCTTTTAATTATCGGATTTCATCTTCCTTCACAGGTTAATCAATTTTCACTGTTGATTGCTGTTGATCACCTCGTGTCATCCATCATCATCTTTCACCCACTCTACTTCGTCTTAGATCACTCAGCTATTCAACCCATATTTCACGTCTCTTTGACTTGCACGCATTGAAATTCACCACACTCTTCACCATGCCTCCCAATTCCTTCATGGAATGGGTGGTTGGTCAGAATGTGATCCCTCGACCGAAGGACTATGCACGATCAAGGGACTACACGGAACGTCGACGCCGATCTGTTTTTGCACTAGAACTTGACACGGATGATATAAACCAAACTGACACCATTAAGGTGACCTACCCAAGAACTGGACGGTCGTCATCCAACCCATACAACAAACAGACCAATGCCCCGAAATCCGTTCGGTTTGTCGAGAACGGCCGCTTGATAGGAACCCCGAAAATAGGAGTGGAAACCAAGCCTCTACTCAAACCGCACACAGATGCTTGTCTGAACTCGGGTACCAACGGCAATCAAAAGATGATAGAGGAGGAAGTAATCATGGATTGTCCCTGTGCCGATTGTACTGCAGCACAAAAGAAGGCCGAGTCATTGTTAGATGATATCAACAAAAGTGCAGCTGCCGTGCATGCTCGCCATAAGGCAAATATAGCTGCAAAGGAAGCTGCAAGAGTGGCCATGAAGACAGAACCGATCAAGCCCAAGCCGAACGTCAAGAAGCAGAAGCCTAAGCCCAAGGCTAAGAAAAGCAAGGAGAAGTCCAACAGCGAGGCTAAAATGACCAAAGTCACGATAATTGAGTCTGAGACAGAGGTCGAAGCCGATACTGAGTCCGAGTCTGAGTCCGAGGAGGAGGAGGAGGAAGAGGAAGAGGAAGAGGAAGAGGTCCCGAAGAAGAAGGGAGCCAAGAAAAGCAAAGCCAGCGAGCAGAAGCCTGAAAAGGTCACCAAAAAAATCCAACAGGATAAGAAAGGTGATCAGAGCAAGAAAGAAAAACAGGGCGAAGAGGATTCAGCGACGAGTCAGAAACGGGACAATAAGGAAGATGGGAAGTCCAAGCAATCAGCAAGCACGGTTGGCGATGGTGGACTCGCTTTTGAGGTAGCCATGAAGTATAACACGGAAAGGCTGATCAGAAAAGAAGTAGAGAGGATCAAGGCTAAGGCTGAGGAAGAAGAGGCTAAAGCTAGAGAAGAGAAGGCTAAAGCCAATGAAGAGGAAGCCAAGGCTGAGGAAGAAAAGGCTATAGCCAAGGCCAAGGCCAAAGCTAGAGCTAAGGCTAAGGCTGAAGCTAAAGCTGAGGCTAAGGCTGAGGCTAAGGCTAAGGTCAAAGCTGAAGCTAGGGCTGAGGCTGAAGCTGAAGCTGAGAAGCAACTTCCTTCTCGCAATCCACGGCCCGACAATCGGCATGTGAGCTTCCTCCTACCAAGCCAGTCTCGTGTAGTGCATGTTGAGCATTCTTACAAAGAACCTGGCGACCCCCATCCCAATGCCTTCTATGACAATAGAAACGACATTATGCGTCTGTACTATAGACCAGCTTATGGAAACCCGAACGCGGCCGGTAACATTTACGACAACCAGCCATTCCCCATCGGTACAACACATCCACTAGAGAACCCGTATTATAACGGATTCAAACCTACCCCCTATCCAGGACATGTGCCTCGGACATATTACCCATATGACCACAGTCCTGCTGGTGCGCCACCTAGCCCGCCTCGAGAGTCTCAGTGGTTTAGGGGAAATGGCACTATCCGCGTAGGAAAGACTCCAGACTATGAGAACGATTTCGACCGAGAAAATTACGAACGAGAAGTTCGAGATGCTAACCTATCAGCAACCAACTCGGCTAAAGACAGCCCAGTGTCGAAGAATAGCGATCGAGTTGGACGATCAAATGTCGCTCCGGACGTCAAGGTTAACAACGGAGGAGCTCGCGACACTGAAAACGTCCACGGCCCGCAGAAACGCTCAAGGTCTAGAGATGGGAGCCAGAATGGTGGAAAAGGTGGTACTAAGGAAGAACCAGTACGGCAAGTGCTACGCGATATTATGGTGAAGGAAAAGGCCGAAATGGCCGCGAGAGCTGGCAATAACGTCGCTAGTCCCACTGCCAACAGCAACCATTCGGGCGGAAGCCACCCTTGGGGAGTAGGCGGCGACACGAAGTCTCGCGGATCTGGTAGTAACAAGGGTGGTAAAGACAGCGAGTGGGGCCCAGTTGGTCTATCAAATAACGATCGCCTGGATGAATGGGGTAATGGGAGCATTCGTAACTGGGATAACTGGGGTGGCGGAAGCAACGCGAGTGTTCACAGCGGATCTAACCGCAGCAACAAGTCCAGCAGCAGCTCTAAAGCTAGCAGTACGCACAGCAAAGTAAGGCAATCTGTACCTGGCGGTTGGGTTAGTCCAACAAAATCAGAGATGTCTACTTATTCGAGACCTCCTGGCACGGCCCCAGACAACGTTGGCCCAGATCTGACCAGCTCTAAGAAGACATCAGAAGGCATTTCCACGGACGAGAAGGCTGGTAAACACAAGCACCGGAAGAACAAGAACAAGAATAAATCAGGCTGGAAAGACACCGGTGTGGCCCAGAGCTCCGGCGGCGTCTTCGACGAGGATGATGACAATGGTGGCAGACATTGGGACGAGGGCAGGAAAGAGGGTCGGGGCCAATCAGAGTGGTAGGGCAGGTTCGATTTAGGTCTTCCTTATGTATGGCTCCAGGCATGGATCTTCCTTGCCGTGGTCTTCTGTTTCCGAACGGAACCTCTCAGAAGATTTGGGAACTAGGGGCCAATCTCAGTTTCACTGGAAGCTCATTCACTACTCCAGTCCCGTTTCCTATCTGACGTATTCGAGTTCGGGGCGCTTTGGCGTTTATATACCCGGATATACTGGCAGGAACACCTGCACACATGTCAGAGATGTTGCGGTCATATTTAGGATGATCCGTAACGTGTTTAGTTATACATCGGCACAGGCGGTATGCAAGACCGCTTGGTAAAGGTGGAGGAAGAGTCGTTGCTTACTCATGTACCTTCACGTAAATATACATGATCATTATACGTGGTGCTTTGGGGTAAATGTGTACAAAATGTTTCCTGTAACACACTGTTTAATATGTCTGTATTTCATCTCAGGTAAGTTTGTATAATACTTTTAATCGGGGGACATTGAATAGTCCTTAACTTTAGTCCTTACTAGGTGTCACCGGGTATGAAGACGTATACTCTCGTAATCAGAGCTCAATAGTTCGAGTTCGTAGAGTCGATTCTAGACGTAGTCTCCTGAGTACATACATATATGCATGATATCATCACTGGATCCAGGGAACACGGCATGGTCTTACCGCGATACACGGCATTCGCACTTGTATAACAGCAGAACTTCATCTACCATACCACTCAAGGAATCGACGTAATCACTCAGGAACCGAGGGATGTTAGTATGTGTTATTATCGTATGCGTGACACTTCGTACTACCGGGTGTTAGTTTCCGAGTATCTCGTGGATCGGCACTCGGATGGTCTAGGTTTCATATCACAAGTTAGAAGTTAGAAGTAATTCAGTAAACCACCTGTATTAATCACGATTCAAAGTGAACACATCACATGATATGCAAACGAATGTATTGATAGGACAAGCCTTCCAAGGAATTACCGAGTGGAGTTGTGCTCTTAATTAAGCGAATCAGACTGAAAACAACCGTGCTATACGGGAAAAAGCAAAATTTCTGTAATAAGTCCTCTCCTTTCTTTTTTTGGCTCCTTTTCTCTACGCGCAGAATAAAACTGTTGTTACACCAGCGCATAACTTTTGCCCGTGTAGGAAAGTGGGGGCCAAAGGGGAAAATGCAGAAGTGAAAATGGACCAATGCGTGATCAAATCAGCATACTAAGGAGATCTATAGAACCTCGGCAAACATAGAGAATGCATTCGCTTCGGGTTCGCCATCTATTCCTCATCGGACTCATCCTCCTCGGCTTCATCCAACCACTTGAGGAACGGCTCAGCGGCACGACGAATTTTCTTGGACGTGCTGATATCGACGTACTTCTTGCTGGCCTTGGTTCCCCACTTCTTGATCATGTCCTCGCTGACAAGGTCCTTGTCGTAGAGCTGATGGAGAATCTTGACAATCTTGTCGCTGGTCATCAGCTCGGGGTGCTCCTTGCTCTGAGAGGCCAGAAGACGCTCAATGCCACCTAGGAGGGCCTTCTCGTGGCGTTCGGAAGTGACCATCTAATAATAATTAGTGATTGTTATAGATATAATAGTAGAAAGAGCCATATGACATACCTGCTTGAGCATCGCGGCACGCTTGGAAATTTGAGTAATGATGTTCTCATCGAAAAGAGTCTGCACGAGAACCAAGACAGTCTTGTGCTTGGTCTCGATACCGAGCTCCTTAGCTTTGACATAAATTTGAATATCATCAACCTTGTTAATGCTACCAGTCTTAGCAGCTTCTTCCTGGATCCAGTCACCCAGGGTGTCGTAGACGGTGTGACCACCGCCCTCTCCATCTTCGTCATCCTCGTCGGCGCCAAGAACAAGCTTCTGGCGGAATTCGCTCGGAAGCTGGCTTTGACGAGCTTTGACGGCCTTCTCGGACATGTCAACAGCCCAGTCGTCGTCCTTGACTTCGGCCGGGGCATCGATGACTTGAGCGGCAGCATTGATCTTGCGGGTGAACTCGTCATCGCTGCCGGGGTCGTCGTCGTCGTCGTTCTTGTCGCTGGTCCTGTTGGAGCCGTTTTCGGAATTCTCTCCACCGCTTCCTTGACCGTTCTCTTTGTTGCCGTTCTGGAGAGCCTGTTGCTTGGCTTTGCGAGCAGCCTTGCGTTCGGCCTTATCTTTCTTGCCACCCTTCTTGGGCTGATTCTTCAGGATGAAACCGCTTAGCTTCAGACGAAGATCGACGTCGGTGCGCTGACCACATGCTTTGCAGTCGAGGACAATATGGCCGTCCTTGATGACGACATCAGTCTCGGGGTTCTTGCACTTCTTGCAGAGAACAAATTTGTTGATGAAGCCATCGAGGTGGTCCTGTAGCTTAGAAGCCTCATGGGCACCGTTGATGATCCAGCGATCATCAGGAGGATCGATGTTGGTTTGAGCACCAAGCTCGAAACCGAAGTACTTGATGACGTACGATCCGGGGCGGGCAAGAGAAGCAGCGACGCTGCTCAAGTTGACAACGACAGTCTTGATACCGTTACCTTTTCCTTCAATTTTGGTCTGGATTTTCTCCATCTTGTAACGGTAGTAGAGGTCGGTGACATCACGACGAACGTTGACGAGCGCCATTTTTGCGGTATTGTAATAATGGAGCTATGGAAGCAAAGAGACTCGGATATAATCTTATCGGTCGGCGAGTTCGAATTCCTTGGGTATAGGGAGCGAGAAGACTTAGGTAGTCATTCGTAGGTGACTGGTAGGTGACTGGTAGAGGAGAGGATTGGGCAAGCCAGGATCTCAGTAGAGAGGACTGTTCCTAGCGGACATAGGGAAGACTGGATAATAATTGCCAGCGTTGGAAGGCATTAACTTAGGCGATGTAATCGTCGATCGGTCTCAGCCGACTGAACTGATATTAGGGCTACAAGGTTTTCGCGGTATGCGAAACGACTGCAGCGTTAAAGGGGGAGAGTGTTTAAACACAGCGGTCTGGTCGTGCTGATACATAAACAGCTGTGTGTCCTGTACCCTTTTACGTTGAGGGTGTAGTTGGTCCCAGGTATAAAGCGACAAACAACAAGACCTTTGATCGCGAGAAGCTATTATCAGAGGCTTGTCCGTGGCGCAAGAGTAGAATGATAGATATTATAGGAAGTTGTTGAGGTGAAGAGATATGAGGGGTTGTTTGCTAAGGTCGGCTTTTAAATATTCAATAGTAGAACAGGATAATGGCAGCGACCGCCGCAGATTGATTCTTGTTAGCAAGTAACAAGCAAAGTTGTGAAAAGCGTCTAGTACGAATCACGTTTTTTGGTTGTTGTGATGATGATTGTCCGATGTTGTGGAAAGGGAAAAGAGAGAAGTTGTGGGAAAGTTGGAAAGTTGGGAGAAAGGGAATTAAAGTAAGAGTGAGAAGAAAAGAGGAGGGCAAGTCAAAGAAAGTGGTTCCCTTAGGCTTAGGTCTTCAGGAAATCGCGGCGTAAAGTCGCAGTGGGTGAATAATGAAAAAAAAAAACTTGTGCAAAAACACCGCCGCTAAAGTGTACCATAGTACCATAGTGCCACTAAACTGTACTGCCTAGTCCGTCCTACAGGAAGCCCATCCCACCTAACTTCCCGCCTAAGTTCGCAAACTTTCGCACAAAAAAAGACGCCACATGTGGACCCTAACGCCGCCTAGAATCACATCCTAACTCATTAGTGTGCTACATGTAAACAGGTACACACCTACCTACCTAGTACGTACCTTCCCGAATCCTAAGACATCCAATCCATTTTTACTTGCATCGTGAAAGCCGAGGAAGGAAGGCCGAGAGCCTCTCGGAGCTAAATACCACATACACTTTCTCGTGCAACACGTTGAAAACAGCGTTTTTATTAGGTAGACCCGCAGAAATGAGGCGATCAAATTTGGGTATCTTCAGGCTTCAGCCGGTAGAAAATATCCAAAGCCGCTAAGTTCCGACGCCTCTATAAAATGGAAAATGGTAAGTGGAAGATGGGAAGACTAACAAGTACATCTTGGGCCGTGAATCCGAAAATCTTCAAAAGGAGGAACTTCCCAGGTATGTATTACTGGATTGACCGAACATACTATTACCTGGGTAGAATCCATATATGTAATCCATTATATGTACCTACTGGGTAGGTAGTCATCACCACATGTATCCTCATCATTACTCGGCACTACTAAGAAGGACATATGCTGAGAAGGGGGAGGCCTAAGGATTTTGCTTCATACTAATATGGGCAGGTCCATAGTTGGGTATATAGGCCTCGCAAGAACAGAACGTCAAGAACGTCACCATTACACAGAAATAAAATGGCCTCCCGCCGTTGGCGTCTGATAGCTCACTTTCCCAAGTCGCAAACAAGACCGGATACAACAGATTCCCATGCCTGATCTAATAAGCATGCGGGAGCTGACAGAAATAACGGGCCTCAGATTTGCTACCCTTGCCGAGGCGCTCGGAGAATCTGTCATGCCTCACTCATGTCGGCACCTATCCCCCGAGCTCATAAATAGAACCGCTAATATTTGGAACATTTGGATCTTGAGTGACCATTCAGCCCACTTACATACATGGACTCATACATGGCGCTCTGCAGCTATCCCGCATCGCATTTGCACATCTGGCACCAATCACCCAAATCGTGGTTAGTAGCTCATGATTGATTCGACTTTTCTCCCTGGCTCTTGGTGGGCTGGCCTAGGCTGCATGCTTCCAGATTCTACCCCCCAGCCTCTTGGCAGTCCAGAGACGCGGATTTACAGTATTCGACCTACCATACTTCTAAGTATATCGGCCTCAAACTTTTGCGGATAGCATTTGGAAGAACGATATAAGCTAAATAAAGCGCCTATCATAAATGGCTTTAGAATATGTTAATGAACTTTCTTTTTTCTAAACAGCTTATATGCTTTTACTAAGTAAGTAAGTACCCATAGTACGTACGTATGTTCTATGGATGCTTTTCTGATCCATATCACAATATTTATCGAAGGGTGCTTTCCTCCGTCATTTATATGAACCGGGAAGCTTGCATATGCACAATGCAACATTTCGACGCATGGTATAACTTGCCAAGACGTCAGTAGTCACAGTTCCGGGACAGGGACATATATTTGACACTTTGCCCAAGGCTTGTATTCTTGGGAACTATCCTCAAGTCTGTTAGACTGGTTGGGTCAAGTAAACAAGCCTCCCCTTAAACGCCTATGCCCATGTGCCCATAAGTCTTCCTGACTTGGTTCCAACCCTCAAAATCCCCAGAACCTAATATCCACGAACTATTGACCCGGTGAATGGGACGATTGAAACAAATATGTGTGATGCTGATCCTTGCATCGAGTATACATTCAACTCGCGCAGACACCCAAACCCACCAGTACAATAGTACAGAAGTGGAACAATGCTGAGGAAGAATCGATGCTGCAGTAGAAAAAAGAAGTCGCCGAGGGTATAGAAGGAATAAACACCGAGTATAAAGAGCATCGAATCCGCCCACAGCTGAGTCAAGCTTATGAAGATGACGACTCTTCTTTAGACTGGGGAGGTTGGAGCCCGGCGTTCTGGGCCACTTGCTTCCATATTGCCAACTCTCGGTAGGCTCTCTCGCACTCCTGCTTGAGCTTATCATTGGATGCACTGAGCTCCTGGATGGCCTGTTCCGTAAGTAACTTCTCCAACGTCCACTTCTCGATGTTCTGAGCTTCGTTCTCTTTCAATTGCGTAATAAAGATTACGGCACGTTGTAAAATCGACCCCTTATTCTTCTCACACCCAGGCACAATCTTAGCGAGCTCGTTGATGCCCTCATTGATGGTCTCTCGACGACGACGCTCAACTTCAATCAAGTTAGTATAGTTATTTTTAATGGTCTCCCGGGGTATGTAACTTACCCTCCTTGTGATTATCCTTGCGCATTTTATGCCATTCTTCTGAACCTACGGCTGGCTTGGAGCTGGAAGAGGAAGTAGTGCCGTAAGGTTGATTCGGACGAATGCCATTCTGAGGCTGCTGTGCAAGGTTGTCCGCAGATGGCCCAGGGAGACCGTCCGGGTGGAGCATGTCAGCGTGCGCAAACGACGAGTCGTGGTGATGCTCAGCCTCTGCAGCTGCCTGTGCAGCAAATGTCTCTTCGGTAGATTGAGGGACATGGATAGTAGGGTACATTGTCCCAAGGGCAGCAGCGGCCGTGCTTGATGCATTGGCATGGTCAGAAACATCGTGGTGGTCGGCTGTGGCTTGCTGAAGAGCAGTGAAATCGGCATTAGTTGCTGCTTGTGCGGCTGCCTGCGCAGCTTCAACAGCACTCTCGACGTATGCTGCGTCAGGAGCACCCGAGAGAGCTCCAGTAGGTACAACACGTTTCGTACGTCGCGCATCAGGTGACGAATCAGGCGCACCACGTTTTCGCTTCTGGCCGGGACTAGAAGGAGAGGACGGGTTGAAGTCGTTCTGATCCGCAACTGCAGCGTCGGCCATGGCAGCTAGATGCTCGCGGTTGATGTGAGCGAGAGGCTCCAGGAGCGACTCTGCGTGAGAGTAACCGTTGGACTCCATTGTCACTTAGCTGGAAGTAGCGTTCGTGATCGATTAACGGCACCTACTGTAGGCCCCAGCACCTATGCGATACGCACGCGTGAGGTGCGCGATAGATTTAAACCCTATCGCAAAGAATCTGCTAACGTTAATATTTGCAATATCACTAATAGGCATTAGATAATAAGATTAAAATACATCGCTGCCACCACCATTTATGGGTTACCCATACATAAGGTTAATTGGGTTTTCACGATATTTTCTCCAGAAAGCGGTAATAGGGATTGTGTTGTAAAGGGAGGTTTAGCATGTCAGTGAATAGATGGGATAATGTGTCATAGGGTATCCATGAGAAGATTGATCTAGCATGGATGGTGAATGATGGGGGTTCATGGTGAAAATAATGAGATGATTCGACGCGACAGCGTTTGTAAAAAATCAAGGCTTTCCCTTGTGAAAAGGGCGAGGTGTAAGTGAATGAGGACGGATCAAGGATCACGCCTGAGATAAATCTCGCGTTACTCAGACGAGATCTGCAAACTATACCAGTATACTAGATAGTTATTGTTCGCGTCTGAGTGAATTGTTGATTGATGATGGTTGATTGAGCAGTGAGGAGAAGGAGACGATGATGCGAAAATTTGCGCATGAATGTTTCGAAATGGTAGTGGATTGCGCATGCGAAAACTTGAATCAAATAGAATATCGATGGCGACGATGTCATTTCATAAGGGCGCAGACGGGGAAATTGAAGAGATAACTTACGGGAGATCATGTGCTAGGTCTCGTGCAATGCGATGCTGGCTTTGGCCTTTGGCTGGAGCACGGCAAAGCACGTTTAGATCTTCCAGGCGTCAAGTGACTTCACGTGCTTTCGAGAAGAATAGCCTCGAATAGGGCGTGATTTTGTGGGAATATCAAAAGAACGGACCAGGTAGATTTGTCGGCCGAATCAACGCCTTGAAATCTCGACGGGGAAGAAACGGAAAAGTGAAATTGAGAATAGGGGAAATTCCGAGGTTGTGCAGGTTAAATTTTATTGATCAAAGAAGTTAACCGACGCTTCGTTCGAGAAATTAAGAAAAAGATAGGTAGATGCACGGTCGAGGAGAGAAAGTATTAGAGGTAGGAGAATTGAAGGTGGCATGCTCAGACCATATGACACCCCCGGACGCACGGTCCACACGCGCTGCGTCCCTTCCCAATTATCTTCAATTGCACCTATTGTGGATGTTCCCTCCTCCCACTGCCATTACCCTCACCACCTCACCACTGCCTTCCTACTTCCTATTATTTAGCCCTCCAAGTCTTGAAAGTAAACCTTGAAGTTTATCTCAATTCTTCTCCACTTTCTACCCACAAACCTATCACCTGTCTGCCCTACCATTTTTGGCTGACAAGATAATATTTTAAACAATTTATGCCTGCGCCCGCAGCGGAACCCGTCCAACCCATCCAGCCCATCGTAACTCTTAGCTGGGTAGGTACCTCGTAGGTCCTTGTCGTGACAGGCACTAACAAGAGACTTGAGAGTTCCTGACTTCGACATTCCAACCAATCATTGCCGGATACGCCCCCACACGTACCTCCACGCGGTCCACACAAGGTTCTTTCTCATTGTTCTCTTTCATCTTTCATCCTATTCCCCTCCATTTTTAGTTCAACACCTTAGATAATTTAATCCACTTCGCTTTCAATGTCACCTGTTTGTCAAGCACCTAACCGACACGGAATTGGAAATAGAAGCATATTATAACATAAATCTATCTTATACCTGAAACCGCATAAGGCTCAAAGTGATCCAGAAGCTACTCTACCGGGGTGGTAAATGGTCGTTGGAAGTTGAAGGTTGGAAGCATTAGGATTCCTTAGGGGTGACCTTTCGGGTTGTCACAAGCGGGAGGACGGGTCTCAGAGCAGAATTTGTTTCATCAGGTTTGATTCAGCGACAAATCTTGACGGGACGGTTTCTACTTCGTATGCTGCCGTGGATCTCCTCCAATACCTGCAGGTAGGTGATTGATTTCGGGTTCGGCAAATGAATTTGTTTAGCAGCCATGGGATACAATGGGATATGCTGCATACCTCCTATTCAGCCAGTCTAGCCAACCTGCCAACCCAACAAGACGTAAAAGGGGATGCAGATGAAAAGGTCTCAGATGCCAACAAGTCAAGTGACCTTGTCAATGTTGGTCTACCTTCTCTTCTTTGTTAGAGCGAGTAGACAAATGCTGCCGTTGATGTTTTAGGTGTTAGTCCACAAGTCCCGTGAGTCCCTAACAAATTGTTCCTGTGACCAGAAGCGGATGTGTGTGACTGCATAAGTTGCACTAGGCAATTTGTGAGCATCGAGAGGAGACCACTCGGGAGTATCCGTTTCCGCGGTAGACACGGAGCAAAATAACCGCAACAGCTAGTCCACGAATGTACTATATTGGTATGTATAAGCATGAAGATGAATGGGGAGTAATTGATTAAGTATATTTAGAGAGGAAATATCTGATCATTGGGTTATATTTAGAATTGGTACTAGTAAGCAGTTGCATAATCAGAGAGGATCGAGTTGTTGTGTCTGTATAGAAACTGTGCTGATATTTTATATTTTCAAGGTGATTTAGGTATCTATGAGTTCGTATCCATGCAAGCTTTGTTATACTTATCGGGCTGTAGCTATGTGTAGACATGCCGAGAGAACTTGTAATAAGAGATGAAGATAAGTGAGCATTGATCTTCTGTAGGAATTTCTTTACGCTGTACATATCTCTACAAGGAGTAGGTATGTGCTAAATGATTCTGAAGTTCCACTGTAAGCAGCATCAAATGTTACACATAAGATCAATACTAGCTTCACAATGAGTTATCATTATGAAATAATATTCTTTTCTATGTTACATAGTAGCTCGTATAGAACTAGATAATTTATGATGTAAAATTAATATAATTATCACTCGCTATGATATGATTCACTTCAAGCCCATATCAAAGAACGACATCAAGTGCTTTTAACATGTACGCTGTACTCTGTAGAGAAGAGCTAAGCCGAACACGTAACTGTATGCACAGGCCAATCAAAACATGCTTTCCCAATCTCACTGAAGTTCCAGGGAAGCCGGCCCGTAGTGGGTCCAGAGCAACACCCCACCTATCCACACCGGTCCAACAGCATCGTTCCTACTTCCACTAGAGCTCCCCATATTGCCGACCTTGCACCGAAACGTCAAAAGACCTAACCCAACCTCAACAATTCCATAAAGCAACTGTCACATTTGACAATCCCAGTCTGGAAGCATTTCCTTATATCCAAATTCCGGAACATGGGTGACGCAGAAGCCAAACTAGACCACGAAAACCACCTCCTTCTCGTAAGCTGCTTTATCTTCCCGTCTTCAATCTAGACAACGCACACCGCATTGCATCATACCCATCTCCATGCCTATATCCAACCACCATCCCGTCTTCCTCAAGTCAAGCTAACCCCCGTTCTCCTTCATAGGACCAACCTCTCCTCCGGCTCCCCGTCGAGCTTCTGCGGAAGAACTTCCGATCGGCGCATTTCGAGGTCGAGAAAGATGGGGCGTACCTGAAGAATACGCTGCGAGAGACGGCGACGGGCGCCGTCAACGGGCGTGCCCAGCAGGCCGATGTATTGAAGAGCCTGGATGCCATGATCGCCCGAGCACGCGGCACCAAGCGTAAACTGACGGCTTTCGCGGATGAGGAGGCACGATTACACCGGCACGAGCAAGCCCGCGTCTCCCATCTGTCCGATTTGTACGCCATGTACAGCGTCGACGACGTGAAGTACGAGGCCTGGAGCCGAATTCGGCTGGACCGGCTGCTAGTCGACTATTTGCTCCGCCACGGATACAACGAGAGCGCGCGTGCCCTAGCTCTAGAGAAGGGCGTCGAACCGCTTGTCGATCTCGAGACTTTCGACCAGATGAGCCGTATTCGGAAGTGCATTTTGAACCACAGCGTGGCGGAGGCGTTGACTTGGTGTACGGCGGGCGATACCAAGAAGGAGTTGCGCAAGATGGATGTAAGCAAGCTACCTACCACCCTTTACTCACATCACCACATTGCTATGCCAGGTACGTCGATATCTAGACTGAGTTATATACTAACACGACGGAAAACCAGAGCAATCTCGAGTTCATGCTCCGCTTTCAGCAATACATCGAGCTCGTGCGAGACCGCACGACCAAGCCCACCGAAATCCTAAGCTACGCGCGCAAATTCCTCTTCCCCTACCGCGACGTCTACAAGCGAGAAGTCCTGCAAGCCTGCGGGATGCTCGCGCTGCCCCCCGGCTCAGCACAAGACATCGACGCATACTCAAACCTGTACTCCCCGGGACGATGGGAAATGCTCGCGAACCTGTTCACATCAACACACAACGCACTGCTCTCGCTCCCCTCCATCCCCCTCCTCCACATCGCCCTGCAATCCGGGCTCTCCGCACTCAAAACCCCAGCCTGCCACTCCTCGCACCCCGCCTCGGCCGCCGCCCCCTCCCACTCCACAAGCCTATCCCTCGCAACCAGCGTCTGCCCGATCTGCAGCACCGAACTAAACGAGCTAGCCCGCAGCGTGCCCTACGCGCTACACAGCAAGAGCAACGTCGAGCCCGACTTACTAATGCTGCCCAACGGCCGCGCCTACGGCAAGGCCCGCCTCGAGGAGTACGCCCGCAAGGCCGGCTGTCTCGACGGCCAGGTCAAGGACCTCCGCACCGGCGAGATCTTCAGTTTCGATCGCTTGAAGAAGGTGTTTATCACGTGAGCGACGCGTGTGGTCTCAGGTGCTGGAGATGGATGCAGGCCTGTTTACCTAGGTACCTATCAACTTGACTGAACTATTCCCGACCTACTTAATTCTAAGGGTCGGTTGGTCGGTTGAATTATGAACTGGGGTTTGACGAGTTACGAAGTCTTTATTAGGGGGTTTTGGGTGTTGGTCTGAATCCGATACTACTTGAATCCTTGATTAATCAAGGATGACTACCTAGTAGTAGGTACGGATCAGACGTTAAGTAGGTAGTCAGTATGCCGCCACGCTTTCTCTTCCGACTGTTTGTACATACATATGACGGTTTGTTAGCGGATGGGAAAACGGGCGTTCTATGGTATTTGTCAGGGGAAATCGCAGTTTGTGCATGGCGTTGAGGTTGTTGGTGTTGACTATTTTTACCTGGTAGGGGTAGATAGATAACAAATGCTCAAATACGTTTCAAGTTTAAATATTCTTACCTGCCTCTGTTATACTCGATCTGGTTTATTGATATGACGATATCTAGTCTTGTAGATACTGCTAGCCCACTTATTACGAACGCTGGATTCCAATAATTCCAGACATCGTTTTATATATGTCCACAATATTCATATCACTCATCACTCATACAGTTGTACACTAGAAAATTGCAAGGCAAACTCAGAGGTGTCAACGAACGTGTGACCCTCACTGAGCAAATGTATTGACAGGCAAGGGGAAATATTTTAGTCCACTAGCCCATTTCATGAAATCCGTACGCCTCCCCATACTCGTACACATATGGCAGATAAAAGCGTTAGAAAGGAAAAACTAAGAAAACGTGTCCTCATATCCCCGCCAACTTAATATGACTAAACCCCTTCGGTTCCCATCTTCAACCAAGAGCAATAGGAGCGTCGTTATTAACCACGTAACTCTGGCAGGTGCTGCGTTACCCTTTATCAGATGTTGGCTATCTGGATTTCGAGGGGTAACTAGTCATGGTAACGGAGTGGAGTTAAGGAGAAGTGTGAGGGGGGCGAAACAACACAGCTTCTCCTGTCTTGGGGTGGATTATCGGTATGGCCGACGAACGCGTGGTGCGACGAGGAGCAGCACTTGTAGACTGACGAGGAGCCGCGCTTGTAGACTGACGGGGAGCCGCGCCTGTAGGCCGACGAGGACCCGCGTTTTTAGGCCGACGAGGACCCGCGTTTGTAGGCCGACGAGGATCCGCGCTTGTAGGCCGACGAGGAGCTGATTCGCTAGATGTCGGTCCAACCAAGAGAGAAAATTTTGGTGTAACAAAGCCAGTAAATAAACGTGCATGCGGAAGAGTAGGCCCGAAAGAGCGTTTACCCCAGGCTTCCAAAAGCTCTTCTTCACTTGCCTCCACAAGACCCTATCTCTGATTAGGGGGAAAGTTGAAGGCTCCAAAAACTCCACCGCCACCGCCCGGTGTCATAGGTCCCATTCCCATACCATTAGTATTGTGAGATTGGGCGGCTGGCGTACTGGCAAGGCCGACGCTCGCGGTGCTTGGCGTGGTTGGACCACCATTCACGTTGCCGTTAGGATTGCCAGGCGGGGTGTTGTCCACGTTGTTCGCCTGGCCTTGGGATGTTATGGGCATCTCCATTCCAGAGAATCCAAGACCCCAGACCTTACCGATGTGATCATCGGAGATCTCGCCGTTGTAGATTCTTTCGCGTAGTTGAAAGAATACCTTGCCCGTCAGAAGACTGTCTGAACCAGCTTGGTGAGCTGCTCCGACCCGCTTGATCTTCAGCGCATCAGCAATACTTTCTAAGCCCGACTTCTGCTCGAACTTCTGCATGATTTCGGCTGAACCTGGATCCTGGGGTGTGAGGAGTCCCGTGGTATGAAGCTTTACCGCGTACTTCATCAAGTGCTTGACATCGTACGTGGTTGGGAACCACTTCTTCATAATTTTGTCAAACTCGCTCTCGTCGTTTGCTAACTTCTGATCTAAGAGGAGCTTAGTCAGGTAACCGAAATCGTAACCACCGTGGAATGAAATCCACTTGACGTTGTCGTAGCACACGAATCCGGAGACGATGAAGAGCGCGGCAAACTTCTTTGGGTCGATGCCATCGCGATCCAGCAGATTGAAATCGATGCCTGCTTGCTGAAGTGATTCAATAGAGGCTTGATTATACATATCCTCCTTCAGAGAGAACTTGAAGTTGAATTGCCAGGCGAGAGGCATCTGCGCCTGGGCGGTACTTCGTCGAGGGGCGGGACCGATTTCGTTCGGCGATACGTTAGCTCGCTCGGCGGGGGTTTCTCCCTTCTCGTTGAACAGGCTGATTCCTATTTGAATCACCTTGAGTAGGTCGACGTTCACGCGCAGGCACTGATAGTGATAATCACTCTTTCCTCGAAAATTTCCCATAGGTCGACCCACAATACCGGGGAACTCTGTGTCCTGTTTAAATTTGCGCCGTTAGTAAATGGAGCGGTTCTTCCGTGAAAGTGAGTTGAAGTAGATGTATAGCAACACATACCATAGCCACGTATGGAAAATCATCGATCAAATCCATTAATACGCCCATTTCTTCCTCGAAATTGTGCTTCCAAACTTCGCGTATGCGGAGCTTGCCACCACCTGTGCGCGCCTGCCGTTCACCAACCATTCCATGAGATTGCTGATGTGGGTGTCCTTGCTGCTGTTGTAATTGTGCAGCGTGTTGAAAGCCAGAGCGGGCAGCGTGGCTAGCGAAGCCGGTTTGATCACCAAAACCAGCGCCAGCGCCAGCATTAATACCACCACCACCGAGTCCCAGGCCATTCGCACCAAAGGGGCTCATTTGCGCATTGGCAAGGTAAGCTGAGTTACCCAGCGAAGGGGGTTGGTGGCCTGTCGCATGATTCTGGGAAGGGTGTGAGGGAAACTGATGCTGATATGGCGCCATGGAGGGAGGGGCACCCCCGAATCTCGAGGGCGGTGCCATCGAATAGGTAGAGAGATGTTTGTGGCAAAGGTATTTAAATTTTCGTTTGGGTAATCGGTACGGAAGAGGAGTTTAGTTCGTTCGTCATTAGGTAGCTTAACGAAAATTGCAGGAAGAATGCAAGTAGGATATGGGTATTGACGAAAGATGTGGTAGATGAAGGTTGGTTAGGTTAGGTTGGGGAAAAGTTGGAAGGTCAAAATATGTACGGTGAGTCGCGCACTGAGTAGGAAGGATATTAAATCCTTTTCACATTCGGAAGTGACGCTTTGTATGTGGGGAAGTAAAGTAAGGTGAAAAGTTTAAGTAGAAAGGACGCGACAGTAATGATTGAATCGGAAAGATAATATCAACTTTTGAAAATCGGCAGGTGAATCGTTAGGTAGATCAACGCGGAGAAGGCACGACTCGGACCGTCCTACGTTTTACTGAATATTTAATTGGTCCAAGCTTCTCTAGGTCTTTTGTATTTATGTATAAGAGACTTAGTCATTATTTAAACAGTGTATGTACATATTTGTGGGATCATAATTCAGATATGGAATTGTGCCCTAGTACTGATTGTACCTTCCAAGATAATTATCTACAAGGTACTTTATGTAATACACAGAACCTCACTGGACGACTTCGAAGTTAGAAGTTCGTACTTCGACTCGATTGAGCTTTCAGCATCACAGTCCACGGCTCCTCGGAATTGTCTTTCCACCATAACTCACATACAATCACAATGTATCCCTCAAGGTAAATTCAATTATACCCGTGAACCTCGTCACAAACATCTATATTTGCTAACAACAAACGTTAGGATACTTCGATCGCAACATCACGGCGAGAAGCCGAACGTCACCGGCTTTGACATCAGGAAATTCGTACAATCCGCCGGGCAACCGAAATATGATCCATGGGAGGTCAGGTCAGTTTCCCATCCATACTCATCCCTACCCATCCCTACTTCCAATTAGGCGATGTTCCCATACAACCCGGAATGACTTCTTTCCCCTCAATGATCTGCTAACGTAGATACTCATGCAGGGAAAGTTGGCGGTACACAGGCCAGTTCACGCGATGGAACCGATTTAGGAATGCCTTCCCCGGCTTAGGCATAGCAACTATAGCATTCACTATCTACCTCGGCTACGAGCATTTCTTCATGAAGGACGAACACCACGGAGAAGCACATGGCGAGGAGCACCATTGATACCGATAAATCAGGCGCTGAAGAGATATCAGGTGTCAAGAGAGGACATGTACATATAAATTCGTCCGAACGATCCGTGGTTAAAGTCGGATAGAGTAGCCGATAGTGCACTTGGTCATGATCAAACGATTCTCAACGTCTAGACGTTTGCTTCAGAAGGAATAGAATACACCTATTCTACTACAAGAACCCGACTGTTCAGATATCCAACTTGGGCTAGACATGCAATGCTATTCGGTAGTTTCCCTACACAATCTGACCTCAGCTCAGGAACACTTAAAAGGCAAACATAATAGTACCTATATCTACGATAAAATAGTTACTAGAACTCTTATGGGTGTAAATGGGTATAAATATGCAAGTTCTGAATGGTATCTAACCTCTATGTCGAGCTGATGACATCTAGCCCAATATCAATATGCAAAGCCCCATACCAGATGATGACAAGGTACCAAGGTATCACCCATTCCCCTACCCAAAAACCGGCCATTCTGCCTGATATCTAAACCTATCCCGTAAAGAAATGCGTACCTAGAAGGCACTTAAATCCATCTCTCACGGCAATCCAATCCCATTCACCACATCCAACGCTCCATCGACAACAACCTCCAGCTCAGCAACACGGTGCTTCAACCCCCTATTCTCGTCGCGCAGGAGACTCACCGTATCCCACGCAACACTCGAATCCTGCCCTCTGCAATTCCTACACTCATCCACTCCTCCTCCCGCAGCAGCATTCCCTCCCGTCCCATCCCCAGAAATCCCCTTCACCAATCTCTGAAACGTAGTAAGCTGCTGCGGCGGCACACCCTTCTTCTGACCTTGCCCTTGCCCAGTCGGCGGGGTCCTAACACTCAACAACTCCGCATTAACCTCACTCTCCGTCGCGCTCGTCATAGCAGTCGGGCTACGGCTCCGACTGAAAATACTCTCCGACTCCGCGCTCTCGACATCATCCGTATCAATACTAAGATCCGACCGCACCGTGCCATCGCTCTTCCGCCACCTCTTCCGCTCCCTCTCCTCATCCACACACAAATCCTCCGTAATACACAACCCCCCCTCTCCCTCCCCATCCCCTTCTCCATTCTTATCTCTACTACCAATCAACCCCACAATCTCCCTCTCCAACCTCCCCCTCTCCCTCCTCTCCTCCTCCCTCTCCCCCTCCCTCGCACTCCTCTCAAACCGCAACTCCGCCACCAACCTCCGCATCGCCATCTCCTGCTCCTGCGCCTTCGCCGCCATACTCTCCAACTGCGCCCGCAGACTCCGCACTCTCAACTCCGTCTCCTCCGCTTCTTCGCGCTGCGCTTCCCGCTCCGCGACGAGCTCTTTGTACGAGATTGTTCGCGTCCGGTACGCGTCTTGCATTCGGTGGAGAAGCCCCGAGGCGTTTTGCTGTAGGTTTTTGTACGCGGCCGGGGAGAAGGTGGTGCGTTCGCTGGGGGACGGGTATAGCGCTGTTTCGACGTCGAGGTTTAGCAGCTCGTCGCTGGTTTCGCGGCCGTTGGGCGCGGAGGAGGGGGTTGTTATTGTGATGTTGGGCGTGGTGGGTGTGTTGGGGGTGCTGGGGGTTTGTGTTGTCAGACGGCCTGTGAGCGACGCGAAGAAGCCTAGGCGAGACGGTGTCGTGGTCTTTGGTGTTGGGGTTGTGACGGGGGAGGCGTGGCCGCTGCTGTCGCCTGCTGATGGCGTGTTCAGCCAGCCCCCGAAACGTCCGGGCGAGTTGTCCTGGCGGCGGCTGACGCGCCCGTCGCCGGTGAGCGGCATGTCTTGGGAGTGGTGCCTCGCTCGGCTTGCGGGTGATGGTGTTCTAGCTTCGGCGTACAGATCCGGAACCGACTGTTGCCGGTGGTGCTGATGGTTGTGCTCCTGCTGTTGCTGCAGGTTCGAGTGCAAGGCGTTGTTGCACTCGGCAAGCGCTTGAAGACGACTGGGTTGTCGTGATGGGGAAGAGGTAGGAGAATATTCATTGGGTTCGAAAGTCATGGTAATTGGTTCGCGATGCTCGTGCGTCCTCCCACGGTCGCCGTCCGCCTCGTAGTATAATTCGGAGTCCATGCTTGCCCTCTTCTCTTTTCTACGATGATCCTATTTGGGAGGCGGGCTGTGAGTGGTTATGGTTCCTCCTTAGCATAAACCGATATTGTTTCGACCCTGGTGCGATGGCCGGGGATCCCAGAAATTGGGGGGGAAGCTAAGTTAATAGGGTTCCCCTTTTTTAGGATTGTTTCGACGGGAGGGAAATCGTAAGATCCAGAAATAAGCTATCTCGTCATATCATTTCCGTAAGATTCGTCGAAATATGAAAGGATAGGTTAGAGAAAAGAAGAGAAGAGAGAGTGCCTAAGGAAAAAAATCAAACGAAACCAAGGAGAAAAAAAGGAGGAGGTTCGCTTCGCTTTGAGTCCGGTCCCCACGAAAGCCCAACGGTTCAAAACAATAAACATAAGCTAAAAACTATGTACTATGCCTACTATCCGCAAAACCGGTGTCCAACTCTGCAGCGAGATGGAAGGATGGGCGTTGGTGGGTCGTCCGGTACTTCGGAATTCCAGATTCTGGGCGTAAGACGGTGGTTGGCAAGGGTGATGAGGAGGCGAAGGGCCAATCACGTCAGCCTCTCTACTCGATACGGTATGTCGTACCGTATGTGAGCACAGTGCTATACCCACTTCGTCAGGGTCCACAGCCTTGGTTTTAACTTGGCTTCTTGGTCGCGACTCGCACTGCCAGAACAAGGAGGCTGCGGGAGATCGACCGGGTTGATTTAAATTGACCGAAATCAAATGATAAAAAGTTGATATCGACGTCGAAGAACGAAGTATAAAAGACTAAGGTGAATGCCTAGTTATCGTGGTTTGGTGTTGATTAATAGTTCTAGACCCTGCGTATGACGGCAATGTCTTGGATACTAGCATAGTATGCAGAGTTAAGAAGGAAGAGAAGACGAAGGGGCTGAGGAGGGGAAAAGCATAAAGGCATTTACTGGATTACGCTGAATTACGCTGGACTACTTACTAGGGGGTTATGCAACCTATGCAGCTCAGCCATAGCCTAGCTTGTGTGTTGCGTGGGTCGTGGGTCTCAAAAACGTGTAAATCGTCGTGGCTCTAGCTTGTGATAGGTAACGATAATCAGACTGGAGACTGGAGCTTCCCGGCAACAGGTTACGTAGTCTTTCGTGGTGTTTCTTTGGTCAAGTCCAGGTCAAGGTCCAGTCACTCGACGAGAACAACAGCCACTTACATCCAGCCAGCTGGAACACATCATCGTTCAATCTCGCTTGATGTTACGCCAATACCGAGTTTGTCTTATTGTCTTATTCTATCTACTAATTTGGTTGACCGTCAAAAGGCTTTCGACTATCTTAGACATTATTGACATCCACATTCTTGAAGAGGGCAGAGAGGGCAGAGGATAGGCGTATAAATGTCGTAAGATAGACCGCATAATATTGTGGGCTTGGAATATTCAGCCTATGATGGCTTAAGTTTACGTGGCTACCGCCATATTCATCTATCTTATGCAACCTGTAGGAGGCAACACGACACCAGAAACTCATTCTTATCCATTTCCTTACGTTAAGTATGTACCAAAATATGACATGGCTTAATAAACGATGAACCTTGCATTACGGCCGAGAAAAATGCATTGTGAATAGTATCGTGGAAGACTGATTCAGTTACATGTGGAAAGTGTATATTAAGTAGTGTATTCTATAAAAACTCTAGACCTCAAGGCGCAAGCCATTCAATCAAAGTGGCGCGCTATTGCTGATAGGATCTACGCCAGGTCTATTAAGACAGCGTGAACTTCATTTAAGCATCTTGAATCTTGGTATCCGTGGCACGTGGGAATTAAGTTAACATTAAAGACAATTATCCCGAAGTTGCGATGATCGATGATCGTCCGATTGGGCACCAAATAAACGCCTTGCAAACCTTGAAACAACTTCGAAGTCATTCCATCATCGGCGATGTTAAGTATATATATGTACGACGGTGGCCCGATCGATCACTTGAGACAAATATACCGCCTTTCATCGGTAGCAGGATGATTGGGTAGTCGGAATGCTTCATTGAATAACTAATTATACCAGACCCTTATTTTTTGGCACGACAACCCGCAAAGCTGAATCCTGATACTCAGCTGTCCATCATACCAACTCGGGTGACTGGTATATAAATCCATGTCGAGCCAACATGGGAAGTACTTTTCGGCGAAAACCATGCTCATGAGCGTAGGCCGAGACCTCAATATTCAACATCAAATAGAAGCCATGTTTTCCGGCTAGCCCGCAAAAGGTGCACAATGTAGTCCAGTCCCTTTAGTAGAAACTCTCCACCATTGTGTCCTTCAGCTTACCGCCAATATTACCCGGTGCCGCACCCTCGCCTAGTCGGAAGACGCTCTCGATCACGCTCAGCTCTGTCGCCGTAGTATCCAATCCCGTCACCGCCAGCCAGTCGTTGACTACCATACCAGCTCCAACCACATTGCTACCCCGGTTTACGCTTCCCGCAACTAGGGGTACTTGAAGCAAGCTGCTCAATTCGTCTTGGTCCTGGATGCTGGTCTTGGGATGTACCAGGCCGCCCTGGTTGCTTAGGCTCATGTAGCTGCCCACCAACACATTATCGGCAACGGTCTGTCGGAAAACCTCAACACCTAAAACATCCGCGATAATCTCTTCCGTCTCCCGCTCTAGATCGGGGTGGACCAGAGCTATGTGGTCATTCGATACGATGACATTGCCCAAGGCAGACAGACGTTCTTCTATTCGCTGGATCTTGACTTCGTCTGGTAGAGAATTCCGCAAGTGTTGGAGTTCTTGATCGGTTGTGGTTGTAGGAACAAGAAGGCCTTTGCGATTTCTAGATATACGGAGAAAATTAATCAGACCTATGCTAACACACAAACTACAAACCTCAAATCGCAAACGATATAAAGTCATAGAAATTCGAGGTTCTCTTACCCAGCCGTTAATCGACCGATGATGCGCGTGCCCGCAATCGTACACCGGCAAATAGGAATGACATCTTGCAATTCTGATTCAAAAACACTGTAAAAGTTTTCGCTTGCGCCGACCGCGGTAAGGGCATATGAATTTGTGAGTGTCGCGAAGACGCCGACCCTATAAGATTAAAATCGCATCGTCAGCCTCGTCTACTACAGCGCACCTAACACACCTGCAGCATCTGCCACACACAAATTTGTTTCTTTCGCGGGGTCGTGAACTAATGGCGGGGCTTACTCGTTGGAGTTTTCGAATTGTGCGCGCACAGACATGACTGCTGTTGTAGTAATACCGGTCACAGTTGAAGTTAGAATTTTGACGAAGGAAGAGTTTAATCGTCCGAAGATTGAAGTAAAGTAAACAGCCCAAATGGTTGTTTACAATGGAAGAATTGGAAGGTATACTCGTTGTCGATGGGGATTATACTTTCAAAGGCAACCGGATAATGCACGCTATTAATCTGAAATGTTCAAGTGGGGCCGATCAAGTACAATCTTCTTATCCGGTACTTAGCCAGCCCCAGCCCATCAGATCTCCTCCACCGGTGACTCAGCTTTACTCGACCCCAAACTCTGCATCGCCACAGAATATGACTCTGAACATGGGTAACTTCCGTGTACCTGATACATCTGGTCATATTATTGGGTTCAATCTTCCTTTCAACTGATGTTAACATTATGATTCATATTCAATCATCGTGGCTTCTCGTAATTTAATATGCCGTCAGCCAACACCTTCGAATATCCTAACCCCTTTTAGCATACGCCGTTTGCTGGCTTTATTGTGACTCGATGCATAATGAACAAATATTTGAAAGGACTTTGTCCTTTTTCAAAGAGCTGGTTCTAGGCTTCACATGGAAACATACTCGAATAGTATGCATGTACATAGGCAACTTACTAAATGAGATTGCATTCACGACAAGCGATGACATCTCATAAAAAAGGAGTGTCACTACATCTCTCCACAGGAGATTGATACCATGGTCATGTGTTTGTTGATGCTGGTATCAGCAAAATTGTTTCATAGTTCGTCTATTCTTCAATTGACCAGGCCGTAAACCCATTGAGCAATACCATCATTGCTGCCCATCATTGCTGCCCCTGATTGTATCATCGTAATTCTAAAGATGGGAAATACCTCGGTCCAGCAAACCCTTTCGCAATAACCGCCTGGATATCAATATTGGCACCCGGGTCGCGATGTGGACTCCACATCTTAAGTAATATGAACCGCCCAGATACCGGGGGATCAAACTTGATAGTGCACTTGCTCTTGTTTCTCTCTATGAAGAACCGCGCATGAGGAACCATCAGTTCTCCACCTACAGCTCGAACCGCTTCTTGCGTAGCTACCTGTGCTGCTTCTACCGCCTCCGCCAGTGCTGTGTTTGACCGGTTGCGACGTCGCCGGAGTCTGTGGTACGCCTCACTAAATGAATAGTCGTTTAGGCCGCCTTCATCCTCACTCGTCTCACTTTCAAACGGCAAGGAACCGATCCTATTCGGTGCTCGCCAATCGCCCCTGGGAATTGGTTCGTCTCCTTCGTCATCGCTGCACTCCGTCGTCACCCTAAACGGCGGTGGCACATTAAATTCCGAAGGAATCTGAGCAACCCGAACATTGTTGTCTTCGTCTTCCATCCAGATGTTGTATAGGCGTCTCGCTCTGATTTGCGCATGGGTCATAGTACTCCCATCTTCATTATGTCTAATGGATACGATGGGTGTCAGGGGCTGAGACTCGCGCTCCGTGCGCCTAGGCGAACTCCTAGAGGTCGAGTACTGGATTTGGTACTGGGCAGTCCGTGTTAGGAGATGATCGGATGTCATCGAAACGAAGACCATGCCCTCCTGCACACTGTAAATTTATTAGCTAAAGGATAATTGTGAGGAAGAAATAGTACTGACGGAGAGGTAAAATTGGACCTGGGCGCCTTTATGACCAATTCCTTTAGCGTGAACACGGTGGCGCCCTGATGCCTCAGGATGATATTACACCTCGGTCCTTCGGTGCAATAGACAGTTTGGTCATTCTTGAGAATGTTCTCTGCGGCGTACCTCTGGCCATCGTCTGAATAGATGCCACCGTCGCAGCTTACCAGTTCCATAGTCAGCTGACCTGGTTCCACCTGGCCATATTTTCCATATCGGAAGCCTTGAAAACCGCTACTTAAACGGTCCGAATCTATTTTGCGCCTCTTGGCTCTTCGGTTATCCTCTGTAGGGTCTTGTGGGGGAGGAGGAGGTGGTGGTGGTGATGAGAAAGCAAGCTCGGAGTATGGAAGCGTAGAATTGGTAAAATCTAGAAGCGCTTCTAGTTGTGAACTGGCCTCTCGTTGACGTTCCTCATCGGGTGTTTGTGTATCGGGTATTTGGGCTGCGGCAGATCGCCGGGTACCACGTGAAATTCGCTCAAAAGGTTGGGGTTCAAGACGCTCCCAGAACTCCCCGGCTTCTTCAGCTGCTTCGTTCCGATTCTCATGCGCGCCACGGAGCCTAGCCGAATATCGGTCTGAGCGTGGTCGCGCATGTCGCCCACCAGGTACACCACCAGACACAGGCATAGCTATGGATCGTCGGGTACTAGTCAACGAGCGTAGGGGCGGTAGGTAGGGAGGTGAAGGAGCTAAATTGTATAGAGGCGATGTGTCAGGATTCTGCGACTCTCTTAAAAATCTTCTCTGGGTTTCCGAAATAGGCTCCAATGGCATACTGTTCCGCAAGGAGGACCGCTGGCTTAAACGACCGAAGTGATTCCGGGCAAGATCCGGCCGTGTATTGCTAGTGGGCCGAGGGTAAGGATAGTACCTCTCTATAGCCCGATATAACTCTCCGGAAGGACTAATGTCGGAGGGTGAAGCATCACCATCGAGTATGGAACGCACTATTTCGTCCGCGGTGCGATAAGGTCCAGGGCTTGAAGGGGGCTGTCCGGAAGAATCGCCCGACTATCAGATGATGTTATTACTAGTCCATATGACGATACCAGGTCAAGTATATCCATAGATGAAAGGGACAAATTGATGGGTTGGCGATGATGGTCGAAAAGAGCGGGCTGAGAGCGGAATACTGGAACATGGGAATATGTGGTAGGTCCAGCTGACACTTACCATTAAGAGACAAAGGACCCCAAGTGTGTGCGTCGAAGGAGTAGACCGCACGTTAGTGGGCCAGAAGGCAGCCGATATGAAATCGGACTAGGGATGGAGAAATAGGGCTGTAATGATGAATTGTCTATTCGATTCGAAAAATTCGGATGGTGGTGATATCGTAGTATGGTAAGATGATCAAGTCGATGGGTTGTTAGGTGGAAGAAGGTCAATCAACTATGGTTGGAAATTGAATGGTTGAAGGGTTGATGATTGAATGGGAAATCCTATGGGAATATGGAAGGATATGAATGGAAATGTATCTAAGTTCGAAGCGGGTAGGCCAGTTCTTTAAGTTTAGGCGGGGTCAAAGGTTACAAGTTAACAGTCTCAAAGGCTAACGGGGAAATGATTAGATATACACCGATTATACTAGGGAACCACGTGTAATTTGATGTACCTCTTTAACAGGCATTACCCGCCCACACCGGGGCACTTGCAACCCACGCAGCCCACGCAACCCATGCCGCCCACGCAAACCTACTTGAGACTTGAGTACCTACCTCAGTACCTCAGTATGAGTATGTACCTCAATACGTACGATACCTAGTACGCCGTGGCTTACCTATTTTGTGCCTTCAGCTGTCGTCACACCCTGTCGTGTAGCCTCTCAATCTCTTTCAGCCAATGGTGCAAATCAGGATTCAGATAAGAGGATCGGATTTTCCGGTCTTTTGTGCTACCTGTTGCATTCCCTTGCCTTTTAAGGGGTGGTCATCTGTATAAATATAGGAGGTCTCTCAGGTACCTAGATATTACCTAGTGGGCATGTAGAGTGACTGGTAAAGTTAGAGTGCAATGCCTAATTGAGTTTTGTTTAAGGTGTGTAATTGGTATATCAGGTGGAAAGAATGACCAGTGACCAGTCAGCCTCGGATCCACTAATAACGCACCTTTATTCTATTATCGGCGATTACCAGCGTGGGAACATCGATTTAACGCACTTTTAATGCAGGTTACAACTTTAGCGGCCTTTTAGTGGATTTAAGTGTTACCTAAAAGAGAGACGAGGCTGGCTCATCTCATCGCATCGCATCTGCATTTGTACCAAGTCACATTCATCCATTCATTCCATTTACAAATAAATGAAAAAGGTACATCATCAAGAGATGAGGGCGAGGGTGGTGCGGTAATATTATCAAATCCATTAGCCATCTTCATTTTTCCTTTTTAATAGCACATTGATTTATAAAGAGAAGAATAGAGCGAAGAAGGGAAGAAAAGAAAAGAAAAGAGATTCGTCCATCTCAAAAATACCCAGGTCCTACCGATCTATTTCCTAGGCAACCGCAACTTCGAACTTGTCTCTCAACGCGCATATCCGCCTCGCCTCACATTCACACATCTCACATACGCTTCCCGTCCTAACTGTCAAGGAGACAACATTTACAACGCATCATCAATCCCGTCCCGAAGAAATTTAAGCGGCCTCTTACTAGCCACTCTCCTTCATCCGTTTCATTCTTCACATTCACCTTTACTCGAACTCGTATTTATTTATTTCTAACGATTTTACGATTTACCGAAAATGGAGCCTCAAGACCAGCAAGGCGTTGTCTCGAATCAGCAACAGCAACCCAATCAAGGCGGGCCACAAACTTCTGAGACGACTCAACCAGTTCAAGACGTGAATATTGCTGGACATGAAGCACAAATACAGTCACTACCAACACACGGAATATCCCTGCCGTCAGGACATTCCATTCCCAACAACGGCCTGCCAATCTTTCCGCCTCCTGATTCTGCATTTGTTACGGCGTTTGCCGACCCCGCCGTCTTAGCACCTCCGAATCAACAAGTCTTAAGCATCCTCAACCCAGTTATTGGGCAACCATCAAACGGAAATAGTTTGAGTGCAGGTAAAATGCCACTATATCTAGCTCAATAATACAACCTCTTTACTAATGTGAATCTCAGATGATATCGCCCTCTATGACCGTCAGCTGCGGCTGTGGGGCATGGAAGCCCAACAAAAGATTCAGAGCGCCAACATTGTTATCATTACTATGAAGGCTCTAGCGAATGAGATCGCTAAGAATCTTGTCCTAGCAGGCATCGGTTCCCTAACCATCGTCGACGACCAAATCGTCACCGAAGCTGATCTGGGGGCCCAATTTTTCCTCTCTGAAGAAAATGTCGGCCAAAGCCGTGCCCAAGCAGCTTCCGTTCGAATTCAGAAACTAAATCCCCGAGTTAAGGTCATCGCTGACTCTGGAGGTATCATGACCAAAGGTGCATCATTTTTCGGCAACTTTGATATCGTCATCGCCACAGATCTTAGTCCCACGCTTCTCGCTTTCATCAACACCGCTACTCGTCTTCATAATCGGCAATTCTACGCAGCTGGAACCTATGGTTTCTATGGGTACATATTCTGTGATCTGATTGAGCACGATTACGTTGTACAGCGTGACAAGTCCAACGTGCCAACTTCCATAGGCCCGGAGACACGAACTCGTAGCATTATCAAGGTAGAGAGCCAAAAGGAAGGCGGCAAAGTCATCGAGAAGGTCCAGAAACGCGAACTTTACTCTACTTGGGATCTCGCCTCTGAGACCAGCCTCTTACCTCCCGAATATACCAAATCCAGACGTCGTCTAAAGGCCGTCTCGCCAGCGCTATCCTGCCTTCGGGCACTATGGGCCTTCCAGCAGCTCCACGATGACCGGTTCCCCGAACACAACAAGCAAGATCTGGAAGTATTCACGCGATCAGCCACGCACAGCCACGCGCTCCTGTCTCTCCCCGCAGACACCATCCGATCCGAGTTCCTGCGCAGCTTCCTCCAAAACATCGGCTGCGAAATCGCGCCCGTGACGGCCATCCTCGGCGGCCAGCTAGCCCAGGACGTGATCAACGTCCGCGGACAGCGCCAGCAGCCGATCCAGAACATGGTCGTCTTCGACGGCGATAAGATGGAGGCTGAGATGTACCCCCTCCACCCCGAAGGCCACCTCGGCAGGGCCCAGCTCGAAATCGCTACGCCCTTGATGCCCTTGCCTCCCATTGACCCCTCCCAGATCCCGCTTCACCCGGTCGATCCTTCGCAGATGTCACTTCCCTTGGATCAGACGGGCGGGATGGTTGGAACTCAGGGATTGCAATAGGGTGTGTGATCTTTGGATGGGGGGTTATTTCTACGCGCAAGGTTGGACTTTGGGTGAGGGAAGAGATTTGTCGATGTTGGCATTGCTATCAATGTCGATGTCACGGCGTTTTTATCAGATCTCACGTCTGTACGCGAGTTTGGGCATAGCCGGCGGCGATGATTTTTTTGTTATCTTGTGGTTACGTGGCGTGCACTCTCTTCACGAAGTTGCGGTGGATGGATACCAGATGAAAAAATGGGCTGTTAGGTTAAAAAATACCCTCGCCCGCGGTTGTGTTTTCGTGTTACCTACTGTCTATTTCCTCCTCTTCCTTTTTCCCTCGCTTTTTAATCTCACAGTACGGAAGCTGGGACCCTTGCGAATAGCTGACCTGGCTGTATTACATGCATGCGTGAAAAAATGAAAGGAAAAGGAAAGACAGCAACAAAATTAGAGGGCGGCGAAGAAAAGATGGCGATTGTGTACGATACCAATGCTTACCTAGGTTACTGCTCATAGATGATTCATGAAGATGCTGTGGTAGTGACTATGAAATGGCCTTGCTACCTAGGTACTTTGATTATCCTGACGCGAGTTTTATGATTGTGAGATATTAATGACTTGTGAAGCTGGTTCGACTTGGACTTTAGTAGGTTTATATTTTGGCGAGCCTTGAGGGTACCTACCTATGCAGCGTAAGAAATTAGAGCCGTTATGTGGCGTAGTCTAAGAAAGGTAGCTCCAGCGACGAAGAACATCCCCAGAAGATTACGGTAAAAATCACCATCACTAGCAAATCAAGATCACGAAGTCAAATCAAGTAGAGTAGACGATCAGAATCGTTGTGAATTATGTGCATTTATACCATGGTATATGCAGTATCACTCCGCCTCCTTGATGTTAGAGACGACCCGTGCCTCGTTTTGCCCCATCCATGTAGCATGCCTTTCCCGAATCCTATTTCCTTCCCCCTAGGTAGGTACTGAGGCAGCAGGGCGTACAAGACCATATGCAAGTAATAATCGTAACGCAAAAACAGCGTGCGTCAGATCGTTTCGTTACCGAGCCGCGCCGGGCCGATCACGATAAAAACACAAGATGCGAATGGGAAAAAAGTAGGGGAAAAAATCAAAGTCGACGAGTACTTCTTTCCTGAACTCCAATCTCCCATGCAGAAAATCTTTTTAAGCCCCGGGTTATACCCAGTCGGGCGTCTCTCCGTTCCGTGCCCAATGCTTCCCATGCGAAATGCTATGCGCCCAGAATACAATAGGTACAAGAAGTATAACGACTCGTAATGGTCGTGGTCGTAATCATAGTCGTAGTTGTAGAAGTGATGAATTTAGGCGGAGTTCAAGAATATGTGTATGGTGATGGGTATCGTGGTCGAAAAATCGTATGCAAAGCATTTCCGATATCGAATCCTTCTCTCTATGTACCATTGGCTTCCAATGTGATTTCCTATGTCGTTATGTGTGTGTACAAGTAATTAATCGTAGGTCCGTTCGTATATAGGACCAGGTCGTATAGCCTCAGCTTCTATCAGAGGCATTCCATTTGCCAATATAAGGCGATATCGTGCTGCAAGATGACAATCGTCAATATGACAGCCTTTCAAGAGGCGTCTTAGGGACCTACTTGGGAGAATCCTTCTCCTCAGAATCCTCCTTTCTCGCACTTCTGGTTCGGCCCTTGGAAACGTTGTTCACATTCCAGCCTCTGATAGTCGTGGGTCCAGTGCGTGGAGGGGGTTCGTTTGCCCGGTAATCCTTGATAGCTTCCTTGTGATCGTAGTGAGCAAGTCTTAGCTCAGTACCACCGTTGGTTTGCCACGGGCGGTTGTTAGACGCTGGTGCAGCTGCTATCCTACGGAATTGTCTACCGGCTCCGTTGCCGTTCGATGACACTGACGTTCGTTGTCGCGTTGCATGAGCGGGCGGGGAAGGAGCTAATACGGGCGGGCCGGGTGGTGAGATGGAAGGTGCGGGAGGTTCCATTTGCGGCATCGGGGCTAGCTGTGCCTGTCCGTGCATAGATGGCGACATCACGTTGTGATAGATCGAAACATGATGGCTCAATGGAGAATGGTTAGGCATCATACCAGGACCGGGGATGTGTTGACCCGAAATAGGCATCGGCATCATGGGTGGCTCATGGAATGAGAGGCCCTGGTGATAAGCTCGAGTCGGAGCCGGAGGGTAGTAAGTTCCAGAGTTAGTGTGAACTAAACCATGAGGGGCTCCGAACTCCTGTGGCTGCTGATTCATAGGCAGAGGTAGAGGCTGGAGCTGGGGAGAAGAATGAGATATCTTTCCCAGGGTTTCCGATCTGTTAGGTCGTAGCGGTGGGAGACCAGGGCTATCTCTAATGCCGTTCTGGTTCACGAAGGGGTTCCTATGAGGTGCTGCCTGTGGTGCAACTTCCAGTGGAAGGGCTGGCGCAGGTGCTGGGGCGATAGGCGTAAAAGTAGAAGCCGGGTTCAAAGCGGTCTGTAAGAAGTTGCTAGGTGATGATAGCTGTTGGCCATGCGGGACATAGCCGCGCGGTTCCACCTCAGCTCGATCAACTCTAGGTTGGTTGGCCTTAGGAGGAAGCTCCGGTTCACATCGAGAAACTTCATCAGCCGCGCCAGCAAGGATATCTAGAGGATTATTAGGGGCCTCTGAGTGCTGCTCTGGTCTAGCAGTAGCCGGCTCCGTGCCAGTAAAGACGTCCCGAACCGCATCATAAGGGCGGGACTGTCGTGGACTAGGCGGAGTAGGCGAGGACGAGGCCTGACCGTCAACTTCTGAAGCGGCTTCCAACAGAACATTTACACGTTCTTTGAGGAAGCTGTTGGAGACAGGTTGGGGGGAAGCTGAGTTCTCCGTTGGAGCTTCATGGTCATCCGCAATAACAAGTCTTTCACGAGCCTGAACTTCCCGTTCGCGCATTTCCTCGGTAACGATATCATCTTGGTCGATGTCTTCCTCTTCGCAGAAACCGCGTAGCATCGATGACATGAGTCCCTTCGTCGCGTCATCTCGCAGCATGCGGTCCATCTTCATAGGTCTGACCGATCGTGATGCGTGATTCGTAGTATGACGATCCGGAACATGAACGATAGGACGCGATCCGTTGACCCGCTCACTAGGCGGTTCCGGCTCATTGACGGAGCCTGGTAGAAAGAAGCCGTACTTGGGATGTAATCTGTGCTTCTTTACTAACTCGGGATCCAGGGTTTCGGCCGTGTACTCGCGGCAGTCGTAATCCTTGACCGTATGGTCCACATGCCAGGCCCTAGAATTGGGCGTATTGAGGAATTTACCGCGCGAGTGTCGCGTAGCTCGTCTAGTAGAGTCATTCGTGGAGTCGCGGAATCCAATCTCGTCATCTTCCCACTGGAACGTCTGCTGTAGGATGAACCGATTTGCCGGGCTCTTAACCCGTCTGATGACTCTTCTGACACCATGCTCATCAGGTTCACAGGTACCGTTAGGGAAGTCCGGCAAGAGTTTCTTCGTGGCAGGTGTGACCTCCTGCTCTTCGAGAGGTGTGGGAGAAGGCGCGTTTGATTCGGAGACGCCATCAGGTTGCTGTTCTGAAGCAAGAAGACCACCGGTATGCCGGAGCTTCTTAGAATCAGGCTCTTCATCAAGCTGATCGACTGCCCTGCGCTTGGGAAGCTTCGCTTGACGATCTCGCTCGAGAGCATGGGCAACTTCCAAAGTTGACTGTCCCGAAATGAAAGACACATACGGTATGTTCTCAACATATGTGTAGGAGAGATCAGGTGTCTAGAGGATGTTGTTAGTTTTGTTGATTGTGGAAGATAAGAAGTGTGTGGCTGAATAAATAACTTACGGTAGTAGGGCAACCTTCGTGGCGAAGCTCATCTAATATGCTAGCGCGGTTGCGTGAGCCATCGATAAATTCATCAGTAGCATAGTTGAATGAATCCTGTGAAGAATATTAGTAAATGAAGTAAATATAAGTTGAAGGAGAAAGAAAAATAAGTTTAAGTATTAAGAGGGATAGGATGGAACATACGGTGAAGCATTTGTTAATACGAGTACGTTCTAATCGGTACTCGTTCTCGGTAACACGGGATTTGGCTTTAAACTCCCGTTCGATTGCCTCAACAGCGTCTTTGTATCGTTCATCTAAATGGTCTTGGACGATTTGGTGCTCATCGGCATCCTTGTGAGCATCCATGCGACGGTTCAAGTCATTGATAGACTGGTTGGCAAGTTCTTCTAGAGCTGGCTTGACGGCATTGGCAACTTGCGAGTAGACATCTCGAAGTTCCTTTTGGCGTTCATATGCAGCTTGGGTAACAGGGTCAAGGTATACTTTCTTCTGGCCACGACCTTTACCACGAGCAGTCTTCTTGGGCGCGGGCTTTCGACCGGTTCGCTTGGTCACGCCTCTGCCGGAGGGTTTCTTGGTGGCGGGAACGGCCTTTCCCTTTCCCTTTGCAGGGCTTGCCGCGGGGGAATGAGTAGTGCCACCCATCTTGAAGATGGGCGCGAGGGATATGGTGACAGGTAATACGTGATATGCAGAATGTGTATTGTGTAGTATGTGTAGAATTTGTTCAGAAGAAGGTGTGGGAAAAATAGGTAGGAAGACCAGCGTTGAGTGAAATTCTTAGGTAGCGAATTACACACAAAAAACAAGAACGCGGTAGTCTTGGCAAAGTAGAATGAACAAATAATTATAGCAGCAGTAGTAGATATCTTACTGATTGCTATGAGAGAAAATGCTTGAGGAAAGGATTATTGCAGGGAGGTAATAAGTGAAGAAGTTGTGAGTGCGCATGTAGGTAACGAGTAAGTAGTAAGTGGTTGTTGGTGAAAAGAAAAGGATGGCAAGTTTTGGTATTATTTTGGTAATGTGTAAGGTGTAAGGTAAAAGGTCAGAAGGTAAGGGGACGGTGACGAAAATAATTAACCAACTGGTGGTCGATAGAAGTTTAAGTGAGAGAAGAAAATAAATAAACAACTATTAGGTAGTAGGCAGAAAATTAAGTACCAGTGGCTGGCACTTAACAAGATAAACCCCAAGTGTACGAATCTGTAACGGTTTCCAAGGTGAAGTCGTCGTGGTAATGTGGTAATAGGTAATAGGGAGAAATTTAGAGGCTCACACGCTTCACTGCTAATCCGCCAGGCCATGAGATTTTCTCGGCCAGCACAATTAAACAACTAGACCACCCTGGACTTCCCGATACAGTCAAGTCCCCATGCGCTGTCTAGTTGCACTTGGACCTCTGTACTACTTTTTATCGCCTTTAAGCTTTTTCATTGGCTCGGAGAAACCCCTAGTCCGTTTCCGTTTCCGGTTCAGTCGGGGTCCACCTGGTACAAAACCAACAACACGTACCGAATTACAGGTACTTTACTTGACTAGACCTAATGAAGAAGAACTACAAGTATTTTTTTTTAGTGGTATATAGCAGTGTCTGGTAGGTACTTAGGTAGCTAGTATATAAGGACGTAGAATTTCGAATAGGTACATGTACCCAGCTCTTAATAGTGCACAAGTTCAAAAACTATAATAAAATGCTTCTAAAATATTACTACTAGGTAGATACGTTTCCGTGTTGCTAGAAAAAGGTACGTGCAAGTTTATATATAGGATTCGTTAATACATTCATAATGTACCTTAGCTTCTTAGGTGCTACCTACGGTTATACTAGGTATGTACCTACGTAACCAACGTGTTTGTATCTCCCACTTACATGATGGGGTCTCCTTACACCATCCAACCCCTTGGACCTGAAGATCTCTTCATCGTTAGTTAACGGTATATTAATATAGATAAATACGTACGTACAGTGCAATTCGTTATTTCTATTTATCAGATTTCACTCAAGTGGGTTATGAGAAACGCCTTAAGCACCCAGCATCTCGAATCACGGAGTACCTACATACGTCGGTACTCGCACAAATGCTGTGCAATCACCGCCTACTACCGGACACTTACTTAGAGGATGTACATAGTTAGCCTCGGTGCGCCATTCCGCCTCAAGTTAAAACTTTGACGCCTTGGTGGAATCTTCTTATTTCAACTGAGCGGAATCTAATCGAACGAGGAACGGTTCCGGTATTATTTCTATCTAGTACATTTTTTAAAAAACTTAATCCGCTAGACTATGTACATACCGGCATATCCGCCGTCTGTGTGTATAATAGATACACATAAAATTGGTATTTCTTTTTCTTTTTTTTTAACTGTTCATTGTGTCTACGTAAACTATCTGTCGCCTAGGCAAGAAGCAAAAAGCAAATAATTGCCAGCCTTACCACTTACGAAGTATGTAAGGCACACAATGGCTTCGAATATCATTCGTCATACCTCGCAGACCGCTTACTGACGTGTGGGCTGCAAACATGACTTGCAGTAGGCACCTAGGGAAATATCCGTAAATTCCGTGAGTAGGATAGATGTCTACCATAATATTGTATGTAGGTTACCTATTGAGAGACTCGATCGCGAGATAAATCATTATGACGATATCAATTCAACATACATAGATTACTAGCATCATCTTTATCCTGAATAGCTTCGGATGTGGTTCAGCGCATGTCTCATGTGCCTCATACATATGCTGCGTACCTACGTTAGGTACAAAAGAGTAGGAGATCCAATTATGTACCTTGCTTCCTAAAAGGGAACTCCATGTACACATTATGATGTACTAACGTATTTTAGTAACACGGGCATCCCATTGGTCCAAAATACCCCAATCCATCCAGGGACCCCGGAATTTCTAAAATAAGACTAGCTCGTCCTTACCCTCGTCCCGCAGAAGGCTGTAGCCGCAGCGAGTGGGATGGTCCCGCGTTTACGGAGCAATCGCGAGCCACTAATTTTTTTTCCCATTCCCCCTTCCCTATCGGCGGGAGCCACAGCTCGCAAGCGCGATCTCACATCACCTCACCCAACTTCCCGCAAAACTTCCCACCCGTATCCGAACTTCCAATCCCATCTTTCCCGCACCACGAGACCCGGTCCCACCCTAAATTCCCCCGGCTTCTCCGTACGCTGCATTACATAACGAAACTACTGTCCCCCCGTCTTCGGCCGCGGCTGTACATGCGACATGACGCGCCGCCCGTAAGTAGCGCAACGGGTAGCAGCGAACATGGGGAAGCGGCGGAAGGTCGCGCATAGCAACGCGCAGCAGCAGAGGTCCGGCGGTGGAAGCCAGAAGGCGCACGCGCACGCGCAAAAGGGGAAGAAGGCGACACAAGGACCGCAGCAGCAGGCGGCGAAGTCCCACAAGCAGCAACAGCACGACGAGCCCACGATCCCGTTCGCGCCCGAACACAAGATCCTGCTCATCGGCGACGGCGACCTCAGTTTCGCCGCCTCGCTAGTCGAGCACCACTACTGCGCCGACGTCACGGCCACAGTGCTCGAGCGCACCCCCGAGGAGCTCGTGGAGAAGTATCCGCACGTCGCGGAAAACATCGGGAAGATCGAAGCCGAGGGGTGCGGGAGGGTGTTGTATAACATCGACGCGACGAAGATGGCTCCTTTTCTCGACAAAAAGGGCAAAGACAGGGTCGGGACAATGGACCGCGTGATGTTCAACTTCCCGCACGTCGGCGGGAAGAGCACGGATGTCAATCGCCAGGTGCGCTATAACCAGGAGCTTCTCGTCGGCTTCTTCAAGCGCGCGGCGCCGTCGCTGGCGCCGGGGGGGAAGATCGTCGTTACGCTGTTCGAGGGCGAGCCGTATACGCTGTGGAATATCAGGGACCTTGCTAGACATAGTGGTCTGCAGGTCGAGCGCAGCTTCCGGTTCCAGGCCGCGGCGTACCCGGGCTATCACCATGCCCGCACGCTTGGTGTTGTGAGGAGTAAGACTGGCGAGGTGGGCGGTGGGTGGAGGGGTGAGGAGCGCGCGGCGAGGAGCTATGTTTTTGTTCGGAAGGACGATGAGGTTGCGGTGTCGAAGGGGGGTACCTGGGGGAAGAAGCGTGAGCGCGCGGATGACGAGTCCTCTGATGACGATTGATGCATCTCTCACGCTTGCTTCTTCTTAGTGAGGACAGTGACCCAGAGATTGGAGAGGTATTTGCCTTTTGGTCATTGGTAAAGTGTGGTATACGTATTACCTGGGGGTCAAATGACCATGCTAGAAAATTGGGTAGACGATGACCGGAAACTGTTATCCTGGCCGGTCCCAACGGTTGGTATGGAATATCGGATCAGTATCCGAAAGGCTGGTGGCAATAATACAGCTGGTACATTTTCCTCTGGGAAATAGTAGGTAGCCAGCCTTTGCTTTGGATAGAAGTCATATCTTCATCTCTGATCCTTCATTTGGGTTATTAGATGTGCATTCTATTCATCCCCGAAGAACGATGTCGACCCCCTAGTTTTTATGTGCCTTGCACATTGGATATATTCTCGTTGGAAAGTTGGTGTCATTGTGTTGGAGGCTATTGGAGTGTACTGATTGGGTTGTGTGGGAACACCATACTGTAAGGATATCAACAAATCGCGTTATTCAACAGGCCACTCCAACTAGACAATGTGAGCCAAAATATCGATAATGAAAGACCATTGGTCCAGACGTTGCTGTAAGGGCTATTCAACATAAACGTGCTTACCCAAAAGTAAGACATGGTGGTGGAACTAAGACGAAAACCACGAGTTTGGCCTCGCTGTCTTATGTCAGTCTATCAACCTCAACCTACACCAGAGATCTGGAGAGGGAGGGTAGAAATTCATATGAATCCCGAAATCCGTATACTAATTCATGACACGAGAATAATACGTACGTGAAGCTGCACATAGAACTCGGAACAGTTCCCCTACAAGATTCTTATACCTATATGTAGTTACCTCTCGCCTTAGACACCCACCCATCACGTATAAGCGGCGGAGTACAAGGAGATGTTCGCAGGTTTATTAGCGTCTTAGGTCGTCAATTTCTTAATCTTAAGCACGTATGCTTGAGGAAATTCCCTAGATATTCGGTAAGACATCCCATGATTCTCGTTCTTCTCCGTAAAGTTGCCTCGAACATCTAGCTGACAGACTACTATGAATCACGTGTACACCCGGTGTCCTAAATTCCATCTTTACCCCTGAAAATAGTCAGGACCTAATCTCGGCATTTCTACCTTTTCTTCTCGACCTTCCGCCAGGAATTGCTCTGCCCGGGCACGATTGTGCTTGGGGTACTACGCTGTCGCGTCTGGGGGCGTGGGGGCTGAGTTTTAGCTTGCGATTCTCGCTCTATGGTTTGTCTGCCCTAACGGATACCACCTGGCGGGTGTGCCGCTGGACATCTCCACGTCTAACATTGATAAGACAGTGGATTCTACTACTGCTTACACACGTCTACGTAGGTAGGTTCTCAAAGCAGTAAGCTGACTGATTCCATTGCCGGACTCAGTAATGATATTCAGCGTAGCTAATCTCAAAATTCCCTCACGGATGCCCAATCCGTATAGAAGGATGAACCAATCGGGTAGCTGGTTAGTTCCTTTCAAAGACCCAATCTCTCGGAGCATAACGTTTTCAACAAATTAACGGACTGAGTTGCGATTGTTTGCCATAGAGACAAAAAAAATTAAAGAAATAAGTTTACTTCACGATGCAGGTCTAAGATTAAGTAGGTGATACTTGAGTTAAGACGAAGCCGTCGAATCATAGGGAGTTGCGAAGTTCGGCCTATCATAGTGTTCCAATTATACCCTGTACTGGATGGATGGTCTGATGTTACCTTATTGGCCGGTTGTATAACTCCTATTTCGACTCTTGGGCAAGGGCTTGGCTTCACTCTTCCGTGATATAAGCTTTCAAATCGCCGTGATGAATAATGGTACTAACTGTGGGATTCCGAAGTCTATAGTATAAAGACTATATTTATGTTTATGGCAAAAGGTAGATTATATTTCTAATGTTCAGATTGACGAGATATGCCTAGTCATATCCAGGAGTGATTTCTAAACTATTAGGAGCGTGTGCCGATATTCGTGTATGATGTTATAAATAAAGAGCTTTCTTAGAATTATCGTAGAAAATCAGCAGGTGGCTCCTGAGGATGGGGGAGGACTACGTTTGAATATACCAATTTATTCCGTTTCGAATATCAAAATTCCGGACGCACTTTTTTCTCCAGCGAAAAAATAAAATAAAAACACATTTTCGAGAAGTCGGCTGTTGAACGTATTTTTTTAAGTAGTAGAATTTCTATCTACCACCAGAAATATTTCCCATAAACCTACACTCGACCAGTCGTGCATACATATATGTATCATAAAACCGCCCACCACCCTTAACCCCCTCCGTATAACCCAAAAACGCCCTAGGGAATCGTACACGAATAAAATAGCAATTCTGCCGGCCGCCGAGAATATGAGAAAAATCGTGATCTTATGCCTCCAGCAACAGAACTGCGCCGTAAATGCTTCAACGACGGGGTCGGTCGAATTTCGGTTATGTCCATAAACCTAGACGCCGTTGGAATAGAGAACATTGGGCTGCATTTTACCGATGAAACCTGTTCGTCTGCTTTGAACGGTAGAGTGGAGGAAAATGCAACCAGCAAACAAGGGGCCACGAAACTACCATAGATGGTTGCCGTCCAGCAGTAGGTGAAAAAGGAGAAATCGTACCTGTGGGTATCCCGTAAAACCAGTAGTTGATACTTCTCGATGAATTTGAAATATCAAGAACGGATAGAGAAATGTGCCAGCCCCCGAAAGTGTAAAACGAAACTAGCCTCCCAAAAACCTTTCTCTATAAACCCAAGATATCGATGGTGGATTATGGTATCGAATGACCAGGCTGGTCGTCTAATATGCTACACTCTTCTCTAACTCCGATCCGCTACCGTGGTTACCGGGGGAGGGACGTCTTTTGATATATCGTGTCTCGTCCTATCTCTATTTGGAAATATGGGATCAACGGCCCGGTGAGGGGGCTCATATGTTTGCAAATTTCGCGGGGATGGTGGGTATGGATGTGGAGGTTGCGCTCGCGGTTGTAAATGGGGAAGTCCTTGCGACGGATCTGGTTGCTGCTGTTGAATGTGCGGGAGTAGTGGCGGTGATCGCGAGTCCAGTGCTATCGAACCTCGATCACGAGGCGACAACGTAGATCTCTCTACTTGCTCGAGAGGCTCCGGGAAAGCGCGGGGAGTTTCTGTGTTAGATGCTGGCGATGTAAGGGGGAACGAGCTACTCGCTTGTCGTGGACTGTCGATTGCACCAAAACCGCGCTTTTTAGATTTCTGGTCGCCCGGGTTGCTCGAGATCTCGTATCCTGGGGACGATGCATATTCGCGCTGGGGCTGGGCTGCTAGCGGAGCCAAAGGTGCTGGTGTTATTGGCGTATACTCCGATATGCGCGAGTAGACGGCGCGAGCTTGAGCTTCCTTGTCTGCCTTGGACGGCCGGCCGCGTTTTTTACCTGTCGACGTTACCGGGGGACTAATGCTGACGGGAACAGCTGGCGGATAGCCATTCGGAGGAGGGCGCGGCTGAATAACGCGAGCTGCAGTTACGGGAGGCTCGAGAGGGGCCATCATCGCTTGCCTCTTCGCAGGGTGATCTACTAGGTCGCTCAGGGATTTGCGCTTGAAGCTTGTCAGGTTCGGCGGCGGGTATTTAGTCTGGAACATGGTCTCGACTGCGCCGAAGCACTGGTTCATATTACGACCTGTTTTCATTAGGGGGGCATATTCGTTAAGGCGATCCCCAGATACGTACCACCGGGAAGCTGCATCGACATCCAGTTTGGCTCGACATGATGAGCCTTGATGAATTCGACGAGAGTATATACGTCTATGGTGCTGACCTTGATCATTTCACCTAGCACGAACCGCTATAGCAGGAAAGGGTTAGTCGGGAAACATGATGGGGGCGACTATAACAATTTTACCTTCTCGTCGTCCGAAAACGTAGTGTCCATGGCGAGCAGCTAAGTCTGACAGCGGGAAAGACGAGGGGGGGAGGGGAAAGGAAGACAAGGGGTATGCCAGCAGAGTTGCGAGTAAGTCATTTGAGAATAGAAATGATGGGGAACGAAAACTGAAGACGAAGACACGATGTTCCCAAGGCAAGCAAATGGTCGTAAGGCAGATACTGAGGCGACGTGGTGTAGATCGCAACAGAGAGATACCTATTGTGCCCGAAGATCTAGGCCATCAGGTGGCAGTGATGGGCTAGGTAAACCTCAGATAGCAAGGTAGGGTGGTGGTGCCCAGGTAGTGTACTGCGTACTGCGCCGGGATTCCTAGAGGGTCAAAGGAGGGTGTGGGAGTCTCGCAAGAGGGTAAAGAGACGCGCGCAAAAATAAAACGTACGGTCCAAGCGCGCGTCTTGGACGAGAGTTCAACCGAGGAGTAGGTAAAGCGAGTGTGTCTCAGTTGAGTAAGTAAAGTTGTACAAACGAGGGAGTATGAGCCGTGGTCGTCGAGAGAATGTGCGCGGCGATCTCCTAGGTTGCTTTGCGTCTACAAGGGTAGCGCGGTGGAACAAGGTGGTTTTTCTGGTTAACCAGACTGCCAGGGGGTCCTCCTTGGGTACGAGTACTTCCGTACCATCTGAGAGCGAAATAATAACAATAAAATAATAATGGAGATTGTTAGGATGGATGGACTGGTTTGTTTCCCTAGTCCGGGCTTTAATCTTTTTTTTTTCTTTTTCTTTTTTTGTTTCTTTTAAAAGAGCCCCAAACTTTTCTTCGCCGAGCAAACGAGCGCCCTCTTCGTGCAGAAAACCCCAACTTAATACCCAGCTACCTAGGTTGGTAGGTAGGAGAGGTAAGTATCGTTACCTACTAGGTATTGTATTGTATTGTATTGTACCTTGTAACAATAACAACCGGCAACCGGAGATAACCCTTTAAAATGAAGAGGCGCTGGTGCCGAATTCTTCCTTTCCTACTTTCTCTCTCCCTCTTCGGGTTTGTATATGTATATGTCTGTTTGTTGTCTGATATATACCTATGTTTCGATAAAGGTATTGCAGTTCCAGATGAGTCCATTTGCGTCGCATGAATCGTAAACTGCCGCGCTAGATCGAGATAGACAAGTGATCGGTAGAATTGCTAGGCTCTAGAGCTGGCCGTCCATCCCCCAGATCTGGGTTCGGAGGCTTTTCTTGTTCACCTTAGCCCAATGCAATAATGCAATAGCACGAGCAGAGAGAAGTGAGAGCTAAGGTTGCGAGACGCGCGGGTTTGCGTGCAGCGGCGGCCGCTGCTAGCCAGCAGGTCATATGCTGAAAATATATGCCATTAGGAAGTATCGTGCATGTCCATTGCAACCATCACGATTTCGGCCTGATAGTTACTGGACTGTCGATATGCACCTCTGTCCCTCTTGCAGATGGGCAATACATCCATGTCCATCCATGTCGTTAGCTGCGAGCCAATCCCGCTGGCCACTTAGACAAATCGGGTCGCCTGACTAGGCTCTCTTGCATTGGGCTGGTAAGAATTGAGAAACATTGAATATTGCCCATATTCTTAGAGGCCAATTCCCACACCACCACCGTCGCAAGTCTCTGCTGCTAGCTCCCTTAAGCTCTCTTAGCAGTGCCTGTCCTACACCGCCAAAGAGGCATCGCGAGAGACCAACGAAAAGTAATGTGATCGGAAAGACAACAGAATGGCATAAGCATAAGCAACAGAACTGGAAATCCCATTAGCTCCCGTACAACCAAGGTATTGCTTAGGAGAAGGGATTGAATCCCATTGGTCCCTCATTCTTTACCCAGTACCCAGCACCCAGCATCCAGCACCTCCGCTGGGCTGGGCTGTCTGGCTGTCTGGCTGGCTGTCTTCGTTAGCTGTCGAAGTCATGCTCGCTCGATAGCGGGTCCCCTCGTTGCGGTCGCTTGACTGGCCGAGAGTCGCTGAAATCTCACCAATCGCAGAGCCGAGGAGGATCTTCCAGAGCATTCACACGCTTAGCGACCAAGCACAGATCAAGAGTTCGTCACATATGACGAGCCGCGAGCCGCAGAGGGATTGATCGAGTCCATCCGGGATTATAAAAAGATGCTTCGAGTATACAGATTTCTTCTTTTTTTCGATCTGAATAAATTTGAATGCATCATTTCGAGACGCTCCGGCATCTAGCACTTTACGATCTAAAATTTCCGTAGCTTCGGACGCCAGACCTTATATATGTTGTATATCGCTCTAGCACCCATACCGCCTTTTTCCTACCTCAACTTCAGGCTCTGTTCTATGCATAATGAGTTGGCAGTTCCTCATAGGGGACCCACCCACTTCAGGTATAACCCGTCATTGCTCGCAGCAGAGAACCCCGGCGGTGATCCTGGACACGACAAGAGACATCGATCGAAAGGCGATGCGATTTCCTGGGGTGCTGGCCGGTCTATGCTGTCTATGATATGAATGCCGACGCCCATTACGTATGTCAAGGTGATCGGAAGCGGCTATCCTTTAGTCCTATGTTGCAACCATCATGGCTGGTTCATGAGTCTGAGATGTTGGTGCCTGTACCACGTTTCAATATCGATTGGTTCAATTCTGCACTGCAGATTCGAGTCTGAATACTCTTGACCGGACTTGTCCAATGTGGTGATAGTGTGGCTCGGCGATTTGAACCCCATCTTCCCCCTTGATTGCCTAGGTACAATACCTAGGTAGTTGTCGTCGCGTGTCTTGTCGCTGCCGGCCATGCTGACTTTTTACGATCATTCTAGATAACTAAGGAGATTCAATTACTGGCATAGTAATAGATGCATAAAGATGCTAGGTATTCTACTGGCGACTTCGGGAATGCTAGGAGAATACACTAGAGCATTCATCTTCTCGATTCTCGATTATCGGAGAGTTGCAGAAGTCTTGGAAATCTTGGGGCGCACTTCCGGATGTTGAACCAGGTTGGTCTCTCGCTGTGGTGACTCCAACGACCATATCCTAGTACTAGACAATACTATCTGTTTAGGTGCCATTCATCACCAATATTACTACTACGCCAACTAAGAAGTTGTTCGGTATGAATGGCATCTAAGTGGATGTGAACATGGAAGTGAAAGTGGAAGCGGAAGTGGGAGAATTGACGGGAACGGAATTAAGGACCAAGGGGGCGTGCCTTAAGGTTCGTGAAAAGCATTGCAGCTCCCTAACCTGCCAGCCTATCTATCTACCTAAGCAGTCACCTCCAGGTCTCTTTGAAGTTTGAAGTTTAAAAAAAGAGCAGGAGGTCATAGGTGATGTATGTACTTGTACTTGAACATAAGCAGGTACAATACCCCCTACAATATTCTGAATATTTTGAGCATTCTACACGTAAGTTCTAGCATATCACTGCTTAGATATCGAAGTTGACAGGTACCAACATCGACTTTCATCTTCCGTTTTGCGACATCGATGAAAGGTAAGGTACAGTACAATACAAGGCAGTGTTGTACAAAGTCCCCTGTTAACCTGCACTAAGGACCAATGGTTAGCGATCATATTTAGCGAAATGGTGGGGCAGGTAGTATGGCATAGGCTTCGGATAATTGAACTCTGCTCCGAATTTGCAAAGGCTGGCGCGCCACGCCTTCCTGTCCTCCTCACCTTCACGCACTAACGTACCTCTCACGTACCTACTGCGCAGGGTCGGCACCTCAGCACCTCAGCACTTCAGCAGGTACAGTACTTACATCTTACAACTTTCAAGGTTCTGATTTGGGACTTGGGGAGGAAGATTGCAGCTGCACCTGCTACAACTCCAGTTCTAACTCCAGCTCTAATAATTTTTTTTTCTTTTCGGCGATGACCATTGACTACCCAGGTCCTCACGATATTTTTTCACTAAACAACATCCATTCCACCAAACCTCCCGACAAAGGAACCTGCTAACGTCCGCGTGTCCCGCGCACCTTTCATCCCTATTTATGGACGTGTAATTGGCAAAATTGGCGAATCAAGTGCAATGTCATTGGGACCGCGCACGAGATAGCATCCGTTCCTGTCGTCCTCTCTCTACCTCTCTACCTTTTTTTACCTTAGATCCGCTCACCTAAATCCCATCTTAATTCTTCGCAATTTCCCCCTTCTTCCCACCAACGTCAATCTACCTTTCTCTCTTATGCTCGCAGATCCGAAATCGTCGTCGCACTACCTCGATTTTCTTAATTTCATCGATAACCTCGCAACTCCGATTTATCTTGTGCCGCAAACTTAACTCCGCCAATTCCACCTACTACCAATCCAGTTCTATCCATTGCCGTATTCCGCGTCCCGTATTTCCTGCGATAATAGAATCAAAGTGTTCACGACTTTGTAGTCATCATGGAGGACGAGGATCACCTCAAGGATGGCTTAGAGGGCCTTGCTGTCGACACGACACCCGCGTCGCGACAGACTACGGTCAAGAAAGAGAGCGAAAGCACCGCGTCATCACCGAATGCTAGCAAAGAATCTAGGTCAGGAAGTATGTCGCCTGATGACCAAAAGGCGCGCAGTGATAGTGCATCTACTCCCGACGGTCATCCACCAAAAATTACTCGCAAAGCACCTCAAAAGATGGCGCCTCGACCCGTTCAACTCTTTAACGATTTACCCGATGTCACCACAGAATCTTTTCGTCATTTCCAGGTTATCCCGGACTGTCTATATGGCTCTAAGGCTCTTGGATCGACGGATCACGACGCGCTGGATTGCGATTGCAGCGAAGAGTGGCGTACGTATTCCCCATTTTTACTAATTTTATAGGGGTTATGGGGCGCTAACAGGCATGTTTCAGGGGATGGCATGAACCATGCCTGCGGTGATGATTCGGATTGTATTAATCGAGCAACGAAGATGGAGTGCGTAGATGGCGATTGCAATTGCGGCGATGGCTGTCAAAATCAACGATTTCAGCGCAAGCAATATGCTAATGTTTCGGTCATTCAAACCGAAAAGAAGGGATTCGGCCTCCGAGCTAACACCACTCTTGAAGCTAATGACTTCATTTTTGAGTACATCGGAGAGGTTATTAACGAGCCAACCTTCCGAAGGAGGACTATCCAATATGATAAGGAAGGTATTCGGCACTTCTACTTCATGTCACTGACCAAGAATGAATTTGTAGACGCGACTAAGAAGGGTAATCTTGGTCGTTTTTGCAATCATTCATGTAACCCGAACTGCTACGTGGATAAATGGGTTGTTGGCAACAAACTTCGCATGGGCATTTTTGCCTCGAGAACAGTTCGACCTGGCGAGGAATTGGTCTTCAATTACAACGTCGACAGGTACGGAGCCGACCCCCAACCCTGCTACTGCAGGGAACCAAACTGCATTGGATTCATCGGAGGTAAGACCCAAACAGAGCGGGCAACGAAACTGTCCGATGCAACCATCGAAGCTTTGGGTATTGACGATAGCGATGGCTGGGATATTGCCGTCGCAAAGAAACCGCGCAAGAAGAAGGTTACGGAAGATGATGAGGAGTACGTTAATAGCGTCCAAGCTCGTGGACTGGATGAGAAAGATGTCACTATAGTAATGGCGACTCTCATGCAGTGCAAGGAGAAATGGATTGCGGTCAAATTGCTAGAGCGTATCCAGCATAGCGATGATGACCGAGTACGCAACCGAGTTGTGCAGATGCACGGCTATCAAATTCTGAAGACCGCCCTGAACACCTTCCTAGACGACAACAACGTCGTTCTCCAGATTCTCCAGATTCTGTATCAATTCCCTCGGTTAACTAGGAACAAGATATTCGATTCTAAGATCGAATCGACTATCCAGTCCCTAACAGAATCAGAGCACGAAAATGTAGCTTCCGAAGCTACAAGATTGTTAGATGAATGGAGTAAGCTGGAGATAGGGTATCGAATTCCCCGAAAGAAGATGGACCCAAATGCACAATCAACGCCGAGTGCACAGCCTGTTAATTCTTTTGAAGAACGCCGCGGAAATCGTTCAGAAGAAACACCCGCCAAGAACACTTTCACTCTCCCGGAGAATATTCCCAAGGGTCCACGAAGCAATGTCCCTCAACGAAACCAGAACTATTTCAATAGTCAACGCTTCCGCCGACCCCAGGTCCAGAATCTTCCTCCTGGTTGGTTTGCAGCCACTGATAAGCGGGGGAATTTGTATTACTACACCCGTAACGGCGTCACAACATGGCAAAAGCCGACTGCACCACCCGAGTCGGCCCAGTCACAACTCAAAGGACCGTCTATAGCAGAACAACGACAGAAGACATTGCAAGACATCATTGACTCTGTGACGAAGCCGGACAGTGCCCCTCGGCGATCAGCATCTCAAACCCCGCAAACTAGCACACCTACTCAAGAGCCCAAGAAAGAAAAGTGGCGCTCTCTTCCAGTTGAGAAGCAGATGAAGATCTACGAGAACACGGTATGCGATATACGAACAATTCAGTTTATTATAAATCACTAACTTGACCATAGCTTTTCCCGCATGTAAAGTATGTCATGGATAAGTTCCGCCATAGACTCCCTAGGGAGGACCTAAAGAAGTTTGCCAAAGATGTCAATAAGAAACTAGTTGCATCGGACTATAAGAACCACCGTGTGGAAGATCCGACATCGATTACCGAGAAGCAGGAGAAAAAAGTCAAGAAATATGTCAAGGATTTCTTTGACCGTGCAGTCGAGAAATACAAGGCACATGAGAAAAAGAAGGCGGAACGAGCTAGCCATGCACACGGCGTAGCACAGCCAAGCGACAGCGCCGACTCTATTATAGCAGCAGCCGCCAAGGACGAAGATCTCGTGATGACAGACGACGAGACCGGTTCAACGCCTAACAGCCTTGATAGGAAGCGAAAGCGTGAAGATGACGTAGCAGGCTCTCCTAGTGTGACACCCTCCGAGACACCTTCCATGAAGCGCCTCAAGGAGGAGGAGGCTGACGTTCCGAGTCCTCCGCCTCCGCCTCCCCCACCTATTGACGGCGAAGCTTCGTTGGATATGGCGACTGAGCATGTCAAGGAAATTGGCGGACTTGATGATCCCTTACTTCACGAAGATGATGAGCAGCGCATAGCTGCAGAAACGGAACGACAGAAGCTGCGAGAAGAAGAAGCAGCCCTTGAACGAGAGAACGAGCTTAACATGCTCGATTTCGAACGAGAACAAGAAGAGCATGATGCAAATGGCAAGGTGGTGAATGGGATCCTCCATGTGGGTGAAGGAATTTCTCGAGCACAGGAGAATTCGGGTAGTGGTTTGGATTCGGCTGGAGAGGACAGTGCTGCGATTCAGCATAGCGCTAGGAAGCATGAAGTTATGAGCCACTAGGCATGTACAGGCGTCGTGGGTTGCCCTATTGCATCGAATTGCTAGGCCTTGTCCAGTAAACCCCACTCCCACTTGAGTTAGGCCTTACAACTAAAACACCCGAAGGGGGAAGCCCTCTTATTTAATACGACCATAACAACCTTGGCGATAATCATGAAGACGATTCACATCATCGACTCTTCATTGTCTACTAGATCACATTTTGCGTACCAACTTCTACTTAATCCATTTCCCGGGACGGTTTTTACGGTTTTCTCATACTATACAAAGGTCGCCGACTGTACTTTGATTGCATTTTCCCGGACAAGGGGGGGTTTGATTTTTACGGTCTTAACATTGGCGGCGTTTCGGTAAAGGACACATTCTGAGTCTTGCTTGCATTCGACCCATCCACATTACATCCATCCATCCACCCATCCATTCATCGACCGGTCACGGAACATCACGGGAAAGAAGAAAACCCTTTTTTTAAGAGAAGGGGGAGAAAGAAGAAATGAGAAAGGGGGGGCATAACACGCGGATGACTAATAGGTGCATGTTACCGGAGAATTAAGAGGGAATGGTGTACTGCTATGATTTTTTCTTCTCTTTGACCAACCTACTTTACTTTTCCCCGGGGGCGTCGCAGCCATGTGTACGCGTGTAATGCGATGCGATCTACACCGACCGTATAACACACCAGAAAATCGGGATAATAAGCGGGCTCCGTTTTTTTCAGCCCCGCGAGGTGCGTGGTCGGGCGTGCGAGATACGATAATGGTGGTACCTGAGTTAGAGGGGAAAGAGAGGACGAAATAAAAGAGTCAGTCAGTCAGTCAGTCAGCCGGGGAGTTTTTGTGCTATAAGTTCAGGGGGGCTAGCCGTGTTTTTTTTTAATTCGTGGTCGTGGCCCCAGTACATAACCGCCGATGATCGTCAATAAATCATCAAAGTCAATAAATGAAGGGAAAGGTGAAACGAGGCTTTTTTTTCTCTTAAACGGGGAAGAAAGCCTCTTTTTCGTCTTACTTTGCTATGCAGTTCACAAATCCGCGATGTTCGTTTACTGACTTTGAGTTATGTAGCCGGTTCCCCCGACGGGGGCTGGCTTTGATAGATTCAAATGTTCTGCGCATATGCTACCGTGGTACATACTTTCAACTAATCGTTTAAATTGGTTTTCCACTCCACTCCACTCCTCCTTCCTTCTCCCTCAGTCCCTTCATAATCATCCCGCCCTATGCAGAGACGATTCCCAATTTCAACTCCGTAACCCGTCGCGTGGCTCGCCCTTCCCGAACGTATCGGGTAATTAAGTGGTGATCCGGATCAATGCACGTATTGCCGCCCATTCCATTTTACGCAAGTATGGTGGAAAACAAAAAAGAAAAATTTTAGAAAGAAGGAAGGAAGGGGGGGGCAAAAAAGTGTTGGGCGGACGGGACGTTGATAATCTTTTCCCCTTTCTTGTCCAATGTGGCTTTCTTTCTGCAGCTTCATCCTCCCCTCATCGCTTACCCGCATACCCCGAAGTTTCCAAGTTTCCAAGTTCCGCGCCAGGTAGGTAGGCTCCCGTATCCTACCACATATGTTTATCCAAAGGGAAAGGATGGAGAAAAATATCCCTACTTTATTTCGTCATCGGAGAAGATGAAACGAAATCAGCTAGAGACGACCTTCTCGAGGGCCTTGACCAGGATATCGGCGTGCTGCTTCTCGAAGATCAGCATGGGGCGCAGGCGGACTGCACGCTCGCCCGAGCCACCGATGTTGATGCCGAATTTCTTGGCCTTCTTGAGGAAGTCATCGCGCTTGGGGTTGTCGAAGGCGATGAAGGTACCCTGGCCCTTGCCGCGCAGGTTGTCGAATTGGCCGGGGTACTTCTTCGCGAGACCCTCGAGCTTGGCGTAAAGGTAGTCGCCGACCTTGGCCGTGTTGGCTACAAGGTCGTGGCGCTGGATCTCGTCGATGATGGCGCGGAAGATGAGCGCGCGTGCCGGGTCGCCCATCCACGTGTTGAATTGGCGGTACGGCTTGTTGGGTCGCAGGGATGGGTCTCCGTAGTAGTAGCCTGCGGTCTGCGCCTTCTTGCTGAAAGTCACCATGTCTGGCGGCTCGGGCAGGTCCCAGTGGTCGTGGGCCCAGAACTTTCCGGTGGCGCCGACGCCCGTCTGGACTTCGTCGACGATGAGGAGGACGCCGTGCTTCTTGGTCAGAGCGCGCAGGCCCCGGAAGAAAGCGGGAGAGGCGTGGTTGTCACCGCCCTCGGACTGGATGGGCTCTACGATGACGGCGGCGGGAGGGATGTGGTAGTTTAAGATGAGGTGCTCGACCTCGGCGAGGGAGTCAGCCTCCGCCTGAGCGTTCTCCGCAGCGTGTTCCTCAAGAGGGTACTTGAGCTGAGGGAAGGTGGCGTGAGGCCAATCGAAGGCCGGAATATCCAACTTGTGGATAGGCTTCGATCTAGTCGTCGAGAGGGTACCAAAGAGGCGGCCGTGGAAGGATGTCTTGAAGGATAGGATGGACAGTTCTGAGGCACCGGGTGTCTGGTTCAACATGGAAGAATCCAGCTCCTCCTGTGTAAACTCGACACTGGGGCCGCCACGTTCGCGCTGTCGTCGCCACATGAAGGCAGCTTTGAAAGCTGTCTCATTCGCGTCCGATCCAGCCATTCCCGTGAAGACCTGGTTGAGTCCCTTAGGCGCTACCTTGAGGATACCTGTCTCCAAGATCTCGGCCCAGTCATGTGAAGGGAAGTTACCCAATGCGGGTCTGTTGATAAGCGCTGTAACCATCTCAGGGCTCTCAGCAGTTTTCTTCAGAACTGGGTTGTTGTACCCGACGGGTATCGAGGCGATTTGGGCGTAACTAAAGAGGGGTCAATTTCCATTTAGGGGTATGCGGTAATAGCCCCTGTGCGAGCGAACTTACACATCGAGCAGGGTATTTCCATCAGGGTCGACAATGTAGTTTCCGACACTCTTAGTGTAATCAGCAAGCATGTTCAAGCTTCGGGTGTCGAAGACTTTGTCCAGCTTGGCGATGTACTCCTTAGCAGCCGGACCGGGAATGTCCGTCTTCACTGTAGGAGCCTCAGGCTCGCCGGGGTAGAAGCTAGAAACCATCCTTGCGCTCGAAACAGAAAGCTGACGTGTTAGGGCTCGAGAGATGACAGGTCTTGAGATAGAAGAAAGGGGCCTCATAGCGGCTCCATGGCGAAGGGCAGCCATCTTTTATCTATTGCGATTATTGCCTCTGTTGCGTCTAGAAATGCGGGCTTTGCTGCTAGCCACCAGCCACCGGCGGTGTCAATATGGCCGGGATGACGGAGGTACGCAACCGGTAGCTAATTGGCTGTTTAGGGGTTAGGAATGGATTCTATTCCACTTCTTTGAAAAAATTCTACCTCGACAGGAGGAGAAAATGAAAGTTTAAAGTGACTAAGTGACTAAAAGGATCGGGTCTTTGAGGAGTAATAAGGGTAATAAAAGGTAATAAAGGGACGGTTTATCGTTTATCGGGCTTATCATTCATAGCGGGGTGGCCGGACGAGAGCGGACCTAGCTGGGTCTAATGAACCAAGCTTTTGCGGGGTCCTGACTCGTAACTTTGATTGGTGAGAGACAAACTACGTCAGCGATATTCGGGCATAGTTCTTTACGTAATTGCGCGCTACCCGTACTATCATCGTCGCCGCCCCGCAGTCATCGAGCGGCCGGACCCCTGACCGAGGCACCAGCGACCCGGCTCCAGGTGAAGCTCGAATTAGCAATTGCAGAATTTGGAAAGTCCATGCGATATCGCGATAATCGCCATATCTTGAGAATCGCCTCAACCCGGTTACCCACTAGTACTTTCCCGACATCGCTGCCGATAACCAACATTTTCCTATTTATACATAAGCATTTACGAATTATCGTACGTTAAAGCAACTTCATCTTCATTATGTACATATCGTATATCGCTCGTTTATCAAGATGGTGTGAAAGTCCAGATGTAAGTATCTATATTGGGTGTTTTCTCAGAATGCCAATGCAACGCCGAGATACCCAGCAACCAGTATAATATAGAGTTGCGTAGCAGCGATGGTAGGTGATATTGAACATATGCGGCTGCGGCAATGCATGCGACCCGCTTGGCAAATGCCATGGCTTTTACGATAAAGATCATATCATAATTAAGAGAGGGGAATATAAGAATATATCAATCTTTAAGATACCTACATATATTACCACGTGGGAGTAAGATATAGGCATATTGAAATCCGACGAATAGGAGATAAGGCTTTAATAAATATTAACAAGTATCTCTATACAACGACATACAAGCTTCACTCATGTTCCTAAATGAATTTGATACAGTTGTTCGCCTTTGGAGTTTCTTGAGTAAGTATATAAAGTTATTGCGATACTCTGATTCAAACATTTCATAGTGGTGTTTTCTTTCATGGTCGAAGTAGACACTCTTACCATAAGTCAGGGGCTGATAGCGAAGAGTGGTGTAGAAGCGGATGCGCTGTATCTATGGGATATCCGTTGATGGTCATAGAATATCCGCCTCTGTGAACCGAGAATATAGTAGACTCCTTGTTGCTACCACTCACTCCGTGATGCAGTCGTCAACTGCGGACCCGAGGCCTGGCGCCATAATTTAAATATGGCATACCTAATGGTCCAGTAAGCCCGCCACCGAACTCATAAAAAAGGAAGCGCACAATAGGTAGGCAACAGCTCATGTAGCTACCTACCTTATATTTAAAACTTGTAAATCCTATGTTCTATAAAATATAACAACGACCAAATCCTTTACAACATCCAGTGTCTTCCACTAATCTACCTCCAAAATCATGAACACCTTCGTCTGACCCTAAAACATTACAAACATCGGATAAAAAGGACATTGGCACCAATGCCGACACTAAGCAGAACGATTCGAAAATGACAACAATAGAAGAATTCGAGAATCTATGTCGCAAGTCTAAGGAAAGGATTGGCACAATGAGTCCTGGAGAACAAGCAGAAGAGTTCAGATAGATTAGTAAGTTCAAGCCTTGAGTATAACTATTGAAATGGAGTATTCAATAGACTAGTAGGTAGGTATAGACGATTACAACACCACTGGGACCCCTGCTGATAAACTGCTGCTAGATTTTTAAGACGACATCTGAGATGAATCGAGGGGAAGGCTGTCGCGGTAGACCCCGTCCAGTTAAGGGGATAAGGAAAGCTCGTATAGAGATCCAATCCGCAAAGGCCACAAATTCCATCAATTGTGTTGGAATTATACGAGCCCCTTAAGTCTACTTACCTAGGTATGTAATGACAGCTCATGATATAGGATTACGAATAAAGGGGTTACGTGAAGTAAAGCCTCCAATAGGTACCTAGTAATGATAGATCATACTAGGAGGGGAGCATAATGCCCTGTTTCTTTTTCATACTGCCCCTCCCCCGGAAAAGAAAATCTAATCTGCACTGCTGATCTGTTGATCTGCTGATAGGCATTCCTGGGCTATCGCATGAAATAGAGGCGTAAGTAGATACGTGGGTGGTGGCTGTGGCTACATATATCTAAGACATCAAGGCCCGGTTTTCCAAGCAAGGGACAAGCATCTATCTATCCCAACTCATGTCTTTCCCGTGCTCTATATTAAAACTAGAATGGGACCATTTCCACTCTCTAGTCATGAGAATGAGATCACTGTGGCCAGAAGTTATAACCAATGAAGTCCCCTGAGACGGCTCAGCACTGCTAGTCTGCATAGCATTCAGCTGGCATTGCTCAAAGGTCCGAACGTGCCAGGTATGTAGCCAGTAGGGCTGAAGATACCTAGGTAGATCCTGTTAAATTTGAAGATAAGCGGTCTCAGTTATAGAAGTAAAAAGTGATAGTATACAACAACTCCTATCCGGATATGAAAGGGGAAGGTGAGGGGGTTACGGGTTGTGTATCTTGGATACTAGTTCAAGTGACTGCCTCACCACGATGACCGTGTCGACATGAATGGGTAGGTATTGCATGATTAGCATTAAGAAGCATACATGCCCATAAAGACACAATTGTCTCTATTCAGCTGGACAGCGGTCAGCTAGCATACGAGGAGAGAGTAGCGGGTAGAGAATGGATGGGTGGGTAAGGGGACGAACGATGAACCAGCTCTTCACCAAATTGAAGCCATATGATCATGTTCATGATACTGATTCGCATGAGGTTGAATTCGTATTCTGAATCCAATTCCCCAATAGGACGATTAAAGAATTAAGGATATCGAGTCCCGGCATGATGTCGTCTTTGGTGCCCTCCCCTTCCACCCCTGTGAATCGCGTCTTTAAGGGTTGACGAACAATTCCCCGGCGCGCAGTGACCTTGAGATATGAAACTTGGGGTATGCTTATGAGGGTGGAGGGATTTTACAGTAGGATCGGTTCGACGATCCCTAAGTTTCCACCCAGATCTGCCGTGAGTCGATCATGTTATACTTGCAAACAATGCCACCCTACCTGCTTACTAGCAATCCGAACCAAAGGCATAAGAGGAACAAATATTGGCAATAGGGATGTCCAACTTCAATTCCTTAGTAATCAAAGGAGTTTCGAATGCAATGTGCGTATCAAGTATCATCGACCGAGTGTGTTGGCAGTTCAGCCGCATAGATGGCTGAATGACGGAATAGAAAACATACCCAAATCTGCCTATTCTCATGCCACTATCTCTTGCGCGCATCGCTAGATCCGCTAGAGAAGAAATCATTTGTCTCTAAAAACGCCAACGGAAAAATGGCTGGATTGGCGCTGTGAACCTCATTTCGTTCTTTGGCTAGTATATGCCACCGTAGTTACGAAACTGGACCACGAAGCGCAGCGACAGCATTATGTAGTATACGCGAGTGAGCTGAAACGACCCCTATGCAGACACGGTTCCTCCTGCAAGGAACTACTGAAAAAAGGGTAAAAAAGAAAAAAAAAGTTTGGTACTAAAATCCAGATCTATCAGATTTTCCAGCCCTGGAGAGTCGCACGGCATGGGGGGAAGCGTGCCGGCGGGATCAGCCCGGAAGAGTCCTAGCTGACAGGTGCAAGGACGCTGTAATGGACATGCAGCCGGAAGCAAAGCAGCACCCTTTGTTCTCGCGACGGTCCAATCAGAGACGCGCGAGCCCCGTCATCTCTTTGTCCTTCGACCCCGTTCGAAGGATTCGGCTGGTAGGGATCGGAGGCTCAATAACCTTGCCCAGCCCTAATTGAAAATCTGATTAGGTGAGAAGGCGGATCTTTCGGAAATTTGACTGGATGAGTAGATGGAAGAAACGTGGCCGCGTGAGGCGAGCCGTCGTCCCGGGCTTACTCTGGCTGCTCTGGATAGACGAGTTTGGTGAACTAAGGAGAGCGTTTGTATGTTCGACCGATGTTAATTATAATTGGTACTATGTAGTTAGTGGGACTGGTGCTTATGGTAATATTTTTCTTATATTTTTGTTTTGTTTGGTTGTGTTGTTTCTGGTTACCAATGTCAATATTTACTTTCGGCAAGCGTGTAAAATTCTGACAACAAAAAGGCCGATCATAGCCAGAACAACTACCACAGTTTAGTCTGCCTTAGCTGTCGTTTCAAAAGAGACCGCTAAACTACAGAAGACGTAGTCGGGACTTGATACAGCGGTCTAGACTAGACTAACAAAACCCTTAGCGCTGCAGAAGTCATTGCAAAGCGAGATTGCTGTGGATCTAGGTAGGGCTGCTAGTTTGCGAAGCTTAGGCAGGGGAACTCGTGTTGACAACATCACTGCCGCAGGGTCACGCTGCACGAAGAGCTCCGCCCGATGGGCTCGGACTGAAGGGGGTTTGATCCAGGTGATGAACCGGCGGAGCACCGGGCACCGCTTCAACGGCTCTGATGCTCATGCTATGACAATTTGATAGAAATGTCTTAGAATGTTAGTGCCAAGTCCGGATATCTAAAGTGCATTTAGATGCATTTAGGTGCACTGTCGGCGGGGTACGTCAAATGCCACAGCTTCTTGGGATCAAGAGAGACATACAGCGAACTTGTGGGACATTGAAGATTCTGAGAGATCCGACGGCGTGCGCCGTCGTGGCCTTAGATGTGGTCCTAACGCCGCTATTTTGCCCCTCCGGATCGCGAGGTGAATTCGAAGCTTTCGGGGTATTCCCTGATAGAAGAGTGACTAAGTTGTCCGGCTAGATCGCAGAATGTTTCCACACGCCGCTTGTCCGGGAATCGAATGATCGCGGGATTGCTCTGTATGTAGTAATCAATATACATACAAGAGCGGGGATGGTCCGGTTGATTTATGCGGCGAAGTTATTTCTCGTTACCAACGTATTGGGTATACGATCTTACTGCGCGGTGTGTGCAGGATCGTGCGTGTCTCGGTGTTTGCCAGAGACTTCATCGGCGGATCTCACCACGGGTATGTTGTGCTAGTCTAGCAGTCCGTGAAGATATAGATCTATGGATCTATTACCTACTACCGGCAGACCGATGAGAAGGTGAATCGGAGGGCAACGCCGGTCCCTGCATGGTTCATCCTTGGGTCATAGCACCAAAGTCTTAGAACACTATGGCATTATGGTGGTTATTACAGGGTCCAAGCCGGCTTTAGCTCATATTGTAATTGTCTCCATCGTTAATGAGACTCTCTGCACACGACTCCTGCGTTCAGGAGTTGGACTCAAAATCCAGTCAGGCAGCCAGGCAACATTGTCGATGGCGTTTTGAGGCAGTGAACTAAATGTCAGGGTCTTTGGCCAGCGGTGAGATCTCTCTCTTAGGCTAGACTAGGCGGTCCTTGTCAACTGTGCCTTGAAGACGGACAGGACGGAATACTTTAGAAGCTCATTGGCGTGGTGTTTCGCATCGGAGATTATTGTCTTTTTTTCCTTCTTGGGCTAAGCTTGCGGACTAGTCAAGGATGATCGCCAGGGCTTGACACATCCCTGACTCTCCCTGCATGAATACCTCAGCAGCTCAGGTATTTTCTATTAATATTATGAGATTTGCTGTCTTTGTGGTGATGGTGACGCTGCAGCATCGATTGAGTTCTCGATACTCATATTCGATTGGGAGCTGAGTTGAATGAAGGTAATAGTCGCTCCTTGCTTATTTCGACCTCCTATCTTCTTTTAAAACGTCATCACTACGATAAGTGACTGAAAATGTCTCAGTTAGAAATGTACATAACATGCCTAGGTATTTTATTATTAATTCACTTACCTGGAGAAGAAAAAATTTTCCTTCCTGCCGGGGTGGATTGGTGGATATAGGAACCCCATATTCTTACTATCATGTATGTAAGAGCTGAGGAATATTTAATTTGAGCGTCATATCATCTCGTTGAGGTATGACGACCCTAGTTTGTTGAGTTGCGCCCTGTTACAGATCAATTGGAATGAATATGAAGTCAGCATAAAATCTTTGGTATGAAGTCACTATGTAATGAAGCCGTTAGCAAAGCAGCAAAATTCATAGCAAACATCAATGGCCCTGGCATGAAGCGTGGGCAAACTTTTCCCGAGGCCACGGTTACATAGGATTCACATGTACTAGATATGCGAGATGGCGGAGAACAACTGGAGAATAGCTAGTAGGGCTGCCTTGTCGACTGTCAAGAGGCTCACAGACCGAGCGGCCTCTCATGTGAAAGAGATCCATTAGGACACGCCAGCGAGTGGATTTCTTAGGTCTCTCACGGCCCTCACGGACCCATATCATCAAACCTAATGCTACCGGAAACTGTCCTAGCGAAGTTGAAAGACATCATGACCTTGTCTCTTGTTGGTTTTCGGCAGTAATAATAGCGATGTTAAGGACGGGCACTATTTTCCGCCTCATATTGCTTCTCACGAATTTCTCGCTTCTTATTGCTGGGCCTCTGGTAGAACGTCTGACAAGCTTACTTTTTTCTTTCTTTTCTTCTTCCTTCGCTTCTGTTCTTACGATCCTTCCGTATAGGGGCAAGCAGGCTGAGCAATTCGACACTCATTCGCTCACTCGCTCATTCGTTCGTCGTCGAGTACGGCAATAATTGCGTTTTTTTCACTGAATTGCCAACCTTGCTGACCGGTACCTGAAAACCTTTGTGCTGCACAATTCGCTTGTTCTGGAGCCCCCTATCCAGCATTTAGCCACTGCACCGAATTACGTACCACGCACGGCCAAAACGGCCTACAAAGACGAAGGGGGTTTCAACTGAACCTGTCAAAGCGACAGCATCCAGACCCTAAGGAGCAACCAAGCCTCAAAGTTAAAAGGCCACAGAAGAAAAAAAGAAGAAAAAGGCAAAAATAAGAATAAGAGGGTGTAATTGGGGGCGGAATTAGGACAGGGACTTGTGAGATCTATCCACGCCATAGCTGGGAGCTGCATATCATATTGGACGGGATCTAAGCCAGAAAGCAAGCCACGACCAATCCTATCATCCCATCCACCAATCTTATCCTGCTTGTCCAACGGCAAAATCGTACCCCCGAACGGCATCAGCCATTGGAAAGGAGGGGTAGATTAGAACGCTGAGAGGGGATTCGCGGTGCGTCGCGTTGATGATAGGCCGCTCGTACCTGCATACCCCTGCAAAAACCTGCAAAATACCTGCAAGACTGCAAGAGGAAAAGATCCCAGAAGCACGGGAAAACAAGGGTTGTGTGTGTGTGGCATCCCATCCCGTCCCATCCAGTACCACCTCACCAACACGAGAGTGCTGCAGCGCGACAGCCATCAACTATCAGGACGCGTCCGAACCGCTCTACTTTTATTCTGAGTGGCCCCGCCGAATAGCAAACAATCACATTTCGACCTCCGGCCTACTTTCTTGACCCTCTACTTTTCTATCCTCTTGTCCTGTCCTGTCTTTTATCCCACACCTTGGGAACCTACTACTAATCTTCAGTAATCGCTTTCTCCTTATTACAGCCCGGACCAGGTGTGGTCGGTATTACCGGTCTGCTGGGCCTGTCCGTCATCATCTCCATTCTTTCCCGATCGTACTCTCGCTTATACGCACAAATATCACGGCCCAAGGCCCGACATTCGTTTGCTTTAGTTTTTTTTGGTCTTGCTTTGCTTTAACTAGCCCGGCAATTGACCTATATAAAGAAATTCTGCAGTCTTCCGGAACGCATCGCCTCATGTATATTCCGGTTGGTCGGCTGCATTTATCACATACCAACACCACGCGGACGCGGTTATCGATTGCCCAGACCGCTAAATTCTTCCGTCTTTAATAAGGAAACTTTTCTATTATCATTATTATTCCTGCGGCGGCCCGATCCTGGTGCTTTCGCTCTGAGCCTCTAATCTGGGGTTCAAAATCCGGGGCACAATCTAAGCCTTGGGTTACCTCCTGGTCGGTAAGAGACGATATCGACTCAAGCCTCAATTTTACCTCCCTCCAGCCTCCATTTGTCCAGTAGGAACAGAAAGTAGACCTTCCTAGTGGGGTCTCCACTGTTGAAATCTTTGGACGGTGGTGGGCCTTGCTGCCCTTAACCGGCACACCGACCTTTAGTGTTTCCAAGCACATTCTTTGACTCATCTGGAGTGGCCGAGAGCTGTTCGGCCCTCTCTTGAACCCACTGCGTTGGATTGGAACTTATATGTTCCGTCCTGCGCTTCATTCGATCAACAAACTCCCCTCCAACATGGCAAGGTCTCGTATTCTTAGTGGCGTGCTGGGCGCCGTCGCCTCATTGGCGACAGCGGCGATTTTGGCTCTTGAAATCATCATAGCCCACGAACTCTCGGAGCTGATTCCTTCGGTCACAATCGCTGCGATCATCGCATCAGCATGGGAAGGGCTGATTCTCATATTATTAATTTTTCTTTTTGTTAGAAGCTCGCGACGGTGGACGGATTTCGGGAAAAGGAAAAACAATGGTATCTGGTTTGCATTGGGCCTAGTTGCGAGCATACTGGCATCTATTGCATCTGTTGTGATGCAGGTCATGATGAAATTGTCTGAGAAGTTACCTGAGACTATGCTTCAAGTTCGGTCGACCAACTTTGTTATCGGATCTGCTATTGCACTCGTCTGTGCATTCGTGGGACAACTCGCCTTCATCGTCGTCTGTTTCGTTGTTCATCGGTCACCTGACTCTGAACAAGCGCTGTCTCTTCATACTAACGAGGATAATTCCCGTTTACCACACATCCGTGTGAAGTCGATCCCTTACAGTCGAACAACACCGGCTTCGAGCCAAACGAGGATCCAGGAACGGCCATTGACTGATTACTCAAGCCGACCCAACTCAAGTGGTGGCCGTTCAATGGCGGAGACTATGAGCTCCATTCGAACTTCGATCTCTCACACGGTACGCCCTACAGGATCCAAGACTAGGTTGTTATCATCCAGTTCAAAAACTCTGCGTCGCCCTCCATCAATCGACTCGACTGGATACCGGGAGCGGTCAAGCGTGACGGAAGATGGGTTTGATTCTTGGGATACTTCCTCGGTTGATCCTCAAAATCGACAGATAGTTGTGGATAATAGTCCCCCCATTCGTGCTCGTTTCCTGGAGACCATCCCTGCGAGCCCGACAACAAGTAGAAGCCCAAGTCCCGGATGTCCTTTGGATTTAGAACCACCAAAACGCAACCGGAGAAGTCGAAGTTACAGTCCTCTCCCTAGAGCTCATCATGAACGCAGCTTGACTCCCTTATCCTCGCCAGGCGAGCTACATATCCACCCACTTTTCCGATCCGACTCTCCCGTTCCCCCACCGGCAGCTACTCCTGGAACAATGGTCATCGCGGCACCAAATGCCGGTCAAACGATATCGGAAAAATCTCTCACTCGAATGCGGAGCGGAAGTTTACCTACGGGACCAAATCCTCTGAGTCGACAAGGGAGTTATGAGAGCTTCCGGAAGACACCAAGCCCTAATTCGGATAGACTTCGCGCAGAGGAGGCAAACGGAGAGAGAAAGATGACACCTCCGATCCCCGAGTGGATTTTGAGTGCTGGGAAGAACGAGTTTGACCGAATCCAAGATCAAAAAGCTGCCGGGGCATGAGACTCGGTTTGGTCCGCCAATTGGACGTCATGACTAATGACTAATTATGACTCGTGATTAATATTTTGTTCCAATAGAACCCGGCTAGGGAGTTGCTGTTTCTCTAGAGACGTCGGGAAACGGATCGGGTTTGGGGATTACTGTGTGATACCATTTTCATTAAGCGCGGCGTTGAACTACATTCTCAACCTCGGGCTGAGGTATCTATCATTCGCTCCGGGGAATACCAAGGAGATAGAAGATAGACATTGAAGTGAGAAATGAATTAAGTAAAATCAAATAATCAAAATGAACCTAAACTTGAGGCTGGTACACATTTGTGAAGGGGTCCTAAGCGAACCGAATGAAATCTTGATGAACTATTGCATTTGGCTTCTGCTGCCCTTGATGACTAGGTGCTTCGATATTGTGTTGATATATTGAAGTGATTTATGATTTAAATATTACTAGGTAGGTAGTAAGTAAAGGAGAAGAAAACTTGAGGTTTAATAATACCTCAGCGTGAATTACAAGTAGGTACTAGGTAGTTCCTGAGTCTTCATGTTTAGAAAGAATAGACACTTGGAAGGTGCACATTGCTGATATTTCTATGGATGTGACTACCTTGGCAAGGTTAGAGACATCTGTGAAGCATCTACTGTACTTGAGGATCAAGTGTTTCGACTGATCGGATCGCCTTACAGCCTCGCTTTTAAAGTTGCCCCTCCAGTGGACCCCGCATTTTCGGTGGTTACAAACAACCCAGAAGGTATTAGGTACGGGATTCAGGTGCTTCCATCACGGCTCAGGTTAGGTAAGCATGTAAGTATCAGGTACCTACACATACGTATGTACGTGCATGTACACACAAATGTTCAGCATCAAAGGCCATAAAATTCTATGTGATAAGCAGGAAGTAGCGCTAGCCGCCCGCCACTGCCCGCCGCGCGACACATCATTAACTGCTACCTGAAATTCAAGCCTTCTCGATCAGTGCTTCCACTCCCGTCGCTTTCCACTTTCCACCAGGAAAAAAAAGATTCTGGTCAAAGCATAAAGCCACCGAATCTTAACTCTCTTCCACACTTCCCTCAGACAACGTCTGAAAAACGTCGGTGAATTCACTTTTCACTTGAGTTTCGCGCCGACTCAATCTTTACCTATTACTACCTCTACTACCCCTCACCATTTCCTACCACCTCCATCTATCAGTCTAAGAGCAGCAGCTATCCCGAAGCTGCCCGTCGCCACGATGAAGGTTACTTTTAAGGTATGTAATCGTAGACCTAGCTGTAGAAAAAGTGCTTTATCATGATACACTTAAGCTGTTCCCCACATTTCTCTTCGCCGTAATCCATCGCTGTAATTGAAGAAGCTAACGATTTCAACCTCAACAATAGGAGCTTTCGAACCAGAAGTTCACGCTCGATGTCGAGCCTAGCGACCTTGTATGCCGTCATCCTATCATCGCAAACACTTAACGATTCCTGCCCTAAGCTTTGTTGCCGATTATTGGACCATATTTCTTATTCTGACTGGGGTATAGGTTTCTACTCTGAAGCAAAGGGTTGCCGAAGAGAAAGGATGGGATGCCAAGGCCTTGAAGCTCATCTACTCCGGTATGCGCTCGCTCTCATCTGACTACCCGGAACAGATCCTGTTCCCCGTTACCCATTCTTTAGCTCGCGGAATGCTAATCTGTATATAGGTAAAATTCTCAAGGATGAAGAATCGGTCGCAGCCCACAAGATTGAAGAGAAGGGCTATGTTGTTTGCATGGTGAGCAAGGTATGTGCTGGATATAATATCACTTTAACTCCGCGGATGGCCTCTAACAATTAGTAGCCTAAGCCTGCGCCCGCTGCCGCCGCCGCCGCTTCTTCAAGCGCTGCTCCCGAAACACCGGCACGATCGGTCGCCGCAACTCCAGCCGCTCCAGCCGCGCCTACCCATTCATCTACCGCCGCCGCCGCCGCCGTGCCTGCTACCCCATCCCCCGCTTCTGGCGGTCCTGGCGCCAGCGGTGATATGGCTATGGGTGCGGCTCGAGCTGATGTGATTGCGAATATGGAAGCTATGGGATTTGAGAAATCTCAGTGTGAGGCTGCTTTACGTGCCGCTTTCTACAACCCAGAACGTGCTGTCGAATATCTCCTAAATGTAAGTAAAGCAAATCTGCACTGGATAATCCCTGGTTAATACTTTATATAGGGTATTCCGGAGAGTGCTCGTCAACCGGAACCCCAGCGAGAGGCCCCCGCCCAATCTACCCCCGGCGCCGCCCCTGCTGGCTTCGCTTCTCCTGCTGGCCAATCCGCTGAGGCTGAGGCTGAGGGAGGGGGTATTAACCTCTTTGATCTGGCCGCTCAGCAGGGCCGAGGTGGAAGTCGTGGAGGCGCCAGCAGTAATGCCCAGGCAGCAGCAGCCGCTGCTGCTGCCGCCGCTGCGGGTGTACAACCGCTTGGTAACCTTGACTGGTTGCGTAACAACGCTCAGTTCCAGCAACTTAGGCAGGTCGTTCAGCAGCAACCGCAAATGCTGGAACCAATTCTGCAGCAACTTGGCGCTGGCAACCCCCAACTTGCCCAGCTGATCTCTTCAAACCCCGATCAGTTCCTGCAATTGTTGGGTGAAGCTGGTGATGATGATGCACCTCTACCCCCTGGCGCCCAGACCATCGCCGTGACAGAGGAAGAGCGCGATGCAATTGAGCGAGTACGTGGCTTCCCCTAAGAATCTTATACTAGGTGTGATGCTAATTTATTTCCAGTTATGCCGACTAGGATTCGACCGAGACGCGGCCATCCAGGCCTATTTTGCCTGTGACAAGAATGAGGAGTTGGCTGCCAACTTCTTGTTCGACCAGCCGGAAGACGACGAGGCACCTCAGAACTGATTTTCCATGATGTGAATGAGATGTTCTTTCCGTCCTTCACGCTTTTACGACTACAAACCGGCCTCACTAAGATATCCGACGTGGCATTCTTCGCCCTTGCGATAATATCCCCTCTGTTAATGGTCGTTATTCACTCGCATAATGCTTTATTCTGCTATGGCGGAAATTCGAAGGCTGCCCGGAAAAAAACCGCAACAACGCAAAGCAACGGTCTTCTCCTGATTGCAGGCTTCTACTACTAACCTAAACACCTCTTTACCCCACCATGAAATACGCACTTTCGGGGCGAGGCATTATGATCCAGCTCGCGGGATTACTCTGTTCTGCGAGAAGGATAGGAGGAATATGGAGGCTAGATGAACCAAGTCCGTAGCTTAGTTCTACCAATTGATTTCCCGAAATTATATTTTCTGTTCACCCCGCTATGCGCCTACGTGATAATCGAACACGCATTCGTCTGGTGGCTAAAACGTAGTCATTCGTAGTCGTGGAAATCGTATCTTGAATTTAGCATTTACTCATAACTCAACGTTCTAGGAAACGTTAGAGACTTCGAAAGAACGCATTACAGTAGTCCCCCCTTTTGCTCGCCCACTGCGCCAATACTCTCCATGTCGTCCGCCCTCGGTAGTATCGTCCAGCTCTCCAGCAGATAACCATGCAAGCTAAGGAAATGGGGTATCAAGAAACAAGCTTGCATGCGTGCGGTTACCTGGACCATCGAAACTGTCACCTACGTAGTCTAGACATCGACTGCTACCCCGGCGGGCATCTCTTCCACAGGCTCACTCTCTCCATCGATATCTTCGTTGCCATCGTCATGGGCCTCATCCTCACCCTCGCCATCCTCAGCATTCTCCTGCTCGCCATTTTGTTCTTCGCCCTCTTGGGCACCACCTGCCTCTCCTCCACCTTCCACCTCTTCATCCTCGTCCATAAGCCCAGCAGCGCGTCTCTCCTCTTTAAGACGTCGGATATCCTCGTTGTGTTCGCGCACTAGCTTATTGTGCTCGGCCATGATCTTATCACTCTCCTGCCACCCGTGCTGGTGCTTCTTGTACTCTTCGAGGTCAATGTCGACTTTCTTCTCGCCGCGAACCATGACTGTCGCGTTGATGTACCGCGGCCGTAGTCGCTCTTCCCGGTTGAACTTGAGTTTAACCGCCCGTCGGCTTTTCTCCGGAAACATGGCCGAGATCGTCTCGAAGTCGGTTCCAAACATTCCAAGGAGCCGGTAGAATTTGTCCTTTTGCTAATGTTAGCACTTACTGATTCCCTCGTAAGGTAAAATGGTGAAGGATTACTTACAGTGTCCTCGTCCGTCCAGTGGTTTGCTCCTGTTCTACGGCTTTCCCGTCTGAACGATGACGAAGTGGTGAGGCGGGAAAATTCGTCTTCTTCGACGGTCTCAAGTGTTCCCATATCGTGGGCTGCGTGTCGGTCTACCATAAGAGATTGCTGGTTGACAACAATCTGTCCATCTACAACCTCATAGCCAACGGACTGCGAGTTTGCGCCGATTGAGGCTCCCAGTTCTCTAGCCCGGGCTGCTGCAGACTCTCTTCCGCCTTCTCCATCTCCTGCTGGAGTACTCGCGCGCGAGGTTACGTCCTCAAGGTCAAGCCCAAGAAGTCGAGCTCGTTTTGCCTGTTGCTTTAGACGAAATCTCTCACGTGCCTCACGCGCACGCTCTTCAATGGCGTCTGCATGCTTGAATCTTTTTCCAATTCCCATATCCTTAGTTAGTTCACCCATTTTTGTACTGCTATGATCGACCGTCTGGTTCTCTGGATCTTCTTCGGGAGACGAAGAGCGTTCATGTTGCCTAGATCTTCCCCTTCCGCCTTCCGACGGAGCTGTTCCGTTGTCCTCTGTTGTAGTATTCTTGCGAGCCCGTCTTCTCTTTGGCGCAGAAGATTCTGCACCTGTGCCATCTTCAGTAGATTTACGTTTGCGGTATACCTTTCTCTTTTTCGGGGCATTGGTTGAAGGCTCGTCAACAGGTGCAGAGACAGCAATCGTATCAGAAACAGGGGCTGGAGATGGGGGAGCGGTTCTGATTTGTGTTGGAGCGGTGGGCTCTGGTGTTGGCGTATATAGGGCGCCAGCACGTCGAGAGGTAGCAATAACCGGTGTATTCGAAGAAGGAGTAGGTGTAGACCTATCTGAATGTGTAGTCTCTGGTGCTGGTGTTGGTTGTGCTGTTCGTTGGGTCGCTGGTATCGAAACTGGTAGCTGTTGCTGAGGAGGTTTGTTTAAAACTGGTGCTGTAGTTGGCTGTGAAGCACTCTCTGAGGGTGACGGAGTCGGGACTGGAGGTGCCTGGGAAGGCTTCTCGACAACCGTGGGAGATACTGCCGGAGTCGATGCTGGTCTGGATTCGGGTTGAACGATGTGAGCTTTCTGAGCTTGGCTATGTGGTCTCGATATTCCCTCCTGCGATATCTCCTTGGTGATTTCTTTCGTGGCCTCTTGCGGCTGCGCTGCTTTGCGACTAGGTTCGACCGAGGGGGCGGGGGAAGGAGCGGCAGATGCGGGAGTTGAAGCTTGCGATGAGTTCTCAGCAGTGGGAGCTTGTGTAGTATTGGCAGAAGCAGACGAACGAGGTGCTTGAGAGGAAGAGGCGGCTGGTCGACGAGGAGCGACCTTTGGCTTGAAGGACAAGCCTCCGGTCTTTTTCAGCATAGAACTCATGACTGCTGATGCCTACAGTTGCTCTAGGGCTGTGACTGATTTAGTATCCGGCGCATTGCCTCACTAATATTTGTAAGACCTCTTCTTCAACAATGGAATTGATGGTTTCTCAAGAAATCTTTTCGTGAATATCGAAAGGCCTGTGACTTGTGAAAGAAGTCAGAAATGAAGTTTGAGTTAATCAAGTTGATTGCTACTGGATGATGAGAAAAGAGAATTATGTGGGGTGGTGGGATAAATTGAGATACTAAAAAAGCGTTTAGGTACTTTGGTACTTGCCTCTTTCCTGTTGCATGCAACTACCCAAGCAGCCAAGTCGAAAATAGCGCCTACGCCGTAGACGTTCACTGAATTTCACCGGAACAAAACCTTACTGCTGGGAAGGCGAACCAGACGTTAGAGGACCCATTCTACCTGCGCTATAGCACGGGCCACATAATAGAATGGCTCTTATCACCTGGCACGCATGGTAGGTGCTGATATCGAAGAAGGCACGTCTACCAGCCAGTCCACAGTCCAGTCCTGCCCATTTTGCCCGTTCTGCCTGTCCCAATCCAGGCTAGTTTCCTTTTCTTGATTTCAACTTCGATTTTTCGTTCAACATCCTCTCCTGGCGTCCTGTCCTTTTCCTCATCCGATTCCCTAACACTCTCAATTCGCGTTTATCACCGCGAAGGCATGCCTGGCCCATATTATCCATCTCGACCAGTACACAATTTTTCGACTAGGCAACGCTTTGTACTATTTATTCCCTGAAGGCCTCTGTCCTCTATTTCATTCATTTCACCACTCCTCCTTTCTGCAGATCCCTTCTCCTGTCTATTCCCTACCTTTCGTTTGCCTTGCCTGGCCTGGCAACCACACCTTCTCTTCTTTTCCCCCTTTACATTCTATCGTTTCTCCCAATCTGATGCCTCTATCTACTTCACCTACAACTGCGCCTCTATCGACACGCCTCAAGATGGAGGACCGTAAGCGTCCTGCTATCAGCACGGATGACATCGCTCCTCCTAGCAAGCGACAAGCCGTTAATGGTGGAAGTAAATCTAAGGACGACGGCGATGCGAAGGATGAAGCGTGGATCGAGGTAAGTATCACGATTGCGATTTATTTTCCTTCAACCAATGTTGCCTATCGAATCGTGTCCTCGACACGTCTCCCTCGTCAATATGAGGCGACTTTACCCTAGCACGAGACCTTCGTAGCCTTTGTTTTTAGTCGTCATCGAGACATCTACTCACAATCTCAGTACTGATGCGCGGCTATGCTGTCATCAGCGTTCTATCCCAACACTCTCCCATGTTTTGTCGTGCCGCGATTGACTACGCAGCCTGACTCGAACCACCTCGTTACTACGTACATTCGCGCCAGTCAATATGATATATGTATAAGGATGTTGAGTCGCTGACAGATGTGGATTGGTTAGGATTATCAAAAAGATGCCATCTACCGACAGATGCTCGAGTACAAGCGAGAGAAGAACACTTTAGAAACACAACTGGACGAAGCTCAGAGGCTTGCCGTACATCATGACGATCACATACGAGTTGTCGACAACTGGTGGTTACAGGTACCGTCAGCCCGCCAAACTGAAGAATTGGTGAATAATACTAATATTGGCAACAGTTATTACAAGAGATAGAATTAATCGTAGAGGCAACGATACCATTCCAACAACGTTCTGATGGTAAATACAACCCGCCCCGTTCCCAATTTACTTTTAACTAAGATATTTGCATAGAACGACCATTTCCGACACACACTCGGTTCAAAGATATGGAAGAATTCGAATCACACCTCAGTGAGAAGGCATCAACTATCAAAACTATGGTTGAGACAATACTTAGTCGTCTCAGCGGGACTCGCGGCCATGTTGCCCCCGATATCACAAACCTAGAGCAACAGGTCAATGGCCTCTTAGCACAACAGAAAGAGTTTCTCCTTAAATTGGATCGACTCACTGTCGATAAAGATAGCCTCTCCGAACAGCTCAACACTGCAACTCTCAGATACATGAAGGCTGAACGGCGACTCGATCGGGCTAAAAGCGCCCAAGTCCAGAAGCTGGAACAGCAAGCCTTGAATCATGTAGCCGTTCGCCCCTCCGCAGGTGCCGACCAAGAGAACGGCATGGCTATAGATGAAAACAATGTCAACAGCGAAGCATTACAATTAGCCCTTCGCGAGGCCAGTGCCGTCGAGACGCGACAGAAGGAACAAATAGAATCTGCATTGGCACAGAACAAGACTTTACAAGAGGAGCTTACCGCCGTACAGACGCGACTAACGAACTTGACTGATGAAGACTATTCCCGCACAGAAGTTTTCAAGGTATTTAAGGGTCAAATGGAGGAACTCGTCCGAAAGATCAACACGCTAGAAGCAGACAATAAGGCCCTCAGAGCATCGGCCGAGAAATTAGAGGCCGAGCGAGAGTCTAGTCGCCGGAAGGTCGAAAGCGAAGCCCAGACTCTTATTGCCGAACTTGAGGATCAATTACAACAGGCCGACACCACCCTTGCACGAGTAAGATCCACGAGGGACGAGCTGCACGCAGACGTCACTATGCTTAGAGCAAGCAAGGAGCAGGAGAAGACAGCTCTTGACCACATGAAGGAACTCGTGAGCGCCAAAGAGGACCGCATCTCGGCCCTAGAGTCAGAGGTACAGAGGCTACAACCTAGCGAGGACGTCGACATGACTGAACGGCCAGATGTAGACGCGCTCTCCCCAGATGAGATGCGTGAAAAGTACAAGAAGCTTATGAAGAACTATAACTCGATAGAAAGCGAATTACCGGGTATGACAAACGCAGTAAAGAAGTTCCAGGCTCTTGCGCACAAGAAGGTTATGGACCAAGTTGCAATGGAAGAACGCATAGCCTTAGCCATTGCTGAGAAGAGCAAAGCGGACCAGAAGTACTTTACAGCACGGAAGGACGGTGACCTAAAGGCCGAAGTTATCCAAAAGTTGCGAACTCAGAACAGCAAGAGCTCCGAAATTATTTCCCAACTAAAAGAAGTTGAGGCGCATAACCGAACACTTGTCACTAACTTGGACAAGCAGCTTGCCGATTTGAAGCAGACAAATGGGTCGGTCATGGGTGAAAATCGGAAACTTGAGACATCTAGCAATGAATTGCTGCGTCGCTTCGATGCGCTTAAGCAACAAGTTGCCGAGTTGTCAAATTTGGCAAAATCGAAGGATTCCGCCACCGCTGTTGCTAAAGAACGCACTGCCACGCTTGAATCGGATGTCGAGAAGCTTAAGGTGCGCCTCGAGTCCGCAACAAAGGAACGTGAAAAGTGGAGGCTTAAGAGCCTAAGCAACTCCTCTGAAGAAGAGGAGATGTTACGGGTGAGTGCAATATCCGATTTCTTAGAGCGTACATTTGTGCTAACTATTATACTAGAGCATGGCAACGTGTTCAATTTGCAAGAAAGACTTCAAAAATACAGTTTTGCGCACATGCGGCCACATCTTCTGCCGAGGTTGTATCGATGATAGAATTGCTAACCGAATGCGAAAATGCCCAGCATGTAGCAAAGCCTTCGATAAATCAGATGCAATGGCTGTCCATCTTTAGCTAAGTTCACGAAGACAGTGGAGCACAAGAGCATGGCTTGAGTGTATATTACATGAAGAGGGAGATAAGGCATTGTCCTGTGTAAGAGTCTATGTACATACTAGTGTTTTACGGATGAAGCCCCCATATTCGAAGAAGCCAGGGCAACGAGCCTCAGCAGTCGGCGTCCAATTACGATTCCAATCCAAATTCAACCCAAGTTAATGCTTGCAGGATATGACGGTGGTTGCTCGCGATCGGCTTTGTTGATATTCGACGAGTACGGGGACCAAGTCAAAGTGGTTTTGCTTTTAAACATTTTGCGGGGGGTTGGAGGCTTTCGTGAACGGATCCTCGTCGACAACTCATGCTTTTTTTTATACTGATTGCTCGTCAAATCTCCAATCGGTACTTCTGGCCTTCTTTTGGGGGTTTAGTCCTCTTTAGAAATCCGGAAATAGAAATCGATTTGAAGTCTTGCGAGTAATGTGGGGGGATACTTCGCTTTGCATTTGCAGGAATTCAGGACGCGCAAACTTCATTTCATGTGTATGAGAGGCCAGACAACCTCCTAGGTGTATATACACCACGATCAGTTGCCACGCAGGATAGCCCGACGTGCAAACAATTAGACGCTAATCAGCCATTTGATCATGTGTGCGGTGAAGACATCTCGGCATTATTCGTGATAGGTTATAGTAAGGACGCCTCTTCGCGGCTTACCTACGGCTCGTCGACCCGAACCCGGTGCTCTCGTATCTCGCAGTGGACGTTGAACGTGAACCCGAGCTACCGGAAGATGAGCTAGAGGGACCCGCTCCCCAATTGTAGCCTGAATTTCGCTCTTGCTGGTTGTTACGTCGACCGCCTGCTGCGTAACCAGCGGCAGCACCTCCAGCTAAACCCGTCCAGAATCCAGGCCGCCAACCTTGATTTTGTGTTGACGAAGACCTGGGATATGACGAAGGGTCGTCCCAGCCACCGCCGCCGCCTCCTCCCGGTCCGAAACCAGGATCAAATCCACCACCAAATCCTCCCCAGTTGTTCCGCCGCGGACCGGGACGCGTTGGATCCCGATTACCGGCAACACAGGCGCTGTATAAAATCCACATACAGACGAGGGCAAATATAATGACGAAAGCGATGGCACTAGGGTCGGAAGACCCGCTTCGGCGATCCTTATCCCTGCCCTTATCTCCACCTCCGCCGCCCCATTTCCAGCCACCACGGCCATTAGCCACGTCCGGGAACTTCTGCTCGCCGGCTTCCGTGAGAATGAGCCGGTATTCCACGCCGCAGCTGCCCTTTAGCACGTACGGGTCGTCCGGGCTGCTGTACCCTTCGCATATAACATCCGTGCTGCCGAGTTTCAGCTCCGGGGGGAGTGGTGCGCTGCATGACCATTGGATGTCCTCCGCGGTGTACCCTGACCCTTGGTTCGTGCACCGCATCATGTCGATGGAGTGGAGCCGGCATATCGCCGGCGCGGACACGCATTTTAGCTGCGGGATGGCGGAGACGCGCCGGTGGGTGGTTTGCGCGCCGTCGCCGCGGAGGGTTAGTGAGCGCACGTCTGAGAGGAGGACTGCTTTGCTGGGTTTGGCTGCTGCTGTGGGGGAGAGGAGGGGGAGGAGGAGGATGAGGAATGAGGGGAGTTGATGCATCGTGATTTCGATTTCGGCTGGTTGTATGTTCCGGGTTGTACCTGAGACCGATGTTCGATGCTGTGTGTTGTCCTAGACTTCTATTCCGCAATAGGTAGGTGTTTAGAGATGTCGCATGGATAGCCACATGGGTTAAACCTTGTTATTGCATTATAAAACGTGCGGTGAAAGACGGAGAGACGGGATTGTTAAATAGAAAGGCTATACCGAGGTCTGTTCAGGTACGAATTGACGGTGTAGATGGTGTTGGTGAACAGGATGTTTGATGGGGTAAGATCCTTTGTTCGTGACAAGTATGTATTAATGGTTGATTTTTATGTAGGCTGAAAAGTAGTTGGAAGGACACATGGCCGGTGGAGAGAGAATGACATGAAATCATTGGTGAGATGATTGGATCGTTGGGTGAAGAAAGTTTAGTGTGGCGTTTGCAAGGCTGATTAACGGAACCGGGAAATGCCAAGATCTTTTAAGCTCTAGCACGGTGCTCGCCTCGTGCGCTCGTACCTAAGTACCTTTTTTCTTCGCTTTCCCTCGTTTTTCTCCTCAGCCGCACTCAGGTAATGCAGCCTATATGCAGCTACGTTTCATAACTTTTCAACCCTTGAATGGAATAGCTCCATGGGATAGTCGACATCCGTCCTAGACTCGATTTAGATAAGATTTGTCACTTCGGAACCATTTGAATGCGTACTCGCAGCCAATGACGATATGCATGTTTTTTGAGTCTCGCATCTCCCCCGCGCCGCGAAGGAACAGAATTCTTCAAAGGGGAAGGAGATTTACAGAAGTTGTGACTGGCGCGTGACTCGGCCGGAAAGCTATGAGGAGAACGGTGAACCGACTTCACTGTGTAAAGAGTTGAATTGTACAGTTGAGTTGGCAAGTTGGAGACTTGGGGTAGATAGTGGCTGAAATGTAAGTATATCCCGCTCTTGGCGATACCACTGACGTCTAGTACAGATAATATTGCAGATTCTGAGGGGTTCTTGTGTGACGCTGTTATCTTCCCTCGGCATTTGCCTACTTAAGCCTGGAGTGGGATGTTAGAATCTTGCTTTTTAGATTCTTCCCGTTCTTCCTATTCTTCCCCTTGGGGAAATCTCGTACCATCTCGACTCATGATGTCCCCTGACTCCTGAGGGGTTGTGTGAAAGTCTGTGCTATGCCATGTGCCATGTGCCATGCAATAACTATGCAATAGCACAGGCGAAACTGGGTCTTAAAAAGAACCTGTCAATCCCTTCGTCTTTGGGTATGGACTTAATTTAAAATAGAATTATACCCTGCCTGCATGCAGAACTGATCTCCTCAGCTTCCGGGCGAATAGGTACTAAACCACGAAACCACGAGGAGTAAGCACCATCCATTCTATCGGACGAATCTAGACCTAATCTTTACATGACTAACCGCATTTAAGCATCTCGAGACTAGATACCGAGGCACGAAATAAGGCTTCCAAAGATTCCAACAAACCTTATGTAAAGAGCCGGTCCCGGGGTAGTTAATAACTGACTCCCGAAAGCCTTATCGATCCTGTTTTCGCACTCGCTTGCCTAGATTGCCTCAGCCTAACGAGAGGCCGGATCTTTTCTGACGCAAACTCCTCCGCATTCGTAACTCGTACTTACTGTACCTTCTCGATATATCGTTCTTCTGTTTCCGAGAAGTAAGAAGTAAGAAATAAGAAATAGGTAAGCTATCGTGTTCATTAGTGCCGGTTATTATGTACATAGAGGATCTCGGCGCCGTAAGTGGTGATTTCCTCGGTATGACTATTAGGGATAGGTAACAACATGTATAATGATCTATCAGAAAAGTTGATAGCTGAAGCTTGTAAATTTGATTCTAAGAATCATTTAGAATTGCAGATGTTCCGATGGCTTGATCTACCCCTCCGCACCGATCCGACAGATGTGTGGCCACGTTCATCAGACATCTCGTTACCCACAATCCCGGACTATGGTCGAGTCCATAACCCCGACTACGCCGTCCTAACATGGTTTCACATCGTGATCCCGTGAGATTGTAGAGGACATGGAGGAAGTAGTACCTCGTGATCTCTTATACGATAAACTTGCATATATGTACATACTACATTACATACATACCTAGTAGGCATTGATATCGCTTAATATCTACCTACCCACCTAGGCTTTCTTACACTATTACACATCAACGACCTCTTTAGTTTAAACTACATTGTTCTTGGTTTACTTCAGTATCTCTTCGTTATTCTCACCTCTGCTTCAGGCTAAGCAGAATCAGGTAGCATGCAAGGGAACAGATGTCGGGTATATTTGAGATTCGATCTTTGGAAGAGGAATGGGGTCATCGAACTACTCCATCGTAGTGTGCAGTTATAAATATAGCTCTTCTACGTGGGCGAATGTCGTATGTCGGATATGGAGAGAAGTACCCAAGTTTTATGTAGCTAATATCTAGTCATTACCTTAAATGGCAGTCCCTCGGCATGTCACCCTTTCCCCTTCTAGTAAATTTCCTTTTTGGGTATGCTAAGCGATTGCGAAGCTAAGTTAAAGTTAAGCTAGTGATCCCTGCAACCCGCACCTAATGCCTTATTGACTTCTAATTCTCTATTGATTTTTAACATTGTACCTACCAAAGTGGGAACACACCTGCACGTCTGCAAGCATCGGCTTGTCGCGAACCCCCGAACCACTTCCATTTTTGCCTTCCAAGGATGAATCCAAGGATGTGACACCCGGTACTTTCTATTCTACCCCGTGCGGCTTTACTTCCTTATCGCTGTATAAAGGAATTGGACCCATCGTTAGCTTATAGGATTTACAGGCGAAGCCGCCATTCTTCCCCAAAGCAACAACCGCATTCTCGCGTGTGAGCTACGCAGAATACATAAAACCACCAAAAAAAAAAGAAGAAAAAAATAGATATACTTAGAAATACATATAGATCTGGTCGCTCTCCGGGATTTCCTATATACCCTTTTCCCTTTCTTCCTCTTCTTTCTGGTCTCGAACCGTCCCATCGTTTCAGCATAGATATATCGATATATATTTTTCTTGGTCCGTGTACATATTATTAAACTGGACCGACGCGATATCACGAACCTAACTAAATCAAGCTCGCTCCGATAGAGCGTAGCCATAATGGGCTACAGTAACAACATGCCAAAGAGACCGGAGACGTCTGCGACATTCAATACATTTTCCGAAGGCCCAGCAAGTCCCACGATAAGCAACAGTGGCTCGACGGTAGTTCCAGGAGACGGTCCTTACTTTGGCGAATCCAGTAGAAGGGATACGAAGGGAAGAACTCCGACGGGTAGTTCTGCCGAGTCTGGCGAGTCCGGCGTGATGGAAAATGATCCTTTCGGTCACCTCCCCGCCCACGAGGCCGAAATCCTGAGGAAGCAAGTCATAACTCCCGAGGTGAAAAGCGGCATTTCTACTCTTTACCGATATGCGTCGAGAAACGACTTGATCATCATGGCCGTGAGTGCCATCGGTGCTATCGCTGGTGGTGCGGCTATGCCTCTAATGACAGTCATCTTCGGCAATCTTCAAAACACTTTCCAGGGTTTCTTCTTAGGCAAGGTATCTCACGACGAGTTCATAAGTGAGATGAGCAGCCTCGTTTTGTACTTCGTCTACCTGGCTATTGGCGAATTCATTGCCATGTACGTCGCGACTGTTGGGTTCATCTACACCGGAGAACATATCAGCGGCAAGATTCGAGAACACTACTTGGAGAGTTGCATGAAACAGAACATCGGTTATTTCGATAAGCTCGGCGCTGGCGAGGTCACTACCCGAATCACCGCCGACACGAACTTGATCCAGGAAGGTATCTCTGAGAAGGTTGGATTGACATTAACAGCTATCGCAACATTTGTCTCCGCTTTCGTTATCGGATTCGTCTTCTACTGGAAGTTGACACTCATTCTATTTTCTGTGGTCATTGCCCTAATTCTCGATATGGGTATTGGTTCATCGTTCATCGTTAAATACACCAAAGACACGATCGGCGCATATGCGGCAGGAGGCAGTGTTGCCGAAGAAGTTATTAGCTCCGTTCGAAATGCCATGGCTTTTGGTACCCAAGGTCGTCTAGCTCAGCAATACGACGCTCATCTCGCCCATGCCGAATACTTCGGTTTCAAGAAAGCGACCGCGACAGCCCTTATGGTTGCCGGTATGATGTTAATCGTATACGCCAACTACGGTCTGAGTTTCTGGATGGGTAGCAAGTACCTCGTTGACGGTGCCGTTCCGCTATCGAGTGTCCTTATCATTATGATGTCCATTATGATTGGTGCATTCAATTTGGGTAATATCGCTCCTAACCTTCAGGCATTCGGAACTGCTCTTGCGGCTGCAGCCAAGATCTTCAACACTATTGACCGCATGTCCCCAATGGATCCCACCGTGGACACTGGAATCAAGCTGGGCAAGGTATCTGGTGCTATCCGTCTCGAGAACGTCAAGCACATCTATCCTTCGCGACCCGAAGTTACCATCATGAAGGGTGTGACTCTGAATATCCCAGCAAGCAAGACGACAGCGTTGGTCGGAACTTCTGGATCCGGAAAGAGTACTATCGTCGGTCTCGTCGAGCGATTTTACGACCCAGTAGAGGGAAGAGTCTTGCTAGATGGCCACGACGTTAGCACCCTGAACCTCAAATGGCTGCGTCAGCACATCTCTCTAGTCGGCCAGGAGCCAACCCTGTTCGCCACCACGATCTACCAGAACATCAAGAACGGTCTTATCGGCACGAAATTCGAGCACGTGAGCCCTATTAGGCAAACGGAATTGGTTATCGAAGCCGCTAAGAAAGCCAACGCTCATGACTTTATCTCAGCTTTACCCGAAGGTTATGAAACGAACGTTGGTGAACGTGGATTCTTGTTGTCCGGTGGTCAAAAGCAGCGAATTGCCATCGCACGTGCTATTGTCTCGGACCCTAAAAGTAAGTCATGGTCTAAGTAGACGGTTACATAAATGCATTCTAACCCTTGTCATAGTTCTCTTGCTTGATGAAGCTACTAGTGCCTTAGATACCAAATCTGAAGGTGTTGTCCAGGCGGCGTTGGAGGCCGCTTCGCAAGGTCGCACGACTATTACCATTGCTCATCGTCTCTCTACCATCAAGGATGCTCACAATATCGTCGTCATGTCTCAAGGTACCATTATCGAACAGGGAACTCACACTGCTCTCCTAGAGAAAAATGGAGCATACGCCAGATTGGTCAGCGCGCAGAACATTGCTACTGCCAATGGGCCAAGCCCTGAGGAACAGCTTAAGATCGCCAGCCGTGATGAGTTGCTTGTTCGTAGGGCCTCTAAGCGCCTGTCTACGCGATTTTCTAAGCGATTGTCGAGGCCGTATGAACTTAGCTTCCTTGATGACCCCGAGCCGCCTATGCCTGATATTAAACTTACTCGCCCAGTAACTCGGGGGTCTGTGTCTAGCAAGGCTATTCATCACATGGAGCCCGAAGAAGAGAACCATGAGTATGGACTTTGGCCTTTGATTAAACTAATTGCGTCGTTCAACAAAGAGGAATGGAAGCTGATGATCTGGGGTCTGTTCTGGTCCATCATCTGTGGAGCTGGTAACCCAACTCAAGCGTTCTTCTTCGCTAAGCAAATCCTTGTGAGTATTCCGGGTATAAAATTAGCCCCCAATTGAACCATTTACTAACTGAAGACAGACCTTGAGTGTACCTCTTACTCCGGCCAATAGTGCAGCAGTCAAAAAGGAAAGCGACTTCTGGAGTGGTATGTTTCTCATGCTGGCATTTGTCATGTGCATAGCATATATCTCTCAGGGTGTCGCCTTCGCCAGGTGTTCCGAGCGACTCATCCACCGCGTTAGAGACAGGGCTTTCCGAACTATGTTACGCCAGGACGTCGCTTTCTTCGATAGAGACGAGAACACTGTCGGTGCTCTTACATCCTTCTTGTCGACTGAGACCTCTCACGTAGCTGGTCTTAGTGGTGTTACTCTCGGAACTCTGCTTATGGTTACCACTACACTTATAACTGCAATGGTTGTTGCTCTGGCATTCGGCTGGAAACTGGCTCTTGTGTGCATTTCTACGATTCCAGTTCTACTCGCTTGTGGTTTCTTCCGGTTCTGGATGCTTGCGCATTTCCAACGTCGCTCCAAGCAGGCCTACGAACAGAGTGCCTCGTATGCGTCTGAAGCTATCTCAGCCATTCGCACGGTTGCATCTCTAACTAGAGAAGGAGATGTCTTAAACCAGTACAAGCTCTCTCTTGCCGCCCAACGAAAGACTAGCTTGGTTTCCATCTTAAAGTCGTCACTCCTCTACGCCGCGGCCCAGTCTTTCATCTTCCTGGCATTTGCGCTTGGTTTCTGGTACGGTGGCACTTTAATTGCCAGCCACGAATACAACTTGTTCCAGTTCTTCGTCTGTTTCATGTCCGTTATCTTCGGCGCTCAGTCAGCCGGTACCGTCTTCTCTTTCGCCCCCGACATGGGTAAGGCGCACTCCGCTGCCGGCGAACTGAAGACTCTCTTCGACCGTCAGCCCACCGTCGATACTTGGTCGCAAGAAGGTGCCCCCATCCACAAAGTTGACGGTACTGTGGAATTCCGAGATGTCCATTTCCGATACCCCACTCGTCTTGAGCAACCTGTCCTTCGTGGTCTTAACTTAACCATCCGTCCTGGCCAATACGTTGCATTGGTCGGCGCTTCGGGTTGTGGTAAGAGTACCACAATCGCCCTGCTCGAACGATTCTACGATCCTCTTGTCGGAGGTGTCTACGTCGACGGCAAGGATATTAGTGGCCTCAATGTTAACCAGTACCGATCACACATCGCTCTCGTATCCCAGGAACCTACACTCTACCAAGGAACTATCAAGGAGAATATCCTACTCGGTTCTGGTCGTGAATCTGTTCCGGATTCGGCAATTGAATTCGCTTGCAGAGAGGCTAACATCTACGATTTCATTCTATCTCTGCCAGATGGCTTCAATACCAAGGTCGGTAATAAGGGTACCTTACTTTCTGGTGGTCAGAAGCAACGTATCGCTATTGCCCGTGCCCTGATTCGCGACCCTAAGATCTTGCTCCTGGATGAGGCTACTTCTGCGCTCGACTCCGAATCCGAACACGTTGTGCAAGCCGCCCTGGACAAGGCCGCAAAGGGCCGAACTACAATCGCCGTCGCACATCGTCTAAGCACGATCCAAAACGCCGACGTCATCTACGTGTTCGACCAAGGCAGAGTTGTAGAGGAGGGCACACACTACAACTTAATGAGAAAGGGCGGGAGGTACGCCGAGTTGGTCAACCTGCAGAGCCTGGAGAAGCGGTAGTTTCCGCTTGCGATATTTGTATTAGTTACGCATCTTTCTACGCAAATTGCTTTTTTCTTTTCTTTCTTTACAGCTATTATCAGAGATTCCCCCACATTTACTTGGTACATATTTGCATATCTAGATGGGAAAGCTAGAACTTCGCCATCGGCGGACAGGATTTAACAGCGAAGAGTGGCAAATGCGGAAGGCGATGGGCATGGCAAAAGGCGTTATACCGGGTGTTGTCTGTCTGTCTATTGTCGGCATTTGATTTTTTTTCTCGTTTTTTAAATGAACGAATGGACTTGTAAGATCTAAGCTTTTTTATCTTGAGGACTGGATCATGTAGCTATACTAGGGCTTAATGAGATCGAACTCATGTATGTATGTACACACGTTTAACTTAGCGCTTTTGTTTCGATTTATGTATATACATGATTACACTGCTATATGTTTGGCATTACTGGTTTAATGAGATAATTTATGGTTTACTTTCTTATTTAGGTGGTTGCGTACCTAATCCTGCGAGAGTCGGTGGCGGCGGCGTTGGCTTGACTCGCAACGTTGCTTGAGGTCTGCCTAGACATGCTGAGAATATATAGGACTTAATACCAGTGAGATATAAGATATAAAGGATGCTGAAGGATGCTCACATGACTACTTTGCCTCCGAGTCAGCCGTGTCAAATACGTTTTTGGACGGCTAAGTAAGACCTAATGAAGGCTTGGGGAAGATGATGACTCGCGACAGCGAGAGCAATGTTTTATATATACTGACCTTGGAAATAGATATATTTTAGGAGTCAACTTTCCTCATCGGGTGGACTATTGACTTGAGGAGACTTGGACAATGATGTTGACTAAGTGAGATCAATCCTATGGCTCCTTAGGTGTAATCATCATCGAGAGCGTCGGTCCTGGGCCATAGAGACACCACGATGTCCGCTATCAACAATGCTTACTGTTCACTATCGAGACGTTGAGATCTCAAGATAGCAGATATCTTGGGGGCTAAGATCTTGTGAGATAAGGAATTATCAACTTCTGTTAACAAGGTTATCAATACGATATTCTCGTTAAACCACCGAGATGATTAGACGCATCGCATGGCGGCGCAAGTATCTCGCATGTAGTCGAATCCTCGTGTCTAGTTATCTTATGCGGCGCTGGGGAAAAGAAGATGGGTTGTATCGCTTATTACTACCTGATACAGCCCCCAACTAGTAACTCGAGCTAGCAGTCGGGTGTTTCTCGATTCTGGGGAGATATCTGATGCACGAAGGTTGGAGAAATATTCAATGTGTGTCCTGAAACATACAATACGAAGTATTGTCAACTGAAACTTGAGATACCCTCTTGTTCGTAAGTGAAATTCGCCAGCTGAATGGGAAAATCGTACGACCCACATGGATATATCCCTCCCGAGTCCCGATTGATGTCTCACGTCGGTAGTATAGCGCGGGTAGCGGCATTCGGCGAGAGGCTTTGTCCCACACTGGCCACGAGGTGATGGATCGGCCGTAGATGTTATGTGTCTAGGTATCTAGGTCGACGTTAGACGACATGCGTCTTGATTCTCGGGTCGAGAACGTATTACACGTAGGATGTAATGGCTTTGATGTTGTACTCAGACCTTATTCTATTGTCTCAGTGGGAGGTAATGGGAAAGCTGAGGTCAGACCTGAGAAATTCCGTCTCATTACTACTATGAACGTGCATCTCCAGATTTATGACAGTCTCGAAACAACCGTGCCATTTTGATGATAATTACCTATGAGTTATCGACCCATAGTCTGGTTCCGAGACTCGTTACATTTACGACGCAGGCTACAGCATGCCGAAAGGGGTTTCAATCAACGATATGCTGCACTCTCCAGGAGACTTCGGGAGCATAGGTAATATTAAAAAAGATGTTGGCTTCAGAATTGATGACGAAAAATTAAAGCCATTCAAGCCACAGGTGATCGACGATGTAGGGCTGGATTGTTTGAAACTTAAAGCGGACGATCTGTGCCGATCAACTAGCTGGTAGCGGTTAAAAGATCGGTGATCAATTAACTCGCGATAATTCTCAGGTGTTATGTATCTGCCTCATGATAACTTCACTGTTACCTTTTCGTTATAAGCGGCAGATGGTGGCTTCTGTCGTGCACATCGGCGTAGAGGAGGGAGATTTGAATGGCACAGCAGCGCCTCGGAAAGCTGCTTGTCCGCAGATATGTCCCGTATGACTTATATTAAGCTTGCATGAGTTATCCATGCTAACGGGTTCGAGGCTCTAATTGCACAACGTTATGTTCCGATTTCATGTCAAGTCGGCGATCTAGAAGGTTGATCAAAAAGCAAACTGACGGTTCGAGATGTCTTGAAAGCTGAACTCCTGGGTTTAAGTAATAAAGGCTTCATCAACAAGAGCGCTAAAGTGAACCATCTTCCAGGTGTTGTTGGTAAAGAAGAACCCGGATCGCTGGGATGCAATATGCATGAAATGAAGAGGGTCCCCCTTAGAAGCGAACCCGATCACCGAAGCATCTTGGCTATGAGCAAGGGAGAGGACGCGTATTGCCCTGTGCTGGTATTCGGACCCGACACAACCTTAATACTTTAAATTCTGCCGGCGGTGATGGTCGTGATTCGTGATTCGTGGTATGTTAATATGTGCTATTTGAAATTGAAATTTGTATTTGAATTTCAAAGCTGCTTACTATTTAGCAGGTACGAAGTAGTACAAGGCATAATTATGTATTAGTTCAATGCAGTTAATCGCCCAGTCTGCCTTAAGTTGATTTGGTAGTTGCCAAGTTATGTAGCAATGTTCCAAGGTCAACTTACATAATATTTGAAATGACTCGGGACTCAATGGATTCGGCGCGTACGTAATTTCCCATAACCTGTAACGATTGTTCGGTATAAAATGTACTTTGCAGCTCGTATCGCACGCTACGATGCCAGCGACAGCAGGTACCTTACGCTAAAGGGGGCTAAAAATGAGGTAGACACGAGGAAGCTACGGCTGTGCCTGGCATTAGTGTTAAGATAACCTTGGAGAGATTTATGCGGTGCTAGCACATTTTAAGCACAATTCGAAAGATGACGAGGAAACCGGGAACTTATCTAAGGTTGTGATTCGTTGGAAGGTGTTTCCCAAGCCAAGCCGCCTAACAACCAAAAGGGACTTTGCTGGAAATTTCGCTTATGCAACCCACTCAATCCTTTCACCAACTTTTTCCCTCATTCACCATTAGGCCATAGGCCATTAGACCATTAGACCCTGCGACCATGCACTGGACTTGCAGACCCTACAGATCGAACCGAATCGGAGAAATAGTTCTAGACTACCAGATTTCTCCAAATCCTGCTTGTTATTGGCAGAGATGGACAGACTCGTGCAATCAAACAAGGAAGTCCTTGTCTTGGTACTAGTCATTCGCTTCGCCGGCGTCGACAACTACCCTTGGACTTCTGCGGACGCGATGTGCCGATTTAGAAAGATGACCTGTCGGCTTTTCTGCGTGTTATGGCTTTTCTATTATGCTGCTAAGGGCCTAAGGCAAGCCAGAGGGAGTACAGAGTATTACAGAGATCACAAATATAACTGAAATCACACCATAGTGCCTGATAAACATCGATATCATAGGCACAGCCATATTACCATTGGGGTCCATTCTCGACCAAGGTACGCTGTACCGAGAGACCATTAAGTCGCCATCTTATTACATAGACCCCAAATTGTGGCATCGTCCCCGTCGCATTTCTTGACAGGCGCCCCGGCCTGGACTAGCGGCGCCTCGTCGCTCTTTTCGCGGATAGGCCAACCGGCTTTGAAGTCCCAAAATGGGAACGCTCGGGGGGGAAACTTATGCTACCATCATAGCGCCTTGACCAATGTTGTTTCTTGCCGTTCTTGCAGCTCTTGCAGAATTTCATTGAAAAGCCCGGTGGGCAGCCCATGCCTTATGAAGAGGTCGATCCTTCTGCTCTTTTCGTGCTTTGGTCGTTACCCATGTCTCTTTAGATCTCTATTTACATCTATCTAATTTTCTATTGGGACCTAATACCTGGGTAACGATCATCGTCAACTAGGACTGACTACTAACTTTCGAGCTCCAACATCTCCCCCGCACGCCTACTTAGAACTCGTTGCGCCATTGCCGTTCTATATAGAAACGCAGTGCTCCATTGGTCTTGCACTGTTTTACTACGGGACACTTTCATTTATCCGACAGCCTTTTATATTGGCCACCTCCCCGCAACGGAGCTATTGTCTTTCCAGGGTCCGCAGGACAATACCGGTTTCGCGGTCTGGATCTGTTGGATATAATAAAGACGTGTGGTGGGAGCGGCTGCGGTTTTCTTCCCGACCCTAATCTAGAGCTTCGAGAGACATTTAAGTTAGTTATCGTAACGTCGGGTTACCACGACTCTTGAGAGTCATTTCGGACCGGAGGCTCTCATACCACGAAGTAATGTATGGACGATCGATCCGCTGATCGGTTACCTGCTTCGGCGGCACAATGCTTTCAGTTTGTTCCTTCGGGCGTCAGTGGTCGCTGCGCCGCGGGTGTGGTCCGCGCTACCCTGTCGTTTCACCCTACCACAAACTGTGGACTCATATAGTAGTGATCATCCTGATCATTTCCCTATGGATCCCTCGAACCACTGCTATTTTACTTGAGGACCCCCCGCGATCGACTGAGACATCGTTACTGGTTGATACGCGGATACCGATTTTCGTCAATGGTCAATGGCAGATCATGTCTGAAGACGAGCATCGCCAACTCGTTCCTAGACAGCCAGCAACGCAGACATATCAAATCGATGTCTCGACTGCGACAGCCGAGTCTACCGCCGCTGCCACAAGCGTTGCTTCGGGTCCCCTTCCAACACCTTTTGATGGAGCACTCGCGGCAAACTTCTCTGGCGAAGATGGAGCTGGATCATGTCTCGACTTCATCAACAGCTTTCTAGAAGACCCAACCTTCCAAAGCTGCTATCCCCTTTCACTACTTCTAAAGGTTAGTTATAAGAATTCATCATTCCGCCGAATTGCAATTAACAGTTTCTAGGGTTCCAACTCTTTCTTCCAGGCTATGAGATCTATAGTCAAAATAACACAAGTTCTTGAAACATCGTGCGCGGCCAACAAAACAACTTGTACAAGCTACCTCGATAACTTGGCCGAAAAGCTCAAGTCTGATGATAATTGCGGAGAGGATTACGATAAACAGAACGCGCTCGTCGTCCAGGCTTACAAAGGAATGAAGGCATACGAAGAGATCTACGGCGCGACTTGTCTAACGAATCCAGAGACTTCGGCATACTGTTTCGTTAACGCGGTTACAAACCTGACGACCGCTTCTAATGTCTACCTCTATAATTTACCTTTCAACGCAACACTACCATCGACAGCTTTACCAGCATGCGATTATTGCACAAGCGAGACGATGAAGATATATCAATCAGCGTCGGCAGACCGATCAAAATGGATAGCGAATACATACGTGTCGGCAGCGCAACAAATCGATTCGGAATGTGGAGCGACCTTCGTTAGTGCAGAGCTTCCCGCGGCACTCCCAGCGAGTGCAGCGACATCTACGGCACAAGCACCATCTCTGCTTATAGTGTCACTACTCATCATGGCTATTTCTCGATGGATTCTATAACCTATTCTACTGGCTCACAACCGGTATTGAATTCGATACCAAGAGTAATTTATTTTAAGGGCGTGTTTGGTATAGGACGGGACGTATATCATGCTTATTTTGGCATAGGTTTTGGATAAGGGAAGGCATATTTTACGAATCGGCAACACAATACAGCGGCGCATTATTGATACCCACACAACATCACTTGGCTTCTTTTTTTATCATTTTATATGATACACAACATCACATTATTTTCGTTGTCTATATTTATACCGATAATCTCTCTTCACCATTATCATGCAACAATAGAAGAGAATCTCAAAACGCCCGACGGGATAGGACGCATGAATAAGAGAGATCCTTCGAATCTCGAGGCTTGTATGGGTGGTTGTGGCGGAAGCTGCCGTCATTCAATCAATCAGAACATGTATAGGTACTCTGTATCTGAGACATGGGGGCGAAGCACGAATTTATGTGCCCGCACAACGATAATAGAATTCATGTATATAATTTTTACAGCCTGCCTCGCTGAGAGGGCTTAGTACTTAATGTATAGACGAGCCTGCCGGATCGATATAAAAATACAATCCGATGCTACATTTATCATATCGTCTTGCATATGGTGAATCGTTCATGCTACACCACGAAAACATATGAATTGGTAACTAAGCAATGCAAACTTCCCTAGAGGTTTAGTGTGTGTATCTGCACCAGACGATGATCTATATCAAACCCATAGATCGATCTGCGCAAAGCACGTTTCCCCTCCCGTCCTGTTTCCATGCGATCAGCGGCAGCGGACGGACGGGCGGGCGGGGACATGCGTGTCATCTCCGCGCCTCAATTCCATCGATCTACGTACGTACGCACGTAGTAGATTGGTTGTGGGTGGTGGCTGGCTCCAGCGGGCTTGTTTCTCTCTTCTGGATAGGTGGATGGGTGGTGAGATGGGATCGGCGGATAGCCACTTGCTTTTTACTTACTTCTTCTGTGTGTACTAGGTAACTGGGTAGGTAGGTACATAGATGTACATAACCTCGCAGCCTCGACGCCCGCGGCCGTCCCGCGTGGGATTTTGGGCGTCGGTTACTTACAGGTGTGGAAGGGTAGGTGGGTGAGTGGGTGTTTCAGCAAACATGGTTGTCTATAATGGAGATGTTTAATAGGTATGTTTAGTTAGTAGGGGGGTTTTCGTCGATATCGTGAACTTGCTTATAGATGCATTTACTTATGCCGATTCTCTAGCAGTTATCGCACAATACGATCCAGCAACAGGCATAGCTATCGCTACCTAGCACGTATGAACACACGGAAGAAATATTTTCTTTTTTATCTACAGCATTTCTATCCTATGATCGATCAAGCGATCACATGTATAATTATGGACACGAATTCCTCTTTTTTCCCTTCCTTCCTCTCTATTACTACCCAACATTCATTTTTTTCGTTGACATACATTCACACCCACATTCCCCTTCCTTGCCAACCCTTCTTTGTCCTCTAAGTTTACCTCACCCCCTAGTCTTTTGCCTAATCCGCAAACCCAAACACCTCAGCAACAGCCAAAGTATTAGCCCGCACGCCCAAAATCGCAACCACAATAGCCACCAGGTCAACAACGAGCAGCATAGCAGCCGCCATCATGAACCTCGGGCAAAAAACGCGGTAGAGCATGAGATGGCGTCTTAGATGACCAGCCCAAGCCATAGTCGCCAAGCTCTCAACGGCGTAATACGTGACGAAGGCGGCGAGAGCGCGGCTAGAGGTCTCGAGAACGCCTTTGCGCTTGGGACCCGTCTTCCACAAGACAAGGAGGGGGACGGCGGCAGCGGCGAGTATCTGCGCAGCGAAGGTGTTGATGGTGACGGCGAGGGGGCTCCAGGGGTAGCGGATGGTGAGGAGGGGGACGAAGGCGCTGTCCCACTGGATGGAGGCGAGGACGGCTTGGTGGCCCGTCTTGAAGAAGTGGAAGTTGGCGAGCACAGCGAGGGTAATGGGGCCGACGGTCTCCGCGGCTAGGTCGTTGAGGTCGAGGATCTCGGCCAGCGAGAGGATCTGCCAGAGCATGATGGCGATGGCGCCGCCGCCCATGGGTTTCGAGAGGAGAATGCAGGCGCATGCGATGTTTATCGGGAGGAACAGGTACCGGGCGCCGTTCACGTTACCGTACCCGAGGATGATCTGGACCGTGCGGATGTTTTGTGATCTCGTGAGAATGGAGATGCAGGGAGGGGCCCAGACGAATGCTGTGGTGCCGGCTATGAGGGATAGTGCAAGGACTATTTGAGCGATAGAGACGTGGATGCTTTTAAGCACCTTCTCTGGAAGTGATGTAATCCAACCTCCGTTGTCTGCGGCATCAAGAGTCCAATAAACAGCAGCGAGAAAGAGGCCGGTTCGGAAAACGTAGCCTATCCAAATGGGCGCAAGACCGTCGTATGATCGCGAGGTCTTCATATATGATTTAATTATAGACGGGAGAATAAGGAAAACGGCAAAAGGTATGACCAATTGCCAAGGAGCTGATGTGGAAGAGTTGGCGGAGGCATAGTATGTCGATGTGCAGTAAGGCATTTGCTCATCTCTGCAGAGTTTTGAGAAGGAGGCTAGTCGACCAAGGACGACAAATAAGATGGAGTGGTAAACACCCAGAGTTTGTTCACGGATTGAGGGTCGTTGGAGCGCGGAGATGGCGCTTACAACCCCAAACGTTGAAAGGAAGAACAACGATATCGAGTCTTCCCATATCGTGTACGAGTTAGAAGCAAATCCGATAGACTGGCTTAAGGTGAATATGGCAGACAGCCACCCCCAGGAGGTATTCGGTAGGATATTGAGGATTTGTATCCCGCGGATCTTAAGTAGAATACCAATCACGGCAATTATGCTTCCGATCGCAGTCGCAGCAATAGCCAATAACCAATCATCCGCTTCCGTGAGTTTAACGAGCGCAAAACTGAGAACCCCTATTACCCCACCACCTAGGAAGCCCGACTTGACAAGTGACCTACTCAGGTTTTTGTAAGATGCAACCTCTGGCTCCGTTGAACCTAATAACTCCAGGCTCTTCTCCGCGAAGTCGAGCTCAGCATCATCTAAGACTGCAAAGTCTTCATCTTCGTCTCTCGAGACATAGAGTAATAACGTGATCACTCCAAATGCCATTACCACAATGCCTAACACCATCTTTGGGATATCAAACCGGGCCCAGAGATCTTTGCACAGACGCAAAGTCCCTTCCTGGTAAACAGTATAGGCATCATATAACTCTTTCCATGGTTTGGATTTGGCGCTTGACTGGATAATTGCTTCGGTTTTGCTCCAGAGTGATGCAGGAGATCCAGGTTGGATGCTTTGTTCAATACCTCGAGCCTTATAGTAGGATGCTTGGTATCTCCTAATTCCAGCGGATGTTACACTAGAAGCAGCAGCCAGAAAGTCCCAAGCATTCCCCTTAAGGCCAGCAAAGGCTTCCTCAATAGGCCGACCAAGATTGTTGTATGGTATAGGAATACCTAACAGAAGAGCCAAGGTTGGAACCAAATCGATTTGATTTACTGGTCGAATTTTAGCCGTCGCTGGCGGCGTCTTAAACTCCGGTTGGGTGCGGCCGAAAACTGGCTTTTTCGAGTACATCCATAAAGCCGCCTCAACTTCATCGTCGCTTTCACCACCATGATCACCCTTGCTATCCATGCCATGGTCGCCCATGACAACCAATAGCGTCTCGTCATCGATCTCTTTTACAAGATCTTGGATGAAATTATTCATCTGCTGAAGCTTGGCAGTCATAGCGGCATGGCTAGGTCCATATCGATGGCCGGCATGATCCACACCAAGAAGATGTCCTATGAGAATGTCCCATTGCTGCGTTTTATCGGATTTCAGCAATGGGAATATGTGGTCTATCACGCCATTATCCACTGTGTGGAGATCCCAGACATTAAGGCTGTCATAGGCTCTGCTGATATTTGGTTGGAAGTATCCGGGGAATAGAGCAGTCCAGGTGTCGTCCCCTAAATGAACGATTCGCTTTCCTTGGTCCTTCCATTGCATTAGTAGATTGTCCTCTTCTATAGCCGTCCCAGCAAAATTAGATCCCATATCAACGAATGTGGGTAAAGTTCCGGTCGTTAGGCCTTTCAGCCTTTGAAGAGTAGTGGTTGGAGGATCTGCAATGAATGGTCGCAGAAACGCGTTTCCTGGCGATTGGACCGAAGTCTCGTAGAGATAGGGGAGCGCATTATGATACACAGCTGCGTTGTCCTCGTCCCCAACTGGAACTGTGAAATCATATCGTAAAGCATCTACCAGAACCACAACAGCCTTGTTAAAGGTCTTAGGATGCCAGCAGCCACCCTCTACAGAGCCTTTCCCTTTCCATTCCAGTAAAGGCTCAATGGGTGGGTTATCGCACTCTGATCGTTCGTCCAGAACCAGCCTGGTCAAGAGGAAACCGCTAGTAAAGAGCAATATGCCAACAATGTGTATACACAACAGCCAGACCCAAAACCCTAGAGTCCAAAAACATCGACGCTCAAAAGCTTTTTTTCGACGAGCTTCAAGAGCCGCTTGCTGAGATTTGTCTATCGAAGGGCCATTATCGTCCCCTGTGGTGCTTGCAGTATTCCCAAGCTCTTGTAATTGTCTTGCGCGGGCCCATTCTTCTGCGATAGCCTGGTATTCGGTAGTGGGAGGATTTGGTCGGGTATTCCGGGAGGGCATATTTCGTCGGTCGTGGGCCGTGGATCGTGGATTGTGGGGGAAAGTAATTAACGCGTCGTGTACGGATCAGTTGTAGCCATTGGCCTTCTATATGCAATTCTACCAGGAAGAGAAATAAGGAAAGTGTACGGCTAGAAGCAAAAAAATAAACTAAGCCGTCAGTATTAAAGAAATGACCATGTTGTAGAAGTACAGGAAGTTCGAATCGATATGTGAATTCGTAAAAAGGAACGTCGTGTCAAAAAAGAAGCTTAAAAGCTTAGCTGCTTTAGTTGTGGGAACCGTCAAGGTTAGGATTCCAACTAATTAATACAGTTTTTCGGTACATGAGTACATGCGCAGATGCGGTATGACGAACCCTTGTACAGCTATTGGCTCCTGCCATTTGCCATGCAAGGTTATAACAATTACCTAAGGTATACGCTTATCTAATGGATCCTATTGAATCCTACGATTTTCACTTCAACTTCATCTCTTCCTCAGATAAAGGCGTTCAATTATAGAGAGTATCCTACTTTACATTATACTTCCGTACCCTTCATCGATTTCCTCTATGAAAAAACTAGATCGACGTCGTCAATCTAAACTTCAGTAAGTCTTGCTTCACTATATCGTCCTTCCTGGCCTCAAGCTCCTCCATATCCCATCTGGAATTGACAAATCTACCATTCAGCCATGGGCGGTTCTCCGCAGTTAGCCATACGACAGAATCTCCCGGAAGTTGGGGCTCGTCAACCAGGATTTTATGCATGAATTCGGGCATATTGCACGCCAACTCTGTCTTGATGCCGCCGGGATGAAGCGCGAAGCAAACCAGGCCCTGATCTTGGTATTCCGCTGCTATGAATTCTGCCAGCCGACATACCACGAACTTGGTAGATTGGTAGGCCGAAGCGCTAGGTATAACTGCGATAGCGCCAGCACTCGTCGTGAGGACGTTGGTCTTGAGGTCTCCTTTGAGAAGCAGTGGTATAAAGTGTTTGCTACACAGGTAGACCCCCTTGACGTTAACCTCGTACGTCATCCACCACTCGTTCGTTTTGGACGCGCTGACTTCCAGCCACTCTGGTAAGTAGCCAGCATTGTTGATAAGTATATCCAACTTTCCGTCAAATTCATTCGAGATAATCTTTGCAGCTGCCTCGACGCTGTCCTCTGACGTCACATCAAGCCTCACGCTGACAACTTGGGGCTCATCTGTGCGACCAGCCTTTTTCGCTGCTTCCTTTATCTCAGCCACCACATCCGACAGGTCAGACCGAGCACCAATGCCTATCTTGCTACAACCGGCTGTCGCAAAACTGAGTGCGGTTTCCTTTCCAACGCCCTTGGATGCGCCAGTTATGAATACGGATCTTCCGGAAAGGTCTAATTTCTTAGGAGATATGTATTCGTACGTATCGCTGTGTACGGTTTTGGTGAATTTGGAAATGGCTTCCATATTTGCTGCGACTGTTGCCATGGTGCTGGATTCTTAATGTCGTATTCTTGGCATATGAACTTGCGATGCCTACTTCAACGCAGGAGGGTACGAGAGAAGCTTTATATTAAGTTATAGATAAAGTTATGCATGGGCACATAACAGCTGTTTCCGACCTACCTAGGAAGGTACTCACCTCACGTACCTATTAGTAAACTCACAAACGTATCGGAATTTCACGCGAGCAGACAAACCCCGGCAACAGCCCTTCCCCTGAATATTCTACCGCCAATGATTGAGTCATAAGTATCGTTGTGTTACGTATTAACTCCCATCGAGCAGGAGATACCGGCGTTGGCGGAATTTAGTTTCAAGATATTGAGCTATTACTCGAGGAAATGCGACACGATACTCAGTGGGGAAAGCCCGAGGGTGCCCCTAGCATGCCTTTACCCACAAGTATTGAAGATAGACGGCCAATGATATCAGGACTAACATATACAGTTTTCCGTCGAGATGCCGATCAATCCCGGGTATGGGCTATTGATCATTAATCGGCACTTACAATACCGCTCCACTATATAGTCAGCATCATACTTTCTTTACGGCACGATCCGGCACTGGGCACATATTCCACATTCCACACCACATACCCGGCTACTAATTCGACCATTCAACGTCTATACCGACGCCGCGAGGCCGGCATCATCGCTCGCATATCAGCATTGTACCTAAGCAGCCTTACGCCTCAACACATCCTACAAGGTACTAGGTAGTTAGTGCGTTCCGATGTCTAAGTACGTACGTATAATTAGATTAAATATTCTTTATACCCGAGAGCTTGCGACTGAGACATGGCGGCTTCTGTTTTACTTCGCAACTATTGATTCCCCGACAGAGGGTTTACGTATTAGGTAGGTATTATTCGGTACCGAGATGACTACATTTTGGCATGGCGTCGTCGAGAGAACACAAGTGACATAGCATTTATTTCTCCTCAAGATTCAAAGAATATCAGCAGTACGCTAGTAGCTCCGACCTTTGCACCGCCGAAAACTTTTATCAGCACGAGGTATATTTTTGTAATACGGCTCCTACTAGCTAACTAAAACTTTAGAGAAGTTTGCCTCTTAGTTGTACAGAGTACAACGTGATATAGATTACCACGTTGCACTACATATGGCTAACCCGGAAGACCTACCCTTCATGACGAATCGTTCGCGCACTATAGGCCAAAAGGTTCTAATAGGTTACCTACAATCTTCATTGATACCTACCTAGGTGATAAACTATCAGAGAGCTAGTGTTAATAAGCCGTCAGCTACATAGCTGGGTTGAGCTTCCGGCGCTATATGATCTCCGTCGTGGCAAAGCTCTCAATATCCTATCGTCGACTCACCAACTTTTTTTCGATCTCGCTTTTTGTTTCCTAGTTCGACCTACCAAGTACTAGACGATTCGGATGTCATATAAGCCTTGAAGAAAGAAACGCCGTGGTGTTTCTCGAAAATAACTTATCAAGGTGGAATCACTCGCTTCATGTAACTTTATCTAGTAAACCCGTGTATCCGCGATATTCCCTCCATGCCAAATAGAAAAACAACCGTGTTCGCTTACGTGGAATGTAGTGTTACGTCACGATACATCATTGCGAAATAGGCTGGCGTCAACGAGAGCTTCACAGACTGCTCACATAAGGCGAGATATCAAATATGTGGTAGTCTTCGGACAGTGAGTTTTCCCGCTAAGAATGGGCATGGTCCAAGTCTGGGACATTATATCTTCTTGAGGGGCTCTTGACGTTGGAATTAACCCAATAACGTTGTCAAACCGCAATTTGTGTGTAAGCCGGTATTCCGTACCTAGGTAGGTGCTGAATAAGACACCTCGGACTTGATACTCAAATTATTTCTTCCAGCATTACTCTCGGACACGGTCTAGATTCGGCTCTCACCGTTGCGGCTACGCAAGAAGGGTTATGGTAGCAGTTGCAGTATAGCTCTACCTGCGTTAGCCTTAAGACAGGGGCGCTCAAAATACTAACTCATCATGTCATTATAGGGTAGAATCCTCGGATGTCACCGAGCTCCGAAGTAAAGCTTCCTCATGCGCTCCGAACCAAACACAGAACGTTTTCCATGTGCGCCGGTATGTACGGCTCGTCGAAGTTACAATTGATAATAGCTAACTGGCTCATCCCCACACCCAGACTAGTGTCTCGGCAGTTCGAAACACGGCCTTCTCAGGGGTAAATAGTCAACCTAAGCCTCATCTGGGTTAATCGACGAATTCTCATATCCATGCTGCTGTACCGGAAAGCTTCCGAACCATTTTTCGGACTAAGAACTTAAACCGAGATCCGTTACGAGCGAAGAGGATATGTAGAGACATCACCAACATAGACGGCATATAATACGAACAGGCTATGATGGAGAGGGCCGGAATCCCCGACTCCGAGTCTTCCGCGCGTAGACACCATGGCTAGGTATAATGCCATTTTGCTGGCCAAAGGCGACGATAGGTTATGGAGTAGCCGACAGCCCAGTTGCGTCTATAACGTCATTTCTATAACATGTGGCGACGAGCATCTCCGCAAGCGACTATCGCTTGTGTTCTAGAACGGCAAGCCCGATCGTTCAATGTTACAATATGATTTTTGGGTATCATCAAGTTCTCTCTGTTTATCATTCGCAAACTCTTTTCATATTTGGCTCTCGAATAAAACTAATTATCTAGCCAAATACATTAACAAGCACGTCGCATCTTCACGTTAATATGCTTACTCGCTACGTGTGGGTGGTATGTAAGTACTATGTGATCGTCCTCTCCACAGGTCATGATATGGCCATCCATAATCCCAAACAAACGTGTAGGGCTGTGGCATTGAATGGTCCAAATGACACTACCAGTTTCGCCTCATCGCGTACGAAACGAGCTTAGGTTCTGAAGCGGATGCCCCATATTCTCAGCCCCTTATCCATTTCGGTTTACACGCTCTCAAATAGTAACATGTCTGGAAATTAGCAAAAGCTTGGATCATGAACCATCAGAATACTAACGTGGCAATAATATCTACCTGTAACACGTGGTTTCAATACGATGGATACATACATAGATGACACAATTCTTGACCCCGAGATGTATATGAAAAAGATGACTAAGGCTCTCAGCACTGCTAGGAACAATAGCTATCGTTGGTTTGTATAGTCGAATTACTTTAAGTAGTATACAAGGGAGAATATATACCGCGCCCAGTAGCCTTCGTTTCTGTCTCTTGCCTCTTACTGCAAGGCTAGTAGTTTGTAGTTTGTCCGTAGTGGCCTTAGAAAATGGAAGACAAAAAGCAAAGGGTATCGTTATATACAAGGACCAACGTGTACCTAAAGCCTCTGAACTAGTCACGAAATGTCCATCCAGTTCGCCCTCCACCGCGCGGTCCGTGGCCCGTCCCTTCACTTCCTCACCTCTTCCTAGAGGTGGTTAAAAGGAAGATTTAGAAACATCTGCTTTGTATAGGTACACCATTATTCATGCATGTATATATGTCATCCATACTCCACCATCATCCAGTTTTTAATAACCCTTGGAAGTCGGTTAGTTGTAGTTGGGTAGCATCTGTGATCTTAGTGATACCGACGGAAAGATCATGCTAATTGTAGCTTAGGAGAATTGGGAGCGATCCTTCTCCTTCAGTCCGCCGATTTGATCCATGTCGATAGAGTAGAAGCCGGTGCTGCTTTCCTTCTCATAGGCGGGTAGTTGCTCCTCCTTCACGGGCTCGAGACCAACGGAGGTCTCGCCAACTCGGACAACCACGACACGGCCACTCTTATGGCGGCCTGCCTCGTCCTGCTCATCGGGGAAGGTGATGTGAATCTCGGGAACGTTGGTGGGAGAGTAAGGTGGCGCACTCGGGTCAGCGAGCATAGGGCGACCGTTGACAACCAGAATACTTTGTCGGCCGTTGGAGGTTTGGATAGTCAGATGACGAGTATGGTAGTCATCGTGCTTCAGGTCGTTGTACTGGGGCAGAGTTTCTTTCTGCAGCTGTTGTTCGCGCCTTGCTCGTCGTAGCATAACTAGCAAAGCTACCATAACAAGGGCGAAGAAAGCGACGCCAAGAAAAGCAATCATGAGATTGACGATGGTGTCAGATTCGCCTCCCATGTTAAGGTCCCGCCTAGAAAGGACAACATTGCCACTGGCAATAAGGTTGCTGAAAGTAGAAGACATATTGGTGATATCTCGGTGTTTTTGGTGATGATGGGTGTAGATCTGACGATATTAAGATTATCGTTTGTTGATTGTGTTAATGTCGGATGTCAGGGGATTTCGTTCGGCTCAGTCGAATAATCAATGAATGGCTCGGCTACATTGAAACATGATGTTAGATATTTGGTTCAATAGTGGTAGAGCATCTCGACTCCTAGATAGATATTGATTCGAGACATCGAGCGTGGATTGAACCTACGTAAGGGATGGAATCGAGACTTCAGAGAACTCCAAGGAAAAAAGATAGGACGGTATCAACTAAAAAGAGTGAAGTTGGAACCAAGTAAAGAGTGAATAGGAGGGAGCGAAGGGAGTGAAGCCAAACGAATGGACTCTCTGAACCGACAAAGCAGCGACAACGTCAACGACAGCAACGACGATGTAGATCGTGAAGAAAGAGAAAAGAAGGAGAGAGGGGATTAGAGGAGTTGAAGAGGATGAGCGAGATCAACTGGGAGTGGAGACAATTCAGCACCATCTGGGTCCACCCTGGATCAGGAGTTAAAGGGGATTGGTCATAACGGATCTAGTTTACAAGGTTTGCAGGGGTCTTGGTGCTTGTCGTTCATCCGTCGTGGGCAGGGTTTAAACAGGCACAGGCCTCTGATTCGCTGTAGTGACCAGCAAGCCCCCGACTAAACGCTGCTTAATTTCGAGATCGGCCAATTGGACCTTTTTGGTGCGATTAAAAGCGGGCACCTTGGGACAGAAACGGTCAATGTGCAATGGCGCTAGTTACCTAAAACAGAACGGAATAATACCTTCTCATCAAGATTCTAGACTCACTAAAACAACAGACCAATCATGACCAAACCTATTCCTTACAATCACGAAAGCTCTGGATAACAAGTAAATAAGTACCCACATACTATTTCACATTTCAATGCGACATCCAGTCATCCACGATAGAAATCATAAATCAGAAATCATTAAATGATGGGTGAACAATATCATTCTATATCTTGGTACTCTCTCTATCATCCCTCCGACTGATCAACACGTGGCTTCAGCGAGTTGGGAGATATCTACGACTCTACCAACTTTAGCAGCTTAGGAAAATTGAATGAAGCTAAAAAGTACCTAGGTACCTATTTATACCAGCCTAAAAGTTATGAAGATAAAATCTACAGTGGAACTAGGGCTAGCTCCAAACCCCTGTTCTATTCTTACAGATAGAGCTATGTAGGCTGCTAGGTTGATAAGAAAAGGAGGCTTTTGTTTCGTGGTCCAAGCGCCCACAGCTTGGAACCGCTGAAAGACTAACGACCTTGGAAATCCCAACTCCGGCCTCCCGAACTCTTCGTGTTTGCGACCGCTGAAAAATCAAGATTTATTGGAAGAGAATCAAGAAGCCATTGCTGACGTTGGTTCATCACTCCAGGTTCAACTACCCCTCGTAAAACAGATACGACATCTGCTAGCGATAACGATCCAAGGCGTGGGACGGCTGAGCTCGTGATCCACGAGGGGTTTATTCGAGCTTTATGCTTAATTCATAATGCCTCGATATCTGATGCCTACTAATTATACACATCTATGCTGTCCTATTTATAACTTTACCAGCGGAAATAACTCGAACTAGGAAAGACTGAATGAGACGTAATCATTCTATTATTACTTATACATATAATCTTCTGGTTAGTATTCTTAGAGTGCCTCATCCAATATACTACAGTGTGTCCGTCATTTCATTCTAGCTATTTACACAGGCACTTACCTAGTACCTAGTTATGCTAGTAATTTCGACACTAATGAAATCATGCAATCTTCTCCGCAGCGGCGTTGGTGCCCTGTTGCAGCTGAAACATTACATATAGGACGAATGTCGAGCGATATGCCGATAGCATTCTCTGTTTCAACCCATTACTTCTCCTGCTATAGCTAACTACCCCTATGAAAATACCTCTAGATGACCGGCTAGGTCATACTACCAACATTCATCATTATGAAGTTGGTGTCACCGAGAAGCATCGCTCGATCAGAGATGTGTTAGCTAACCTTCTCCTCAAGTTCTTCCCCGGGCGGGTGATAGTTCTCTGCATAAATTAGGCCACCCCACGTCAAATGTCTCACAGGAATCGGCTGAACGGGCTCTCTCTTTGGTTCGAGAAGCTGTAGCTACCCGTGAGGGGTCTATGGACTGCGTTTGTGCAATATGTTTCATTCTTAGACGCGAGTCGGACACACGAGGATCGAAAATGACAACCAAAATACCGGGGATTGCTAGCACAATGCCTCTGCAGGATTCATGCTTCGGATCTTCGATCGGAAAGCCACATTGAATCCAACAACGGTTGGATCTTGCCAGAAGTACGACTTCAGTTTTAACATATACCTACCTACGTACCTACTTATCTGCCTATCTACTATACGAAACATTGTGGATAGAGAAGACAAGACGATAATGAACGCAAATAACATGATGCAATCGTGTCGAATAATTTGACATATGTTTCAGGGGTTCATATATTCTTGCCAATCTTGATATACCAAACATGCCTCATGGAACCTCGCCGCTATATACCTACTAGGTAGAAAGGTACTAGGAAATCAGCTCCCTTGGTTGTGAACGCTAGAGGGATGAGCTTGACACCTAGAGCTGCGCGGCGTAGGACTTGCGTTACATTGGGGGGACATAAAGCAAAACTGCCAGGCTGTTGCCATAGGCAGTAATCAAATTCATACCTCCAGTACCATAGGGGACAGCAGACCAACGAATTCGCTCATTGAGGCGAGTTCTATCTGCGGTGCGACCCTCTTAGCGTGTCAGCGAACTTGACAACCAGTTCGACACACCGAAACCAACGGGCAACACGGTATCACGGGCGGCGGATATCCAGGGTGAGACTGCGACATATCGTTCCATAGCGGGAGATTGACATCGCTCTACATTCCCCAGGCTAGTTACATTCGTTCCTATGATAGATGGTGAAGATTACGACATTCCTGAGCATTTGTTGTCCAAGGCTGGCGGGACCTGCATCCGGTCTTCCAGAGTCGCAGTGTTGCTCGTCCCGACACACATACATACATGCCACATGAGTTTGACTGCCTGTGTTTTCTCTTATGTTGCCGTAAAAACCGGGTACATCCTGAACTGTTAAACGTGCAGAAACTGGATGGGAGGGATGATATATGCAGATTTTTTTGCATGAAGTTTCTAATTCTCATAGGCTAGGCTGTTATCATTACCATGTGATATATTTTTCAGCGAAGTCCTAACAAGCGGCTAGACCTCATTCTTCGATCCCTGGTGTTACGCGCTTCTACCAATCCTACCTGGCATATCCAAGAGTGAAAGATCATTTTCCCAGAGTGCCGGGCTCGTTAGGTTGGTCCAATTAGACGGGTCACCAGCAAGCAGTTGTCTCTAAGACATAGGGGAGCCACATAAATGATCTGCCCCGTACATCTGTAGCAGCCCCTGTACTACAAGTTCTTATTATTATACATGCTTTGGTGGTAAATGCGGCAATAGTGCAAGCTTGGCCATATCAACTAGGAGATGATAGATAGATTATTAGTATCGTGGATCGTCTTCTCACCTCTCCCACCTTTTCTCCCTCTAGGTTGAATATATCTTTTTTCTTCTCTCCCTTCTTGCTAGTCGATGCCTTGAATTCAAAGGGAGCACCTCGAGGACGGCAAAGCTCAAGTGTGGATAGAGCATCACTCGCATCGTATAAAACAAATCGTTCATTCCCTATCGGTTTCTTGTCTTGTTCGATATCTGCCTTTCCCATCGCACGACTATATTCTTTTTCGTTGTATCAAAATTGTGGCAATGCCCATGTAAAACATCCAAGGACATATAAAAAAATCGACAGCCCTAATCGCATATATCCCGGACGGCGCAGTAACGAAACCTGCACGTTTCTTTTTATTCACACATATAACACCTACGTAAACGGCTACATATTCGTTACGATAACTCGCCCCGGGGCGTTTCTGCAACCAGTAGGCTAACACCGCCACCAACGGCCCCCGATTCTCTGTACAAAAGTCAAGAAAGCTATTCACGATAGGCGACTATTATTATACACATGTCAGTATCTTCGTACTTGAATCTGCTTGAGAGTGGTGTAAGCAGGCTGTATACTGATTGAATAACATCGTAGCATCTTGGAAGTTTCTGGTTTAGCTCCAAGATCTTCGAGGTGCAGCTAGGGAGGCTTGGCTCTTGGCCTGCAGTATAGAACGTCGCCAACCAAAGTCGAGCAAAATCAACCTCGACGGTAGTATTGACAGGAATATCCCGCCCTCACTTTGGAGGAAGTGGACGAATCATATGCTAGCTTCGAACATCGAAAATACCAGTATCGGGATACTTATTAGAGTTCGACTTGGCAAAGAGCACTGACTTTGATACCTGGGAATACTGATAATATTTTGACGGGGGGACTAGATCTTAGAAGTTGAAGCTTCAACTTATCGGATTCGTATCCGCTTCACTTAAGAAATAAGTGGTGTGTGTCGCGCGACCATCGGGAGATACAACATAGGAAACTTCGAACCACGCCACTAAAAAAAAAAGAGATAGAAAAAGAGTTGAAGGAAGCGGCAAGACGGCGGGAACGGGAGTCCCATCGACAAGGACCCATCGCCCCATCTGCATCCGCGCCTCGTCTACTGGCACTTGCACTTGCACTCGCACTTGCAGCAAAACCCCAAGACCCCCAAGACTAAAACCCGTCTAAAAAGGAGAAAAAAGCAAAACAACCTTACATACCTACCTAGTAAGTACATACCACAAACCTAGTACTAGCATAACTCAATTAGGGATTATGTGGGAGAAGAGGAGGAGAAGAGGAGAAGAAGAAGAAGAAAAAGCACAGACATTTTTACTTTTTTCGGGTTACACGAGTGTGATTCTTCTTTATCAATCTTTCCCGTCTCTTTCTGTGCCCTTCTCTCCCGGGTGTGCACATCACTTATTAATTCTTAAGCTTTGCTAGGCTGTTCCTAGCAAGTTCCTAGCAGATTCCTAGCAAATTACGAGAGATCTGCTTACCACGGCATCGGCATCTATCTGATCTTAGGCCGGCCTAAAGCAGTACCTTTATTCAAACTGACTAGACTTCCCGGCACCTCGGAGACGCTAAAAGTTTAGTCAGGCTGTGTGGGTTCGATATCGACATCGACATCGGACTGAAGCTCAGCCCTGGTAATATCTACGTGCAGTCGGTGCGGTCATCATCTTCTTAACAGCCTTCGATCTCGTCGCAGAATTTCATTCGATTGGGACCGTGGTTTTTAATTCTGGGCTCACTCTATTGGAGGGTTTGCTGTACGAAGTACCGAGAAGTACAGTATCTCACTTACCTTAAGAGGTATCCTACCCAAGGGAGGCACAGGCACGAGCGGTACGAACCGCGGTACATCCAGCTGACCCAGCGAGACTGAGAAAGTGAAGGAAGGGTGCGGTCGAAGTGCTTGCCTACCACGGAACTACACATGTACCCCGGTGTACACACGGTCCAGGTTGTCGCACGAGCACGAGCAAAAGCGCATTAGGATCCGTAACTGATAACACATCACAGCCCAACCTGAAAGCGCTACTGCATATTTTGCATTGCCCGCGTTGCCTAATAAAAAAATAAAATAAAAGAATAGGTACCTCCAAGCTACGCATAGTACCTATCTGTGCCTACCTGCCTTACCATTGTGGTCGAGCTGGCTGCAACCCCCCGACCATCATTTTCCCCAAGATCTATCAGATTCACATACAGTCGTACCGCCAAACTCGTGAGCATTAAATCATTCAAGGTTCCTTTTTTTCGTGGGGTCCACCCCTAGAACTATTATCAGCACTACGCACACCACGCAGTACGCACCACGCACCACGCCTTACTACCACCATTATCACCTTTACAGCGACTATTACTACCTACGCCAGACACCAAGCTATTCTAAGTTCGACCCTAGCACGCACTTCAAGAAAGTCATCCGTTCATCTAGTCTATTTAGGAATCGGACTTGACCTTTTCTGGACAACTGAGCACTTGTTGGTTTGGGATTGATTTCTTTTTTTGGGGTCGGAGACATCCCTGTCTAGCTCTCTGAGACCAGAACAGGATTGGTAAAGACTCGAGCTTTTTTCTGAGTTTTAACACTTTCAGTCCCAAAGTCCCAAGGCAGGAGCCAGCCAGGAGCCAGGAGGACCCAAGTCCCAGAGCAGTGAAAGCAGCAAGAGCAGCCAGGGCAAGTCCCCAACCTTGAACTCCATTTTCATAAATCAACCAATCGAATTAATCCTGAGCACAAAATCCGCCTCCCGCTTTGCGCAAGACACGCCCCCCCAAACGAGGGTAAGAGGGTTCTAGGTAATCGTGGGGCCAACTCAAATAAGGCTCACTTTGTTAATTCTTTCGTTTCTACTTCGTTACTTGCACCACTTGGTACAATTTGTCCATTGCCCAACCTTACAACTACAACTTGGAACTACGAATACAGCTAATACACCTTACTCGTTAAAACAAAACTCCTCAGTTAAGGCCAGCCCTTAACTGGGCCACTGGGTAACCCGACTTTCTTCTTGGGTCATACAGTAGCAGTAGCCGTATCTGTTGATCTTGTGCTTTCTGCAACATAATTAGCACATTAACGTACGGTAACGGTACATTGACTTCCTTCGCCAACTTCCAACCTTCAGGGCTCAAGGGTCAGGACTTTATAATTCTCTATACATTACCATTACCATTACTACTACCACCCATCCTCTCGTTACCGCCAGACTTCGTCATTCCGCGCTCGCAGCCGAAATCGTCTTTCACCTTCTCTCTCACTTTTCGACCAATCCACGATCGATTCTCGACCGCGCACAACCTGCACACACATACAATACATCCACGCATACATACGTACATACATAATATACATTAGCCCTTCCTTCGACTGTTTGCCTGTCTGCCTGCTTGCCTACATCGACTATTCTTTATTAACCTCCGATCGTCTCGCATCCTATATTCGGCCCACCTCATCTTCTTTACCTCCTCTTCCTAATCTCTATCTTTTACGACGGATGACGATAGTCGATTTGCCGGAACGATATCATCCTCGGAACATATGCATACGGAGACGACGTTCCATTAGAGCCTGCCTCGAGCAAGCTTCCATCATCAACGATCTACCTCTTGACGAGACGCAATAGAAAAACAAAATTAGAGCAACTTAAGTAGGTCATCGCTCCTTGGCAGCCTTGCTCATTTCATGCCCCATTTATTGCAATGCCGCAATGTCCATCTCGAATAACTCTGCTACCACTTTGTCAGCAGTACCATAACCCATAATCCATAATACATAATTTATCGTTATCCCCTCCTTTTCACGCTCACCTTTTGAACTGGCAGCCTAACATATTCTTTGTTTTTTTGTAGTTCCATATAGCTAGGAAGGCCTTCTCGCATACATACGGCGTATATATTAGATTTCGTCCTGTTCCATCTCATTTGCGACCTTCAGAGAGATCGACCATATATCACGATTGCTACACCGCGAATACTACCTTGCCGGTTTTAGGAGATCCAACGCAGACGAGGCAGCGCAAGACGTGTTTGCCTGCACATATCCGCTCCGTACTCTCCGTTCATTATTTGAAGTATCAGTCTAGGTCGAAGGTGGAGCCATGACTACAGCAGTGAGTGTTTCTTCTGTTCACTCGTGATCATCCATAGGGATACCTATTAAGCACAACCGTGGTTCGGTCTCTCTCCCAGCCGGGGTACAAGTAACAGATTCAGGAAGAGACGTTACAGTCTTTTTAATAGCTTAACTATCTACCATTCATTGTCTATCTGTTTCGTTTGATCTATCAACGATTGTTACTTTGCTAACACCTTTCTGCGAATAGACGCGGCCTAACGGCTTTCCTAATCTCGCCATGAATCCACCAAATGACAAGGCTTCACAGCCTCTCGCATCGACTTTTGGCCATTCGACTTGGCAATCAAATGGCATATGGGGAAATAGCGCTATTGGTGGTTCGCTGAACACAAGGAGAGATGTGACAGGCTCCAGAGGTAAGTGTTGTGTCCTGCAAGTAAGCAGAGATAGGCCTTATGAATGCAGCTAACAGGCACCATAGAATCGGACGAACACTCGCCCAGCGCCACATCAGGCTCCGCACAGTTGAACACCAACTCCCAAGCCGCACCATGGGTATCTAGAAGTGGTATATGGAACCAGACCGGAAATACACATCAGAATTCATCCTCAGGGGGCACTTCGCCGACGCGAACAAGAGACGGATACCAACACAGCTTCACTGAGCCCCCGAACAACTCTCACCTCTACCACCTACGACAGCCGGTGGGCCAAAATGGATCTGCAGCTCCAAGCCGAACCATGCCTCCTGGCCCATCGGATCTTTCCACGTCGTCGTTCAAGTACCCGGGCGGCTTCGGAGATTCCGTCGTCGATGAACGGGCTGGTTCTGGTTTATATGCGTCGAACGGTGGCTCGCAGCTTGACCTTGACACTTCGGGACTTTACCGACGCAATTCAAATGACCCTACGTATTCCAACCTTGGGCATAGTCGTCAAAACACACTTGGGTCGCGACAGGCTGATTCCGATGTACAAACCCCTTCCCATCGTTACGACAGTAACACGCACTTTCCGTTTGCCAAGCTATCGAAACCGCAGCAGACTCAACGTCCTTCCATTTCTGGTGCCTCAGTTACGCTGCCTTCTGAGTCGGGTCGTACCAACGCTTTCGCTCCCTTCGGGTCGGTCGATGCCACCGGCCACGATCTTGAGGATACTTTCAACCGGTCATTAACCTTGGAAGACAGCTCCGATTCCATGACTAACGGGTATGCAACTAACGGACATTTTAACCCGAACAGCCAACCGTTCCAGTTTAACCCCGGTTCGCAACCGTGGCAGCACGACCTAGGTAACAGTAACTCGCGAGCGTTCGGCCAGAACATGCAAGAATCCTGGGCAGAACCCCTCGCAGCGCCTTTGTACGGTGCTCGGAGGGCCCCCGGCGAGAGAGGATCGCCCGCGGGCAGTTCATATCGCGCTGGCATGAACAGCCCGAGAGCCTTCTCGGGAACTCCAAACCCCAGAGCTGACCCGTGGAGCAGACCAGGTTCGCGAGATCCAAGATTACTTCAGGATCTCGACAGAGCGCAGCATGGGTCGCAATATCTTCAACAACAGCAATCCGGATTCTATCCTCCAGCTTACTACAATGCTGGTCTATCTCAATTTTCGGCACCGTACGATCAGTATGTTCAAAATCCAAGCATGCGCTCTCAAGTGCAACTTCCGGGATATGGATTACCCGTAAACTATCCCATGCCTGGACTCCCGGTTCCTATTCGACCCAGCAGAGACCAAGATCCCGGCAAAGGTGTGCGTAGCGTGCTTCTTGAAGAGTTCAGAGGAAATGCCAAGTCCAACAAGCGCTACGAACTGAAGGTAGGGACATGATCGTCAAGCAGAAAAACGAATAACTAACGTAGGTTTAGGATATATATAACCATATTGTCGAATTTAGCGGCGACCAGCATGGTTCACGGTTCATCCAGGAGAAACTGCAGACGGCTAATAGCGACGAAAAAGACCAGGTTTTCCAAGAAATCCAGCCCAACACACTCCAACTCATGAAGGATGTCTTCGGCAACTATGTCATTCAGAAGTTCTTCGAGCATGGAAACCAGGTTCAGAAGAAGCTCATCGCCGCACAGATGAAGGGTAAGGTCGCGGAGCTTTCAACGCAAATGTATGCGTGCCGTGTTGTGCAAAAGGTAAGATTAATCCGAAGTCGCCTGCTAAAACTGGGTTGCTAATTAAACTAATCAGGCACTTGAGCATGTGCTGGTCGAGCAACAATATGAGATCGTAGAAGAGCTGAAGCCTGATATCATGCGGATCGTGAAAGACCAGAATGGAAATCATGTAATCCAAAAGATAATCCAGATGGTACCGGACCGTTGCATTCCCTTCATCATGGATGCTTTCCAAAGTCAAATCGAGTCGTTGGCATCGCACAACTACGGCTGCAGGGTCATACAGCGAATTTTAGAACATGGAACGGAGGTAGAGAAGAAGAGTTTGATGTCGGATCTTCACGCCTGCGCAGCGAGGCTTATTACTGACCAATACGGAAACTATGTTACGCAGCACATCATTGCACAGGGCCAGCCAGAAGACCGGCAGCAAGTCATCCAACTCGTTCTCCAGAAACTGCTGTTCTTTTCTAAGCATAAATACGCTTCGAACGTGGTTGAGAAGTCGATCGAATACGGGACGAACGAAGATCGGAAAGCTATCAGAATCCAGCTCACTGCTTTACACAGCGATGGCACAAGCCCGCTTCAGCTCATGATGAAAGATCAATTTGGAAATTATGTAATCCGTAAGTCTCATTATATTTCCTCCATATCGATGTGGCGTATATTAATCATTCCTTAGAAAAACTGATGCAACACCTCGAGGGACCGGACCGCGACTCCTTCATCGAGGAGATGAGACCTCACTTCGCAAACCTTAAGAAGTACAGCACCGGACGGCAAATCACGGCTCTAGATAGGTTGATGTCCGCGAGCTCGGTCATCCCAGGATCCGGCTTTGCTACTGCTTCCGGCAGTCCTACCACGCCTAGTCTACTCGTCGAAGTCAACTCATCCGCTCCCACCCCGTCTCTCACTATGGAACAAAACAGTCCCGAGAGCAGCAGTCCTCCAAGCACCAATTCTGGTATGGAAGAGCCTCTAGACGAAAAGACGACTAAGGCATCACCTCTCAGTTCATCTTGCCGAACTGTCCAGGTTAAGGAATCATAATTTCTCGCAGGCGCCTGTCACGCATCTACAGAATGTGTTTAGCATCTTCACCTTCCTCTCCCATAATCTTGTCTAGTTGCCTGAGCTAGATAATCATCCGCACATCATGTCTATCTATCACTGTTTTCGACGACTTGAAAATGACACCGGCGCATAAAGAACATAGCAATGCAAATAACATAGAAATCGAAGGCCTCTAGTCAAATTACATGACACCATACAACATACCTTACCACATAATACCGGGTTCTTAATGCTCAATTCGCATCAACAAGTTCAATTCTGATGTGTCTTTTTCACAAATTGGTTTTTATTGGTTTCCAGCGGCTGGTTTTAAGGAGACAGACGGCCGCTCCGAACCATCTAGGCTTAGGCGTACGGAGTTTGACAGGTTTTCGGGAATTTTTTTGGGATGTGGTTACAGGTCATAGGGCATTTGGGGCGCTTTAGCCCGGATGGAATAGCAAACAAAGCGGTTGGCCGTCACGGAGAACAAACTGACGGCGAAATGAACACACAAAAAGCAAAGAATTCACGGAATAGTGTTTGTATTTCTATCTATTTGACGGCATACACGTTGCCTGCCGGTATTTGAAGGGTATATCAACAGCCTAGATATGATCAATAGAATCGAATGCGTTTTCATTCAATATTATTATTTGTGTTGGGGAATCGTTTGGTGGCGTTTGATTTGGTGCTGATGGTACCTATGGTATGGTGATGTGAATATGCGGGTTTCTCGGGATCGACGATGACTGACACCTTGACAGGTTGTAAGTCGGGTTTGGCAGGTGAGTAAGCACTTGGAAGGGAATCAACCTTGCCATGCCATGCTATGGTATGCTATGTATCAGGAGGCGTTCGCTGATGGGACACCTCTGTTTCTGATAAAGTGCGGGATGTCTGTCGGGGTGGGGAGGGGCGTTTCGAAACATGCCGAAGGATTCGTTTTGGCGGAGCTGATGGCGATGGGTATAGACGTCATCGTCTTGGGGGATTATGTTATACTTGGCTGGTACTTATACTCGTTTATTCGTTCCTAGGTAACGGGTAGGTAACTACATATACGAACGTGTGTATCCGCGCATTGTATCCTCGCATACCTAGGTAAGTGAGTATGTAGTAAGTAGGTAGGTACTGCGTATAGGTAGTGTAGCGTGTATATCCACATTATTATCCCGTATGTACACGCATACATATGCCATGCATGTGCACTCCGACTACCGAAAATAGAACGTGGGTTATGCGAGGTCGTGAATTTCTAGGGGGGGTTAGAAAGGTACTTACGTAGGGCGGGCCAAGCGGGAGAGAGATGTGTAGGGCAGGACAGGGTAGGGCGATGGGCAGGGGCAGGGGAAGAGGATGTGGATGTGGATATGGATGTGGATGGTAGGGGAAAGAGGTAGGAGGTAGGTACATATGAAGGTGGGTTTATGGTGTGGGCGCCGGCGGATTGGGGCTAATGTATGCAACCCAACCCTACCGGGCTTAGGTCTGCGTCGCTGGTCTCGGATCCTTTCCGATCCCCTCACCTGTGCTGGCGGGATTGAGGTCTCGCGCGCGTGGGTTCCGGTGCTTTGGTGGCTGGCTGGATGTCCTAGTGGGTGTGCTGCGTGCTGTGTGCCTGGGTAGTACCGTAGTTGGGAAGAGGTACGGAGTAGGTAGGTCGGTATTGGGACTGGGAAGGGCTGGGCACGGAGTTAAGAGGGTGCTCAGTTAGGTAGGTGGAAGGTGTTGTGGTATGTCGATCTTTTGGAGCTTTGGGGGTGCTGCGATGGTTGTGGTACCTGTTTATTAACTTGGGAATTGGAAAGTCAGAGAAGTACTCGTGTTGTTGGCGCTTTCGTCGAACTATTGATGCCACTGTACAACGACACTGCGGGATTAGCTAGCTTGAGGAAGCTGGTCATCATAGTCATCCACTCCATCGTTCAAATATAGACGAGTAGTCAACGGCGATAGCTTAGGTGTGGTAGTAGAGCTACATCCAGAAAGCAAACCGAATCAAGATAAGACCGGTAATAGGCTCGGATGGGTACTATTTGTCAAGAAGGGCACCGGCGAGGCAGGCTAAGGTTCGAGCAACGCGAACACAGATGAGGCGGTTATCAGGCAAGGCGGATATTGTCCTTGTGTATGATCCTTAAATCTGATCTATAATTCTCACTACTCTCGAAGTATCCCCTTTCCTAAGAGGTTACTGGTTGAGCAAGGTGAGCTGCTGGTCAGATTCGGTCAGGTCTCGGTCAAGTTGAGTCGAATCTGGATGTAGGGCATAGGGATACAAAATGATTAAAATATTATCAACTCAAGGTAAAATCTATACAAACAATGCATATAATATGGGGTTTAAGCTGTAGGCAGAATCTAATAGCCCTTACAAATCTTCCCCTGGAATACTAGGTAGAAACGAACGGGATTGAAATCGTTACCGGGCGGAAAGAATATATGTTAACTGTAAGATGAGATTTCGTGCATAGGTAGACGCTGCAGCCAATCATTCGCAGTCTTTCCCCGGGTTACGGATGGATTGGAATAGCGAGTGCGGCGCAATACCAAGACCCATGAATCCCGTCTCTCACCGGGCTTACGTACTGGGATCTTCTCACATACGACATTAGCAGCTTCTAGTGGATATGATGCCATGTAGGCAGCAAATTAGGGAAGTGATAGGGTCGAATAAACGGTGGATATGCGGGCTGATTTGAAGAACGACTACCGAGTGTGGAGACAAAATATCCCCGGGCGCGCGGGGATGATGGACGTCGCCGGCTTGAGTCAGACGCCGAGAAGGATGAGATATATCTTCCTACGTATCCACATGTATAGGGGATGCAAAGTAGATGTATGATATATAAATTCAAGATCACGCTCCCTATCAACAATTCATCTTGGCAGAAATCTCAACAGTCGTAAACTTATCATACTCAAGAGTCAATATACCTAACTTAACAAAGTAATACCGACAAGATGGTCAAAGTTCTCATTCTCAGCGCAACGGGCAACCAAGGAAGTGCCACCCTCCGTGCTCTCCAGGCATCGAAGCAGAAGCACAGCATCCGCGCCCTAGTCCGCGATGCATCGTCCGAGAAAGCTAAAGCGCTCGTCGCCCAAGGTGTCGAAGTCCTTGAGGGTGGAGACTGGGACAAGGACGTCGCTTCGTTAGAGAAAGCCGTCGCCGGCATCGAGGCCGTATTCTTCATCTCAAACTTCTTCCCCGGCGACACGGAGACCGAAGTCCGCGGCGCAACCAACATCATCGAAGCCGCGAAGCGCAGCGGTACCGTGAACCACGTCATCTACAGCACCGTCGGCGGCATCGACTACTACAAGGAGCTGCCAGGTCTAGACACCATCCCCTTTTTCTTGAATTACTGGGAGTCCAAAAGTTAGCAACCCCCCAATCTATCCCGCATGTATCAAACGATCTAACCAACCCCCAGCCAAAGGCGAGGAACTCGTGCGAACAGGCGGATTCGCATACTACACGCTCCTGCGTCCCGTAGAATTCATGTCGAACTGGACAGTCGCAAAGATGGCCGGGTTCCAGTACCCAGACCTGATCAAAGACGGGGTGCTGCACACCGCGTTCCCCGAGTCCCAAATCATGGCGGAGATCTCCCCCGACGACATCGGCCGGACCGCCGCCGCGGCCATCGAAGCCCCCGGCACATTCGCCGGCGGGCCGACGCGCGAGTTACACCTCGCGGGCGAGCTGCTCGCGCTGAAGGATATAGTGGCGCAGCTGAGCGAGGTGACGGGGAAGAAGCTGAGCGTGTACACGTACTCGGATGAGGAGGCTGTGGAGGCCGCGAAGACGAATTTGTTGATCGCGGGACAGATCTCGCGCCGCGATTGGAAGGGGATGGCGAGGCCGGCGGAGGATTTCGGGTTGGGGTTTAGTACGTTCCGGGAGTATTTGGAGAAGCATCGGGAGGAGGTTAGGGAGTTGTATAAGAATGTGCCGTAGACCAGGTAGGTTAAGTTGCGCGGTGGTGGGTGAGCTGTGGGTTTGGAGATATAGGTGGAAGTCGTGAGAATATAGGTACTGTATGTGAACCGCGACGAGAAGCTGTAAATAGGTATCTAAGGCATCGATGTTCGGTAACTCATTATTCATGCTCGTTATATATCATATCTAACTCTTTTACTCATCCCGCATTTCCGCGCCGTCTACCAAGACCGCAAGAAACCAAAACGCCCATAATATGGTATGTATGATATCGAAACGCCTGCTAGTATGCACGACACGCATCCCATCCTTTTCTCTCCTTTTTTCGCTAACCCCTCACTTACTCCCCCTTAGCGGGAGCAAAGAAGACGACCTGAACAGTGATATCATCCCTGATATCTCTCGAATTCGGGTACCGAAACGTCAACGCCCCCTTCACCATCTCCTCATGCGCGCCCCCAAGCCCATTCCTCACCAAATGCACCGCCGCATTCTCATCCTGCACCGTCGTCTTCTGCTCCTCATACCTACAAACCCCCTTCCGTCCCAACACCGTCTCCCCAAAATCCACCGTCGGCGGGAACACCGGCTTCCCCGAGCCTTTCTCGCGCCACTCCACCCACTTCCCAACCAGCCCCACCGCCTCCTCACTCGTCATCATATCCCACAACCCATCCGTCGCCAGAATCACAAACGAAGGGCCCTTCTCCGGAATCTTCGTCGTCGTAACAAGCGGTTCGGCAGTCAAGTACGGGCCCTCTTTATACGCACCATAGCGCGCCGCAGACGGCAGACTAAGACCCGTGTAGCAGTTCCTAAGGGTATCTTTCAGCGCAGACGACCACTTCCACATGCCGTCGCCAAAAGTGCGGGACGGCTGCATGCCCCATACGCGCCCTTGCTTGACGACCTCCGGCTCGTCCGGGAACTGCGCTTGGATCCGCGCGATCTCGTCCTCGCTGGCCCCCGTGCAGTCTTTCGATAGGTCTGTCGCTACCCATTTCCCGTCACTGCCCTTCTGCCCTAGAACCGCGCGGCAGTCACCTGTCGATGCTACGGTGAGAGTCCGTGTCCGCGGATCTAAGAGCGTGAGGAGCGCACAGGCTCCTGCGTACGCGACTTCGAGACGGCGCGCCTTCTCTGGGAAGGAAAGGTCGCTTTCGATGGTTGCGAGGGCGGACTTGACGAGCGTGTCGTCGAGGGTCGTGAACGCTTTTTTAAGAGCTAGGTGTACGGCTTCCTCGCTCACTGGCTCGGCGTTGGTGAGTGAGCGGCGAACAAAAGGGATTAGATGCCGCGTTAGTAGGTCCGACATCTGCCACCCGCAGTGGCCGTCGAAGACACCCCAGGTCAGCCAGTCGGCGCCGGCCTTGTCGACTGGGTTAGCGAAGCGCCCGTGGATGAAGGCGTCTTCGCATGGGCTGTTCGAGGATACTTGGGTGCCGTCGTAGCGGGTTACTAAGGTCCCGCCCCCGGGGAGGGAGAAGGCGTGTTCGTTTAGTTGCTGTGTGACGCTTTCTGAGGTCGGGGTTGGGGTGTAGGTGATCTTGTCGGATAAGCCTAGTTTATTGAGGTCTGGGATGTTGAGGCTCTTGGTGTCTCCCTCGGTATTCGATATGGTGGGTGAGTTGGAAGAGTCTGAACTTTTCACCCCACGGGACAAGAACCAACTTGTGAGCGAAGCAACTGTGATTCCTGCGGCGAAAGATATAGCGACAGTGCTACTTGATGAAGATGACTTTGGTGGCGTCTCAGTGCTTATAGAACGCCTTATTGGTCTTGGCACAGGATGCGAGAGACGCGTCACCGTTGTGATCCGGGGTCTATGACGGAGAAGCTGGCGTGAAGACATCGCGGAGGACTATACATGTACGTATAAGCTGATGTCGTAGTGAAAGCTAGGTAGTACCTAGGTAAGTCCAAGTCTAAATGACTGCAATGGTGAGATGTTTTGACTGGTATTGTTTGAAATAAAGTCAAATTAAGTTTTCAGGTTGATACACGGAAAGCAAGATGTGAGTGAATGTAGCCTGGAGATATCGGTGAAGGCTGCCAGGCACCTGCATCTGTTCATATGCAGTGCAGTGCATATCACTAATCGCTAACCCCTTAGGTGCCTTAGTTTAGTGGATGCTTGGAAAGTGCGTAACCCGTGATGGGGGTTATTTCCTGCTGTGAAAGTTTAGGTATGTGATAGCGAGCCGCATGTTTACTGAGGCTTACTTGTAATTATGTCAGCTTATCAAGTCCACGATGTATAGGATGACTTATGAGTTCTTGAAGTTGAAGTGTGAAAGTTGACTGTAATTATGAGATTAAAGCGCTTAACAATTTATTATCTAAAATGCAGCTACCTCTCTAGTATGTACCTACCTAGTAGGTACATGTGCTTCGTAGCATGTCTTGGCAAAGTACCTTTAGCACTTGATAGGTACGGATGTACTGTATCTTCATATAACTGGCTGCCACGAAGGAGATAACGTTAAACCTAGTAATAGTACCGAGCGAGTGGATCCCGGAATCCTATAATGAGATTCGGAATTAAGAAGAACGTACATAATTGCCCGAGTTAATTGATTACAAGAATTCTGGAATAACCTTTTAAATCGTGGGGAAGGAGAAGGTTGGCGACGGCTAGCTGCATGGCGGGTCCTAAGGATACCGAGGTTCCCACCTAAACTAGGCGGGTTATGGTGGGTCGCGTACCCGAGGGAATGCTGGAACTTTATTTAACAACGTTCAATCTAACTTTGGCTTTCGGTCTTGGAAATACATAAAGATTAATCAATGCCGTTCCAACATCGTCCGGCTCCGTATAAAATATTATTTATGTCTCATACTTTATAGATTTTATATTGTGTTGTTATATCTTATATATATACCTGTCGTATAGCGATCAGTTACCATTTGTACTTAATGTGAGACCCTACCGAAACACAAGAGCCATGACGGATGTGATCAAGGTCGAGTACACCGGCCGCATCGCTACCATCACCATCGACAACGACAAGAAGCTCAACGCCCTAGGCTTTGACGGCTACTACAACATAGCCAAAGCTCTCCTGGACATAGCCCAACGTGATGACATCTACATCACCGTCTTAACTGGCAAGGGCCGGTATTTCTCAGCGTAAGGTTACACCATTCACTCCATCTCATCTCACGCCAAGCCCCGTGGTAGCACAAGCATGGATGTCACATCTCACACAAATCACAGCGGCGCCGACGTCTCGCTAGGCGACAAGAAGTCCGGCGCGGCGGACCAGGACACGTACAGGAGATGGCTGCGGGACTTCGTGTCGAACAACCTGAACCTGACGCGGGCGCTGTACACGCACCCGAAGATCCTGATCGCCGCGCTCAACGGGCCGGCCGTCGGGCTCTCCGCCGCCATCACCGCCTTCGCCGACTTCGTGTATTGCGCGCCTCACACCTTCCTGCTGATGCCCTTCTCCTCGCTCGGCCTCGTCGCCGAGGGAGGCGCTTCTTACGCTATGGTGCAGCGGCTGGGTATTAGTAAAGCCAACGAGGCGCTTATCCAGAGCAAGCGCATTTCATGCGAGGACCTTGTGAAGACGGGGTTTGTGAATAAGGTGTTTGAGTGCGAGAAGGGGGATAGCGATGGCTTTCTAAAGCAGGTTATGAAGGAGATTGACGATAGCATGGGCGATCATTTGAACAGCGATAGCTTGCTTGGCATCAAGGCGCTGATTCAGAAGCCGAATATCGCGGTTTTGGAGAGGCAGAATGTGGCTGAGGTGTTCGCGGGCCTGGATAGATTTGTCAAGGGCATTCCGTTGCAGGAGTTTGAGAAGATCGCGACGGGTAAGAAGAGGCATAAGTTATGAAGCATGTTTGTTTGGGTGGCATAAATTTTCATTTTTCTGCGCCGGCTACCATAATATGCGATTTAAGTCATGGGTATCATGCGAGCAGCCCAAATAACAGGCTTGTCCTCTTCCAATATTCCTCCGACGCCTTCGCCAGCTTGTCCTTGGCTCCGTTTTCTAGCCCCGTCTTTTCGAAAATTTCCTCTACAAATGTGTTGAATGACTCCTCTAAGCTAACGTCGGTACCAAGACATTGCACGATGAGATGGATGTCGTAGAGCCACTGAATGTATACATCATTGCTTCTCTCAGATTTTTCTTGTGATGGCTCCTCCTTTGATGAATCCTCTGCAGCTTCTGGAGCTTCTGACGGACCGTCGTCTTCCTTCTCCGACGACTTTTCTTCACTCGTTTCTTCTGTCTTTTGAACATCTGTAGTCTCGGAGTTGAGTTCCTCACGCCAAGCTTCGACTAACTGCTTACTAAAAGTCCGCTTGAGAACACGGACGGCGGTAGGCGTCCAGAGATCCAGACCTGCGTCTCCCATAGTCATGATAAGGCTGCGTAAAAGTTTGAATACGCCGGGGGACGGTTGTGCTGGCAAGGCTGGTTCTCCTTCCCACAAGGCTCGACCGGCTACATGCCTCCTCGCTAAGGTCGTCGAAGCAAATTCTTCCAAGGGGGAGACCGACACGTGAGCTGCTAACGTCTCATGTAGAGACGGTACATTTTCCAAGCCAAAAGATTTGATCTCTTCTAACTTAGGTAACCCGCCACGAATATCTCTTAGGATTCGCAAGAGATACATGGAAATAGGTCCGTTATCCGGGCTATCCGACGTAGATTTCCAGGCAGTACTTAAATGCTCATTTAAATCCTTGAAAGCTTCAATGATACTTTCGTCCAATTTCTTCTTGAGCAATTCCGGGTCGTCTTTGCTTAATAGTGTTTGTCGCTCTGTAATGACGTCCTCGTCTTCTATCTCTTCGATGTCGTCGTCCCAGCGTTGTCGTTTAAGCTGGCCGATTAAGTCACTAGCGCTGTCAATAACGTGGTGCCACGACTCGTAGCTAGTGACCACCCTGGCCACGGCATCGTTTCTCCCGTACAGACGAGAGATTACTTCGCGAGTGATATGGGTCGCGTTGCCCGATACATCTGTATCCAGTATCTCTTCATCCCACAAACTTTGGTGCTTGTCGGTGGTACCAGGGCGCCATGCTTCGAGTGTTGCGGTAACCTCAGATCCGACCAACTTGAGCTTGGCAACTTTAGCCTCCAAGTTGTGCAGGAGACGATCATCGATAGCTTCTCGTATACCGTTAAGCATGACTGACGGATCAAACCCTCGGGCCTTCCCCCCATCCTTAATCCAATGTTGAAGAACTTTTGTCCTTAGATCCACAATGGTCTTGAACTCGGAAACGTGCTCCAATGTCCTCCTAAGACCCTGAAGAAGGATTTCACCACCTTTCGTCGCCCAGCTCGTAAGCATTTCTTTGGCGTATTTTCCGTCCAGGTCGTCGTGTCGGATGAAGGGGGTAAAATACTGTATCTCCTCCCCACACCACTTCTCGAATACATCTAGTCGAAGGCCCTCTAATCCCTGGAGTGATTCATCCGCAAGCAAATGCTGCTTTTTGAGCCGAAGCAGCGCATCAGAGAGCTTGTTAGGCACTAGGGCTTGCACATCTAAAAGCGTCCTCGTATATAAATCAAGGCCCTTCAAAACGCTTTCAGTGTCCCTTTCCTTCTCACGCCCCTCAAAGTCGAATTCGTACGTGATAGCCTCAGCTCTCACACTCAGGAAATGACGCAGAACATCCCTCGCCCCGGAACTCGAGGCCAAGCTATACGCAGTCAAGGCCTTTAGAATATCATCCCGATTAGCCCCCTCGCTAGTCTTCTCCAAAACCTTTTCAACCGCCCTTAAAAGCCTCCTCCTCAACCCACCCAAACTCTTCTTCGCCGCCTCAACCGCCTTCCTAACCCCCTCCTCCACACCATCCCCAGCACCAAAACTCGACACCAGCAGGCGCTTCAAAACCAGCACCTTCGCCGCCAACACCAACCTATCACCCCTCCCCATCTCCCCATCTCCCTCCTTCTTCCCCCCTCTCAACAAACGATCCACAACCAACCCACACGCACCAAGTAGTCTAACCCTCGCTACATCCCTTACCCTCCCATCCCCGCCCTCCGCAAAGGTCCCCAAATTCCCAATCTTCCCCGCCACAGCAGCGCGTCCGCACCGGCCCCCCATCGACCCCAACACGTCCTGCGCGGCGAGCATGTCGGCCCGCATGCGCACGATGGCGTCCGCGGTCCCGAGGAGGTCGCGGTAGCTGTTCCCGACTTGGGTGCGCAGACGCGCGGACTTTTCGTCGATTTGTGTGTGCAGGGATTTGTGGATTAGCCGGATTTGAGGAAGTGTGTGGGCGCTGAAGATTTGGGGGGAGGTGGTTAGGGTTGTTGTGTCTGGGGTTGCCATTTTGGCGGGTTGGTGTAGGTAGGTGTTTAGGTCGGGAGCGGTTGTGTTGGGGGCGTTGGCGTGTTGGTGCGGTTCATGTCAGCTGTGCTGAGGTTCGGGTGCGGTTGAGTTTATGGGTTGGGTTGGTTCGAGGTGTGTACGGAATGGAAGGAAGCTTTGAGTTGAATTTCGGCTTTTGATGGTTGGAGCTTGGTGGTGGAAAGTTGAAAGTTGAAAGCTGTACGATTAGATAAGATAAGACGGCTGGAAGGAGCTAGAGACAGCTGTTCACCAACTGGCACAAGTACTGGTTTGGGGGCAATCACTCTTGGGTTAATAATGAAAAGGCAAGATCAATTATCTTTTATCATTGATGAATTCTCTATACTAAAAATTGTAGTTTTCTACATTGGCTCTTAGTTTAGCTTTGATATTGTGGTCTTCTATACCTTGGTGAAACGAACTGAGAGACAGTCTTAAACAATCCGTCCTGTAAATATTCATCATCAGAGATCCTAACTTAGTGTATCTAGCCCCGGAAATACCTAATACCCTATGATGAAAACATTCAAAGCAACACCTAACAAGCTGCATGCTCATGGAGGATTGAGATCTCGGAAGGCGAGTATGGAATAGATTTGCACCAGGAGTTCCCCTGAATGAAATATATTCAATTCAATTCGGCCAGCGCGAAGCGTGTGATCGAGACATGTTAGTGTCTTGACATACACCCCCTCTATATATCCGGGCATATGGAAATGCTAAGCCTGGACCATAATCCTTTGTATGCTGTGCTACCAACCTCTGGAAGATCATGATGTTAGCATATAGAATAAGAATGCTAGGCTTGTATTGCCTTCAGTAACACAAAACGCGATCCAGGCCGTTCTTTCTGAGGGCGTGACTCGCGATCTACAGGGCCAACATTCACCAGGCAGCCAGGGCATACTACGCACCTAAAATTGATTCTTAAGGCTGGCCGATTCACGGAAGTGCGGTCTACCATCTAGCGTCCCGCGGAGAAGCATCCGTACTAATTTCTACTAGCAACGTCATCCCCTACTTTTGACCGCCTGTGACTTGGTAACGAGACCTTGTCGAGGCTTAAGTGGCTGGATCCGTCGAAAAGGCTCGTGATCTTTTCAGAGCATCGTGAACAACGGCATCTTACTAATGTAAACCTTAAAGTAGTTCCTTAAGAGGCGATCAAATCTCGATGAATCCCCGGGTTTCCAGATCATCGGGCCATTTGGAGTAACGCTCGTGCTCATCAACTCGTTCGCAACATCCCCCCGCACTCACGATGAGCTTCGGATAGAACAAAGCTCAGGCTCATGATTTAATAGAAGTGTCGACGGTGTTGATATATTTTACGCTATGATGTATGTGCGTCTGCAAAGGGGACTCGCTAAATGTGCGGGGGAGCGAATCAGGGCGTAGTGATAAGGACTTTGCTAAATGGGAAGTAATACATATATACTATGCAGAATGAGGTTGGATGTGCATAAGTCTATAGAATAAGTATTCTTGACCAATTTGTCTTGGTGTGGCAGGCTCTCCCTGACTAGCTGATCGTCGGTACAACGAACCTAACGTATTATCATTGTGTTTGTTAACTGGTGATGTTACGGGCGAAGTTCAGAGATCGAAGCCAATCTTGCGTTCACGGGACGAAGGAGGAATTAAGGCATGGTGCGGGTATGCGAGGTACATCTCCAACTCCAAAATCTAGATTGATCTCGAAATCAGGAAAAGAAAGGAAAATCATGCAATTTCCAGCTTACTGCGCTTATGGAATGGCAGATACGGAATGTCCATGTTCGCTCATAACCGTTCATATTGGACGGGTGAGTTGGCAGAATGTAACTCGTGCTGTTTGGCACCATTTAGCGAGATACGAAGCGGGATAAATACTTCGTAGGCTGGTATCAATGTTGTTGTGGTTGGGCATTATCGTAATGTAAATTTGCCATGCTGCCTTGTAGATAGAATTGTACCGTTACCTGCCAACCTGCCAAACATGACTCATGCCAGTGCTTTGGAGCCCGAGCCCGAGATGTCGAAAACGAGACTTCATGGGAATGTCAAGGATTCCCCACAGTCTTGTTTGATATATTAACTTTGTAGATGGTGTAGGCATGGGTCGTGTGCGCGATACAACGTTTGGGTAGCAGAAGTTAGATAGACTTACTAACCTCCAGCTCATCACTAATGTAGCTTTAATCATTAGTTTCTATAGGCTGATTTCGCATCCAACTTTTCATCTACCAGAGCCCTGGAGATGTCGAATTAAGGAATGATACGGGTCGTGTTCGGGGTATTGACTTTGAATGCAACCTGGCATTCTCTGGAAATAACTTCATTAATAATAAGTGGTCTGTGAGTGACTCTGGTGGTCGATATTCAGGGTCCTGCCCCCAACAAACCCCCAAACACCTCGCCCTGCAAGGGCGGAGAGTGGCAAGATTCGCCGTAGCAGTGTCGCAGTGTAGGTACCTTCCAGAAGAATAGTAGCTTTCAATACGGTGAGAGCTGATTTCCTAATTTGTGGGGTTTCGGTTGAGAGCCACGCCTGGCAAGCCTGGGCATTTTAGGGGTGTCGGATCAGCCGATCAGTTGGAAACCCGCAACCCGGACTCACTCTTCAGCTACGTAAGCCCAGTGACAGCACATAGTAGGTAGGTACCTACCTTGTATTCGTAGGATATGTGCATATTAAGATCACGCCTCATCTGACAGGCTTGTGTATCAGCACATTTTTACGTACAAGTAGTTCAAATTGAGGATATTGACAGATGTGGCCTTTCAAGATGATCAATGAATGTGTGTACTCAATGTAGTATGTTGAAGAAAACTGGAAACATTGAAGGTTAAAAGCCAGTGACCTAAACAGCATCCCGTTTAGATGGTTTAGATGGAACCTTGGCAACTTGGTACCTTATCAGCGGTCTCAGCCTGTGGTGTTACAATGCCGGACTCCACCGTTCGGTACCTAATAGAAGGTACATCCCACGGTAGGGATACTTAGCAACTTGGTAAGAGCTATGATAGAATATGTACAAAATCAAGGGAAGTCGCGTGTGTTGCATGGGTTGCAACCATGTACTAGAGTACCTAAACAGGGGCTAAGATCTAAGTTACCTGACTCGAGGAGTACTTTCCGTACTATCTTCTAGTTTATCTCGCCCAATCAGGAAGGCCCTAGGCCACATCTACATTTCACAAGTCAAGATGAGGGATGAGGGTCTATCGGAATCCTGTACAAGTCATAACTCGTAACCTGTTATCTACTTGGTTCGCTTCATGGTTGTTAGATGGCTTTCATTCTTGGCTGTCATCAATATCCGCCCTTCCCGTTCTCCTACCTAGTGCACCTATTGGGCATCTAATCTGTACCTAGAGATACATACATTATTACATACACTATTAGATGTATAATATCTCCCGTCCTACCTCGATCCTCTTTTCTCTCTCTTCTTATTACGTCCTCTTTGTTGTTGACTAATAACTTAATACGCCTAATACAACATACACAATCACTTACGACAAAGGTACCGAATCATAAGACCGTCCCGGATACAAGAGACTGGTAATCGGAGTCAAGAATTATTGCGCGTCATAGCGTCTCCCTGTGCCCATCACCGTCATCGCTCGTCTCGCTCGTCTCAGCTCGACCCCGTCCCGAAAGTTCGTATTACGTGTGTTTCCAAATGTCCTTATTGTGATGCCTCACCATTCTCGTGAGATCCGGCCACATGAAGAGCTGTTACGCTCAAGACAAGAAGGGTTGTAGTAGTCAAAACTTATGAGTTCCGAGGATCTGCAAGAAAACGACATCATCATTCTTTTATATCGAGTTTCCACGTCTTTGGGTCCCTGTCGTGCATCTAGCCTGCATCCCACGTTCGACGAGACGACTTGCTGTTACGTACAAGAATCGTGGGACCCCTGGCGAAAGGCTACACACGTCTAACACGACTACCAATCCGTTACTTCACTTGGCAGACGATTCCAATCGCGGTATCTCCCTTCCGATTCGGTGGCCAACCCGGGAAAAAGAGAAACTAAGGGACCTACAGCGCATTTAGAGCCACGTTCCTTGCGGCGTGCGGCCCCGCTACACTTGGTTAATTGCAGCAATAGGGTGACGGCTGATTACTGTTACTAACGATTTCCGTTAAAAAGTCGGGTCCAGTTCCAGTTTCGAAATCGAGTAACCATGATGGTCCCGAGGTCCTTTTTCTACTCTCGCAAACAACCTATATCCCCAACCTCCGTACCGATCTCGACGACTAAGGGATCTACACCTAAGCGGAAGGATGATCTGTCTACGAAGAAAGACGTCACCCCTATCAAGCCTACCAATATTAGAACTCCGCCGAGGGACCTTGACATGGCTAAGAAGAAGGGTCTACAGTCGGACAGGCTATCTCCGCAAAGCCGTAGTCCGCCAAGTGCTACCATGACCAACGCTGTCGCGCGACCAAATACTCCTTCCAGCGCCGTACAGATCCCCATAAAATCGAAGCAAGATGCTGCACATGCACATAGACTGCGATCTCATGCGCATGCGCCGCGAAAGCTTTCTCCGAGACAACCTCGCGAGGCGCATTCTCCCGATGCCATCCCTCCGTCGGTGGCTGCATTACTCGCCATAACTAGCATTCCTCCACCTAACCGGCGTATGAGGTCACGACAACAGTCTAGGGAGTCGTCCAGGGATTCGCGGATGACCGTGGATTCTATCGTAACTCGATCACAGGTATCCGAAAAGGCACTAAGCCAGGAGCTCAGCGAGGAATTTGCTCGAGATTTGAGCGATGGAAGTATCGCATCTTACGATCGCAGCCCGATGGATGTATTACTCAGCCCACCCGATGAACTTGACGAGGATGAAGCATCCATAAACAGCGACAGCGCCTTTACGTCGGTTCTTTCGACCCGCGCGGCATCGTTTGAAAGTGTACCGTCATTAGGGGATTCATTTGGCACCAGTTTTGTTCCTTCTATCGACTCTCCTATCACACCACGAGGGAGAAGAATACGTCCACCAAGACGTTCACTGGAGCCGATTTCCTCGCCACCTGGAAAACACCCGGAACACCCGCTATCTATTAAGAGCAATGCGGAGATTGATCAACTCGATTTCAGGGTCTTCGATTCAAAGTCGGGGCCCGCTGAGCAAAAACAGGCTACGGGGCTGGCGCCTCTTAAATCTGTCTTTAAATCGAATTTGACAGCGTCTCTCCGTGCATTGCGCTCGGCGGCTCGATCTTTGTCTAGTTTTACCGCTTCATCGATACCTCCCGATGACTTTCTCACCAGATCTATACTCACAATTGATCCACGGGTCCCATTCACCGATGAAAGAATGCCCCCTGTTATGGAAGAGCCTAGCGAAGCAATGCGTCGTTACTTAAATCCGACGAGTAATCTACGTCCCGATTCACGTGTTCGGCCACCAACTCGCAGCTACACGGCTTCTATTCAAATGCAAACCTATAAGATCCAAAGGTCGAGGAGTGCCCCCGCATCTAGCCGTTCAGGTGGCCAAGCAGGCAATTCCAAATCCCCAGCCGCCCTCGTATTTCCGCCAGGCCCTCGACAGCGAGAGATACGTGAGAACTCAGACTTCATTCGCATTGCTGTCCTCGAACACCTGATGCGCAAACGCGGGAAATTAGATGACCAACGTGAAGGACATGCGCGTTGGCTCCTACCGCCAAGAAAGTCCACGTCAAAACCTTACGAGATTGGACCTGATGGTATTCCTGCTCGGTGGGTTGCTATCTCACAGGATACCATTTGAGTTGAGGAAAAGCGATCTTCGTTGATTGCCCTCGCAGCCTCATTGCGATCAACAAGGATGCAGGACCTATGACTACTTTTGGAGGGGTCTAGAGATGGCTGAGAAGCAAATGTGGATATTCAACATTGTGGGTTACCTATGTCATCCAACGAACATTTTCAGGCTCGAAGCAGAGGAATACGTGGATCGCAGGCTTCGTCCCACACGCTACGTCAACCACGACTACCGAGAAACCAACTAGTCTTGATATCGGGCGAATCCTAGCTCTCGCATTACTCCACCTTTCCGACATCGCCAGTCTCGCCGGACCCATCATAACATTCTGGAATACCCGAAACGCGACAAGCGCTATCGTGGGTCAAGGGTCGTGGAGCATCTCTCTAATCTCGTTTTGCCTAGTCAGGGTCCTGTCAGAAATATTCGGGTATGGGATCTCGCGCGGCTTAATCAAATCTACGACCGAGGTCGGATGGATAATGGCTCCTACAAGGATCAACAAGTTGGTCATCGTCTCGCTTTAGGCCGCTTTCTTCTGCAAGTCTTGCCATGCATTCCCGTAGTGCATTATCTTGCGCTGCTTTTTAATCAGGCCCACGACGACTTCGAAGCTCCGCTATTTCAATCTAGCGTAGACGAGACGTATCCAGAATCCTCATATACTCGGCTGTCGCTTAGGACTTACGGAATTTGGAAAATTTTCAAAGAGCAGCATTCGCGGCTTAGAGAAAAGAAGAAACCGAAAAAAAACTGCATTCCAAAATGCTATTTCATAATGCCATTCAGAGCTTTCTGGCTTCATGCATTAAGCTAGGGTATGCATATGACGATTTCGCCTTGATTGCCTAGCCATCATTCCGTTGGATATTTCTTTTTTTTTTTTCTACAATTTTGTGTGCGGCCTTTCGAATACCCCTGAAGCTTGCTTTTCCCATTTTAGCGACTACTTATTCCCACACATTCATATTTTTTGTTCTTCATTTAGCGTTGTTACTTTATACTTGAACTAGCAGATTTTGCTATGCATTTTGGAGGAGTTGTGACTCCTTCTGTTGGACGCATTGGGAAGGTATTTTTCGGCTAAGTTGGGTAGCTAATGCATTGCCCGGCGTTGGACATGGGGATCATCATATATCATATACAACTGCAGATCTGGGCAGCCAGAAGCGACTCTACGGTGGACTTATAAAATCTATATTGGGAAGAAACCAGAAGCTTTTTTGTGCGCATAACGGAAGTTTAGATCCGCTTTGGAAGACGCAGGGTCCTAACCAAGCCCCGGATTACCTTGGAGGAGAAAAAAAAGACACAAATACCGCAGTTCATCCTGCAGGCTATGCATAGCTGCCCAACAAGACAGGATATCGGAGTTGATAAAACCAAGACGGTGATAGCATTTTTATGGTTTTAGAATCGAGAGGAGGGAGTTGGTTACCATTTAGATGTGACGGACCTTGGCGAGCAAGCGATTTATGCCGCACGATAAAGATATATCCGATTAATGAGACTACTGTATTAATTAATTCCAATTCATACGATATCTCTAATGATCTTCTTACGAACGACTAGGTGATAGACTAAGTGATAGTTAAATTTGAACCAAGATGCCGAGACATGTAAGCTTTTAACTGAAAACAGTTAATCAATGGTTTAAGTCGGCTTGACAAACGTCTGAGGATCATGTAGAAGGCTTTTGATAGTGACGATGGAAGGGTCTGGATAAAGTTAATCCTTGATGTGCTTCAGCGCTGATGCATATTGTTGTTACCTTCAAGATGCTACCTATCTTGCACGCCTCTGATGGTTCATCAAGTTATGAATACTCTAGCCGATGTTCTCCTAACCAATGAATGTCAATATAAAAGCGAGACACTACATAGGTAGGTAATACCTATCTTCCTTACTTTGACATTGTTTGCCTGACACATATCGACGTAGTTGCTCTTATATCATCTATAATGTAATGCCCAGAACAATCCGAAATGCGAGATAAGAAGCCTCATGCTGTGCAACGGCGTAGATCTGCATACCACAAACATGCATAGCGAGATAGGGCACAAGATAAAGGTAAATACATTCATCAAGAGCAATCTTTTATAAAACTTTATAAGTCAAGTATATACAAAATGGTTCGATGATTATAAACAATACTGGCTAGCCTTTGTGCGAGGTTAAAGGTATCCCGTATCATCACTCGCTGATAACGCCGTTGCAATAGGTTGTGTGTATGTATGACATATGTACATGCGGGTAACATGACATACATACCTACATAACCACCATCACGCGCTCGGATGTCCTACGTATCTACCCCGATAGGTCGTGCAAGGCAACGCAGAGAAGGGGAACCCGGATCTACGCAATATAATCGCGATACACTCTCTTCGCCTCGCGTCTAACCCTCCGCCCACCCTTGCGCACACGGCGCCACACAGCCTCCCTCGTCGAGATCTCCTTCTTCTTGCCGCTCGTCGCAGCCGCGGACCGCACGTGCTGCGCCATCCACGTGGCCCACTGGTTCGGCGCGGACTCGCCGCCTGGCACCGAGTTGAAGTACTCCCACCCGGCCACGCCGCCGAACGTCGGGTTCTCGCTTGTTAGTTCCTGTAACACCGTGGCTTGCTTGTCGAGAGCGACGAACCCGCCCCCGTTGGATGGGTTCGTGACGAGCCCTAGCACCACTTTGTTCGCGGCGAACCCGTCGTCGAGGATCGATTCGTAGTCCGAGGCGCTGGACGCGTCGCCCCAGCCGTAGTAGAACTGCCCGTTGTAAAACGAAATCGACGAGCCGCGCTGCTTCTCCAGATCGAAGTAGCTGAACCCGCTTAGGTTCCCGCCTCCCTCCGTTAGCGCCGCGGCGACAGGGGCTAGGGAGATCGTGAATGAGGCGCCGAAGTCTTTCTTCAGACGGTCGATGAGCCGGATGATGCCGCTTAGCGACATGGATTCCTCGACGTCGAGGTCCAGGCCTTGCAGGTTGTACGTCCCGATCATGTCGTGCAGCGGCTTGTAGTATTTCTCGAAGGAGGCGGCGTCCCCGTCCAGTCGCGAGTACGAGCCTGCGGCGGCGCCGCCGAGCATCCCCATTACGGTTACGCCGGCGGCTTGCAGCTGTGCGGCGTCGGACCAGACTTGGTCGAAGAGAGAGTTTTCCGGCGGGTAGTTGTTTAGGTGGACGCCTGGGTCGTCGGTTATGTGGATGGCGGCGATGAGCACGTGGGTTACTGGGATGTTGGACTTGTCGCTGATAAGAGGGAGTAGCGAGACGTGCTCCGTCGCGCTGCCGTTGAAGTTCGTCGTCTGGTAGTACACTACGACGCGGTGGTCGTTGACGGCTGCTGTGGCGGTTTTCTTGGCGCAGACGGCGGGGACGAGGAGAGGCATGATCCTCGTCATCCACTGGGATACTTTGCAGAACAACATCTTGGGCGAGTTTTGGTTACGACCTGTTCCTATCCGTTATGTTGGGAATAGGTCCGTGGAGGTCAGAAGGTAGATCTCGGGACGGGAAACCTGGGGATTGTCTTGCTCAAGTACTGGAGCTTCAGCTTCAGGTCGGGATAAGGTAAGCTTGGCTAAGCTTGCTAGGCAGATCCTTCGTTCCACTCAGCTACCTACATGGCTATAGGGCTATGCGACGAGGAGGCGTAGCGAGCTTATTTTAAATACATATTTAGGTAATAATATAGGATAGTCGTCCCATAGGGGAGGCTTCGCTCATCTCATCCCATCTCTCATCCCTCGGGATCTGCGCGAGACCATAAGCAGTCAGCCAGGGTACTCCGCTCATGCAAGGACATTGCCGACAACGATTGAGTTGAAACGTTTCGCCAACAAGGGGGGGTATGCTATTGATTGTGTGTGGGTATGTATCTTGACAGCCGTGAGTGGCCTGGAATGGTACTTGGCGTCGTGATCCACATTCGCTAAAGGATCAGATGGGACAACCAATGACCTCGTCGGCCTCGCGCTCAGCTTGGCGGGAACAGCGTCTGTCCCTCTACCACTCCAATCTCGTGTAATGAAGTCATCAAGGGTTTCGTTCAAGGGGTGCTCATCTCCCCGGACAGGACAGGCAGGTGGACCAACCGCGCGCGATCGATCGTCTCCGTCACATTTACGCTGTATATACGGCTGCAGCTATGCTCCTCCCGCGAACGGAAACAATTGAGGGGGGGGTTCTTCGACCGGGATCAGGTTCTGGACGAGCTATCGCGATAAAATTGAGTTGTTACATAGGGCTGGGGACGGTAGGACTATGTAGTAGTAGAGACATAGTGACATTGAATCGGGCCTTTCCCACCTTGTTGTGTGATTTATCGTGTAGTAAGAGGATTCATTGCTGCCTATCTTGTATTTTTATCTATTTTTAAGGGACGTGCGATGGTTTGTAATGTAATGACTTGATATTTCGACTTCGGTGACAAGGGACATCAGACCAAGATAGGTCTATATGTATGTGTGTAATGCATACGAGTGCCGGTTATGCTGATCGAATCGCATCGTTTATTGAATGGAACCAAGTGTTTACCATAGCGAGATCTGTAAGACAAAGGTAAGCTTAGACTGTCAGTTGAGGTGACGTGGTATTGCATGATAATCCCCCCCAGATATCTGATCGAAGTATTCCGTCGATATTAGAGAGCTATGTACGGATGTATCGTTTAATCCCGTTTGTTTGGCTGGAGAGGAATTCAATAAACAGAATAACCTTGCTTGAAACAGAGATGGGAGGCTCAAGCAAGATCTGACAATCCCAATTTTATTTTCTATTTTCGGCTCAGTACGTGGAGCTGACTTCGCATTTGGACCAGTCTGATACGTTACTCCTAGGGATTATTGGAAGCCAAAAGCGGACCTCCGTATCTTCCGCGTGTAAGTGATCGAAGGATCTTTCAATTTGACTGCCGCGACTCTTTATTTCAGCTGTAGCAGTACTGATAGATCGGCTTTGAACTTCGACTTCGACTTATATAAACTTGCATTGTTAATTTGTTTGATGAAAGTTGAGACATCCGGAATTGGTAGATCAATCTTAACCTCCATACCTCCGCACTACTCTTAACAGTCTAAGGTATCTTGGGTTATTAAGTGGCCGGGTATATACTGACATATGCGATGCAGTCAAAAAAGTATCTTGGTCTATAAACTGGCGAATAATTCAGGTTCTTGCCTTTCCTTAGAATAAGTATAAGTACAGCAAGATATACATGGGTACATTTGTCGTAGCGAAGTATTTAGGTACTACCTACATAGTAGTAGATACCGAAAGTTCCCTAGTCCCGAGTCCTAAGGTCTATTATTAAGCACCTATAAGGCTTATCGATACAGAGCATACATCAATCCCTGTCGGTTACTGAGCCAGCTGCACGATCTTCCATTCCAGCTGGCGGGCCATATCACTAATGTCCTCAAGTGCTTTTGACCTTAAGATGATAATTTACAAGTAGCTCACATTTTAAATCTATAGAAATCTCTTAAAGTATTATCAATCAAGTAGTAATCCTAAATACATAAAACTTGAAGCTTTCCAGGTTGGTTATTAAAAAAAGAGTATATATATGTAATTAGTAGTTACCTAAAGTTGATGAAATTCATGTAGCAGCTGGCAAGAGAGTTGACAGGGGTTCAAGGTTTGGCTATGCGTCATCCGGGATTCCAAACATCTTCTCGTCGCCTTCCATCCTATCCACCTAGCAATTAAGGTTTCCGGAACAAAAGAGCCTCAACACAACTTCTTTTTTCCCTATGTGCGCTGATGCCTAGCATTTTGACTGAACTGACCTTTGCTATATAGAAATTCCCCCCCACCAATTTACACTTTTCTTTCCTTCTTTTCTTTTTCTCAAACCATCATTTAGGTGCAATACGCTATAATTCGTAAGCAATTTTAGCACGCCTAAATTTTAGGTATTTGGTATCAATTCACTTTTATATTCATCAACACCTTTTTATTTCTCGACTATACCCACTTCTATACTTCATCACTCTATCACCACATTACGTTATTCAATTACACTATCTCAAACTCCTGCATCACTCTACCCTCTACCCACATAACTCCTTCGTCACTCTATCACATCCCGCTTATCCCATAACCTTTTCCTGCTTATTACATAATACATTTGCCGACTTTCATCATGGCGTCCGATGCTGGCAATCCGGATCGCTCGAAAAATGAGTCGACACGTGCTCCGTCTGCTGATAGAACTAACGACATTGCCGACGTTGCCGACGCTACCGACGTGACTGACATCGTTGACGAAGCGACGGCGCTCAAAAATCTTACAGCTAACGTTCGCGATCAAGCGGACATTGAGCATGATATCACATATCAGGCAAATCTTGCGTTGATCGATGCCGAGGATAAGCGAGATGAGAAGCGCATCGACAAGGTCCGAGCAAGTTTACGAAAGTTTACTACGGAGAAGAAGAATCTTGAGGATCAATGCCGCAAGGCTTTTGGAAGGCCCGCCTTCCAGCAAACCATTCGAGACAAGATTGAACGAGCCGAGTCGGATATCAGACAAGCTAATAAGGACCTCATCGACCTTAAAGAACGCATAGACAAACGCCACCGCGAAGGCCAACTTGTCGACCAGATCGTGAGTGGTAATAAGAGGTTACCTAATGAGAGTCATCGTGAGTTCTTGATCCGTACAGGGAAAATCACACCATTTGCGAATATTGGGGGCCCACGACCCCATGGTGTTGAAGGAGCTCTGGCCGATGCTCTAGTTGATGCCGAAGATGAAGCTGCTACAGATGAGATCGAAGAACAAGCCAAGGATCAACATCAGTCTCACCAGAACCTGCGAGCTCCCGGTTTTGAAAATGAACCCAATCCAGCCAGTGTTATAGCCGAAAGTGAGTTCGGACTGCGTCCTCGTCAACGAAAGCGCAAAGTCACCTACCAGGCTTCATCCGATGACGACTACGTGCCGCAAGCTTCTCCAGATTCGCCCACAGCAGACTTTATTGATCAAGAGTCAGAAGATGGCGTACGCCCTCGAAAGAGGACCAAGAAGGCAGCAAATGGTGACCGAGTTGACCTTAGTAAGATTGACGATGGTAATGAGCAAAGTTACCAAGCTCGTCTTGCCGATTGGTCCGAAAGACGTCGCATTAACAGACGCAGAAAACGGCAAGAAAGAAGCCGCGAAGGCCTCCATGACCCTGGCAGTGGCTATGAGGAAGAATGGGTAAAAATTTCCCCAGATTTCAATGATTATCCACTCAAGGACGGGCTTAAGATCCCAGGTGATATAAACCACGCCCTTTTCGACTACCAGAGAACCGGTGTGCAGTGGCTATCAGAACTATACTCTCAGAAGGTTGGGGGGATCATTGGAGACGAAATGGGCCTCGGAAAAACCATTCAACTCGTCTCTTTCCTTGCGACGTTACATCATAGTAAGAAATTAGATAAGCCTGTTATCGTCGTCGCACCAGCTACTGTATTGAAGCAGTGGGTGAACGAGTTTCATCGTTGGTGGCCTCCTATGCGAGTGTCTATCCTTCATTCCTCTGGTAGCGGCATGCTTAGTATGAAAGCCGAAGGCGAGATTGAAGATCACGATGAGAGGTACGAGTATGACCAGTTGGAGGACAAAAAGGTCGGCAAACCAGCAAAGAAAATTGTTGACCGAGTCGTCAAACAAGGTCACGTCTTAGTGACAACTTACGCTGGCCTTCAAACTTATGGCCGACTCCTCACTCCCATAGAGTGGGGTTATGCAGTCTTGGACGAAGGTCACAAAATCCGCAACCCGAATAGTGCCGTTACCATCTATTGCAAAGAGCTACGGACACCGAACCGTATTATTCTCTCTGGTACGCCAATGCAGAACAACCTTACGGAGCTATGGTCATTATTCGACTTCATCTTTCCGATGCGCCTAGGCACATTAGTGGAATTTCGCAATCAATTCGAAATCCCCATTCGTCTCGGAGGTTACGCCAACGCCAATAATCTACAGATAATGACTGGACAGAAATGTGCCGAAGTCCTTAAGGATGCAATTAGTCCTTTCCTTCTTCAACGACTCAAGGTTGATGTTGCAACTGATCTCCCCAAGAAGACCGAACAGGTACTTTTCTGTCACTTGACGGAGGAACAGCGGCATGAATATGAGTCCTTCCTCAAATCGAAGGATATGGAAGCTATATTAAAGGGATCCAGAAATTCCCTCTATGGAATTGACATACTGCGAAAGATCTGCAATCACCCTGATCTTCTCGACTCCAAATTGAAAGACAGGGCAGGGTATGACTGGGGTGTAGTCAGTAAATCTGGCAAGATGGTGGTCGTAGAGGCATTGCTCCAAGCATGGAAACAGTTCGGACACAAGACTCTTCTCTTTAGTCAAAGTGTGAAGATGCTAGATATGTTGCAGAGTTGCGTGGGACGCCTCGGAAATATTAAGTATCTGCGAATGGATGGGGAGACACCTATCAAAGAGAGGCAGAACCTGGTTGATAAGTTCAACGGTGACAGCGAAATCGATCTTTTCCTGCTCACAACGAAGGTCGGTGGACTAGGCGTAAATCTGACTGGCGCCAACAGAGTCATCATATACGACCCCGATTGGAACCCTTCAACGGATATCCAGGCCCGAGAGCGAGCTTGGCGTCTCGGCCAAAAGAAAGAAGTCACCGTGTACCGACTAATGACTGCGGGTACAATTGAAGAAAAGATCTACCACCGCCAGATCTTCAAGCAGTTCTTGTCTAGCAAGGTTCTTAGAGATCCCAAACAAAGTACTTCTTTCCAACTCGAAGACCTGCATGATTTATTCACACTGGGAGGTTCTAAAGACAAGGTGACCGAAACAGGCAGACTGTTCAAAGACTCGGAGGTGACATTCACCGACACATCAGCCAAAGCTAGTAAAAAGCAACCGAACCCGAAGGCTGGTAAGACGAAGGCCGGTAAGGCAGATGGTGATGATGACCGGGATATTCGAAACATGAAAGGCATAGCAGACCTCGAAGATTTCGAGGCTGAGGAGTTGAAAGAAGAGAGTAGCCTTATGAGGGGTCTCTTTTCTCGTACCGGCGTCCACTCAGCCTTGGAGCACGATAAGATCATGAACGGTAAAAAGCCCGGAGCCAACCCACGACTTCTACAGCATGACGTGGATCGCGCAGCCGCGGAAGCAGCTGCTTCGCTCAAGCGTTCCGCTCAGGAGGCACGTTCCATACCTATTGGAACCGTTACTTGGACTGGCGAACTGGGCTACGCCGGCGGACCATCTAACATACGTCGTGATCGAGGTGGTCCCAGCTCAGCCGGTGTCTTGGCCGGCCTGGCCGATAGACAAGGCCGAAACGCACCTGCGGGTAACTCCTCGGGCCCTTTGCTTGTGGCTAGCAACACCAGTATAGGGACGAAGGAGTTTTCGAAGCTGATTGTAGACTTCATCGCGGCGCACGGCGCACGGGTTCCGACTAAGTCTCTCGTCGACCATTTCAGCCCATTCTGCATTACGAAGCAGCAGTCGGAGCAGTTCAAGATCGCGCTGCGCCGCGTCGCGAAGATGGAGGTACGGGGATCTACTATGCGAAGTATGTGGGTCGTTAAGACCAAGTACTTATAAATGTTGGTGGATATCTTGAGGTTCTATAAGAACCATCTGGTACTTCGACAGGATATTGAGAGAGGTATTAGGGGATGTATAAGAGGATGTATAGGAGGAGGTATTGAAGAACAGTTCGTATTATAAACAAGGACTGAGGGAGGATACGACTCAACCACATTTGGCGAGCCGTTGGAGGCCGAGGACATTTCAAGCATAGCACCGGAGTTTGATATGTTAGCCGACTTTGCTTACATTTTGCTCTGCACATAGAACTTGTGCAAACTAGCTTTCTATAAATGAAATTTGTTTCATTCTCACATAAATCTTAGTATTGGTTTCGTGCTTAAATCATGGTGAACACTACAACATTAATTTCACGAGTAAGATGCATAGACAAAATTATTGATCAGTTTTTCCCATTTCTGCTGTAGTCGTGCCAAAAGGCATCATGTGACAATAAGCATAGCTACCCTAAGTATCATGGAGACCAGGCATGTTCTGTTCACCAGATGCACGCCGTTCTCCTCGTAATTGTCAACGCCACAGAGATGAAGAAGTCCAGATGCAAAGCCGTTCCGCCGATTGACTCCAGATCGCCCATAAGCACCAGGGGGGTGATATGATATGATATGGTGCAATCACAAACGACGACCACGGCGACCACCCTTTCTGCGGGTGCTGTCGGAGGGGGTGGGGGTGACGTCCTCGATACGGCCGATCTTCATGCCGGAACGAGCCAAGGCACGGAGGGCGGACTGGGCACCGGGACCAGGGGTCTTGGTGCCGTTGCCACCGGTGGCACGGATTTTGATGTGGAGAGCGTTGATGCCGAGTTCCTTGCAGCGGGCGGCGACGTCCTGGGCAGCCAACATGGCGGCGTAGGGGGAGGACTCGTCACGATCGGCCTTGACCTTCATACCACCGGTGACTCGGGTGATGGTTTCGCGGCCACTGGAATCACCCAGAATGTTAGCCTGATGAACCATACACAACGCAATGTAACATATTTTTTTTTCTCGTCGAGGGTAGATGTGTATATATGGAAATATGTATATAACATCATGTGAACCATAGGCATAGCATAGCGAGAGAAGGTTCGTGGGACCTTCGTTCCTCCTCATTCGCTTGAAGCCGAGACAAGATTGTTTTTTATGTTTCGGAAATTGGAATGATTGGTTTAGACGAACCTGAGATCGGTGACATGGACGAAGGTGTCGTTGAAAGAGGCGAAGATACGGGCAACGCCAAAGACGAGCTCGCCTGTGAGCGCGGGGCACACGTTAGCAAAATGATGATTTTCACATATTCACCGCCGCCTTGGATGATTACTCACCTTCACGGACCTGAGGTCCGAGGGAGATGTTCTCCTGGGCAGGACGGGTAGTCTTCTTGGGAGGCATTGTGAATTATCTTTTCTTAATTCTTGTGGTGTTGGAAAGTTGACGGTTGGTTGAATCTGAATGCTTGACCGCGAGATTTTTCAAGGGAAAAAAGGAATGATGACAAAATTCGATGGGGTTTCTTTTCGTGTGGGAGAATGTGAGAGGGCAGCGGTGACCGACGGCAGAAACTTTTAAAGTGGGATCCTAAAGTGGGATAACCCTAAAGCCATACCCAATTCTCGCTTGGGGCAGTGGGCGGTGTGCGTGTGCTGCTTTGACCCACTAAGGTTATTCCTATCTTGGTCAATCGAGCTAAAAGTTCCCACACTGAAACTCTATTGAATGAAATTTCTGTGTGGCTTTTTCAATTTCTTCATTCTTCATTCCAACAACCACCTGTCGACAACCCACGACCTTTCGGCCATCGCCCAAATCGACAACAATGGCTGCCTCTACGTATGCTACTCTCCCCTAGTTTTCTTCTTTGATTGAAAGAGCATATCGAGTATATCGATGTCCGGTTCTATGGATTTTGTAGATTGTCGTGGTCCTCTCGGCTGGATTGCATTGTTCTTGGACGCCTGAAAATGGTGTAAAGAGACTTTCGCATCTCAGTTCGATCTATCCTAGACTTCTCCCTCAGCATTTCAGGTTTGAAATACAACTTGCGTGTTGAGAGATGTAGCTCTGGGGCGTTGGAGATGAAGGCATCGTCCTTCTCTCTTAAAGTCATTTGCCGCTTTCACTGTCAGCATACCAACCAGTAATGGCCAAGTAATGCTGATAAAGAGTGAGCATATTTCTTGAATCTTTGTATTCAAGGTGTTGTCGGATGAGAGGGAATGTTATAGAAGTTGTCATCCTCAAGAGAGGTAGCGACATCTTCTAAGCACCTCACCGATTAAATTATTCCCTCCGAGTTAGCTACCGCTGAGAATGTCGCGCTTCAGTCGGCAATTCTCCAACCGGCGCTCTATTCATACATTCATGTGTGATAGTGGACTACGTACTAATCTGATTTTAATTATAGTTCCGTCCCTACCAAGGACCAGGTCCTCGTCCCTGAGACCCTCCTCAAGAAGCGCAAGAGCCAGGAGAAGGCCCGCGCTGAGCGCACCGCTGAGATCGAGAAGCGCAAGAAGGTTAGTCTATTCTATTATTGTTGGAAGGGAAGCGACGATGTGATGTACAAAACCTTTTGCGGCTAGACCAAGGTCAATGTTGTTGCAAATTAACCATCTTTCGGGTCTGATCGACGGAGAATATATACATTTGTCATGTGTGTTCCATTACTTGAATTGTCAACTGACGTCGTTGTTTAGATCAACAAGGAGAAGCGCACTGTTATCTTCAAGCGTGCTGAGAAGTACGTCAAGGAGTACCGCGATGCCGAGCGTGAGAAGGTCCGCCTCAACCGCCTTGCCAAGCAGGAGGGCAGCTTCCACGTTCCTGCCGAGGAGAAGTTGATCTTCGTTATCCGAATCAAGGGGTACGTCTACTATTATTTTCAGTAGCAACTAAGCCGTGACTAACGAATGATTAGTATCAACAAGATTGCCCCCAAGCCTCGCAAGATCCTCCAACTCCTCCGTCTTCTCCAGATCAACAACGGTATCTTCGTCCGTGTCACCAAGGCCACCGCTGAGATGATCAAGATCGTCGAGCCGTGGGTCGCTTACGGTTACCCCAACCTAAAGAGCGTCAAGGAGCTCATCTACAAGCGTGGATACGGAAAGGTCGACAAGCAGCGCATCCCTTTGACTGACAACGCTATCATTGAGGAGAGCCTCGGCAAGTACGGCATTGTCTGTATCGAGGATCTGGTCCATGAGATCTTCACCGTTGGCCCCAACTTCAAGCAGGCCTCCAACTTCCTGTGGCCCTTCAAGCTCAGCAACCCCAACGGCGGTTTCCGACCCCGCAAGTTCAAGCACTTCATCGAGGGTGGTGACCTTGGTAACCGGGAGGACAAGATCAACGCCCTGATCCGACAAATGAACTAAGTCAACGGTTAAGGGTTAATGGGTCTGGTTTTACGGGGGTTTGCTTTTGAGCATGGGTCACGGCGTTCATAAAAGCTTCGGATGCTAGCAATGAATTGAGATATTTATGATCATGGCAACCCCATACTTGATGTCTCCTATATTTTCGTGATTTTCGTATATGTGCTTCTCGTGCAGTGATTGATTTCGTAACGACTACAAAAAGTGTAATATCAACGGTCATTCCCAGTACCAGTCAGAACTTCATGTATTAGTACGTCAAGTCATGCTGCGAACTACAACCAAACTAAGGTTAGTTACCTGGGCACTATTAACTTTCAATGTGGGAACCAAGTTGGGCGGAGAATTCTTTCTATTCCATGGGCTCGTATTGAAGCCACTCCAACTCCCACTCCATGCAACTATGATATCTTAATGCTACAAAGCCGCAACAGGCCCCAACGTACAGCTATCTTATAACCAAATGCATCTCACGAATTCCCCCAAGTCGGCCGCAGGTGTGTCTGGCAACTTATGTACTAAGTGTTTTCTATGCAATGCTCTGAGTAAAAATATGTACAGGATCGGTATTAGAATACAGGAAGTGGGATGGGTTTAGAATTTGATGTCGAAACTGGTGCCGCACCCGCAGCTGCTGGTCGCGGCTGGGTTGTCGATGATCTTGAATTGGCTGCCGATTAGCTCCATTGTGTAGTCGACCTTGCTGCCTTTTAGTAGCGAGAGGCTCGGCGAGTCGAGGATTATTTTCGGTGTTGATGGTGGCGAGGGCGAGGGCGGTTGTGTTGTAGACGGGGGAGTGCTGGGGTCGGCGCTGTCTTTTACGAACTCGAAGATCGTGTCGTCTTCCCCGATGCTGGGGGTTGAGGGGGAGGCGCTGGTTGTTGTTGAGGGCGCGACGGAGGCGGCGCTTGGGTCTGTGCTTGCGGGCTCCGGGGGGTGGCTAGATGTTTCGGGGGGGAGGTGCGAGGGACCCGATGGCCCGGGCTCGGAGGGAGGGGTTGCGGAGAGGGTTGGTGGGAGGGTGGTTAGCGACATCAGGTATTGGAACCCGTGGCAGCCGCCGGACTCGACTGAGATGCGTAGCGCGAGGTGGGGGTTCTTGTCGCTGTCCATGATCTTGGAGAGTCTCTGTTGCGGGAAATTAGTATGATGGGAATAATATAGAGTAAGGGGGTAAGGTAGTTGGTGGGTGGAATGGGCTTACGTGGGCGGCGCGCGGCGTGATCTCTAATACCATGTCGTTCCCGTCATCGTCCTTCTGCGGGTTGTGCACGACTTGAGTCTTGCGCCAGAGCGCCGTGGCGCTGAACGGTCGCCGCGAAGCAACGGTATTGCGGCCGCTGCTGCTTCTGGGTCGAATATTTCGACTACCACGATTTCGGAGAGCGCCCGGTTGCGATTGTCGAACGTCCCGAGAAGCGGAGGCGGAGGCGGCGACCAGATGGAAGGCTCGGGTCCGTGGCGGCAGTAGGAGCTCCAGGATCGAACTGTTGCTACATACCGGCGACGGAGATGATGAATTTATTAGCCGGACGAATATGTTAGCGAGAGACGAGGTGCGCACGCAGCGCATAGGGAGGGGAGGCTGCATTTCTGACGGCTTGGGGATGTTTTGTGGTGTTGTGTGTGCTGTGCTATGCGATACTAAAAGAGAGCGTTTCTAAGCAGAAATTAAAAAATTGGAGTGGGATGATGTCAAGCTAACTTGTTAGTTCGGCTTCAGGGCGTGCAATACAATGGGACCGGCGAAAAAGCGGCGGAATTGTTGGAGATTGCCCGTGTAAAAAGCTCAAGGATACCCATGAATTAGTAATAAACTGACCAATTACGCAGGCGCGATTTTCAATCCCAAGCCGTGATCTCTTGCTTACTAGTGTTGTGTGACCATTGGTTGCGGTTGCCCGTGGCGGATGGGATATTTGAAACTTAAAAGACGTTAATTATGCTTATTTGAGATGGAAGTCACAGGGTGTAACATGATTACTAAATCTATAAACTTTCTTTGACTTCATATAACTTTAACGTCTAGAAATCGTGTTGCGCTTCTACTTCTCCATCAAGTTCTGTTGTTAAGGATGTCCGAAAAGACCCATTTGTTTAGTTGTGACATCTAGACAAGTACGAGTGTGCATACTAGCAGCCCTCGGGCAACGAGGATATCCCCCAAATCATCTTCAAATCCACAAGAGTTACTCCTAGGATGTCCTATCAACCTACTTCTTACTCCTTGACGGCAGGCCGTACCGAAAGATGAGACCTCAGATGACCACGAGAAAGGGGAGAAGCTCATGCCCCCCAAATAAAGATTCCACACTCAAGAGAAGAGACCAGTTCTCCGTTCTTTGCATCGATAGATATTCCTTGGAAGCTACGCTATCTTTACCTCAATGTCCCCAACAGGAGAAAAGTTCTTGCAGATAAATATCGAGGAAGTTATCTGAAAGAGGTATCCCGTAATGGCTATTTCTAATATTCCAGAATAGAGGAAGGTCAATACAATCTTGGCTAACATCTGTATACAGCTCTATATATAGCAAAGAGGACCGTTGAGGCTGCTCGGCCATTACGTGCTACCGAAGAATAAGCTCATCAGCGTATTCTTATCTCCTACGGACGGCTTAAACGCCAGGAATGTATCCACGTCATTGGTTAGGCTAGACCTCGACTTTGTCTCGTGTGGATTATCTCCCGCCGGAAACAGGCCCTTCCGCGGGAGTCCATATCTCTATGCAGGGACTCGATGCCTCAATGGGAACCATACGTCCCGAGATTGATGAATTTGGACATTTGGATTTTCGCTTTGCACATCTTTCTTTTTAACCGCGCGCCACTACAACGACGCCTACATTTTACCGGCGATATGGTTTGCAGATATCCACAACCCCACGGCAGGGCAGCCCTTCGAATATATTGTCTCACGGGTGAAAAAAAAGCTCCTTGAGCTTAAATTGGATTAAATATCTTAGGAAACAGGGTTCCAGATGGGGGTATTTGGAATCAGGGACAAAGGGATACCTACAAAAGAGCTCCTCTACCCAGCTTAGCTATCACATGAAAGACACGATCTCAATAGAAAATCAACAATCGAATTCTCCCTTACGAATCTTCAGAGGCTAAAACACTCTGCTGAGCAACTAGTACCTAATACTTTATTCTAATACAGCACTATCAAAATGCTTCCCCAGATTTTTCCCCTTGCGGCCCTTGCCGCCACGGTTTCGGCCCACGGTCTCATCACGACACCAGCTCCCCGTGCCCCAGGAGACGCGTCCATCGCCGCCTGCGGAAAGTCCGTCGTGAATAACATCAAGAACGACAAGACATCGCACGTGGAAGGTCTACCTGAGCTCGCTGCCGCTGACCCAGACTACAAGAGCGAAGAATGCAATGTATGGCTCTGCAAGGGCCTCCAGTACGCCGACAACGCGGCCAACCTGCAGAAATACACGGCCGGCCAGAGTGTCCCCATCGAAGTTCAATTGTCAATCCCGCATGTCGGATCCGCCAATGTGTCCATCGTCGACACCAAGACGGACACCATCATCGGGACCCCCTTGCTGAGCTGGCCCTCCGGATACGCTGATGAGCGCCAGTTCTACGCCCACACGACCCCCGCTAACCAGACCAAATTCAATGTCACTATCCCCGATGACCTTGGCTCTCAATGCTCTGAGGCCGGTGCTTGCGTACGTTTTGGCGACCCCCCTTGAGATTAAAGCAGGACGTGATATACTAATAGATGCGCGTATAGGTCATCCAATGGTGGTGGTACGGCACCGGAGCGAAACAGACCTACGAGTCTTGCATCGACTTTACCCTTGCGTGAAGACTTCCAATTCGGAAAAAGGGATGAATGAGATATACAGAGAATAAAATACGATGTTAGATATCAAGATACTTCCCCGAAATTTTCGTTATCATTTAGCAACAAGCTTTATCTATTTATATAAATACATATATCTTCGAAATACTATGATATATATGTCCTAATTTTCCTTGCAGGCTGATAGTAGTATCACAGTGGAAAAGAGACTGTTTAATTTATTTATTTTGTTTATTGACTTAGTTGAGGAAATATTTTACTACTGCGGAAAAATAGGACGAAAAGCAAATTATATAAAGCGCGGATACTCCTAACACATCACGGATCGTCCCAAGATAACCCCAAGCCTACCTGTTGTACCTCGTTACATTGTATACGACATCATGTGAAAAAAGCGTCCTCGATTTTAAGTCGAAGAAAGCCGGCTCCGTTCACCATCCGCCAAAAACTTTAAACTTTCACATTCCGTCCGACGTAACGATCCGTCTCCGCCCCCTTCCCCTAACCCCGTTCCCGATTTTTCATCCGTAGCTTAGTATTGTGGGTTGGGTCCCATACCTGGGGGAGGAGGGTATTCGGATTCAGGGCCGGGCCTGCCGCCGGCTACGGAACCGGAGCGGCCGTCGCCGAAGTGCTTCTTGCGTAGAGCAGCGAGACGCTTCTTCTTGGTGATAGTGTTGATGTATGTACCGATGATAAAGGCGACGACGTTGAAGAAGGGAACCCAGGCAGCCTCGGGTAGGAAGGCCTGAGCGAAAGCGAGGCAGAGCGGCGAGGTGACCCAGGAGACCTTCATGACTTTCATGAAGCCGACGCGTACGGTCGCTCGCACTTGATGGTAAGTTCGGGCACCGGCGATGAGGGCCATGGCGACGAGATAGACCACATTCTGGATCGGGGCAACCTACGAGGTGCATGTCAATATTAGGCGTATTAAACATCGGGATAAAGGAACTTACGACTAAGTTGCTGACAAAGATCTGGAGGATCTTGGCGCGAAGACTCGTGCGACCCTTGAAGGCTTTCTGGAGTATCCAGATTAGAAAGTGGCCTAAAGGCGCGCTGACCATGGCGCCATAGGCAGCCATCTTCGGGACGCGAGCCGTAAAATAATTGCCATGCTTGTTGCGATCTTTAGCTAGCCATGACGCGAGTAGTTCCTGGAGACCAGCGAGAGTTCCAGCTGTGAGCATCTTTGTCCGCAGCGGATTTCTCTCGAGCTCGTTGATGTACGCCTGCGAAAGTTAACGAGTCAATCAATTGCGGTTCAGCGGGTCGCACAGGTTTTTAAGAACACGAAAAAATAATTAACGACGGCGACAATAACTTACCATCAGATAGCCTCTCGTGCCGGCGTTCCTTGCGCCTCCAGTAAGTGCGGTGCCGATTGCCTCAGAGATGGGATGTCTTCCGGTGGTTCCTGGAAGAGGTTCGCGAGGGATATGAGGACGATGGATGAGAGCGTGGCCTCCATGGCCGTGGTCGCCGCCGATAGTCTCGGTCGCATGGCGGATCGTCTCCCTCTCGACCTTGACCGACATGTTGATGATCCCCTAATTCCGTTATTCAATCGACGATAGATGTGGTCTTAGTCGAAAATGTCTAGGCAGGAAATAACGTCAGTGATGGAAGTGTGGGCGGAGAGAAGGATTTCGAGCATTGAGGGCGGATACGAGGGTCACTGGCAGAGTCAATTGATTTGTTTACCTTGGAGCTGACCAGGGGCCGAGGTAACTTGTTTTGGATAGGAAATTTGCAGATGAAACGTGCGTATGGACACAAAAGAACACAATATTCAATAGATGAAAAGGAAAATAAGATAGGTAGCTTACATTTCTCGATGAGGACGAAGTCACCGGGAAAGGGAATTGCGGGTCTTCTTGGATACTCATCCGAGTCGGTCGTTTGACGTTTGAAGATGGAGAGATGGGACAGTGAGTTAGATGTGGAGGAGGTTGGTAGATGGTAGAGATGAGGTTGGACAACAGGTCGGGCAAAGCTGGGGCCGCCAGCAAGACCAGCAAGTCGCACAGGTCGCAGTTCCCTCCCATGCTTTCCCACGCTTTCATTTGCTCCTTGTCGCGACTAACCCTTGTTTTTTTCTTAGAGGGCCAAGGTTGGCCAAGGTTGGCTAAGGTTGGTCAAGGGACGACAGGGGTGCTCGTTGCTGCACGACAGCTTCGATCCACAAAACACGAAAGCTCGATCTCTACCTGCTTCTACCTAGGTACACCCATCCACTATTTACTCCGCTTAGCCTATCCTGTCCGTTCCTGCCCATCCTAGCCAGACCTAGCCCCATCCTACCCATCTTCACCTTGAACATCACCCCACATTGATTGGTTCGATTAATCGGGCGATCTGTTCTTCCGCGACCTATTACTGCATCTGTGCGAGTGCACACATATTAAAGAAAGAGCCACAGGAAAGCGCAAGCTTGGAAAGCTACCGTAAGAATTCAGCGGAATATTACTAGGTACTCAAAGAACCACAATACGCTTTAGATGCACACCTAGGCGAGGAGTTTCCAATTGGCAGATAAGAGAGTATGGGGATCTTATATCAGGTACTAGCACAGGCTGGTCACGCCACTAATGCATCCTGTTAACGCAAGAGAGCGGGCTTGAAAAGACGGTATGGATAACGATCATGATCTGGACTGTCTGGAGCATGAATAAATACGAGCCATATCGCCACCCGCCAGCTCAGAAATTCCAAAAATGAGGTTTGGAAGGGAAACGACGTCGTTGGGAATAGCTTCAACTTGTGGATCACAATATGATGATTAACGACTGTTTGCCAAGGCGAATGGAAGCTTTAAGAACCTTTCTCGTCCTCGTCTTTTCTATATACAGTGCTCTTTCCTTTCGGGAGGGGAATAGGAATTACGGACCCGTACACAACTCGACCGTCAGCTGTTAACGTTATTAATACTCTAAGCTAAGGTGGCACCTCCCCCCTTACTCCCTTACTCACATATGTATGTAGATTACGGCAGTAGCGTTGCGATAGTTTTACCAACTTCTTGGAATAATTGTTCTAAGGTTTGATGTCCACAATTATCTATACAGTGTCCCATCGCATCGAAACTTTAGGAACTTTCGCTTTTCATTCTAATCCATATCTTCCAATCCGCGAACTTCATTAAGGTCAAAAACCGCGGTTTTGAGAACAATTTTTTTTATGAAGATTGCTTAAATCATGATTTCCGATATTATTCTAGGACTGTGTTCTTACATCAATGCCACTATTCACTAATATCAATAGGCTATTGAATATTAGGATACGTTTGTCCGTAATTGGCGGGCCACGTCGCGTCCAGACACGTCTAATCAGTCTCATTTTTCTGGTGGTCATCGCGCGACAAACACAATTAAGTAAAAACTAAAACCGACCAACTCCAACATTCTTCTCAAAATTCTTAATTTGGTATCCTATCGCGCATCATTCATTTCATCATGAATAATCCACTACCGAAAACACCTCGACCGGCAATGGCAAAGCCGGCCTTGCCGAAGTCTGACTATCATACCCGAGTCCCGCCGACTTCAACGTTCAGACCTTCGTGCACCCATCTAACGATGACCCGCTTGTATGATCCCAATCTCGTGTGCTCCATCTGCAACTTGCCAGGCCAGTAGGGATGGCTCTGGCGATGCACAACCGACCGAGAGCTTCTCATTGAAGACGCTATATCGAAGGGTCGCCCGGTAATACGCATCCTTCATTTTCATTCCCAGCCCGAGCGTAGCAGCTAACCGAGTCCTCTTTCTAGGTGAGCTTCGACTTGATTGGCGCATCGTTCTCGGACAACTTAACCGTTCGTCCTCGGAGTCCTGAGAGCCGATCAGATAGACTCAGTTTCTTCAGTGAGATTACGCCGGAGCAATTCAAATCGTACACACCCGAGCAGATCCGCACCATCTTGAGCCAGAGGGAACATGTAAGTTACCCTTCATTTGCGCAATAATGTTATTTACGCTAATGTATGGAGCAGGTCCTCAAAGTTGCCAACGAGGACTCGTCCGGAATCGAGCCTCCCCCGGGATTCGAGCACATGAGTGGTACTAAGGCTTGGGTCCCTGCCGAACATGAAGAGTGCCAGTTCAAGTGCTGCGTGAGATGCCGTCCTTCAGCTGAAAGCAGATCTTTCCTTAATCTCGACGAGATTGTCAATGGCGTTATTCCACCCTCTGCGGCTATCGGATTCAGCTTTCAACGTTGTGGGCGACCAGTTATTCATCCGAGCAGACTGGAGAACATCGGATTGAGACCTGTACTCTGGGTATGATTTTTTTCATTTCGGGTTTCCTTCGCATTAGACTAATTTGTACTAGCCTAGAGCCTATGCCTCGACGATCCTCTCCTCTGTGTCTTCGATGGACACCTTCAGTTACTCGTCTTTGGAAGGCGAAACGATTGCAGACGCAGAGCACATTCAACTCGCCCAATCCGTGTCATCTCAAGGCAGTTCCTCGGTCGAATCCGGAACCACGGAAGAGCACCATCTATCTGACACCACCATGTCTCCTTGTCATACGCCCAGGTTATCTAAGGAAGACACGAAGTCTACCGTATTCACCGCTTGCTTGACGCCTCTTCCTCCTGCCGCAGAGGAGGAACAGACGGTTCTTGGAGAACATTCGACTAAGATGATGGATGAGGAGATGGAGGAAGGACGATTCCACAAGGAGCCTCTAGAAGTTGACCATGGTGTGGCGTTTTCGGAAGAGGGAGTCGGCCTAGGACTTGCGGACGTTGTGACACAGGCTTAGTAGTCATTTGGTTAGGATGACAGCAGGCCGTTCTCATGCTTTGGCTATCGATGAAGTCTCTAAAGTCTCTCCATGGATATCAAGTGTTTGGGTTTGGAATGGCCACGATGGATCGTTCAATGGCACACGCAGAATCTCTGAGTTTAATGTCGGGGTGGGGCTAATTAGTATGCAAACTTCATTCCCATCCTCATATTGAAGTGCTCCTAGCTGTCAGTAATAGGGGCGCCTCCTATAATTTGATGAGTAATTGTCTCGGTGACTCGCTTATTACGTAGTTGGTTTCCTTAGTATATTACGAATTCATAAATATTCGATAAGAGTTGTATAAAATAGAATAGGAGACGGGGGTTGCATACCTAAGGACAAGAAGGTTACCAGAAGCACGTGATGGCTATAACTATCCCCCGAAGCGCAAAGCTTCTAATTTGAGCCAATCGGAACTCTGTATCGTATCCTAATCGGGATTTAATTGGTTACTGCCGCGGGGAATTACGTTAAGTTTCTCACCTTTCCTTCCCAGAAAGAGGACTCGCGCTGGAATACGAGCAGGACTATCATGAATACTGCTACTAGATGGGCTAGGAGTAGCATGAAGCCTTTACACTCGCCGTCGTATTCTACAAATTCGCACCAGGTCACGGCGAAATGGCTGCAGCGCATCCTAGAAGACCACTCCGAGCCCCCGAGGTTATACGCCTGGACACCGGCGAATCTATCTCGTGATACGAATCAGAATCATACTGGTATGCCACTGCAGGTATTAAGCGCAAGCGAGGAACGCCGCAGGATATACATCCTCGGCGTCGGCAACCTCGGCCGTCTGTACGCCATCTGTCTCGCCAAGGCCCCCGATAGACCCCCCATCACGCTCGTCGTGCATAGGAAGGAACTCCTGGCTCACTGGCGCGATAGCCCTGGTGTTGAGATCGTGCGGAATGATGGGGAGTCGGAAAGGGATGCGGGGTTCGATGTTGAGTGGTGGACGGATGTTAAGCCGGATTTCGGGGCGGTTAGGGAGCCGGGTTTCAGCTTATATTCGGATTCTGAGCTAGGCAAAGTCGAAGGCGAAAGCAGAGATGGAGGTATGGGAGGAGGCGGAGGTAGAAGTAAGGGTATCAGAAACCTGATAGTAGCGACCAAGGCCGCGGATGCGATGCCCCAGGTCGACCGCGTGAGGGGGTATCTAAGCGACGGGGCGGAGGTCGCGTTCTCCCAGAACGGAATGTGCAAGCTTTGGCCCCCGCTGGGCGAGGCGTATGTCGCACATAGATGGGGTGGAGATGGGGGAAGTCCGAGGTGGTGCGCTTGTGTCACGACGCATGGGGTTACGGCGCTAGCCCCGTTTCGCAGCTTGTTGGCTTCGCCGGCGGGGGTGGCGGTTGGTGTTGTTGGGGTTGGGGCTGGGAAGGGGACGGAGGAGGAGTATCTGATTGAGAGGATTTTGGGGGCACCTGGGTTAGCGGCGAAGAGGGTTGGGACGGGGGAGTTGTGGGTTGCGCAGTTGGAGAAGTTGGTGGTTAATTCGGTGATTAATCCGTTGACGGCGGTGCTGCGGTGTAAGAATGGGGAGGTCTTTGAGGATAGGGGGGATGGGGTCCTGGATGTGGTTGATGTGTTGCTGGAGGAGGCCGGGAGGACGCTGAGGGGGCTGATAGGGGATAAGAGTTCGGAGGGGGTTCTCTTGTCAGGGGAAGGGGATGGGGGTAAAGGGATAGGGGGAAGTGAGGAAGAAAGACTTGAGAAGGTGAGAGAGGAGCTTGTGGAGAGGTTCTCTTTTTCAAAGTTGCGAGTCATGTTGTACAGTGTCGGTGAGAAGGTGGCAGAGAATACGAGCTCGATGCTACAGGATGTTAGAGCAGGGAAGAAGACTGAAATCGAAGATTTCAATGGTTGGTTAGTAGAGACGGCAAGGTACCTCGATGATGAGGACGGGCTCCCGGCGCATGAGAAGTTGATTGCTTTGGTTTTAGATGGGAAAGCACTGACGAGGGGTGAATTGGTTAGACATTTCCTTGGGAGTAAAGTAAATAGTTGATCATAGGAGGTAAGTTCAGGACCATCGAATTGTTGGATGTCTGCTTGCAAGGAGAATATCACCTCTTCTGGACACCTTTCAATTGCCCCTTAGACTGGCAACCGACAACATACTTCCACTGTATGAGCCCACATAGTAGGTTAAGTGTGCGTGAAGTGACACAAAGGGGGCCTAAGTGACGGAATATATGATTCTTGAAATTATCACAATTATCGTTATCCCCCAACTACGAGTTTAAAAAGGTATCCTTCTAATCTCATTCTCAAGTAGATACCTACCTAGTAGTGATATGAAAACCAAAATAGGGGAACAAACTGTAATTTCGATACGAAAAGTTGACATGATAGTATGATGTTAGCTAATAATATGGGATGATATCCAAGTCTCAGTCCAGGTTTGTCCACTCACCTATGAATGGGGCTATTCTTAAATATGTCTTACTTATATTAGAGACCTTGGAATGCTATAGAACAAGAATATCTGGAAGTTATTACATTTTATACCTGAGTAGGTAGGTGACTGTTCTATTTGATCAATTCGTGAACTTGGTAGAAGAGTTAGGGCGTGGGATAAAGTTTGTGTAGCATATGAGTGCCCAAATGTAAAAGGGGCCGAGGACCGAAGGTTTCCTAAAGACATAAGGAGAAAGAACACGCATTGATCATGGTTTGGATATGACTACTACTATTCTGCGAGTCTCTCGCGAGCTCACTGCTACTATTACTTGTTCCATGACATAATTTCCACTGACAAATTTATCCCATGCTGAAAAATGTTATACAAATATCAAGCCATATAGGTATTTGAAGTTCGTTGTCTGTAAATATACACAAAAGCAGCGCCTAAATAGCTATCATATTTACGCAGGTTGTCTACAATACATAAGCCTCTGAATTCTGGTGGCAGAGTTCTTAGTGTAATCTTGATACTTCTCTATATTATATCTAGCAGAGTTTCACAAAGATATTTTGCCTATCACACTTGGTAATATGAGACTTCTACAGCCTGTTTACATAATTGGCTTGGTTTATTATTTCAATCGTCGCGAACTTTCACTATAGGCAAGTCAGTCCGATATACAAAACGAGATTACATTTAAGAACTTGTAACATGTTCGAATATGACCTCAAATTACACCAAGTAAACCATTATAGGTGTTTGAGGATTGTATTACAGCGAAGTACCTCTTAACAAGGTACTTATTTCTAAAGAAATAACAATGAATGGGTTGTGGTCGATAACATGGGTTTTTGGAAAGGACTGTTTAAGAAAATTATATAGGTAACTACTTAGAAAGATATGATATTATATAGTTGAAACTTCCCAGCTGGAATAACGCATTCCTCTTGTAAACTTTCTAAATCACGACTGACGAATGGCCGGTATATAGGTAGATTTATCAAATATCGCTTCTAAATAATTATACATGTCATTCAATAAAGATGTATTTCTATCTTAACATTTTTTGAAGTTGTGAGTATTTAGAACCTTAGATATTCCATAGTTAAGAAATATCTGCTTAGTCCTGGTTGCTTAATACAATCGAGACTCTGCAGCAAACCCGAGCACCGCTGTCACTAATGGTTGAAGTATAGGTACATAGGTAAGGGATATAATGATGTTTCTATTACACAGCGGTCGTCTCTTAAGACGAATGGAAACAGGCCCCCAAATACCGGAAGACCCACAACCTCATCAAGTTAGGGAGGGATTCTCTGTGTAGATACATATCATGGATGTAGATATGTAGATATGTAGATATGTAGATGTGTACAAATGATACGATAAAGTTACTCTAGTAGCGCGGAAATGATGCCGCTGGAAGTCGCGACCACACGACGAAACCTTGACCTCTTCCATTAACAAGGTTCTTTTCTTCTTCTCTTCTCTTCCTCTTTCAATTCATCTTTATTTTTACCACCCGTGACCAAATCATCCTTATCAACCAGACTCATCTTACTTATGGCTGACTGATGAACCGACTTCTTACCTGGCGATTGGGGTTGACAATGTCCTCACCGCATGATCGCATTGGCTTGAGATACGCATTCGTTGTGCTGCAGCTGCAGAGACCCCCCCTTCCTGGCGACTAACCACCTTTGAGTCGCTGGCAATTCTCTCATTGTCTGCAAACTGGCCAAGGAGTCAAGGCTCCGTAAGCTTTTCGTGGAGTCGGCTGAGCTGTCCGACTGCAAGCCGTTGAACTTGCCTGCCCTGGGGCGAGGCGTGGCACCCCATTAATACGACAACGATATAGGCATCGCCGACAGGGTCGATGAATCTCTTAATGGCCGTGCTATTACCCCCCGCAGTACAGCCATTCTAGGTGCTTTCGACTTACCTGACACCTTCCAAGAGGTACGAGTACGGACACATCGGATGAACTGACAAATCCTACACTTGTCTTCTGTCTACCAAAACACCACCCCCCTTTTATCGTCAGGCCTCAAAACTTGAAACAATGTCCGGCAGCCCGACGAGCACTAATGCACCAGTTTATCATGTTGCTATCCTATCATAATTTTTACCTACCTAGCACCTTAACCTAGTACCCTAGCAACGATTGAGTTCGACTTTCGATCAATCGATTTACGAACACTGTACAAAATTTGTGTTTACTGTCTACCTGAACTTTACGACTCATGTAATAGTAATATCTTGAGTTCCTCTGGAATACGTACTAACTACCTAGTACCTAGATATATCATCGATCGGTATGGGGATATGAGTTCGTACTCATTTTCCGTAGCCTTGCAGGAGTTTAAACCTGCCGATCGATCCCAGGTTGTCGATAAAAGAAGCCCACTAAGCCGGGAGCTTAGGCATAATCGCGATGTCTATAACACTCGGACCTTCCGAAAATTCGGGATCGCCCACTAGGACAGAAAATTTTTATTTCATTACTATTACGAATGATAGGTAATTAAATCAATTACGCTAACTTATTTTTATAATTTATAACCAGAGCTTTTAAATGTTTTTCATAATATCTGCTGACTAAAAAAGGATTTTATTGTGATTTTTATGCGACAATCACATTGCAGATCTAGGGGGGCGGATCATCCGCAAATTGGCCCACCCGGAGAACTTCACGATAACACGGAGCACTAGATCGGGATACCGTAACAGCGGTATTGGGGTCTTGCATACGACGATGTTAAATGGAAATCTCCGATTGGCCGCGCAAACCGGAGCGGATATATCAAGTAATGACATTTGACGTTCGATTCGATTTATGAATAGGCGCAAGAAACCATCCCCAAGCAAATATTTCGAATTCAAGAGGGAATTGGAATTAGGGTTGGTTATGCCATACTAAGGTACCTATATTGGAGTGTTAGTTAGGGACCAGAAGCACGTCACCCTCCAATCGGATACGGAGAACTATTTCGGATGAGCAGATCCTATTTTCAGCCTCAACTTGCTTGAGCACTTGCATCAAGCAACTCATGTAAGGTGCCGAACAATAGTTCAGTTCGTCATTATTGCTATGTGTAGGTACCTGGCGAATACTTCCCTTCTGGGTTTTCTCTTCCAGGTTTAGAATCGTCAACGGCGATCAGACAAATCGCTAGTTAAACATGCATTGCGCATAAAGGAAACTCGGAGCGCCTCAAGAGGCTCGGTCTTAGACATCGGCCGATCATGGGAATATCAGTCAGCCCTTCAAACTCAAAAATCGTTAATGGAGCCACATCTATCAAACAAGGGTCTTCGATTCCGCTATTAGGTATGAAAGATCCGGATCGATCGGAATCTAGTTTGCCTATGTGCACAGTTACCAAATCGGATTCTGTCATTTTTGACTAAAAAGACCCAAGTTTCAACTCTAATCTAACTTGAAGGCAACGCGACGCCGGGGATGAGAAGAAACACCGGTTCTAGTTATAGCAGTGCTTAATTGGCACCGCGGGAGTGCGTTGCATGCTGCATTGCCGAGGGCTGTCTGGACCTGGCCATCCATGTTTGCTTCGCAAGTGGAATGTCTTTCGTGCAGTTGAATTTCCCTAATGTGCGAATGATTTTTCTTACGGAATGCTGCAGCAACAGGGGCGCCTCAGGACCCCTCACTGTACATAGGGCCAGCGGCAGTTGAAACGAGATCCCACACCGCTGGAATATCTTGGTATATTGCTGTGCATAACCACGTCAGCAGCACCAGCAGCACTAGCAGCGAGGAGCGGCACGGTGCGCCACGGGTAAATCCACCACACATCTTGGACGCCATACTAACCTGCTGAAAGCTGGAAGACCTTGGAGATCTTTCAACCATGACGACCAGGATCCAATAGACTTACTTGTTTACAACGTTTCATCGTCTTTGCATCTTTTGCATCTTTGCAGCTTCCCAACTCCTAAACTCCACCCATCAAGTTTAGCGGACAACCACCGACCGAGTGGTCAACGACAAATCGCATGTGCGGCCCAGAGAAAGGCTTCCAAAAGTCCCATCATTCTGTCTCCTATCATTTTACGCTTGAAAGGAACGACCGGTGTCCCCTTTTAAGCCAGTCAGACGTTATGCTGTTTCCTTTTCCCGAGATGTTTTTCTGGGTATGGCTATTTATCCCAAATGAATGGTGGGTTGATGCTACGTGAATCCTGAAATCGAATCTCATCGACAGCCCCTCGGATTCTACTATACCACGTGTGCATAAGAATCAATAAGCTTGAACCGCGGTACGAGATACTGTTAGTTTAGGCATAACATAGAGAGCAAAAGAATGGTATATCGACATAATCGCCAACAGGGCAGATGGAAGGCAAGCGCCATATGCAAAGAACTGCTGTCTTCTCACCGCAAGACACTTGTTGCTTCTTTCAACAAGCAACTTGCAGACTTGTCAGCATCTAACTAGCCCTGTTTCGGCATTGCTAGATCAGGGGATCCCGGACGTATCTAGCTGAAGAATCACGCAAAACGTAAGGCTAAGACACAGCAGCCTGACGATGACGACGGGACGATATATTATCGTGTTGGTCAGATCGCTACTAGTTGTCAAAGTAATACTGCCAACGAAAGGCTCGAGAAAATCCCGCTTCGAAGCACGAGACTGAAGGCGAGGCCGAATTGCGTCTCATCGGTATATGTAAGAGTCTTCCGCAGTGAGCGTACGTGTAGTCGAATCTATATGAGACCACGCACACCACACCTAGCCAACGATGCGTATTTATTCGAACTTCTGATTCCCCACGGCCTCCGCATCGTGTGCCAGGGGCAGTTCAGGCCTGAGTTGATCCATTGGAGGGGAACACAGCTCACAGGAACTGAGAAGTGGATGGGGGTTATATCGCAGCCGTGTTATATGTGACAATGACAGCGCACACACCACACACCAGCAGCACACAGACGCACACAAATTAACACCATGTCAGGCCAATCCAGTGCTTCGGTGGCGAACCTCGGGACAACCCCCCCAGACAGCAACAAGAGCCGGCGTGATTAGCGTGCAGCTCTAAGGGTACTGTAGATCGAAGGTTCCCAGATCAAGAACGTGGTACCTAGCGCCCTCCTTGCACGTTTACCTATCCTCCCTGTTCTTATTTAGCTACCTATCGCATTGTATTACTGGAGTTTAATGTAGGTACCTACCAGCCTACCTGTAACTACCTGTATATAACGCCCACTGAGCGTTGAGGCTACGGGTACCATTTTTCTTCCCACGCATTGCGCGTATTATGTATATCCCCAGACTGCTAGAGCAAGGCGAAGCGGTGAATATTGTAATCAGGCCATAAGTCCTTCAGAAGACCCTTGAGAATTCGAAACTCGAAGCTATTATCACATCTTTTGCTGGCAGAAAAAAACAAAAATAAAAAAAATCGGCGCTGCCTTGCTTTTTTCGACATGCCCTGTAATACATACGGTACCTAGCAGGCTGGGCAGGCTAATAACACAGTACGCTGTACAATACAAGATCCTTCCCAGGTAACCCGCGGAGTTTGCGTGTCTTCCTACAGGCAGGCAGGCTGGAAAAGTGTTAGGCATCTATCATCAGCTGTTACTGTTGTTCGCCGTGTACGTGTGAATGTGTAAGGGTTACTTTCCTTCTCTCTCTCTCACTCACTCTCTCTCACAACTCTTTTCCTCTCTTGTGGAGTTAAGGAGGAGGAGCCACAACACGTTAGATGTTTCACACGCGCGAAGCAAGCTTCCAGGGGGGAAGGGGGGGGGGTTTGCCATTAACCCCGTGCGCACAAATAAGTGGCTGGTATTATACAGCAACAGTACAGCAACGGGTTCAGCAGCTAAGGACAGGAAAAGCCCTTATCGGTATGTACGGGATTTGATGGATAGGTAGCTCCGCAGTAAGCCTGGTAGGTAAGCTTGTCGCAATGTAACACGAGATGGTACAAACTGCTACCGCCTTGTCGAGATTAAAGATACGAATCATGATGCGGGCCGTTTCAACACCATTGCCGTATGTTAGTGATATGTTTTTTTCTTTTTCTTTTCTTCTCTGTGACGCGAACGTGACGTGACCTTTGCAAACTAGGAAATATGATCGCGAAAAAAGAAAAGAAAAAAGAAGCGCGAATGATTGGAAAAATCATTAGTAATGTAAGTATGTAGTAAATCAAAAATATTAGGTAGCTAGCTATGATAGTCATGAAATATCGTATACGGATGCTTCCTCGAGGATACGGTTTCGCCCATGAAACCCCCAGTTGCCTACTCCAGCGCTCGCAAATGTCTCTCGCGGCCCCATGCCCGGAAAACTCTCGTCGGAATTTTCCTCAAAGTTTAGATTCTGATTCGCCACACGCCTCCTACTCCGGTTGATGCTGTTTCTCTACCCGCTCTCGAACGGGTCCCAAACTTCCTTCGGCTGCAACGTTTGTCCTAGCCGATATGCTAGGTTGAGTCTTCCGAATATACGGTGAATTGGATGTCTTCTGCGTCCCATTGTACTTCGTCCGGGGTATCTCTGCCAAATCCTCCCATCTCGAGCCTTCCTTAAGATCCCCGTCCTTATCCCCAATATACCCAAACCGCCCATGAAGTTGCGGTCAACGTAGAATTTGGTTGTGCCCTCTTTTCCCTTATGCTTTCACGCACCCGCATCCGATAGAGTGCTGTCACCGTAGTTAGATGTCGAACAAAAAGAAGATACTATTGTAGACACGCCCGTCGTCTCGAACCCACGCGTAAATGTATTGAGTAGTTATTTTTTTGTGAAAATTAAAGAAAATTCAAAGCATTGTTTGTCCCCGTCGCCTTCCCCATTCACCGTAACCTCTAAAATTTTGTCGTTAAAATATCAATATTACGAGTAAATGGCATGACCGTCGTGGTTTGGTATCTCTAGTATTAAGTAATAACCCGCCCCCGGAGGCCAAAGAACAGGAGTAGACCCCGGCCCATTACTATTGTTGTACAAATATTGGTTTGGCGATAGTAGTAGATAAAAAGGGAAATGCATTTCTGTTTGGTGCGCCGTGTGTTAATGATCGGTAATTCCGTAAGGTGGATGATAAGTCGTTAGGAGCTCGTATAATTCCCCCTCTCTTCGTTAATTTCGCTGATTTAACAACACACACGATCGATTCCTAACTCGTGATCCCCAGTTGTCGGTATTCGTTCGAAGCGTTCGATAATAGCGCTGAAGTATATTCATCGGTTTGTATTCGCCTCGTCTATGTATGTTTGGTGATGGTCGTAGTATGTACTACTCTGCTGGCTCCTAACCTTGGAGCTGCTGTGGATAGATGGTGTCCCCGGACCCAGGAGCTGACACTCCTGGCGGAGACGCTGATTGCTATAAGTTCTCCTCCCCGACTTCCCCAGTATCTCCTCCCATCAGTTGCGTGGCTCGCTCTCGACATGCTTGGGGCGTAAATCCTGGACCAACTTTGTTGGAAACAAAGCGCCATTTTTCGTTTTCGTAGTCTTGAAGCGCCGTTCGAAGCTTTTGGTCCTATACAACCGTAAATTAACATCTGTGTCGGAAAATCCGAACGTGTGCGCCCAAAACAAGGTCAACTTACTGTCTCGTCCGTCCATTGTGTTGTCTTTGCCTTGAGCTTTGTACAATAGCGAACTTGTAGTGTACCCGACGAACGCCCTGGGAAAAAGTCCGCGATTTGCTTCCATGTTAAGCTTTTATTTTCCTTCAAGTCGATAAGTAGTGCGTCATCTTCCGGCGTAAATTTTAGCTTTGGCCCCCTTGGCCTCGGCGCTGGTGCCGGCATTCCAACCTGTCCTACCACACTCGGGGCGCCACCTCCTGCGGGCCCCATGCTTCCGTCTCCTTCGCGTCTCATCATCTTTGAAGGTGGCCCTTGATCTGGTAGGCGGTGATGGTGATGTGTCGGAGCTGCCCCGGCAGCCTGCGCATATGCAGCGCCCATAGACTGCATACTGTCGAGGTCACCCTGATCGAGATCGGACATACCAGGAACAGACAAGTCCAGATCGTCCGGACGACTGCGCTTCGATCCAGCGCTATGAGGAGGCTGGGTTGGCGTCATCGCCGGGTACAGCGGCGGACCGACAACAGCATGAGGCGACGGCGTCGGTCCGTAATGCGAAGGCTGATGACCCATGTGTCGAGGCCCAAGATGCCCCGGATCCATTAGGATCGGGTGATGATGGGCGGGGTGATGCTGCGACATGGCGTGGTGAGAGTGCGACTGTGATGGTTCATGTAAGCTCCTGTGCCCGGCGTGCTGCATTGGATTTCCTTGATGGTGATGGGTGTCGTATGCGTGTGGAGTCTGGTTTTGTTCGCCCGGATGCGACTCTTGCGGGGAGTAATCGACATTGTAGTCCGGCCCTACTCGATAGTTGCCCGCCAGTGTGCCGTCGATGCATGGGTTCCGCCAGAGCGAACCGCTCTGGACGGTCGCCGGAGACTGTATAGAAAGAATTTGATGGACTGGAGCCCCTCGGGGCTGCTGATGCGCCGGCGGTTGCGAAGTGGGAGTGCGTGTTTCGCGCGTGGTATCGATGATGAGGCCCGTCCTGTCGGATTGAATTTCGTAAATTAGTAGGCTGAGCACTTACTTGCTCAGCAACCGGGAACATGTGCTGGGTGCAGCGGTAGTCGTCGGTGAGCTTGGTTAGATGCGGGATGTTGTGTGATTGTGTGGTGTCAAGGTAAGACGGTCTTGCAGCAGGGCGGCGGATTCTCGTAAGCCAAAGAATTAAAAATCAAGTTCGGGGTAGCCCGCGTAGTGTGTCTTTAACATCTCATTGCCACCTAGGCCTTGTAGAATATGGGGATCCGTTCTTTTTCTTAGATTCCTTAACTGGGACTAATATATGGTGACAAAATGTCAAAATGGAAAATGAGCAAGAGAGGGCAAGGGATGCATTATATCGTCTGATCTTCTTTCTCGTTTTTGTCCAGGCAGGGACGAGCTTAGGAACGACCCGCAAGTACCTAGACAACCTGGACTACCTCTCTTTTCATCCACAGGTTAAAGCACTTGACCTGATTTGCCATGTGCGAGACAGGTATCGTTCCTGAACGGGTGTGGAGATTCGGTTACCTCGCCCGGCGATGACGGTAGCATAATTTGGTGATCTTATGCCATGGTCAGCTTTCCGGATATAGAAGATACCCCAGCCGGAGGTTATGATGCAACTGGGGCAACGGTAGCCCACAACGGAGGAGGTACTCTTAAGTCACTGACAGGGTGAGAAGTACAGTCGACTTCTGTGAACCCTTGACAAGCTATGCCCCAAACAAGATTATCAAATGTCGAGGATTATCCAAAGAGAGCAACGTCTGGAAAACGCATAGAAGGATACAAAACAAGACAGCCGAATGGAGAAATAAAAAGCTGAAACGGACCCTACCACGCAGTTGGGCAGTGTCTGTAGTAGACAGAGCATGACAAGCGAATAATCGAGTGTGGGCCGCACCCAGAGACTCACGACAGAAAGGCCCCTGCTCAACTCTTTTTTTCACCCAAGGAAGCCAAGGCAATGGCAATCACTGGAGGGTCAGAATGCCGGTTGACTGGGTGTACTGTACGTGAAGGGTGGCGCGCCCATGCTCGGCTGCTAGGGCAGTTGGAAAGCACTGGGTCACTTTTCTCCCTCGCCCGCTTGGAGGGGATATAATGGAACTGGGGTGGGCTATAATAAGGAATTAAAAAGAGCTCGGATCCCTGACACGCCATAGGGCGAGTGAAATTTGGTAAGGTTGCAAGTAGCCACAGAACACGCTGGATAGATTGCCGAGGAGAAAAAAAACAAGGGAAAACATGACACTAGAGCCCACTAACGGAGGCTCCAGGTACACTGTCAGCGCAGCCGCGATTTCAAGGTCACAACAACCCATGATTAATGAAACCTGGTTTCTATGTAAGCAAATATGTCGAACGATACTAGGGGCGTGTAGGGATGTAGCAATAGGGCAAGGAGTCAGTAGTAGATGGAGAAGAGACGAAAAGAATAACTAACAGAGATTAGCGGACTCACGTTTCGGGAGACATGACGATGATGCTCGGGTCACCAAATCAATCGAGAGTGATGGGGGCTGGAGACACTTGGCGGGATAACCGAGCAGGGTCATCATTGCTGCTCGCGTTTACGCTGTACCCTTTCTTTCTCTCTCTCGCCCTCTCTCCATTCTACTCTCTCAGCCTGTCCGTCCATCGTACGTGTCAAAGCAAACGGCTGGGTGTAGAAAGTCGTCATCGTATCGTTAATCTCAGAGCATAGAGTACCTCGCAGTATTGTTACCTAGAATAGTGAAAAGGTCCATGGCCCATGGTCCGGAGGTGGTGGACAAGTGGTCCCAATTCTCTGGATCCCGGCCCCGGGCCATCGTAATATTGCGCGATTCAATGCGATTGAAAGTGGGAAGTCCAATGGACGGTGGAACCTCGAGGCTGGCTAGGCTGGACCATGACCACCATGACCATGTCAATGGGGGTCAGAAGCTGAAAAGACAGGAGCTCAATGGATGAAAGTCTCGCATGAACGAAACGTGTTTCAATGACTCCAAGCAATTAAAAGATCAATTATGCAATTTAGTCGCGAACTCGGGCTTCTAGAAGAATGGAAATTGCTTCTAGTGCGTGACCAGGGGTGTTTCAGACGCCTGAGCCACCCCGTCTTTCGTACTAGGTTCGACGATGTTGTGACGCCGAACGATGGAAGATCGCATATATGAAGTTGTAAAGGGAAAACAAGAATAGAATTGCGGCCAAGGGAAGCGACAAAAAGACATTCTAGAAAGAAAAAAAACTTTATGCTGCAAGATCGGAAATTGCAAACGATCTGGGTTGTATAGATAGGAAGGTACGGAGCAAGTTTACCTAGACATGTACATCAATAATAACCTACTAGGCTACCGGGCTGCTAGGGAGGCCAGGAATAAGGCCAGGTACTACACGGAAGGTACTATCTACTACAATCTTTCAACCGGCCTCTATTATTAGAAAAACGCTACTGTCCGCATCCGTAATTCTATCCGTAGCTCTATCCTTTTCAGCTAGATAGCTACCCACTATATTGGATATTGGATATCGTAACTTCCTACTTCGTGTCGGGAGGGATGGGCCAACACGTGCATGCAAGCATCGATTACCTACGACCTACGTAGGCACTAGGTAATTATGATAAGGTTCTTTCTTGCTTTTTACCGTATCGGCTTCGAAGTCTTAATGAACTTGTATTGGGAAAGAAGAGGTCAAGTTTGACATAAGAGGCGCCTGCGGGTTTAGTTTCCAAAACGCCAGAAAGCTTTTAGCCCCTCTCGTTTCCTCTAAAATCAATTCAAATCTTCTTTCTTTCTTTCTACTTACAACCACAACAACAACTGCAACAACAAATACTACACACCTGCAATATCTGATATTATACGCGGAACTATGCCTATCCTGCCCACCTTCGTACGATGAGATTTTATTGGCTCTGCGGGACGCATTGACAATTCCGGGCATCTCGGCCTTTCCTTCTAGAAGAATTCTACTGATCGAGCCCTGTCATTTTCTCCTCGTCTCCCCTGTTTCCGACTTCCTGGGTGTGTGGTGTGTGGTCCACTGCAGGCCTTGACATCTTGGACATGTCCGGGTTATCCACTGCATGTGCGCAGGGACGATGCAGCCAATTTAAAGCTCGGACTCGCAATGTGCCCTGAGGTGGCCTTCTAACCTGCTGTGTAGCGTTGCGTGGCGCTCCTAGGCACCTACCTAGACACCTACCTAGTAGGCACCTAGACACCTAGGAGGCCGGAGACGCTTCGACGGCCGCATACGGCGTCAATGCCGCGAAAGTAAACTCACACCCTACCCTATGGATTCTTTCAAATACGGCGACTCTGTGTTGGTGATTGTGGTGGTATATGCACCACCTACTCATCACAGCGTAACATGTGATTCGTCTTCTACGCATTCGGTCTAATAAAGGCATTACTTGTCTAGAGATGACATTGCTCATCAATGCTCTGTGTCCTCTGACGCTCGCGAACTGTTCCCGCAAGCTTCCGTGTCCCCTGATCTGCGCAGCCGGAACATATACATCAGATGACCGTCCCTTTGTGGATGTCTGCAACTTCGAAGTCTGGACAGCGAAGCGATGTGTATCAAATCAAGGTGAGGATATTTCGTTTCTGCAGCAAGCTATTCAACCGACGCTGTATTTTTCATGCTTGAGACGTGAGAATGGATACGTCTTCTCCGTCTACTCCTCCTGATTGTTTAGGACCGTTTCAAGCTCCACTTGCTCGGGTCCCACTCTCCTTTTGCATACCGCTGGTTTACCGATGATGGGAGCATCTTAAAGTTCCATTATGTTGCGCTGGCCGCTTCGGCACGATGCCGTCCCTACTTTCATCTAAGATGTGCAAATCTGCAAATACGTTCATGTATCCCGACGCCACTCACCGTCTGATCTTGGGCTGACAAATAAATTAGCATGTAATAGGAATGGAGAATTTGCAACTCGTTGCCTACTTGGCGAAAGCAACACCCATATTTTTTGGGGTAAAGCGCAGGACTACAATTTTCGATTTTTGCGAAGATCCAGCACTTTCATGTGTCACCGCTGCTTGTAAATGACATCGCGGCGCAAAGTCAGCCTCATTCTACCATGTCTTGCGTACTTGGATTACCCTGTCGATAATGCAAATCCCACTGGGGAAAGCTCCTTGACAGGTACGGGTGGGGACCACCGACCCTTCTATTGCGCGTACTGCAGCAACAAACCTGGAAGTACAGAGTACACAGCCTCTAGGGCTCCATCTGGCCCTAGTCGAAGAAAATCTCCGCATCCTCGACCGCCCAGAGATCCGGATTAGATGTACTGTACAAACTCCATTTACCTACGTCTACCATAGTACGAGTGACAATCACAACCCTAACTGGGCTGACTAGGTACTGTAGATAGGTACAGAACCGTGAAAAGCTCTCCCTGCTCTCCCCGGTACCCGGCCGTGCTTCTTGGAACATTATGGGTACAGACTGACGAAGTGGACTACTGCTATGGTATCCGTCATGGCTAACCGGCTAGATTGAGCCAGTAATAGATCAATCGTCGTCTAATTAGATCCCTTTTGAGGATCTAACCTTGATCTGCACCACCAACCCACGTACGCGCGCATGAACGCATAAAAGACAGCAATTTGCTTTATTATATATTCTGCACCTTTTCAGCCTGGCTATTTCGGCGGCGCCTTTACTTCGGCACTACACGCGCTCTGCGCTACTCCTTTCTTAAGTTAGCAGCTTCCATCTTGATTCTTCATCTCAAAATATCTAAGCAAGTGCACAATTCAGGTATGCATCTCATCTCATCCTATCCCGAAAAAGCTGATTCCCCTGCAACTAACCCAAGTCCCCCACCCTCCTTCCCGCTGATTATCAAGCTACCAAATCTATATTATCCTTAGCAGCGTACGTGCTCATCCCGCGCTAGGCGTAGTTCACCGAGGGTCTGGTTGGGCTTGTTCTTCTGTACTAGCTAGCGCGGAGGATTTCTCGATTCTACGATTACGGGCGGTTGGGAAGGGGGGGTCGGAGCATCAGCAAACGTCGCCCCTCTTTTCTCCTCGCTGTACTGCCAAATGGGCGTGCAGGATTTCTAGGTCTACGTCGCTTCTAGATTGGGCAGCGATCTAGGCTCCAATTCGTCCTTTTTTACTTTTTGCCTTTTTGCTTTTGAGCCCTCGGTTGTATCGTCAGCGTGAATGGGGGATAGCCCCTCATGCGTAGTGCCTGACTATAGTAGTAGTAGCAGTAGCAAAGAGACATGCGACCGTCAGGGACCAGCTTATCATTGAACCTCTCATACGCGTCCTTTTGCGCCGCGTCTACATGCCTTATCTGGGGTTCTCGGGTTCGCTTGAGCTAACAAGTCGATCGCGACGGTGGTGCACCAAGCATAAGTCTTTGGGAAATTCTGCACCTGACCTGTAGCGATTCTGCTGCTGCTGCTGGCTCTCCACTCGCGCTACCTAGATACCTACCTACATGCCTCAGGGATCAGAGGCTTGGTACAAATCTATAAACAAAATCCAGATCGCCGCTCATCAAGCGAGCAACCTGTCAAAATCGTGCAGAACCATCAGCCTTGGGTGCTTTCTCCACACCCGCCTCATTTATGATAATTGACTGGGCGCGCACGAGGTTCGGCAGAGTAGCATTTGCCCTTGACGGGCTTACTGGGGGTGGAGGTCCAAGCTTTTTTCTTACATTGTATAGACTTTTCAAGGTTATTATCGCAATGCGGAATATTGGTGATCACAAAGTCACGCACTTTTCTCGGTTCCGAGTCCATGGTTGCGGGGGGTATTATCACATTCTCGTATACATAGTAGGTAGCTGATATGTTACAATGAGGTACGTACCTTAACCGGCACAGCAATAATAATAGCAGGCAGGTTGTAGTAATAATATGAGAGAATACAGGGCCTTTGGGGCAAGAGATAAGCTGAGACTCTTGTAAAAAAAATAACGATCCCCTGAACTTCGTAATTCAATTCCATTTTTTCCCTTAAGACGCCCTGTAAGAGAAGTGCCAATTAAAAAAGCACACCTTCGCACCGATTTTTGGGAAATGCCATTATAATGCGTCATTTCGTCACCTCCGATATTATCTTTCAATGTTCAGCTGTCTCCTTATTCTCCTATCCATAAACCCGGCGATCAAACCCGTCCCATATCTCCCGCGACGATCGTACCAAGATCTCCTTCCAAGATGTGTCCCTTAAGCAAAGTTGTCGTTCCTGTCCACGCCGGGGTCTTCCATCTCCGCGAAGTTGTGGAAATGCTCGGGGCGATGCAGATCGTTGTAGAAGGGCATGGGGGTATCTAGTTTGACGTGCACCGGCTTCTTCTCTAGGCCGAGGAAATTGCTGCCCATGAAGTTGTAATTCCACTTGCCATCTTCCGGTACGAGGAAGAATCCCCTGTATCGCGGGCTGAGCAAGAGCTTGCGCTTGATACCCATAGACGTCGTGAACCCATTCGGATCATCTTTGCTGAAGTCCCTGTTTTCAGCGCCCCATCGGTATCCGGCAGGTGTTAGAGACCAGGCGGCTAAAGAGACTGAGCCAGGGGTAAAAGAGACGTCAATCATCACGGTCTTCTCCTTGTCCCATTTATTATGGCGGTCGAGCAGTTGAGAATGCATAGTAACATCGACGGCAGACATGTAAGGTGATTCGTTTCCAGCTAATGTATGGATCACACCGAGAGGCTCCATGCCCGAGAGATATTCGTGTTGTGGTAACTGGTGGGGGACTTGGCTGTAGCGCGTATTGCCAATCTGAGGTACCATGACAATGCAGCGAATTTCCTTTACTTGATCGTTGTCGGGAGCAGACACACCATACAGGTATCCAGCAATTTGCACTCGTAAGTCTGCAATGGTGATGAATTTCTTCAAGATATTGTTGGGCATAACATAAGTAATGTCCTCCAAGTCATTATCCACAGACGAAACGTATATGTTGTTGGCACGAGTTCGGAGGTTCGATGTTGCAATAGCTCGGGTCCGCCATTCCGTCTTAGATGCGAATTTCTCTTGCTCATATTTAGACGTTGTGGTGACGATGAGTTCTTCACCGTGGATATTCTGCGTTTTCGTGGTAACGGCAGTGATCTGTTGTTGTTCCTCTTGTTGCTTTTCTATTTCTGCAGCTTGTTGTCGTTGCATAGAAGGTGCAGATATTTCCATACCTAAGATGATATCACGAACCTCGCTGCTAGTCAAGCTAGAAACATTGACATTGTTCTTCTTTCCATAGTCATGCAGAATCAAATCTCGAAGCTGCACTTCAACCTTGATCCAGTCTTCGTCTGACAGCGTGGGCCAAATGTGATGCACTTGTGTTATAACGGTCTTGTCGGGTCGTAGGATGAGTTTTGTCTTGTCGGGATTGACGTGGAGGGCACGAAGTATGAGAACTAAACGGGAAAATGCAGTGAACGAGGATATACTCTTCAACCATTCGTCGTAGAGGTTGAAAAGAACCATCTGAGGTTCAGTGGCGCGGAGGATCATGTCTCCCAGCTTTTCAACTTTCATTGCCGCTTGGAAGGGTAGCTGTAATTCTGAAGCTCGGATAGAGATATTCGGGAAATCCAGCATGTGGACTTCGAGAGGATCCAAAAGACCCTTGCGAGTGACAATTAGTTCCTTGGGCTGTTCTTCCACCGGAAGAGATCGAATGAGAGCGGCGACTTCTTCGGCCGTTTTCCATTTCGCTAATTGACCTAGACGCTTTTGTCCAGCCCAAACGCTTGTGTGAATGATCTTGAGGAATAGTTGACCGGTTCGCGGGTTGAAGATAAAGATTGCACCGTTGATTGGCTTCGTGGTTAAATTACCTTCGAAAGTCTTGTGGATGGTGACACGATACACATTGGTGTCATCGATGAAGAGCTTCGTTTGGTTGCTAAACAATTCAGAGTAGTTCTGAGAGTTAAGGAACTCCTGGTTGTTCTCTGAAGCATAAAGCTGGAGACCCTTCCTAATACGTTCGCGGAGGACGTAGAGAGCTGGGTTAGCCTTCATAATCTTAGCCATTGCCTCTTGGACAAGTTGCTTCAAGCCAGGGAAGTATTGTCCGTAAGCGGAGTAGAGGTTGTAAGCAAGATCGATGCCAATCATCAAACCGGTTGCCGAAGGATAGATACTCATGCTGTCTTGGGTGTAGTCCAAATACTTCGCACGAGTATAACGCTCAATATCGTGAGAATCGTAGTCGCCATATCTCAATTGGATATCAAGCCAGAATTTATTCGTAGTGGTAGGTTCAATAGTGTCCTTGGTATCGTGCAAAAGCGAAGGTCGACTGACGTTCCACTTGTTACTGGCGAAAAGCAGGATATCAGCGCAAGAGCTGTTCATTTTGTACGATTTTCGAGGGTGGATCGTCTCTTTCTGCACAGTCTCGATTCCGAGAGATTCTAGCTGCTGGTCAAATACCTGACAGAAATCCATAACGACAGATTCGTGGATCTTCTGCCACAAATGGGCACGGAAAATTTGGATGAGGGAGATCTTTAGGGTGGGAATTTTGCCGTGCAAGAAGATGCCTGTAAGATCCAGTTGGACTTGGAAACCGACATAGACGTTGGCACGATTGATAGTCGGAGACCACCAGAGCGTGAATCGACGATTAGGGATCTGGTTTAGACCGGATCTTTGCGCATTGGTCAATTTTTTGAATTTCATTGACTCTTCGAAACCACTCGCTTTCTCCCAAAACAAACCCTCCCATGATGGGAAACCCGTCGCCTTGAACAATGTGTGTTCAAGGATTGTTTCTACACCACCCAAGGCCTGGATGACATCGGAACGGTAAGCATTCAAATTCCAGAGCTTTCCGTCATGACGTTGACTGGTCCACCAGAAGGGATTGCTCTTCATGAGTTGATAGATTTTGAATTCGCTCCTTGTTCGGAAGCCCTTATCAAAACTGAGGGTGCTTCGGTCCTTTTGGAACAGGGTGTTGATACGCGGCAAACCACGGTCCCAGCTGTCTTCTAAATCTTCCAAGGTTAAACGACGGTTTTGTTGGTTGGCCTCCAGTCTCTTTTGCGAGTACTCTGTCCACACTCTTTGCGAGTCGATGAACTCGGCCTCCCAAGGGATGATGTATCGGAAGATATTAGGGATGAGAGTTTCTTCATCATGTGTCATACCAGCTCGGAAATGACTAACACCAGTGTCCGTCTGTTTTGAATAGCGTTTATCACTGGCTGGGATAAGAATATGCGAACCAGAAATCATTCCAAGGCCACCCAACTCCTTCGGTGTATAGAAGACAGCAGGAGGGAAACGCGACGGCATCTTTGAGTTCAATCCAATTTTCACTCGAGTCTGAATCTTCGTCTCGCATTTTACGATAGTATCCAGTAAATTAACCGTGGATACAGCGGCTTCGCGATAGTAGGTGAAGAGTGCAATAAGTGCAGTGTTCCACTTATTGGCGATCTTGGTGAAAGTGGTTGATCCAGACGACATAAGGATTTGACGAATCCTATTGTTGAACTTCTGAATATCTTCCTCCGTAACCTGCAGGAAGGCATGTGCAGTTCTCTCTTTAGTGGTATTGTCCACGAGGGACCACACACTATCCTTGATAGGGAACTCGTCATTCTGGTTTCTAATCTTAGGAAGAATGCGGACCTCGAATCCACACATGGAGAAAAGTAGATTTGGATTGTCGCGACTATAGACACTCGCAAAGGTGTCATCCCATTCGATAGTGGTGACGGATCGAGGTAGACGATTCTTCAAGTCCCAGAATACGGCTCGGCCGAGGTTGACATCATGTCTCATAAGGCGCATTCGAGAGTCCCTTGGCCAGCACTTTTTACTCTTATAGCCAATGACATTCTCGAAATTCGGATCGGGCTGTTCTGTTAGAAACCTCTGGATGAGATCTCGCGACTCTTCAGCGGTAAATCGTAGGAAAACCCATATCTTGTCGATGTTCCTTGTGTACAAACGAATAGGATGCTTCGTCTCCGTCTCGCGATCGCGGAACTGAAGGAAGTCGTTCGGGCTTGATGGCGGGCCGGCGATCTCACTAGCACGGTTCAAACCGAGAAGTAACAGGTCGAGCACGAGACCATAGTACTGGAAAACAAAGCCCGAGAACTGAAGACCACGAATCATACCGTAACTGTTGACATGGTTCATGTCCTTGTAAGTTAACTGCACGTTGTTCTTGGAGCTGATGTAATCTGCCAGATTGTGATCCATGATCAACCTGAGAAGTCGGTTCAACAAAGTTAGATCTATCTTCTCATAGACTTTAGAAAGCTCCGTCTCGATCATAACATTGCATTCTCCATCTGCAGTCTCCCAGACCTTTTCCAGGTTGTTGATGCCTTGAGCCCATTTGTATACTAGTAAAGGTGGTACCTCGGAGTCGGAGGGCTTGATCCAGGCGGGGAAGAGATGCCGCTGGTCCGCCTGGTACCAGAGATACTGATCAAGGTAAGCATCGCTGATCTTCTCGATGGGCTCGATGTCGTAAACAGGATTGATGGTACTGTAATTATCGTTCATATCAATCTGCACCTCTTTGAAGGCTCGCTGCGTTAGGAGGAATCGCTTGATCCTTTCCAAAGTAGTGCCAGGGCTGTCATAAGCCTGCTCAATCAGAGCTAATTCCTCTCGCTGACTTTGGTTAAGACGACCTTTCACGGAGTATGCCTCTCGCAGTCGCTCGAGCGCAAGAATTAAAATCTTCGTGTCGTGCTTGTATGATACACTCGGGAAGGGAATTGGCGTAAACTTTCGGGACTCAAGCCAGTGTACCGTTGTCGTGTATATGGCCACAGCTTCTTCAGACGATACATAAGGGCCGTCCTTCATGTAGTTATGCTGTCGCTCTTGTTCGGCCTTCAGCCAGAGGCGTGTCAAACGACCTACATTCTTCTTGGCAACCGTCTTATCGACAGTTGCACCTCGCCGAATACGTTCGCGGTTGTAATGCGCGACCGACATCCACCAGTCTGCCTTTGCCTTGACATAGCGAAGAATAATGTTTTCAATGGGCGCGGGTAGACCAGGCACCTTCCATGGAATATTACTCTTCCAGCATCTCCAGGCTTCTGATAAATGTTGAAGGACAGTGTTGACCTTATTTTGCTTGATACCTTCGGGCATCATATCCATGAGATCGGCCATTACCGACGCTCGGAGTTCTAGATCGAAATGAGACTCAACACGTTGCTTAGTCACAGTCTTGGCCACACCCTTGCTGTGGCGTCCTTCAAATTGACGAGAGAGTAGATTTCCAAGCCATCGTTCAAGGAGGGGAATTATTCCTCGCATGAAAAATAGCCACACTCGCCAGGCTGGCGCCCAGAAACCACAACCAGGTCCCTTACCAACAGGGCCACTGTTAAACCGATAGTAAATAAGATGCTTCAGATCCTTACATGACCGAATTTGATGCATTAGTTTATACTTGTACCGGTACATACCAGTGAGCTGACCAACGTGGTTGAAGGCATAGAGAATACCATCGGCTAATTGAAAAGCGTCGATGTTACCTAATCGATACTGCACATGCGAATCGACGATCAACTTCAAGAGACGTAATATCTCACGCTGGAGATGAAACGCATTGCCGAAACGCGACTTCTTTCGCTCCTTTGTAGTCAACGTTTTCACCGGCTTAAGATTGAAGTTATAATCCAAGTGAAGATACGTAAGATTCTTGCGGTGGATCAACAGGTTCAGCATGTTAAATCCTTGCCGACAAACTTGGAGACCAGCTTCAACCCAGTCGATCGTCGTCTGCTGAAAGAACTTGGTCTGCTTCAAGCTCCTCAACAGATTTTGCCTGTTGAGTGCCTTCGGTTTCTTCTTGTGGAGTTCATTGAGAACGTACGTCTTGAGAAGTTTCTGATATGATACTCGAACTTTGACGGGCTGCTTCGGAGGGCAATGCTCGAGGTACCACTGCTTTACAAGCGGTACATCCTGTGCCCTCACCATCCGGCCAGATCTACGATCGAACGGGAAAGGAGCCCACCAGAGAGCAATTGCAGATGATGTATCCTCGGTGTAAAGCTCTTCATCGGCTAAAAAGGGCTCCACGCTAGCTGGCAATTCAAATACATCATCCTCAGGCTCTTCCAGATTCCCTGCACCAAATATCTCATCCTCGTGACTAATGGTAACGTTCTTCGGCGCAACTGAGCGGGACGATATGGGGTTGATCATAGGGTCGAAATGAAACGCAGGTAGATTAGGGTCTTCGGATTTGGTATACACGATTTGTGGGTGGGAGTGCCAGTTGAACTTGACGCTTCGAGGAAGTGAGTTATAGAGGTAAGGATAGGCGACTCGGTACTCAGTTCGAATCGGGAATCGGAAGATGATTCGGTCGATGGCATTGAACTCTCCGAAGTCCTCGTCGTTCGGGTCGATGTCTTTGTACAGGGGTTCGAATCGAGGACCACCGGGCAACGCAACATTCAAAGCCTTCGCAGTAAGGAAACTCTTCAGGTCAAATAAGTAGAAATAGTTTTGGTCGACAGTCTCGCTTAGTAACGGGCGACTAAGTCGATGAAGTGCAGCCATCTGTGGTAACGTGAGATTCCACTGTTTGTAACTCGGCCCATTTACGTGCTCGGTATCGACTAAGGGCCGCTGGTCATAGAACCATTCGTAAACAGCACCATCTTCTTCCTCGTCCAGTTCCATCTGGATGGGCTCTAGTGGTTCGACATCCTCGATATTCTCGGACCATGATAGAGGAGGCTCTTCGTCATCAAATGGCGGGAACCTCATTCTCTTGAACAACCTTCTGTCGCTCTTCTCCTTCCTCATGGTCAACCACATCGTTGCCCATTGCGCGTGAAATACGGGCGGGATAACTCGAGGAATCTCATTTACGAGCGTCAAGCACCCATTGACATGGTACAAGACCTTGACTTCTCTTGCAGACTCCCACGGCATGGGCATATTCTCTAGAAGCTTCATCACCGCGTGTGGCATGAACTTGAGAGCACCAAGATAACTTCGTTTATCGCTTGTATACTTCTTCTGGGAGACATCGCCGATATCCTTCACGATCTTGCGCAGATGTTCGGGTGGCATATCAGCTTTCTGGGTCTCCACAAAGCCACCCTTGCGCTTTTCGCCAAAGCGATTTCGCTGGTCCCGAAGCCATTCCTTCTTCTTCTGTGCAAACTTCGCGACTTGGGGATCGGTCGGGGGGCGGTATCCAGGGGGGGGAGGAGCCGGCGCTCCTGGCGGCGGTGGGAGAAAATCCGACGGAGGAGGAGGTGGTGGCGGCGGTCCCCAACCGGGAGGAGGTGGAGGGGGTTGGAAAGACGACATTTTCAAGTCAACAGAGATTGCAAACCTTGTGACTTTTAATACTGTCGCTACCGCGGCGCGATCAGTCGCGCGAGGATACTACGGGAGCCTTAAACAGGCAGCTATAGTTTTCGATTGTAAATGGCCGAAGTGAATAGAAAGAGTGATTAAATTAATGGTTAGACGCGACGTCCTCCGATTTGACCGACGCGAAAGGTTAGTTGAAAAGGTTAAGGTTGATGAGAGATGATGTTTGAATTGTCAACGGTCGCCTTGGGGCAATTTTTCTGGAGGCCAGTACGACTTAGCTTAAACGATCCACTCTTATTCCTTGGCGCGATAAGTGAGGCTTGAGCTTTTATCTGTGATCACGTGGACGTCCAGGATACCCGTAATTTGTGGCTTCTACAATCAGTACGAAGTACATGTGGCTAAAGTTTCTTGTCCCACAACATGAAATTCAATTGGCTCGAATCTAAGCGGGCTAAAGATCCATCCCACACATCTAACTTGTCTTTTGTAAAAACACCAAAAATTCATCACTCACACAAAAAAGTTGCAAAGGAACAAGTCAAATCATTTCCCCCAGCAACACCGTCACAATGCCGGACAACCGAGTTACTTACCGCCGTCGCAACCCGTATGTCTTCCCTCTCAATCGAAATGATTGTTAAATTCGAATTCTTTTCACTGCTGTGATCGCGCAAAAGCTAACGTGCCGCCTTTAGCTACAACACCACCTCTAACAAGACTCGTGTCGTCAAGACCCCGGGTGGTGAGCTACGAGCACTTCACATCAAGAAGCGAGGAACCGCCCCGAAATGCGGTGACTGTGGCGTCAAGCTCCCTGGCGTAAGTAAATTTGATTATTTTGTTGTTGGATAGTATCTAGGGCACAATCTACGAGAGGAAATTGGAAAAATCAATCCGAAATCGATCTACGCAATACCAAGATATCATCCTCGACATTCACGAAAGAACTATTTCCGCAGAGTTATTCGGAAACGATCGCGTCTACAAGGATACATCCTAACCCGAAATATCGATCTACTATGCGATGGAGGATTTTATGCGAACATGGTCACTCAATTAACCTCGTTTTCACTCAAGTCAACGCTAACATTTATTTTCTTCCAATAGGTTCCTGCCCTCCGACCTCGCGAATACTCTCAAATCTCCCACCCCAAGAAGACCGTCCAGCGAGCCTACGGCGGTTCGCGATGCGGCAACTGCGTACGAGACAGAATCGTCCGAGCATTCCTGATCGAGGAGCAGAAGATCGTTAAGAAGGTGTTGAAGGAGCAGAGCGAGGGTTCCAAGAAGAAATAAACCCTTTACGCGACTCTGGGATGGAATGGTTAGGCCTTCATTGATTCGGGTGTTCAGAGGTCAGGGCTGCATTCATGCGAACGGCTAGTCAAAAGCTGTTTCTGTTTCTGGGACTTCTTCTCGTGGATTAGATGATCGTAACGAAATAAACGACATCAAGACTACTACTGTGCTCTCAAAATTTCTCGTATTCTCGCCCCGTGACAAGAGTATCCTGCTCTACCTATCCAGGTAGACAATGGCCATGACAAGATGGGTTCTAAGTAAATTCTAGGGCTTCCACTTTGCCTTGGACGCAGTGACTGTAGAATCTGTAACCCTACAACCAAGACTTACTCTCAGTTGTGTTTGGACATTGAGATAGGCTTCCTAAATCGCTAAAAACATAGTGACATGATATCACACTCACCCTCTCTTGACGCAACGGGCTTTTGTTGTCTTCTAAAAGGGACCTAACGAATACCAGTTACAAGCACTCCCACGTAAGTGCTTTAGAGAATAATATTACATTCTTCTACGGGCATTTGAACGGTGAAATTAGAGAATTTACATCCATAGAAGTACATTGGTAGATACATGCATAATCTCGAATAACAGCATATCATGAACCAATCCGCAATATTTAATATCCGAAGTGAGGGTCTTCTCCAAAAAATGACGTCTATCTTTTTCCTTGCGCAACCTCAAGCTTTCCACACTTCCCGAAAAGCAGCAAAAAAAACAGGTCAACACCTAGAAGCTTCACGAGCAAAGCACAATGGGACTCGCAAGCAAAAGATAATCCAAACCAACAGCGGCAATGGCATCGACACGCGCCCGTCAACCCCTAACCCAAGCCGCCACTGCGCTTCTGCGACAAAGCCGCCGACCTCTCCGCAGCACGGTTCCCTTCCCCTGTGTAGCAGCGGCAGCATCGCCATTCCACACCACCGCCCCGACGCTCCGCATGAAAGGCGACGCGCCGCAGACCGATCTCGGCGCTCTGAATGTCCTAGCTGATGCCCCTGTCCCCGCGACCTCCGTCGACGTGTGCGCCCCCGACGGCTTCCACCTCAACAGCGGCGCCAAGGTCGTCGGCGGCTCCGGCGTCCTGCTCGTTGGCGGCGAGGCGTTCACGTGGCAGCCGTGGCTCGCGCGCGGGGAGAAGCGGTTGTTGAATCGGAAGGGCCAGTGGGAGGTTCCTAATGAGACGTTTGGGTTGTTTGGTCTGCTTTGGCCGCGACCGGGTGAGCTTACACATACATACACACTCTCTCTATATATAAATACAGGCGTTGTGACTGGGCTTGTGCGTGTGCTAATAAGTTTTTCGTTATGGTGTAGATCTATTGATATTAGGGCTCGGCCCGCTGATCCGACCTTTAAGCCCGGAGCTGAGACGGCATATCGGGAGCCTGGGCATGAGGGTCGAGATCCTGGATACAAGGAATGCGGCCGCGCAGTATAATCTGCTGGCTACGGAGAGGGGACTTGATGATGTTGCTGCGGCGCTGATACCGATTGGGTGGAGGGAGGGATTTGGGGCGGCTTGATGGGATGGATGAGCCGTTGAAGTATGGACGGTTGATATATGCTTTTGTTGAAGGTAATTGTGGCTTACTGACATATCTCATCTCATACATAACAAGAAGCACAAAAAGCATGTCACAATCATCAGGCTTTGTCAGCGTTTGTGGCCGAATTCCCATTCCATTATCCCAACGCCTCCGTTATTTAACCTAGAGGTTGACTAGGTTATATCGCTAATGGTTCCTAAAGACAATGTGCTCATACCCAGAGAACTTCCTTGAATTCCAGATAAAAACCCAAGCAACGCTGTGTATTATGCCGAAAAGAAATAATGCGGCCGTCAAAACCAATCGCTGTCGACATCGCTATTAAGTGTGGGCCGGAGGTCGTGGTCGATGATAGTGGTGGCCGCCGCTATGTGCCCAGGTGAGCGGCTTCGGAAGGGCGAGGCTAGCTCATAAGAGCATCTCCATCACCCAGTCCCGGTCGACGTATCCCTGTTCCTTCTTCCCGTTCATGACTAAAAGCCATTCTACAAGAAAATGCTCATTAGTAAATGATTTCGCAAGTTGTGTGGATAGCTTAATGGGGTTACCGTACGTTCAAATCCTCGCCAGATGATGTACAGGGTCTCCCCCTTCTGGACCGACAGCTGGTAGTCTGTCGTCTTTTGGAAGTCGTCCCGCGCGACAACGCGAGGGTACTTCGGGTCGATTGCCTCAGGCATGTCGATATGGTGATGTTGATAATATAAAATGACTTTAGGTTGTTTATATTTTCGGTTGTTCAAGTGTCGGCTCAGTGCTGTAATGTAGGTATGTATGGGATTGCTTGAGTGCTCGATCTGATGATGTGGGATGAAGGTGATGTCTTGAAGGTGTTGTGGTTCTCGAATATGTTTCCATCCGAGGAGAATTACTGGTGTTTAAATAGTATTCTGGCTGACTGATTTCTCTAGCTTCACTGTGGTGGATGGTCTATTTGCGAATTCATAAACTGTGGTTACCAGTGCTTCATGGCTTAGTTAAGGTGGTCTCAGCACAGTCTAGCAGCATCTATTCAGAACAAACTGCTGTTATGTGGATTCTTTTCAGGAAGTTTACTCTGTGCTAGAAAGAAAATCTAGACATTTAGTCTCTTCATACATATTTTCGAATCTATAAATGTTTGGAAGCAAAGCACTGGACTTTTACGGCCCTATGGCCAACGATTGTGTTGAAGAAATTCTATACTGTATCAACAGATGAAACTAGCAATTCATGAATCTAAAACTCTATGCGCAACTACCTAGTATGAGTTCTGATTATGGATTGAAGATAATATATGAAAACTTGCGATAGTTTGTGTTTGTTGCACTTTAGTGGTTTGTAGCATTCAACCTAATTTTTATGGCAGTCTACTCACGCAAATAGTAAACCAGCACTGTGGAATCAGAATTTTTCTACAGTCCTCAAACGTCAATCACGATATCGTATAGCTCCTTCCACTTATAAAAGCTAAATTTGAAAAATATGACTAAACTACAGCAATCTTTAATCTTCTTACTCATTTACAGGCAGGTACGGGATGCCAAACCAAAAGACAAGGGCATGATCAGCCTTGCATGTTGTGGCTGAAATACTAATATTTGATTGGTCAATTCTATCAGTCCAATGGCAGCCTTCTTGGGCAACACGTTGAGGCGCCATGACGAATTAGTGGCTGAGGGAATGACATCTTTTCCCTCTCATATTAGCTTGGATAGGGCGCAATTGGTTCATTTCATCGAATTTCATTGAGCCATTCCGCCATAAACGTGTATAGGTGTATTGCATGCCGTACAACACGACCACGACCAAACGGGTCTTATTATTATTATTAGATTTCCCAGTATCTGACGAACTAGCGATTTTTTTCTTTTTCTGTTTCGCATCGAACCACGGTATATATCCTATTTTTCTAAAGGCGCATCGGTACTTCGTACTTGGTTTGGTTTGAGAATATTCCCTTTGCCTTTGGCGCCCAACGAGTCATTGGGAAATTGGGAATTCCGTTGCGATCAAAGACCTTTTTTTCTTTCGTTTCCGGTTTCCGTCAGAGTCGCATGTGAGATACCCATACTACATACCTATCTCATATCCACATATCAGAGAGGACAACGGACACCGGACAGAGAACTTGATAATTCAGGATCGTCACTTTTTGATACTCGCCTGCATTATTCATTGTCGCATCGTAACTTATCACACTGGTACATATCTATCTATTATCTACCTATCTATCTACATATACCTACATACATATTCCTACATATAATACCTGCCCTGGGTAATCAAAAAAAGTTTGAACCCTTACATCGTCGCTTCAGTTACTGCAAGCACTTGGAGTGGTAAGTGCTCATTCATCAAGGTTCTTATCTGTTACCTGTTTTTATGCCGGAATGGTGCACGACGGTGGATCGATCTCTTTAGACTCGGTGAAGGTACCACCATTATTGTCACTTTAGAGACATCCATACCAAGACGTCTTCATCCAATGTTTTCCTATTGCTACCACTTCCTCCATTTTGCCTGCATGGATTGACTTATTCACAATGTCTTCATCCGACGCAGCTTCATCTTTATTAAGGGCCAGACATATTGTCTTCGGCCTCACAATCGCCTTGGGGAGTGCATGGTATCTTCATCGACGAATGGCCAGGACCCGAGCCGACGGGCCCGATTCGAAAGATGCGGACGCCACAGACCCCGCGCTCTTTCGGAAGCACTCCAAAATAGTGTCTTACACTGCTAGCCGGACTGGCATTACCTATCCCGGCATCCGTGTCTTCTACCGTCGTCACCCGAAAGCAGATGAGTTACCTCAAGATCCAGCACCGCTTCCTTTGTTGGTGTTTATCCACGGTCTTGGAGGATCAATCGCACAATTTCACCCTCTTCTCACTAGTCTCGTGAACTCTGCCTCTTGCCTGGCTATTGATCTGCCAGGTTGCGGCCTCTCTCAGTTTGCGCCCACATCTTGGGATGCATATACGACGGATGCCTTGACGGACTTGCTCGAGACCATTATTGAGGGATACCGAGAGAAGGACCAGGGTCTCGTTTTAGTTGCTCATAGCATGGGGACTGCGATTGCTGCTCGTATTGCGAATAGGCAATCTGCATTCTATCTACGCCCCCCTTCCCACGTGATGGGCTTAATCGCAATCTGCCCCGTATCCGGTCCGCAGCCGCCAAGAGTAGTTCGCACTGTCCGCATGCTTCTCTGGCTCCCGGACTTTATTTTCAACCTTTGGCGGACTTGGGATAAACGAGGCGGTCCTGAAAGCGCCAGCGTTAAGCGCTTTGTTGGCCCTGGAGGAGACCTTGAAGCGCGGCAGATTCAGGACAGGTTTAATAGCCAAAGTCGTACGCCAGTTTTCCGTCGGATGGCATGGGGAGCATTGCCTACACATTTTATCGGTGAGAAGCCAATCGGGGGCCTGTTTGGTGAACCCACATGGGCTGGCCTCGATATTCCCATTTTCCTAATAGGTGGTGACAATGATGTTGTTACGCCTCCAAAAGAAATTGAGAAAATTCGGAGTCTTCTTGAATCTTCGACGAAACCGGCTACATTATCCGGGGGTGCCACTTCCGACAAGTCCGAATCAGTATCTCCACAGGGCGTCCCCGAGAACCCTAGTGCTGATTCATCTAACGCCACTGAGTCAAGCGCAATTGTAGATGCCGCGGCCCCGGTGAGTACCTCAGGCACATCACGAGACATGCCGCAATCGATCGACGCTATCACCGACGAGGATTTTACACGGAAGCAGCAGCCAACGGCAAACGTTGAAGATAATTATGAGGATCCAACTACACCGAGGGATCAGGAGTCGATTGGCGGCATCCCGCCCCAGCCTCGCCATCCAATAAAAGTGATTAAAACCTCGTTATTACCGGCCGGGCATGCTCTGCTCTATATGCCGAACACAGTTCGCGTTTTAGCGGGGCTTATAGGCGATTTCATGAATGACCATGTTACTGGCCGGTTTTCTCTGTATGTTTTCAACGTGTACGACTCTAGATGTGACTGAATAACTTATTTGAATAGGGGATGGCAATTGCAGCATCTGTCTCGTGACGGAAAGTGGGATGTCAAGAATCTTGCCAAATGGAAAAGCGTCAAACCTGTTAGTGAACCCATTGGCGGCGTATTCCGAGCCATGAAGACTTTGCGAGAGATCGACGAGGAACACTCTCCTAAAGTGTTCGCGGCCAATTGGTAGGTGTACTTTTTCCCTACCCCTATTCACACTCCGCGACTGTTACTAATTATCCTACAAGGGGACACATTATCAGGGATATCATCGACATCAGCCACACGGACCCAGTTTACGACCCAAAGAGTTTCGGGGAGGGTATCAAGTACCATAAAGTAAGAAATGGTGAAATTTTCTACAAGTGTCTAATCTAATAGTTTCAAGTTTCCGACGGTATCAAAAATCCCGCCAACTGAGACCGAGGTAGCCAATTTCATCAAACTCGTAGACCGCATTCGCGAGGACCAGAAGGAGCGTGCTGCTACGGAACCTGGTTGGAGTCCAGACCACGTCGTCGGCGTCCACTGCCACTACGGTTTCAACCGCACTGGCTACTTCGTCGTGTGTTACCTGGTCGAGCGCTGCGGATACAACGTCCAGGATGCGATCGACGCTTTTGCGGCCGCGAGGCCTAACGGGATTCGCCACTCGCATTTCCTCGACCGCTTGTTTGTCAGGTACTCCCGCTTACACGAGTGATCGCTTACCTACTTAGGCACTCGAGTACGATTCGGCATATCTAGGAGTTTTCTTGTAAGGTTTTATTCATTCGGCCGACCAACTTCTCTCGGAGTCTGGGATTGGGATGGGTTTAGAAGTTATATGAGCAATTGGACGCGGTTTTTTTTCTACGGGTTTTGATATCTGTATGCTTAGGTATTTATCAAGCGTCGACTCTTCTTGGAAGTATTGGCGTTTACTTAATAGAGGCATTTTCTGCTTTTCCCCTCCCCTGATGAGATGTGACGGGTCGTATATGTTGTAAGCTGACAAAGGACCATAGAAACGTGTTATATCGTAACATAGATGCCAAAATGTTCTAGAAAGTACGGCATTCATTCTAACAGATGAATGATTGACTGAACAAGGAGGTGGACAAGAGAGTATTACTATGGAAATCTTACGATTCAGACATGTCTCACTGAATTTCATAACAAATCACTCATGCAAAGCGACCAAATTCTTTATAGCAACGCAATATATTCAGAGTTGCTCACCATCTGCCAAAGCAGAGAAATCAAGGACGTCCTAACCTAACTCCTATGACTTTTCGTATCCTGCCGCAAACCAAACCGAACGAGGGTATCACCAACGCACCTAAACACCCCAAAGCAATAACCTGATCCTATCGAATCCCACCCCCTTCGCCTTCCGTAACCCATCCTAACACCCAGCAGAAACGCATCATCATAGCCACAGGCAATTTTACTCCTTCTTAACCTCTAAGACCGTCCCTTATCTTCACCTTTCCCCTCCTTCTCGTCCTTGCTTTTTTCTTCCTCACCTTTCTCAGGCAAAACCGGCAAATTCCCCAAAGCAGCCAAAACCACGTTCCCCCACTGCGCCTTCTCCACCTCCGCCAACGCCCGCCGGCTTATCTCCAAGTCGCCCCCCTCGGAGTGGAGTTCCACAGCCGCGAGCGCTTCCTCCCGCTCTTTCACGCCGTCCATGTACCGCGCCACGGCCTTCTCGAAGGTTAGCGATGGGTGGGGGTCGAAGTCGATGGGGGGGATGGTGTGGTGGATTTGGAGGGTTGGGAGGGCTTTGTCGTCTCCTTTTTCGACCTCTTCGTTTTGGTCTTCTCCTGTTGGTTGTTTTGTCGGCGTAGAGAGGGGAAGAGAGGAGATGACAGGGCGCGAGGGAAGGGTTGGAGCGCGGTAGCTGCCGAATTCGTGGATCACGGTGATCCGTTGCTTGCGGATGCGCGGCTGGTCCGGGTGAGGCGGTGTTTCGCCTGGCCAGGTGGCGGGCACACCGGGGATGCGGAGCAGGGTTGTGGGGAGGTGTAGGAGCGCGGGGGCGCTGGTGGGAGTGCTGCTAGTGCTGCCGCTGGCAGTGTGCATTGTGCGGGTTTGGGTGGAGGGCACCCGGATGCTGCCTGCTTGGATTGAGGACGGGACTGTTTTGCCCGACGTGGACACTTCTTGGGTTCCGGGTCCGACAGTGGCGGTTGCGGGGGCCACGGTCGCTTCGCCGACTTTGCGGACGTTGTTGGTGGGAAGGGTGTCTGTGAGAGTTTCTTCGGGAGGTGATTCAGTGTCCGTGAGAGGGTCCTTGGGGTGTGCTTGATTAGGCTGCTGCATGTAGAGGGTTGGGTTGGGCTGCTCCCAGGGGATCCAGGACGTTGATCGGCGTTGGGATGCCTGGTGATGTGTTAGCGATGGCATAAGTTTGGTGCTTAATGTGAATAGGTTTACCGATGCAATAGCAGTTACTCGAATACCACCGCGGTTGAGTCCGGTGCGTCGGACGAGGACAGATGTGATAGCACTCATTGTGTCAGATTGCGCAAATATTCTTGATGATGGATATGTTGAAAGAATGAATTTGCAGGTGAAGACCGGTGTGCACGATGTGAAGTAGCGTGAGAAAAAGAAATAAAAGAGAGAGTGAGAAGCGCGAAGGAGATTTGGTTTTATCGAGACGCGTATGGAAGTTGCGAGACGAGTGGTGTTTGCTTTCGAGGGAAGAGGCAGGTAAGAATTGACCACCTTAGAATCAGTCGAAGACGCAGCTTCTAGGCAACAGCACACAGTTGAATTAGAAAATAAGGTTGAATTGCTTAATGATCTTTTCCACTGTGGTGGAGTTATTCGCAGCTGGTGACTGGTGGTTGTCTACATGACCTTCCCCTCTACAAAACCTTCACTTAATCATTTTTTCCTTATGATTCATATACTATTTTCTCAATCAGATGATAAAAGAGCATGTCACCTATCATCAAGGCGTATGAAGATCAGTATCTTTGTGTATCATGCATCCAAAAGATAATGTTAATGACACTTGAGGTTATCGCACTCCACCCCTTTTAGGGTCCACTTTAATACCCCTTTCTTTTTTAGCTATTTTACTATCCAAAGTAAATTTCTTCACATAGCCTTTTTGTCCGGAAAATGATTAATAAATTATCGTATATCTTTTGATCTTGAAACTTCGTAAAGCTCATCCTTGAGTATCGTAGACGCGAATTCCGCAAACGCGTATACCGACGATTGTAGGTGACAAGTTGGCAGTCGCGGGATCGCACTAGAGTCAATCACCCTCAAATTCTGCGCACCCTTAACCCTAAAGCTCTGATCCAAAACTTTGCCGAGGGAATTCGTCCCTATCGGGTGATGGAACGAGCGAGCTGCTTCCATGAATGCTGCGGTGATATCCGCGTCGCTTGTAACGTTGGATCCAGGGTACACTTCGTTTACCACCACGGGCTGCATCGTGCTGGAGCGCATCATAGATATCAAGCGCTTGTAGCCATATAGAGCAATAGCGAAGTCGCCTTCGGAACCGAAGTAGTTAGAATAGAGCAGCGGGTCGTCTCGCCAGTCCGAACTGTTGAGGCGTATGGATCCAGGGGTCTCGGGCTGCACGAGCGCCGAATGGATTGAGATTGTATTGGAACTGTTAGGTGCTGGAAGCATAGCAGTAGAAGACCATTGATACAGCAGGTGTGGCCTATCTTTAGGTAAGTTTTTATGAAAGTCGACATTCACACCAAAACTATCGAGTATCTCGTCCGATAATCGTTCCGCGAAAAACGAGGAAGAGCCTGTAGTTGATAGTGGTCCTGTTCCGTTTTCCTTGTACTCGGCTAGGAAAGGGGCGAGTATTGTTGGGTCTTGAAGCTGTGTACTGGTAATAATATTTGGGGTCGCGTTGAACATCATGACAATATAGTGATGATCGAAAAAGTTTAACCCAACTTCAGGGTTATCGACGACGACGGGGATACCGAGGGATAGAAGATCAGTTTTAGGTCCGACACCCGAAAGAAGGAGTAAGCGTGGAGAATTGACAGCTCCTGCGCTGATAATCGTTTCATTAGACCTTATAGTGTGAGTGGTATTGTTCGAAACGTGTACATAGTCCACCCCAATGGCCTTGGTTCCCTCGAAGTTGACTTTGATAGCCCTTCCGCGGATCAATTCAACGTTTGAGCGCCCAGCTAATTGAAATCCATAAGCAGGCAGAGCATATGATCTCGTTCCATTGAAATGATTTATCGAATGAGGTCCACCAATTAGCATGCCAATGCCTTTTCCAGCTGAAAAGTCGGCATCTTCTGCACCATTAGAGATCCATGTATCGACAAACGAATTGTCGATTATAGATCTCTGAGAGTTCGACTCATAGCCGACATCGACATGATAATTACCAAACTTTGTCTTGTCGATCACCTGGTCATAATCGAGGTCTGGGGGCACAAACAGATTGGTGCTTTTCTCGAAATAATGCACGAGATTATCCCATCTCAGTCCGTCTATTCCCGATATATTCGCCCATTCATCAAATACCGAACTGGATCCTCGACAATAGGCCATGATATTTATCGCGGTCCCTCCTCCGAGGCCATTGCCCTGGTGCAATGGCGGTGCGGCGCCATTAAGAGTAGCTTGCGGGACAGACGTAAAGTTCCAGGAGAATTGAGTTCCTTGTAGCTGGCCAGCAAACCGCGGGGTTGTCACAGTCTCGTTGATATATGTATCCGGTCCATTTTCTATGAGCAGGACTTTAAAGTTAGGGTTCTCTGAAAGCCGCGAAGCAAGAACAAGACCTGCGGGACCTCCTCCGACAATCACTGCGTCATAAAGTGCAGAACCAGCTGATTCTGCTGCTATACAAGAAAAGAAAGCAAGTGAAAGGCTAAGGTATAGCTTCATTGTCGCGTTGTTGTGGGAAGAGCGGGGTATAGGTAGCCACCTAGTACCTAGTAGGTAGCGATAATAAGTATACTGCAAACACTGACTTCTTTTGATGAGTTATATATCTGCTCAGACAAGGAGGATAAGAAATAAGAAATTTGAAGGCATCATGCTTCCGTAGGTAGGTACCAAGTACTTATAAGTATAGTAATATGACGATGCTAATGCATGGCCATTAATAAGCAATAGCCAATCATACTGGCTCTTATATTGCGACCTTACCTTTAATCGGGAATAAAATGAGATATAATGAATGAATCGTTGGGGTTTCAGCGCCAATGCGTGTGAGAGACGATATAGATCCTATAGTTGCCCAGTAGTCTATTAGATTCGAGGATTTCGACAGGTAACTTACCTATAAATGATATTTTTATCTAGGTAGTGAAAATAGGATACCTAGGTAACGAATTCCCTATAAACCTCCCTATGCTAGAACTTGACAGATTCCTAGAAGTGAAGTAGAAGGTACCTACCTATATTTACCCCTGAAAATCGTTGGTGGAACCTGAGATGAATTACATAATCATAACCCCCCTTTAATCCAAAGGTCGCGTCCATGGAAGTCACGGGCATTGTATCATTACATAATCCCTAAACCTTTATTTTAACGTCTCGAGACTGAATACATAGAATTAGAGGTCTTGTTTATTGGAGTAAGTTATGAATCCTTAATGAACCCTGCCGCTCTCTCAGCCATAGCGTAGAGCGTCGCAGTTAAATGACCACTAATCTGCAGCGGTAACACGGACGCATCGACGACTCGGACATTCGAAGTACCGTATACTTGAAACTTGGGGTCTACGACGCCACCGAGTTCACGAGACATCATCGAAGCTGTTCCAAGCGCGTGGTGATTCGGCGTTACTGTGGAACTAGTCAGTTCGGTATTACTCAGTGCTTAGGTAGTGATGGTATACTTACGCAAGTTGGTAAGTGACGTCGCCCATTGTGCATCAGTGGCATTGCGAGGCAGATCTACGTTTCCTGGAACTAGATAGTCAACCACTACATCGCTGAGTGGGTTCGTGTACCAAAGCTCTTGCGAAATGCGGCCAATCCCGGTTTGAACGGTGACATCAAAGTCGATGAAGAAGTACTTAGGGTCAATGGCAGGATCGTCGATATCCTCGGCCGATTTTATATGAACACTGCCTCGGGAGAAGGGTAGTAATGCCCAGAAGGCAGATATAAGTATATCACCAGAACCCGATGTTAATGTCTCGGCAATCGTAACATTCTTCTTGAAGATGAGATCGTGCTGTACTCGGAATACGCTTTCCAATTGGCTGGGGCTGATAGCTCTCCCGTTAGCATCCGAGACTTTTTGAGCCCATTCAGAAAGCTTCGCATCGGTTGCTGCCGCTATGGTGGAAGTCTGGTTACCGAATATGTCTTCGGCCGTAACAAAAGTTGCGTAAGGAACAGTTCCGGTTATATTAAAGTTCGTAGAATATTGCAACGCCGTATTGGTTTGGTCTTGTAAGTTTTCACCCACACCATTGAGCTCTATCTTCGTCTCTATGCCATACCTTTCGAGGATGCTAGGATTTCCGATGCCGGAACGCTCGAGTATTAGAGGAGTTCTTAGTGCACCGGCAGACAAAATGACGTTTTCAGTACTAAGGATAGTAGTTTTGTTGGAGCCGTCACGATATTCGACTCCATCAGCTGAGAGTAGGCTACCCGTTGCAGATGAATTTGCCCACTTCAGCTCCGTTACCGTCCCTTTGATGATCTTGAGGTTAGGTCTTTTCTCAACGGGGTAGTAATAGGCACGAGCAGCATCTTCTCGGATATCCGCATCTCTATCAATTGTCTGTGGCCAGACGCCAAATCCACGGGTATTTCCGCTATTTAGATCGGCATTTGCAGGAAAACCCAATGTCTGCCAAGCATCTTGAGCTAGTCCATAGAGTGACCCATTAAGGAGTTCGAATGGGAATCCTGTTGTTAAAGGTCCATCTTCGCCGTGGTATTCTGGGTTAAAACTAGCGCCCGCGGCTATCTGCGCTGTTGTGGGTGGCGAAAATCGCTCAACACGTTTGAAGTAAGGATATAATGTATCCCAATTCCAGCCGTCATTTCCAAGAGCTTCCCAAGCGTCGATTTCGGGTTTGTCGCCTCGGATGTACGTCATCCCGTTAATCGCACTAGTGCCCGCGATGGCTTTGCCGGCATGGAAGGCAAGTGATTTATTGGCTGCGCCTGGCTGCGGTGTTGTGGTATACTGCCAATCAATAGCGGTGCCAAAGGCGCGAAGGAACCTAGTCACATCCGTAACATTTACATTATCACGGACGTCGTCGCCGGGCTCAATGACCGCCACTCTGACATTTGGGTCTTCAGACAGTCGATTCGCAAGCACAAGACCGCAAGTTCCGCCCCCGGCGATTACATAGGTGAAAGACTCGCATCTCGCTTTGGTGCTTAGCGTCAGTAGCAGCAGAGAAGTATATAGCTTCATTATCGACCGTGTTGGATCTCGTAGAAAACTTTCCACATACGAGAAGACATATGGTGTGAGACTGTCGAACAAAGATATCAAATATTCGAGAAAAAGCAATGTATTTCATCCGTCCTAAGGATCCTTCTATAGCCATGATCGATTTACGGGCCGATTTGTTGCATATCGATTACCATCATAAGACGAAAGACGAGCTTCTTTCAGCCCCATTGCTCACTATTCGTTGCCTTGTGTTACCCCAGCCCACTAGTTTTTGAGGGATGACGCTGACGGATTGCGGGGAAGATTTCTACCCCGACTAGAAATACGGTGAAGTATGGGCTGAAAACGCGAGGATTAGATTCCTGCGAGAGATGTTTCCTCTCTTGGAGGCATATTGTCATAAGTTTATGAACCACGGCGAGGACCATGAATGGCTAATGCTTTGCGCCATATCCATCGACATGTGGGTTTCGTATGAAGATGTGATGACCACGCGCTATAACCTATCCCCGAAACATAAAACACAATACAGTGCTCATGACTAGTTACTAACTAGCTCTGATCTTAGCGAGGACGCTTTGGAAGATTCGTAGGTCGTTGAATTAGATAAGTTGGCAACGTGGATCTGTCTCGCTTGGGTAATATCGCATTTGATAACTGTCGCTCGCTTCAATTTGACGATCTAGACGCGTTTAGAAGAAATCGAGTTTCCCTCAATGGGTTAGGCATCGCCCTAAGGTTATCGACAACCCACGATATTCTTACCTCCCCCAAAGAGATTAGTGGTGCCGGAATAAATCATTTCGAGAGAATCGCCCGCGGATTGGTTCGATTTCTATCGTATTCCTAAGTGATGCTTTTACTCGCGCATTCTAGCGGCGTGAGGAAGATGGTTTCGGTTTTCACGAAATCCGGAAATTCAGACAATCGACCCAAGTAGGGTAAGAATTTCGTTATCCGTGCGCTAACATGGACATTAGCGAATCAAACGGCTGCTCAAACAACTCCAAATTTGAGCGATCTGTCAAACAGTAGGAATAACGATTGTCTAGGTAACTACCTAGATAATTGTTTGTTTCCCATGATTTTTCATAGATTCGCCTGCGGATGAGAAGAGTTGAAAATATTATATAAGAAAAAGAAGGAAGGAAACTCAATGTCTGTCATGGATGTCCACTGTCCAGCGCGCCATTGGACCGGACCCCACTACAGTCACGCTGTATGCTGCTAGCAGATTAGTGGCCCCTGGGGACCTACAACCGCTGAATGGGTTCTGTCGCAGCAGATCTTGCGCTAATAGGCAGGTGCCAGTGCCGGTCTGCCGCCCGACGAGCTGAGCCATCTGGCCAATCACATCATAAAATCCGCTGTCGTGCCGATCGCCTGTCCTCCGAACCTGCCCCTTTCATATACCGTGCCCAGACGGCAGCGTCGAAAGAGGATATGGGTTGAGAAACCAGCCGGCAGACCGTGTTCTAGCTATTAGGTACACACACTCAACCCCTGAATGGTGTCGCATAGATATCGTCGCCCGCATGATATTGATCGCGCATCGTATCTCGTCCCTGAGAGGACCCGCGTGCCGTCCGAAAGGGGAAGGCCGGCTCTGCACCCCTGGAAAACGGGTTTCTCGTGCAATGTAGCGCAGCGTTAGTAATGCCAGATAGCCTCTCACAAGGGTTTTTGTCCAGTGATTTGACCCATGAATCCATTTGAAGGACTCGGATTGGATATTTCACGTGCTGATCTGATCTTACTTGAGCTTATATTGGCTTTGGTAGTTGTAGGAGGTCGGATGCATTTAAAAGGCACCGATCTCTCCCGTTCTTGGCGATCGAAGCTGTTCTCGTCACTATCCAGCAACGAACCAGCTCGATACGCTTTATTCGCCCATCATGTTCGGCTCCAAGGTACCTAATCCTCAGACCTTACCAGCATAATCACTCGAAGGGCTTCTCTAACGTAGACTAGATCCTTTCCACCATCTTCTTGGCGGCTATCTCCGCCGTCCAGGTTTCTGCTGTCGCTGTTAGCGAGAGGCAAAGCCAGACCTGTGTCGCAACATGCGGTTCAACATGCTACTGGCAGTCGGACATCGACGCGGCTGTGAAGCAGGGCTACAACTACCAGCAACAGGGCAAGACCGTCGGTACGTCCATATCATACTCCATCCCCTGTAAAGGCCTTGAAACTCGGTAGCTAAACATGACATTCTCAAAATTTAGGATCGGGTAAATACCCGCATGTATATAACGACTACGAAGGCTGTACGTATAATCATGACTTCATTATCCTTCCTTTAGTTTGTCGTGGGAGTCAAAACTTCCTAGTCGAGCCGACTACCAAGGTCTTGCTCTCGAGACATACTTAAACTCCAAGATACCTAGTATATTTCCTAGAGAAATACTGACACCCTATGCCATAGTCAACTTTCCCGACTCTGGAACCTATTACGAGTTCCCTATTCTATCAAGCTTTAAGGTCTACACTGGCGGCAGCCCAGGTGCGGATCGTGTCGTTTTCTTGGGTAGCAATGGCAACTATGAAGGCTCTATTACTCATACTGGGGCCAGCGGGAACAACTTCGTTCAATGCAGCTAGAAGCAATGTTATATTATAAAGGTGTTGTTTTGCGCAGGTTGTGGTTTATCATATGCAGAAGTTATATGGTGATCCTGAAGGGTGTCACGTGATGCCAATTAACGACCACGACCGCTTACATAATCACAAATATATATTTTATGTTCATATTCACCATACCATTATATATACGTACCTATTAAATCATCACAATCCACCTGTACGTACCATGGATCATTTTTAACAGGTCGTCTTAATTGTTTATTACCATAGTAACTGCTAGGTACCTAGGTACTTAGCAACTACAATCAGCCCGAAAAGGAGAAATCAACAAATCAAAAAAAAGGAAAACCTGCATGTGGATAGTTTTCACAGAGCTATCAGCCTGTAGAATAATGACTGCCAGCTGGTTGCTAGGGCAATTCAGCTAAGATCAGCTAAAATCAGTAGAGTACGTACAGTACATACTACATAGGTACATTAAATGGGTAGATTTAGACATCGCGTAGCGCGTCGTCGTTAGACTAGGCAGCAAAATCAGCCAGTGCACGGACCCACTTACTCTGCGGGGGAATTCTATATAACACTGCTTCTCCCGTCTTAATTTTTCTTTCTTTCTTTTCTTCTGTTCTTCACAATACCTGAGGTTAAACTCGGTCTATTAATAATAGACTTTAACAGTGAATACCTCATACCGGATTTTTTATTTTGTCACGACCAAGCCTATTTACCTCAAGTATTCGCCATGTCGGATATTAAGTCTAGTCAGAAGGATAATGTCAGAATCCACGGTCTCGAGCCAGCTCGCGTGATAACGCCCGCGCCCCAGAACCAAAATTTTAAAAGCGGCATCTTCGCATCTCGTGCAGGACCCGTGATAACGCCACTGATAAGCCCCCGCAAGGCGGCATCACCGATTGTGACGAATTTCCTTACGCCAGGAACGATTGACGAGAATTCCTAGTATGGATTCTCGTTAGAGTTTCCTCTTGGCGATGGTCAAGTAAACGAGGATGTTGGCATTGGCGCGCGCTATACTCGTGAGTATCTACCATCCCTAAACAGTCGAACTAACAGCGGTTTACTTACTATTCGTTTTACTAGGAGACGCTCGATCTGAAAAGACGATTTTAACTAAATCGCATAATATACAGGCCTATTTTCCTCGGGGCCACACTACCATCACCGTGCAAAGGCCGGGGATAGGATTCCTCGTGATGTTTCCTAACGAGGATTTGGAGCAATACAGCTTCTTATCTATCCACTTACAAGGGAACAGCCAAATCACAGTTAACGGATTTGGTATACCCTTTGATAGCCCCGACAGCCCTCATATAGAGGGATTAGTAAACGGTGGGGTGCCGCTATCAGGGGAATCGGCGTTAGTCGACCTTCTACAGCAACGTGATTTCTATTTTTACGTTGCTTGTCCGGCACACTTACTTGCGCAGCAAGTGTGCTTAGATAATGCTCTACCGTCAAGGTATCCCTATGGGCAGGCCCATACCTGGAATGAGGCTCTCTATAAAGAGCAAGCCAAAAACTTAAAGAGCTCAAAGGCGTTTTCGGCAGCGTACAGGTAAGATAATACGTTTGATGCCTCGATTCAGATAGACCGCTAATGTATACCAATTTAGCTTTGAAAACGATAATGACCACCTGGCCGCAATTACCCAATCAACAGTACAGGATTGCTTTTGGTTGGAATTAGCGGCAAATCAGATCGCCGCGAACCATAAGCCCGGGTTCTTCGCGTCGATTGGTGGAGTAACTGAAGTTGATGGTAGCCAAATTCGCTACCTCATATTCCTCCATGAAGGAATGATAAGTCAGTTCAAAGCTGCTTGGCAGCGACTGACCAAGGAAGCACAACTACAAGTTGAAATTTTCGAAGACTACCACGACGGGACCCCCCTGGTCAAATGGTTAGTCTATTAATCCACCATTTTATGTACTACAAAGCTGACCTAGACTAGGGATTGCGAGGTTCTAAGCCACCCGGAAACGGTTGCGGCGCTACGCGGCCATCCCATTAATGGATCCCATGAGCTAGTCCTCGCAGTACGCGTACCGCCCCAGAAGGATAGAAAGGCATGCGATATGAAGGTATTCTCCAGTTACGCCGAGGCACACGAGGCGCGCGTGAGAGGAGAAGAGAATTGGAACTGCGTTTCCCTTCGGTTTGGGTCCCAGTTGGACGATTGCGAGCGCAAAGTCAACTCTATCTGCATGTTTAGTCCAGGTTCAGGGGCATCAAACCCTCGCGCAATCGGTCTCCTAGAATCCCATGAGATGGGAAATGAGGCTAGAATGAAAAAATTGGTTGAAGTTGAGGACAAGATGGATCTCCATCGTGCGCTATTACGCGGAAACGGCTTCTTTCAATGGATGACTCGCTCTCCAGCTACGGACGTCGTTACTGCCATGGAAGCCGTCAGCCTACAAAGCCGACCCAAATTTAGACCTCTTCCCACTGTCAATTTCCTTGAAACCGGAGATTCTCAGTTCATCGATTCATTGATGATGGAACTCCTACCGGAGGATCGCAACCGCTTCCGGCGATATCTGAGTTGTCGACCGTTAGGCCTTGGCCTCATCACAGCTGTATGTACACCTAACCTGACGTCTCTTATGTACCAAAATGCTAATGATTCTTCCAGGGACCTGGTCACGCAAAGACTACCATGGCCGCTGTTTCCGCCCTCATCATGCAGGCAAAATTTGGGTATGTCCTTTGTTCGGGCCCAACAAATGTTGCGGTCTCCAATTTCGCTGAGCGCATCGAGCGTATTTCTATATCAACATACGCACGCTTGAACGAAGGCAAATCTCCAGACGACCCCAGCTACAGGCGTCGCAAGCTCGTAGTCCGCGCGTACAAGAACCTGGATGAGATAAGTGCGATGATCGCTTTACTCCGACGACCCGATGCTGGTGATCGCGCAATCGAAAATGACAGGTCGCCCTCGGCCTCAAGATGGCGACTTCATCTATCCTTTGCCTACTGGGTCCATGTCCTCTTGCGTTCCAGAGCATCAGGCATCAGACAGCTCGACTCCAGCGACTGTCAAGGGTTACATGATCTACGCCTTAAGATCGACAAGTGCGACAAGATGCGTGAGCTCCGAGCGGTTGCAACAGGCAAGATGTCATGGAACGAGTACGCTAAGCTACGACTGGACACGAAGTCGCACCTCGTTCGCATATTTGCAGACTTGATCGGTCTAGTCGACATGCTATGCACGACGCCGGCCATGACGGCCAATGTCAGACCCTACTCCCGATGGAAGGCCGAGAAGGCACAATGCGTGGCTGTTGATGAAGCGGCAAATATGCACCGCGCCGACCTATACACCGTATGGGGAAACACCTTGCTACCTTGCTTCCTCGCTGGCGATCCTTATCAACTACCACCAGCGGTGATGACACAGTCGGAGAAGGACGGCGAAGGCAACCTTATCAACCGCTTTGCCTCGACCGGAAGAATCTCAGCACTGGAATTCCTCCAAGCATCCGGAATGCCGGTATTCCGGATGAGAGTGCAGCTACGCATGGCACGCGGTCTATTCGACACAGTCTCCCGCGCGATATACGACATGCCCGCGCGTTACCACGACTGTTGCGACATCACGCACGACCGGTTCAAAGCAGGTCGCATGCTCGAGTCGTACGTCCTAGACAAATACAAGTCGGTCATTCCTTCAGAAGAGGGCAAGCTCAGTCCGGTGTTTATCCATTGCGACGGTACCAAAGTGTCCATCGACCCAACCACCGGTTCAAAGAAGAGCGTGGATCAAGTCACAGTTGCGCTAGACTTCGTAGCCGACCTCGTCAAGGCCACTACAACGAAGACTGAGCAAATTATTATCCTCGCTCCGTACGCTGCCAACGTAGAGCTACTCCGCAATATGCTGAAGACCAAAAAATACGCCTCGCTGTCGGGCATGGACCAGCCATCGACCATTGACGGCTACCAGGGTCAGGAGAAGGATATCGTGGTGGTTGTAATGGGAACGCGTGCTGGAAAGCCGGGACCAGGCTTCACGTCCGATGAGCGACGCCTGAACGTCCTCCTCACCCGTCAACGATGTGGATTGGTAATTGTTGGAGATATTGATGTGGTAGGGGCAATGGGTCCTTATATGCACGGAGTGAGTGGATCAGTATACGGCCGACCAGTGCCATTCCACCTGCAAGGACCGTTGCGCACGCTGCACATAGCCCTATGCAGAAGTGGTCGGGTCGCTAAGGTCAAGGTTAATGACAAGGCTTTGCCATCTACGGTTTAAACTGAGATGACATGTGTCTGGACAACCATGAGATGGTTTGGATGGTGGTGGAAAAGTGCATTGCGCACTCAGTACCTACCCACGAGGCATATATGATTGCCTTGCTGATGGGCCCCTAGGGCTTTTCTTAATACGACAGCTCTGGCCAACTGTTTCTTTCTAACCATGTGATATATTAATATGTTCCGCTTGCTGTTTAGGTTCTACGTAGGATTCTGCTGAGCCGCCACTAGAACGTATTAAGCAGTATAGGATGCAAACTAACGAGTTCAGATCAGTAATCATTAACTTGATTAAAGCTTATATCAACCGCACGCTAAATGCTCTCCTGGATCTATCTAAGACATGTTTTACATACCTATTTCAGATCAGATGGAAGTTAACCGAAACGAGACGAGATGAAAGATCACATTGCGGACGACGACGGCCAATGGCCAAAATTGGTATCAACAGTTATTATTATTGGAGCGTCCTTCGACCTAACAAGAGTGGGACCATCGACTAGTCAAGAGAGGTATAGTAGGTCCGTTTTCCCAATCACGGTACCCGCCGATTAATGCGCCGACAACCCAACTTCGTATACACATATACACGTATAAAACGACAAAAAACCAAGCAACTATTGCTTTTGCGAGATCATCACTTCCTCATTAGCGGCGATGGGCGCAGGTCGGTTTGTGCTCTTGTTTAACTCGTTCTCGCCGACGACGCTGACGGTGCCCTCTAGCTTAAGGTGGTAATCCTTGTTCTTGCTGAGGGCGAATTCCTCCTCATCGATGTGGCGGAACAGGAAGTAGAAGATGACGGTTAGGACACCGCCAGCGATGGCAGGACCGCCGAAATCCCATGTTAGGTACGGGTCTGTGACGACGGATGAACATGCTAGACCGATGGCGTAAGCGACGGCCGTGTTGAAAAGGTTAAGGGCGGAAACGAGACCCCTCATGTTGACGGGAGCACGCGAGTACGCGATACCGTAAGCGGGGACGTTAACGAACAGCTCCGAAATACCACCGACGGCAAACGGAATCGCCATCCACCAAATGCTGATGGGAGCTACACCCAGACCATCCAAGCAGTTACTGGAACCGTACTCGCCGCAAGGAGACTGTTTGTAGGCATATGAGTTCAGGATTGCGTAGCCGGCACCGCCGAGGGAAGACATCGCAAGACCGGTAGTGATACGGGCTACAGGGCCGTAGTGGATGTTGAATCTTCGCAAAAGCGGGTACAGGCCATAGTTAAGAACTGGGGCCATCGCGATGATACTCAACGAATTGAAATTGTTGATAACATCGTTCGGGACACCATTAGTGGTCAACATGGTCGACAAGAAACTAGCGGCGGAGCCGAGACCGTTGTCGTTGATGTATTGAATCGGGAAGAAGCAGAAGATACCGGTCGCTTGGAAGGTTCGTCGAACATCCTCGACAAATTGGTCGTTCCAGTCTGTCTTAATGCTAAGGCCAGCAGCTGCGATATTCGAAGGCTTGGCGAGATCCCAGAAGCCGTGACGGCCGATCCTCGCAATACCGCCGCGTCTGAAGCAAATTCCGAGTATCTTGAAGACGTTGCCGAGATCACTTCCTCCGGGAGGGTGGAGAATCAGACGCTTGTAAAGGAACCATAGCAGGAGAGGGAGAGGGAGGTAGAGCAGAAGAGGAATCAGGAAAGCCAGCCACCAGCCGACGTACTTCTCCGAGTACGAGGTAGCGACTCCCATAAAACCACCGATGTTGATCAAGAGGTAAAACCAAAGCATCACTCGCTCGGTCGTGGACTCGGGGTCTTGGATGACGCGCTCGCCGCTATCTAGTGTAATAACTACGGGGACGGTTGTTGTCATCTGATCGAGAAGAAGCGGAGAGACGTTTGGCTTGAACATAGCTTAAGAATATTTGTTAGCATTGGCGAAGCAGAGTAAGTACGCTGAAAATCTTCAACTTACCAGCACCAACCGATAGGATGTACACCGAGAGGAAGTATGGAACCTTCGCCGTGCCGGCAGCCAATAGGTCCTTTGCACCCGCAGCAACCATCAAAACGTGAGCGACACCAAAGACACCGACACCCCAGCAGATGAGAGCGAAACGACCAGTCTTCGCGTCGGCGAGCCATCCGAATAACATAGGCAGCGCGTACGCCAACATACTGAACGATTGCGTAACAGCGTTCGCTGTGACAGTTCCCAAGCCGAGAGCACCGGCCGTCTGCTGTGTTCCTACCGGGGGAGCACCATAGCCGTTTCCACCTTCTGGTAATGGTCGGTTGACGTAGTTGGCGATTAATGGCTGGACACCATAGCTAGTAGCAAAACTTGGTCAGTACTTTTCGCTTCTGAGAAGCTATAATAGTTTGCTCACTAGGAAGCTCGCTCGCAGAATTCTACGATGCAAATAGCATAGGCGACGACAGGAAGTTTACCGGGAACTCGGCGTAAAGTCTTCAGTTCCTCTTCGGTTGGCTTTCCTTCGTAATCCTCCTCCATTATCGAAGGGTTGAGATATGGAGGAGGCTCATCTCCAGGAGATGACTTGCCCAACTTCTCATCGCCGCTAGGCAAGATGGAGTCCGAGGCACGCTCGAGGTCTTCTGAATTTTGACCTGTTGCCAGTAAGTAACTGTTTGTCTGGGGTGCATTCATACAGCGATAGGTTCAGTTCATCAACATACCCATTGCTAATCCTTGTATAGACAACTTCGCAATTGCGAAATGTTTTGCGGTACTAGAAGACAAAGAAGGCAAGGTAGGATCAGGAGAGATCAACGAAGGGGGGTGGTGGGATTTATGCTAAAAAAGCCGAGGACGGGGTTCGACGGGTAAAGGGTCCCGCGTATTGTCAATGTTACCAAATCGGTAAGCTAGGTGAGCCTCGTATCAATAACGAGTATGGTACATAATTCAAGCTTTAGGGCTCCAGGGCTACCTCTAGGACGGTTCTCGGCGTGCGGCGAGGCGTGAAACCTCGGAGGCAAATCTTAACGAAGGGATTCCAGAAAAGTTAAGAAATAGGGAATTATGATTGCAAATTGGCGAATTGGCGCACTAGCGACAGGCCAGACGGTACGATATTGTATTGTCGGGATTGCCGTATAAATCCTTTAGTCTCGAAGTATTGAAGTATAGGAGAAACGGACCAGTCAGAGGAGGAATTGGCGTTATCTTTTCGAGCCACCCAATGCGGGTCTTAAAGATCCCGGTTTCTTTTCAAACACATCTTGTACAAAAAGACCTTCAAGGCCTCTGAGCCAGTCGAGTCGTGAACGATAAGCCTTCGGTGCTAGAACCCTATCGCCTCTAGCGGATGCGACCGAGGTACACCCGCAGAAGCACGGCTGGGGTACGGGACGCATTTGGAAGGTCATTGTTCACAGCTGACCCGCGGTATGGCACGGTATGCTACGTTGTATTGCACCGCTAACCTCCAATCGAGTCTCGCCCATTTCCAAGACAGCGGTCGCAACAAGGTCTAAAAGCGATGATAGGATATTAGGCAGGGGTTTACTATGCATAGAAGCTGAATCGAAGCCTTGGCAGAAATTGGAGTGTGTTAGAAATGGGAATATGAATCCGAATTGAAAGGTTCTGAGGTTCAACTGACTTCAGTCAAGCTTTCGCGCAAGCTTTGCCTAGCCGTTTAAACTTGCATTAGGTAAGTGATAAGAGTTCTTGTTTTCGTTACAAGTCGCGGCATTCCACCTCTTAGCCCAAATCTCCTTGCCACAAGCCTAAACCTTGAATCGGCAGCTACTGAGGTATCACGGCAAATTTTATATGAGGTACTTGGCGACATATGCGCAAATCTAAGCGGCTGGAAGTACATAGCGCCCCGGCTCTCCAACATAGCTTGAACTTTAGATTTTAGACTACTACTAATTCGGACGATTCTCCGGACTCGTTTATAAATGTGGGGCTACCACATATCATGCTATGTAAATTCTTATGGCAGCTCCTCGAGCACGCGATCATGATCAGCCATGCATACATACATAGTAGCCGGTGCAATGTATTTTTATAAATTGGCCGACGCGCTAGTAACAAGGTAATCGTATAATAATTACATATCTCCTCTGCTGCTGAAAGCGTGAAAGGTATTGAATGTTCTGACATGCTTTTGAATTCAATGTTTAACGTTGGCGCAAAACGGTGTAACTTGAGTTCTCGGTAGTGCAGTCTGTGCAGGTCGTGGTACAAGTTGAATAAATTAAACCCCCAGATTCGGGAACTCCACTGATAAGATCGCTTAAGCTCAGACGGAGAACGTTATTACAAATATGTATGTAAGGGGCACACGCTTCGACGTCAATATTGTATGGTATGATGGTTGGTCAGTTGTTAGTTGCTATTATTCGCATTGGTCTTCCAACGCCGTCTTGGCTATCTTACACATAAAGGCCTCAAGTAATAACACATAACAGTGGTATAAGTGTATACGAGGTACGCAAACAAGGCAGCTGAGGAGCGTAGCACAAATTTTCTTACCCGCTTCGCTTGATTGGCTTATAAGCTTATCCAAGATAGGGAGGTATATGAATTCATATACTGTGCTACACCAAACACCTACCCAGATAAGTTCGGTAAGACAAGACTATGCGATATCCACCTATCAGACTATCCTTCTCGATATTAGTCGCATAACCGTGCTGACGTGCTTATTAACCACCGCCAACTCCTAAAATTCATTGGATCAGATCTAGAATTGGTTACAAGCCCTCCCGTCTAGCCGACCTCAAAGAACTTCCTTACGGACGTGATCTACGATCTTCAGGATTATTTGCTTCTTTCGTCCGCTTTCTGCGCCCGTAGCCGTGCGCTGAGACATACGGCGTACATAGCGGAACTAACGAGGCACGTCGCATTATTGTTCCTATCTGGGCATAAAATAATTAATAATTCAAGATCGGTTCGTAGGCTTTCATAAATCGTGTAACACGCCTATCAGAAGCAATGTTGTCAAGTCCTATGTAGGCGTCGCAAAGTTCGTTTCACATAGCTAGGTACCACAGGTGACGGTGCCGATCTTATGCCAAGATCACATCATGGTAGATCTATGTATCGCAGCTTTGATCTCCTGGATATCTTCAAATCTACCCGACCTGCCGGCCAAACTTGCAACGCTTACCAACAGTTCATCGTTCATCACGTTCCAGACCTGGTGACTTGGCCGTGCCCTGATTGAGCATGAGAGAATCAGCAGATCCCTCGTGTCAGCTCTTATCTTTACCTATTCTCTGATTCGTCGCTTCTATTTCGCACTCGACCTAACAGTTTGTATCTTTTCTTTGTTATGTCATACGATTTGCCTTGTCTTCCCGACAGCTTGGTTCTTCATGCACAGTTTGGTCGGCCGAGAGAGGCACCTCTCGTGGTAATTTGCACCGATGGTGGATATAATGCGACGAGAGTCAAATTTGACTTCGCAAACCCTTACAAGCTAGTCCTAGTCCACGGCGGTGGTTGCTGAGAACGAATATGTGGGGTGCCTCGAATGGCACATATACGGCTGCAAGTCATTGATGCGGCAGAGATGTTCTAGCGACATTCTAGCGTCTCACGCGGTCCTGGATCGTGTCGGCGGGACCTACCGACAGCTGTCGAGATTGCCTACCTACCTAGTAGGCTTCTAGAGTTTTATCTTCAAGACGGTCGCTAGAGTAGCGCCCGTGATGAGATGGTCCCGTTTGCGTGGCCTGACTCATCACGACGTGGTAGCCGTCCTCGTCGCCCAGAACGTTCCAGCGATTCGGATATTAGGTGTTTGCAAAGGCTACTTAGCAGGAAAAAAAAAGCGAGGAAGAGAGGCTAATAGCATCAGATTTTGTCCCAAAAACGGACCGTCTAGAATTGCGTGCTTTTTAGCGTCCCGACTCCCGCGACAATTCCAGTACTATGGTAATCCAGTTACCTAAACATGAGACATTGGTTTAAACATTTGCTAAAATATTTTTTCTCTTTCAATAATTAGGTCAATAATAGTAACGTTGATGGATAGCTGAAGATACCGAACATCCCGAGGCCTCCGCGCTGATGTTGAATGGGTTCACCTGAGGCTATTCGACGTTCATCACGAAACTGGCAAGTATTCTATTGTTAGGACATCGCCACGCTTTTGGATATAATCCGTCAGAACTGTTCCAAGATTCGATCGTTTCGCCGATGTATGCGCTAGGTACTGGGTACTTTGGCATTTAGTCCAAAGCTGTACCCAAACTGGGTTGATGAAGATGAGACCCAACTGACTAAGAGCATTTGACATCGGCATATACATTAACAACAAGTGTTAATGCCTCGAATACTTGGGTGGGGATCTTATTACCTACACATTGAACGGAAATTAGAATCGTCGCATTATGGAAGCTAAGAATGCTGAGGGTGCTTTGGGGCTACCCGTACCAGGCGATTGAACGACAGCCAATTCTTAGAGACTATTGGTATGAAAATCTTACGCAGTGAACGAGATATAGCATCTGTTAGTCATTGAGACAATATTTTTCAGGTCTAGTAATCCATACACCATGCTTTCTCTCCCTCTGCTTGCCTTTCTGCCTGCCTGTCTGAATTGCCCATTCGGACCAAGAACTCGATAGTCGAGTGAAACTCGAACTATCAGAATACGTCTCTATACGCCATTGGTATGTGCTCTACTAGATGGTGAGGTGAAAATAGCTGTTATTTCAGTCTACAGAGAGACAGGACCGATATCAAAACAAGCAATAGCTACCTAGTCTCGATGATGATAGACATGTTACCTAGGTAGGTAGGTAGATAGAACACATACGATGGCGCATGGGATGGCTAGAGCCCTCCTCAACGGGGATAGAACTATAGTTTTGCCTGGCAAAGGAAATGCGTATTCAATCTCAATATTTGAGTAACATACGTATCAGTCCCAATAGTCACACATGTTCTCGTTTTGAGCATCTCGATCTTTCGATTTTTGAGACTAATACTTAGATGAGTTTCCCAGCCCAAGTGAATTCCCAGTAGGTATCTCAATCCGAAAGTTAGAATCTATCCTTCATCTATATCAGCGGTTAGCAGTATTGACCTCAAAGAATATCGTTTTGAATGGGGCTTATAAAGAGACCTTTGCTCTGTTATCAAAATCTAAGAGAAATAAGGGCCCACTACGACTTACTCTCACTCCTGTCCAGATGGCCGATTGCTTCATAGTATATCCCCCCTTGACGTCCTACCCCTTTCATGGGAGCAATTGCTCCTTAAAAGGTGTGTTATTCGAGTGGTCTCTCCAACAGATCTGAAATATTCAAAGGACCTACGAGTGTGATGAAAGTGTCGTAATAGAATTGTGACGCTCCTTCATCTTAGTTCTAGGTTGTACGACGATGCGAACCTAATAGGCCGAGCACCTGATAAGGCGAACTCATCCACGCTACATATTGTCCAAGAGTTTCAACTTGAACACTGGAACGAGAAGCTTCAACGAGTGATAGACAATTATTTAGGTCAAAGAGCTCATGTTTCATGAGATATACCTTAGATATTTCATGTCGTAGCGAGTATGCTCGAGGTAACATCTGGGACTATATATGAGATAAGATTCGGATAGTATAGGTAAGGAGTGAGATAAGGTTGAGGGGGTGGCATCACGGTAACTTGTATAGGGATGGTTTCTTATAAAAGAGTATATTATACCGCATCCTATAGCTGTCATGGAATCGTAACCGGGCACTCGTCTACACTAGAAGCCTGTTTTCATCCGAATATGTATATAGGGTTTCCCCAATTCCTCGGGAGTTGGAATGGTATAAAGTTTCATGTGCCTGGTTTTGGAAGTTGGCCCCGTAAGGCTTTGCGGACCGTTCCTTTGCGTTTATGCAGGCCAAAACCTGGGTTTGTGGCGTCGAACCCCAGAAATGCAAGATCCCGTAGATGATACGTAAAATGCGTAACGACCGATCAGTTGGGACAACATCCGATATCTGTGCGTCTCCCGTCGCTATTAGAGTTCTTACAGAACATTCTGCAGAATAAATGGACATGCTTAATTAATTAGGGGAAGACTTCTTCGGATGAGACGTCGGTTTGAATTTGACACCTAATTGAAAAGGAGGAATCAACAAGACACGCTGTTCTTCGTCGAGGACAACTCATTACCCCACCTTGACAACGAGTGTTTTTCTTGGAGTTTTCCTGAAAGACCAGGGTGTTGCCTAGCAACGAGGGCATAACCTGAAGCGGTTAGTCTGTATGTATTGTTTAAGGT